AATGTTATGAGGTACATGTGACCGTGTCAGGATGTTCTGTGGTGACATTTTGATGTGATTTTGTTACTGAGGATGCATATTGGGGGTTTGGTCGTGGCATTTTGTTTGGCCTTTGCGTGGTTTCTCCTGGGGCCTTCCTTGTTTGTGCTCTTTGTTACTATGGTCTTCTCTGGATCACTCATTCCTTGCCCGCCTTGCAGTGCCTGGCTTAGCCCTTCCAGGTACGTTGGATTCTCTGTACACCCCTAGTTGTCCTCACCTAGTTGTGCTTGCTGGGATTGAGCTTTGCCTCTTTAGTCCTGCTCCTCTGGCACTCACCTGCCATATACATGGCCTCTGTGCTTCCCTCGTTGTTCTTCCCTAGTTGTTTGCTGGGTAGAGCTCTGGGTTTTTGGTCTCTCCTCTCGCCTGTCGTTCGACTAATGTACGGCTTCCTGTGCCTACTGGGCTCTGTCGTATCTCCACTTGACACTGTGTGTGGGGTCAGCCTCCGCCACTTCCCTTCCTCATGCATTCCATTTGTCTCCTACTCTGACACTGGAATCCTTCTTTCTGTCATTTCTATTACTCATTGGGCATCCGTTCCACCTGTGTTTCCTGGCACGTGTGCCCCCTTGTGTTCATTGGTCTGTCTTATCTACCCTCTCCTTTCCTTTGAGGGTCTTGCTTGTGGTGTTGTTTTCCCCCTCTGGTTCTTCTGTCTCCCAGTGACGTGCAGTTTCATTCCCGTTGTCTCTTATCTTCGTTCGTACCGCCTTGATTCGGGTGCTGGTCTGGTGGTGACCCTTACATTTTTCAGTCAGGTCTTGTGTTGGGACAAGACCAACAATTGTGTTTTTGACGTGCTTTTCGTTTCTGTTTGCAGCCTGCCTTCTTCGTTCCTCAGCTTCCTGTTCTCCTACACATTGTGTGTTTTGTTTGTGCCTTTTGGCTCTTCTATTGCCGGGTTTGGGTTTCTGATTCCTGATTTTCTCTGCCTGTTGGCATTTTCAGTCTCTGTGTACCTTCTTTAGAGTCTCTGTTGGGACCATTATCTCTGGTCTCCTTGCGCGCTCGCTGGCGTTGGGAAGTTTTCTGTACGGCAGACGTTCCATCTCCTCCTTTGCCGGCTTGGGTTTCTGGCTTTGCTTGCTCTGTGGTCGCACCCGGGATCTTCCCGCAACTCCACCTCTTCCACGGCTCGTTTGGTCTATGGCGGAGCTGGTTCGGCTCTGCCTCGAGTCTTTCATCTTCTGTTGGTTTTCAGGTGGTTTCCTTGATGGTGTCTCACCTGCGTGCTTCTTCTTGGTGGCAGTGTTGGGTTTTTTGGCGGTCCTTCCTTTCTTCTTCTGTCCCTTCTTAGGTGGCTGTGATGTGGGCACAGTCTTGTCCTTCTCTTGTGAGGTTCAGGGCCATTATTTTTTTGCATACTGTCGCCTCGTATCGTGCGGCACTGGCAGAGCCGCTTCAGCTTGTGTTCGGTGTTCACGTTCCTTCTGCGCCATTTCACAAGCTGTCTTGTGCGTTTTCACCTCCAGCCTGCTCATGTGCCACCTGAGCTGTCCTGGTCATTGGACAGTGTGCTCTCTTTTCTTTCTTCTCAGTTTGTTGTGGCTCCTTCGGTCCCGGTTTGTTTCTCGGAGGCTCTTTTCCTGTTGGCAAGTGCCTCTTAGGGGTCAGGTCGTCGGGGTACTCCATGCTCTCCTCTGGTGCAGGGATTCTGCTCTTTCAGTCATGCCGGTCGTGTACAACTGCAGCCGGTCCCTTCTTTTCTGGCGATGATTGAGACTGCTGATTTCCGGAGGGGTCCTTGGGTTGTTCATGCTTGGTTGGTCAGGCTGGGGGTGCATCGTGCGTTGTCCGGTTGCGGCCCTCCGCCGTTCTTTGCGCGCCACGATTTCTGTGTTCATGAACGCGCTTTGGATTGATCCGGTTTCCCCTTCTTCCCTGTTTGCAGGTGTGGGGCTCCTGGGTCATCCGCTAGGTTATTACATCTAGCCAGCCTGCGGTCTATCCCCATGCCAGTGACATACGTCAGTTCGCTGCTCTTGCTGCCGTCCTTGGCAACGTGTCCTGGTCTGACATTTAGGTGAGGGGATTTTGGTGGTCAGACGGGGTCCTGGCTGCTCTTTATCTCTTGAAAGTTCCTGGGCCTAGTCGGGACGGTGTCGCCTTGGGTCGGTGGTTGCAGCCGGTTATCTCGACTTACGAGTTGAGGGGTGCACTGTGACTGCCTCCCGGGTAGGTCCCTATATTTTTCCTCTGTGGGGAGTTAATTCCTGGGAGCCGAAGGGGTTTCCCCCAGAAAACCAGCGTTGAATGTAATGAAACACCATTTTCTGGGTGAGACCCAGAAGCTCCCCGGCATCCCTTCCTCCCTCCAGTCGGCATTTTTTTTTTGACCTCCAGCCTCAGAACTGATAGTGGATAAGCGGCGTGGTAGGTCTGGGGCTCCCCCTTCCCTCTCTCGGGGAGGGGGGAGCTGCGCAGACACCGGTGCGGTGACGTGTGACGTCATGATTGTTTGCTTGTTTCTTTTTGGGGAGTTCTATCTACTTGTTCGGCTTTTGGTAGCGCAATTTTCACCAGAATAGGGGTTTGTTTTGGGATGCTTATCTTTCTGGATGCCTGACCCAGTTAATGTCAGACATAGAATGCTTCCAACCACACGGGTTTCTATAGGCCATTGCTCCCCTTGCCTGAGGGGGGCCAGGTTCTGCCTCGTGGTCCCCAGTAGGCCCATAGAACTCCATACACATGACCAATGCCAAAGCCTGACATTAGCATATCAGCCTGGATAAGCTCTGGGGAGCCTCCGGGTCTCACCCAGAAAATGGTGTTTCATTACATTCAATGCTGGTTTTTTGATGCGGGCCTATCACCATTTGTATGGTGATCAGATGGGTTTGTTGATGGTGTCTCACCTGAGAGTTTCGTCTAGGCGACAGTTTGAAGTTTACTGGTGTTCTTACCGCTATTTTCTTTCTTTTTCATAAGTTGTCTTCTATTTCTGATTGGGTTATCTTGTCCTTTCTGTCTTGGCTTATTCAGGACCATTATTTAATGCTTAATACTATCGCCTCGTATCATGCGCTGCTAGCGGAGCCGCTCCAGCTTGCGTTCGGGGTGGATATCACTGCTAACCCCCGTTCCATAAGCTTCTTCGTGCTTTGTTTCACCTTGAGCCTGCTCATGCGCTGCTTGAGCCGTCCTCATCCTTGGAACAGGTCCTCTCCTATCTTTCCTCTTCTCAGTTTGTGGTGGCCCCTTCAGTTCAAGATTGTTTTTCCAAGGATCTGTTTCTGTTGGCATTGGCCTCTGGTGGTCGGGTCAGTGAGCTTCATGCTCACCGAAGGGTGTTCTGCCTTTTTTTTCAGTTTTTAGTTGTAATTTTATTACCATGTGGGGTTTGTTTTGTTATATGTACCTTTCTGGGTGCCTAACCCCAGTCAATGGCAGAAAAGGAATAACCCCAGCCACAGGGGAGGTTTTCCAGGGCTATTGCTCCCTGTACCTCTCTGAGGGGGCCAGGTTCTGGCTCGTGGTCCCTGGTAGGCTGAACTCCATAGACTGATGCCCCAGTCTAATGTATCATATTAACCCGATAGCTCCAGGGAGCCTCCTGGGCTCACCCAGAAAATAGCATTTCATTACATTCAACGTTCTTTTTTTTCTGAGCTATCACATTTAATTACTACCTAAGGTAATGTTGCAAGTCATTTGACCAGGATCATGTATAGTCAGTCATGGAGACATACCAGCAGGAGCAATACAGGGATCTTTATAAATATCACTGCATAGTTATTTAATGTCAGGGAATCACTGGAGAAAACTCAAGCCAGCCCAGAATAATTGAACTCAAAATTTGTTCTGAATTCTTCATTGGATCCATGCCAGATGTTCCCATGGAGCACACCACAAGAGGTGACCCATAAGACTACGTTGTGACCTTGTGGTCACAACGTAGTCTCCTTGAACTTGATATTCGTGATTCACAATAAGATTGGTGGTCACTTATTTAGTTGTGTATCCCACTTCTCTGTACTCATATCAAGGATCATGGGCTAGTTTCCATGATTTTCTCTTTCAGTCTCATCTTTCCTCGGTTATAAGAAAGATTTAGACAAGACAAGGATGATTCTTGGCTTGTCAGGGATCAACACTTATATCTCTTTCCCAGTTTTCCAGATGAACACTTTGGCTGTTATTCACCTATTGGTTTCAATACAGTCTTGACTTCTCTCTCACTGCCTTAGAGTGCTTATTGGCATGCTTTGGTTCATCCAAGGTTCAGCGACTGACTGGGGTTTTGGGTTGATTGCACCTCTTACCATCTTTGGCTGTTTTCCCTCAGGTTGAATCCAGTGGCAAGAACTTTCAGCCAGGGTAATTCACCAGGATATTCAGCATCAGAGCATCAATGTCTTGGCCCACCTCTAAGGGCTGACTCCTTTAGGCTTCCAGTCCTCGACTGCCTGCTGGCCAGGAAATGCATGTTAACTATTCTGGGCAAGTTCGGCTATTTGATAAATTAGTCAAAGTCCCAGTTATTGCTTTAACAGGAACTGTTTCAGAAAATCCTTTCTCCCTCATATTGCAGCCTTTTGCGGAATTAGTCCCACAAAAGGAACCTCCGCCTTATAACTAGCACCACATCATATCAATTTCGAGTTACCGATCTTTGGTCTCCCTACGCCACCAGATAGAGATCAGACATAACTCGTATCTTACAAGAACTCCTCAAGAACTTGTGTGATTGCTCTAAGCATTTTACGTTGTTGATAACTACTGTGAGCAGCTTGTACACCTGTCCCAGCCTAGCTGCACACAATAGTGATCCCACATTACCTAATCTCAGACACATGCATTATGCAGTAGAGATTTATTTTGCCAGGAGGATCGGACAATACTTGCTGGACAATCATTGGTGATGTTACCTTCATATACATAAAATAGAGATACAATATGTAAGCAAAGATAAAAAAGTAGTTGTGATTTAAACTTTCATAATTTTTTTTCAGATTTGCATTTCAATCGGCAATGAAAGCGGCATTTTCCAAATTCATTATCATCAGACTTAAAAATGGGAAGGTAACAGTAGAAGTTGATACCACACAGTGTGATCCCCTAAAATATGATTCAGCTTTGGACAAACCACTTATCAAGGTAAAATGCAAGCCATTTGTATAGAATACCATTTACTGATATAGAGCAATGCCCATTAAACGTTTGTAAAGAACAACATATTAATTATTTAAATGACAGGCACTTGAAATAGACCTTACCAGTTGTAATTTCTTGTATCCTTTGTTCAGTTATTCATACTTGTAAATAAAGTTAAAGTTGAGTGTTCAACTTTGGTTCAGTTCAGACAGCTTACTATATCATTTGCTATGTATTGTGACAACTTGAGAGAACAGGCTTTGTGTGTGTATATTCTCTCTCTCTCCTTTTTTTTTTTTTTTTTTAATGACGATTTGGATGCTTGTTTGTTTTCTTTTTTTACGGGGTAGGGGGGAGTTCTTTGGCTCTGTTCGGATGTAGGATGCAATTTTAATCAGTTGGGGGTTTTGTATTGTTTCGCCTACCTTTCTGGGGGTATTTCCCCAGTAGATGGCAGACATGACAATACTCTAAATGTAGAGTGCTCATATAGGCATTGGTCCCTGTGTGTCTCTGAGGGAACCAGGGGCCAGATTCACGCAGCAGTTATGCAAGCACTTACGAACCTGTACATCTTTTCTCAATCTTTGGCGGCTTTGTTTACAATTATTGAACAGTTAATGAGCTCCGAAGCACCAAGAGGCTGTTTATAACAAAAAAAACAGTTGATTGGGAAGTTTTCATGCTTGTAAACTGTTTAATAAATGTAAACAAAGCCATATGGCACTGTCAGTTTGGACAGCTTCAGGGAGCCTCTGGGGGCTAGCCCAGAAAATGGCATTTCATTACATTCAATGCTGGTTTTTCAGTAGTAAACAGAAGATAGAAGATTTAAATAAACCTTAAACTACAGTACTGTACTGTATATTCAGTGCTATATATCTATAGGTTATAATAAATGATTGCATGGTATTCTATTTTGTCTTTCAGGTAAATCACATAAACTATGATCCAGACGATGAGGAAAATTGTGAGGATTTGGATAATATTACTGAAGAGCAATTAGAAGAACTTCTTAATGTATCTCTGTGATTTGTATAATCTGATTTGTGATTTGTATTTTTAATGAAAATCTTGTTCAGCTATCAAATAAATACAGTACTGTATATTTTAATTTGTGTTTTGGTCTTGTTGATACAGTGACAGTTTTACTTTTGAGTTGGTGCTCAGTAGCTGATGATCTAAGTGGTTGTGGACTGTTCTTTCACTTTTTTTACATTCTAGTTTCTTGTTTTTATATTCCCTTCCAAGTTAGGTATAGTTGTGCTGGGTTAGCGCTTTCTCCTATGAGGCATTTTTCATTAGTTAATGTGTACCAGTACTGTAGACTCTCTTGTACTATCATTTGTCAGAAAAATAGTTTTGGTAGTTATTTAATCCTTCCCAACCATAAACCAAATTTCATTTCTATTAAATTTTGTTATTGTAGAGTCCTTCACATTTGAATAAAAAGTTTTATTTAATATCCAACAACTTTTAAAAAGTCTTTTACATCACTTATTGCACACAAATATTGTTGGAAGACAGTTCTTAAAAGTTAACAATCAAAACACTGCAGTTATTATTATTTATCATTGTAAACACTAATACCTGTACAGAATACACAATATTACAATAAACTGTTTTTATAAAATAGTCTTATGTATTACCCTTACGTTGTATGTATTGTAATTATTAATGCAGGAGAGAGGGACAATGGGATAGAGAGGGACAGGGGGACAGAGAGATGGAAAGGGGGGACAGGGGAAAGAGATCGGGGACAGAGGACAGAAAATGTGGGCAAGGGGACAAAGTGAGGGACAGGGGGACAAAGATGGACAGGGGGACAGGAGGAAAGGGGGGAGATGTATGAGGGGGAATGTTTGCGAGAGATGGAGAAGGGGTATTTAGAACGGTAAGTTAGAGAGGGGGACAACTAAGGCGCATCATTGAAAAGCAAAGCAAATGAGCATCATTGCAGTAGCAGGAGCCACGCACATCTTCAGCCTGCGTTGTTGAGACATTGTCAATTAAGCGGTGTCCAATAGCAGTATCTTCGGTATTTAAGCGATACCTTAAAAAATACTGGAAATATTGAAAGATATTAATCCAGATATTAATCCCCTTGTGCAAGGCACACAAGAGGCAACAGCTTCTAGCTCTACAAGCAGCAATATAAAATAGAGAATAGGCGATTGTTTTCACTATCATAAAACCCGCTGAAGCCGTAAATGCCAAGACATTACTTCCGTTTAAAATTATGCCGGAATAATCCTCAGGTATGTGGAGGATGTGGGAGGCCTTTGATCAACCGCCGACTTCCTGCCCCGTCGACGGGGCCACCAGCCCTCAGCCAAATTCTTGTGAAACAGTATGTACTTATTAAAACTGTAATTTATTTTGTCTAAGGTGATTGAAATTATCTCTTGGGCCCCACCTCAAAGTCGGTTGTCTGGACTCCCCCCCCCTCATTCCTTTCCTGACACAAATATACTGTACAAATATAGTGATAATATTCCTGTCAACCTTTGGAGATGAATGAGGTGAGGCGTTGCCCGGGCAACACGGCGAGGTGTTGCCCGAGCAATATAAGCAGCAAGAATAGCAAACATTAACTAGTCCCAGCCACGATGGACTACAACACTCACTGGACCTCTACTGCTACTGTTTGCTGTGATGGAACACTGCCAACACCCTCGCCACAGCTATGATTTCATCGCGTCCATCTCTGCATTTTCATCTACTACGGCTTGCTGCTCCACGATCGTTACTCACTCATCTGACAGCCTCATCAATGATTACATCATGTTGGATCTACAGCTTGTCCTGCCGACTCTCCGTCGCGACCAGGGCACTGCTTGTCCTACGCCCACGACAGCTGCTCTGTCATCAGATTCATCTACACGAGTATCACTGCATTTTGATACTCGGCCGACTCAAGCCCTTTGCGCAGTACAGGACTTACAGCTTGCGTTTCCGACACTTCGTCGCCTTCAGGACAATTCAGCTCTAGATGTGATTTCCTCGTTGTCCTACGTGCCTACATTACCTCCTAATGTCCTGGTGCCCGAGCCCATCCGCCCCGGATCTAAATGCTCCACCAGCGACCCAAGGACGCAACAATTATGCACATTCTTCTCTCCTGCTACACCGAGCTTGTCCACACACTGCCTACATCTTTTGGTACCAGACTACAATTTCCACATTCAACAATGTAGTACTCGGCGTGTACAGTCCTAATCAACCCAAGACGCTACAGCTTCGACACAGAGCAGACAGCAGACTACGACCGCATCGAGCCGCCACGCTCTCGCTCCCCGAGTTTAGACACTCACAATTCTCAATCGAGCCACCACGCTCTCCCACATAGAGCTCCACGACTCCGGCCTCACTCAGCTCTCTGCTCTGCTCCAGGCTTCGTCTCAACGTCTGCGACACTGCTAAATCCAGAGATACATCCGCCGACTACGCAGTTCACTTTTCGACCACAGTTACCAGCAGCACCGCCACCTACGACAACGGACGATCCTGTACGACCTCTCACCCTACAACCCCAGTTACCAGCCGCACCACAACCTGATCCTGCGACGACGGACGATCCTGTGCGACCTCCCACCCTAGAAGAATAAACTCTGCCTTTTGTCATGAGGGCATTTTTGGGTGCAGCAGCCATTGCAGAACGCTGGAAGGTGTATGCAAATTGAGTAATTACGTAGGTGTAGTTACAAGATGAGAGCTACGCTCGTGGTGTCTCGTCTTCCCAGTACTCTTTGTCATATAACGCTTTGAAACTACTGGTGGTTTTGGCCTCCACCACCTTCTCACCTAACTTGTTTCAACCGTCTACCACTCTGTTTAGAAAAGAAAATTTTATTTTTTATTTTTTTGGTACCTTTAATTCCTTAGCTTGAATCTGTAATTACTTAAGTGTACTTACCTAAGTGTAGTTACAGGATTAGAGCTATGCTCGTGGTGTCCTGTCTTCCTAGCCCTCTTTGTCATATAACGCTTTGAAATAACTTACGGTTCTGGTCTCCTCCACCTTCTCACCTAACTTGTTCCAACCGTCAACTGTTTGCGAAAGTTAATTTTCTTATATTTCTTCGGCATCTTTGTTTAGTTAGTTTAGATCTACGACTTCTTGTCCTTGAAGTTCCAAGTCTCGAGAAATCTTCCCCATAAATTTTATCGATTTCTGTTGCTATTTTATAAATGTATATATTCTGGTTAGTATTGTAAATGTGTGGCCACGTCTGTGGTAGAAAATAATAATAAAAAAAACTGTTTCTTCAGTGCATTAGTGGAAAGTTGTAGTACAGCTAATTCTGCATGTGTGGAGCTAAGGCAGTTATTCAGTCTCATACTTGTGATCTGTGTACATACTGTATGTTGTTTTTTATTTTTAACTTTTATTTAACTTTTATTTTTAACCCCGCCCGTTTTGGAACACATGTCGTCGCTGCTCTTTCACCGGATGCAGCTACCAGCTTAGCCGCGTTGTCCTGCATTAAGGGGACCTCTGTTCGGGTCTCCAAAAATGCTCGGTGAAATGCCAGTGTTGGCACCGTTCTCCTCCCGCACCATGTTGCAACTGGTGTTAGGGACCTGAAAGACTGCCATGAGGATATTAAACATATCCTCGAAGCCCAAGGCCATCCTGTCCTCCAAGTAGACACGTTCACTCGACCCCCTCGTGGTCGCCGCCATCAGCCCCTTTGAGTTGTGAAAATCACCTTTGATAGCAGGACCCTTCCACTTTCTATCTTTCTTGCTGGTGCCAGGTGCTCCATTCAGGAGTACATACCCTCTCCTAGACTTTGTAATAAGTGCTGGAAGTTCGGGCATGGTGCCCTCAAATGCACACGTCTTGTTTCTCTATGCCCCATGTGTGGGGACGATAGCCACTCTTAAGACAGATTGCTCATCTCCCCAGGCTCGCTGCCTCAATTGCAGTGAGGCCCACCCTACCTTCTCCCGCACGTGTATCCACCTGTACCCGGGCCCTTTCTGGGCCTGTACCCGGGCCCTTTCTGGGCCTGTACCCGGGCCCTTTCTGGGCCTGTACCCGGGCCCTTTCTGGGCCTGTACCCGGGCCCTTTCTGGGCCTGTACCCGGGCCCTTTCTGGGCCTGTACCCGGGCTTTTTCTGGGCCTGTACCCGGGCTTTTTCTGGGCCTGTACCCGGGCCCATTCTGGGCCTGTACCCGGGCCCATTCTGGGCCTGTACCCGGGCCCCTTCTGGGCCTGTACCCGGGCCATTTCCGGGCCTGTACCCGGGCCATTTCTAGGCCTGAAAATTATTTGAGGAGCAAGACGGACTGCGGGTCAGGCAATTGGTCTTCATGCTATCGTGATGGGGGATCAGCCATTATACGTGTTAATGACTCTTGTATAGTTGTGTAGTTAAGGACAACAGGGTAAAGGGGTAATGGGCATTGTGGTTGATTGTTCTACCTGGGAATCCTCCGCTGTTTTATATCTTATGTATGTATGTATTTATGTACTAACCTAGTTGTGGTTGCGGGGGTTGAACTTTGGCTCTTTGGTCCCGCCTCTCAACCGTCAATCAACTGATGTACAGATTCCTGAGCCTACTGGGCTCTGTCATATCTACATTTGAACCTGTGTATGGAGTCAGCCTCCACCACATTACTGCCTAATGCATTCCATTTATTAACTACTCTGACACTGAAAAGTTCTTTCTATAATCTCTATGGCTCATTTGGGTACTCAGCTTCCACCTGTGTCCCCTTGTGCATGTACCACATGTGTTAAATAAATGTATGTATGTAAGGAGAGAGAGGAGAGAAAGAGAGAGAAAGAGATGAAGACCGAGACAGAGAAATAGATATAGACAGAGTCAGGGAGAGAATGTTAGACACAGAGACGGATAGATAAGGATATGCAAAGTCAGTGAGAGAATGACAGAGATAGAGCGAGGAAAGAGACAGAGATAGGCTGACACAGAGAATGGCAGAAACGAGGAGAGGCAGAGACAGAGGGACAGGGACAGACGGACAGGGCCAGAGGAGGGACGGGGGAACAGAGGGGGGGGGCAGTGGGACAGAGAGGGAGACAGGGACAAAGAAGGGGACAGGGTTAGAGAGGGGGACCGGGGGACAGAGGGAGGAGAGGGGGGCAGGAGACCAAGAGAGAAGGGACAGAGGAGAGACAGGGGATAGAAAGAGTGGGCAGGGGGACAGAGGGAGGGACAGGGACAGACAGAGAAAGACAGGAACAGGGGGGCAGAAAGGGCGGACAGGGGGACAGAGAGAGGGACAGGGGGCAGAGATAGGGACAGGGGAACAGAGACAGGGACAAGGGGACAGAGATGGATAGGGAGCCTGGAGGAAAGGGAGGAGGACAGATGAAGGACAGCGGACAGAAAGAGTGGGCAGGGGGACAGAGAGAAGGACAGGGGGACAGAGATGGACAGGGGGACAGAGAGAGGAACAGGAGGACAGAGAGGAACAGGGGGACAGAGAGAGACTGGGGAACAGAGAGAGGGACAATGGGATAGAGAGGGACAGGGGGACAGAGAGATGGAAAGGGGGGACAGGGGGAAAGAGATTGGGGACAGAGGACAGAAAATGTGGGCAAGGGGACAAAGTGAGGGACAGGGGGACAAAGATGGACAGGAGGAAAGGGGGGAGATGTATGAGGGGGAATGTTTGCGAGAGATGGAGAAGGGGTATTTAGAACGGTAAGTTAGAGAGGGGGACAACTAAGGCGCATCATTGAAAAGTGCCTTGTATAGTGACTGTTGTGAGCCTCTTATTGATCACTTGTGACACAAAGATTATTGATGTGTGTATTTGTGTAGGTGATTAGATATGTATGTGCATATATATATGTATACGTATATATATATATGTACATGTATGTATGAGAGTGTGTACATGTATATATATAATATTAATAATTTCGTAACTAGCGTCACAAATTGTTATTTGCTTAGCTAAACGAACTAGAGGGTTCAGTTCCTGAACCGATTATGTGCCTCTGTAATCCTTTACACCACCGCCCACGGGATAGGTATGGGGTGCATAATAAAGAAAGAAATAGAATTGAATTGGTCTGATTAAGACTTTATGACTATGTAATCTATGTTTTGCTCCACTACTTACTGTTTTTTTTTTTTTTTTTTTTTTTTTTTTTTTTTTTTTTTTTTTTTTTTTTTTTTTTTTTTTTGAGATATATACAAGAGTTGTTACATTCTTGTACAGCCACTAGTACGCGTAGCGTTTCGGGCAGGTCCCTGGAATACGATCCCCGCCGCGAAAAATCGTTTTTTCATCCAAGTACACATTTTACTGTTGCGTTAAACAGAGGCTACAGTTAAGGAATTGTGCCCAGTAAATCCTCCCCGGCCAGGATACGAACCCATGACAAAGCGCTCGCGGAACGCCAGGCGAGTGTCTTACCACTACACCACGGAGACTGTCATATGGTTGAGTATGGGGAGACTGTCTATGTATATGGTTGAGTATGGGGTGCATAACAAATAATAGCCTCCTTCGGGGGCGCCTTGTTTCTAAACGTGTTAGTCTTAAATCCTTTAATCTCAAATCTTGCTACAATGTACCTCTTAATATATGTTATGTACTCTCGCAACCCAATGTACCTTCTTGTATATAAATAGATTTCAACTGTAAGGGGATATGGTTTGCACCTTGTTATTCTAATAATGGATAAATAATTCTAATAATGGAAGCGCTAATTATATGAACAAATGCCATGTATTTATTCAGATGATAACAACAGCGAACACAAACCAGCGCATATACGAACGGAATGGTTTGTATGTACAAACTTCTCAGTGAACGAAGTTGTTTCTAGCCCGGTATCCGAAATTGCAGTATACGACTTGACCAGTCCCCGGTGGGAGAGCCATTGTGTTGAGTGTTGCGTCAGTAGAAGTGTGTTGGCGACCGTCCCCCAGCACGCCTCCCGCTCCCAACCAACCCTGGCAACACCACCTCAACCCTCCTCCAGTACCCGCCCCCCAACCACACCCGCCATCACCACTCTCAACACCACAACCATGGAGAAGAGAAGTATGTGTAGTGTTGGGTGGCGGCCTCCCGGCCTCCCTCACCATGCTGCCTGGCGCCAAAATTTGGATTCTTGGCGCACATTGTTGTTGTGGTGCGGGCCTTCCTTGGTCAGTTATCAGTCACCTTCCATATCTTATAACCTAATGTGGTGAAGGTGTGGGCCTTCCTTGGTCAGTTATCATAGTCTCGCCTTCCATACCTTACACCCTAATGTTGTGGTGAAGGTGCGGGCCTTCCTTGGTCAGTTATCAGTCACTTTCCATACCTTACACCCTAATGTTGTGGTGAAGGTGCGGGCCTTCCTTGGTCAGTTATCAGTCACTTTCCATACCTTACACCCTAATGTTGTGGTGAAGGTGTGGGCCTTCCTTGGTCAGTTATCAGTTACCTTCCATATCTTATAACCTAATGTGGTGAAGGTGTGGGCCTTCCTTGGTCAGTCATCACAGACACCTTCCATACCTTACAACCTAGTAATTACCTAACTGTAGTTACACAATGAGAACTACGCTCATTGTGTCCCGTCTTCCCAGCACTCTTTGTCATATAACGCTTTGAAACTACTGACGGTCTTGGCCTCCACCACCTTCTCACCTAACTTGTTCCAACCGTCTACCACTCTGTTTGCGAAAGTGAATTTTCTTATATTTCTTCGGCATCTGTGTTTAGCTAGTTTAAATCTATGACCTCCTGTTCTTAAAGTTCCAGGTCTTGGGAAATCTTCCCTGTCGATTTTATCAATTCCTGTTACTATTTTGTATGTAGTGATCATATCGCCTCTTTTTCTTCTGTCTTCCAGTTTTGGCATATTTAATGCCTCTAACCTCTCCTCGTAGCTCTTGCCCTTCAGTTCTGGGAGCCACTTAGTAGCATGTCTTTGCACCTTTTCCAGCTTGTTGATGTGCTTCTTAAGATATGGGCACCACACAACAACTGCATATTCTAGCTTTGGCCTAACAAAAGTCGTGAACAATTTCTTTAGTATATTGCCATCCATGTATTTAAAAGCAATTCTGAAGTTAGAAAGCGTGGCATAGGCTCCTTGCACAATATTCTTTATCTGGTCCTCAGGTGATAGTTTTCTATCTAGAACCACCCCTAGATCTCTTTCTTTATCAGAATTCTTTAAAGATTTCTCACATAATATATAGGTTGTGTGGGGTCTATGTTCTCCTATTCCACATTCCATAACATGGCATTTATTAACATTAAATTCCATTTGCCAAGTGGTGCTCCATATACTTATTTTGTCCAGGTCTTCTTGAAGGGCATGACAATCATCTAAGTTTCTTATCCTTCCGTCCTGATTCATCCAGGGTTCAGGGACTGGCTCGGTTTTGTTGTGGGGTGTCAGGGTTACTGCTTTCGTTGTCTCCCATTCAGGTTAAACCTGGCACCTCACGTGTTCACGCGCCTTACCCGGGTCGCTGTGGCCCGTCTGCATCTGTTAGATGTTCGGGTGTTGGCCTACCTCGACGACTGGCTGGTTTGAGCTCCCAGGCGGTCCTCTTGTCTGCTAGGCAGGGATTTGGTTCTTTCCCAGCTTGCAAGGTTCGGGTTCTTGGTGAATTGGAGGAAGTCCCATTTGGTTCCCTGCCAGGTTCGGGCCTAGCTGGGTCTCGTGTGGGACTCTCGGACCGCTTCCTTGTCTTTTCCTCTGGAGTCTCTCGTGCAGCTGCGGTTCCACATATGCCTGTTTCTGGGGGAGCCTGAACTTCATGATGATGGTCTACCCGCCGGGTCGGATTTGGCTTTGTTGGCTGTTCTGGTTCCTTCAGGGACGTCCTCTCCGTTTCTACCCCGATCGCTGGGTTTGGACCCTGGGGGCCTTATGTCGGCTGCTGTGTCGCCTGCTTCCTCTTCGGGTTTTTCCGGGTTCGGTGCCTTGGCACCTGCCCGAGCCCTCGCTCGATGTGTTCACTGACACATTGTGTCTCGGCTGGAGCTTTGTAACCAGTGCTCACCAGGCCGGCCAGGGACGGTGGGGTCCGTCCTTCCGTCACCCCCACAGCCCGGTGCGGGAGTTCGCAGCGGTATGGTTTGTGCTGCGGACAGTTCGGGTCATTCGCGGATCGATAATCCGTCTGCATTCGGACTGCTCCCCAGTGGTTCATTGCCTGAACTGGGGAGGTTTGATGCGGTCCTTGGCTCTCTGGCACTAGTCGCTTTGTGTGACTCGTCTGCTGGGTTCTCAGGGTTTGGCTCTCCTGGCTGTTCATGTGCGGTGTTGTCCAACGTCCTGGCTGTCGGCCTGTCTCGTTTCGTTCCCCTTTCCACGGAATGGATGGTCAATGCCGACTCCTTCGTTTGACTTTGCCGGATGTTTGGGCACCCCGAGGTGGACCTCTTCGCGTCGGCAAGGTCGAGGCACCTTCCCATATATGTGGCACCCTTCCCCTACTACGAGGCCGTCGGGGTTGATGCCGCTGCTCCGCCTGTTTCAGCAGATCGAACCGGTGCGCCACTTGGCTGGTTCAGTCTTCTCCTAGAGTCTATGCGTATGGCATTTTTGACTCAAGTTTATCATCTCTATGGTGATCAGGTGGCTTCCTTGTTAATGTCCCACCTGAGGGCTTTTTCTCGGCGGCAGTGTGAAGTTTCCTGGCGGTCCTCCCGTTTCTTTTTGTGTCTTCGTCGTTGTGCTTTGCTGTCTGTTAGAGTTGTGTTGTCCTTTCTCTTGGTTTTTCCAGGTCAGAAATCTTATGCCTAACACTGTCGCCTCGTATCGAGCGGCGCTGGCAGAACCACCTCAGCTTGCTTTTGGTATTGACGTTACGCCTGAGCCGTTTCTCAAGCTGTCTCGTACGTTGTTTTACCTCCTGCCTGCTCATGCGCCACCTGAGCCAATCTGGTTGTTGGACAGGGTGCTCTTTTCTTTCTTCTTCACGGTTTCTTGTGGCCCCTTCAGTTCAGGATTGCTTATTGAAGGCTCTTTCTGTTGGCATTGGCCTGTGGGGATTGGGTCGGTGAGCTTCATGCTCTCCTCCAGTGCAGGGGTTTCTGCTCTTTCGGTCGTGGCGATCGGTTTGTCCGTCTTCAGCCATCTCCTTTTCTGGTGAAGAATGAGACTGCTGCTTGCTGTAGGGATCTTTGGGTTGTTGATGCTTGGTCATGCCGGGGGTACGTCATGGTTTTTGGTCCGGTTGCGGTTGTCCGTAACCGGACTCAAAACCTTAGTTGCGTGCCATGGCTTCTGTTTCCAAGGACATGCTTTGGGTTAATCCGGTTTCCCTTCTTCCCTGTTCGCGGGTGCGGGTCTCCCAGGTCGTCCGCAGGATTAAGGCTAGCCAGTCTGCAGTCTATCCCCGGGCTCATGACGTTTGCAAGTTTGCTGCTCTTGCTGTTGTGTTTGGCAACATGTCCTGGCCTGACATTCGGGAACGGGGATTTTGGCAGTCGAACAGGGTCCTGGCTGCTCGGTATCTCGTGAACGGGCCTGTGTCGCTTTAGGTTGGCGGTTGCAGCCAGTTGTCTCGACTTCTGGTTGAGGAGTGAGCAGCGACCGCCTCCAGGGTAAGTCTCTATCTTTTTCCTCTGTAGGTAGTTATCTATGGGGAGCCGAAGGGGTTCCCCCCATAAAACCAGCGTTGAATGTAATGAAACGCCATTTTCTGGGTGAGACCCGGAGGCTCCCCTGCATCCCTCCCTACCCCCGGTTGGCAGTTTTTCGCGTGTTTTGACATCCAGCATCAGAACTGACGGGTGGATAGCCGGTGCAAGGGGTCTGGGGGCTCCCCCATCCCCCTCCCGGGGAGGGGGAAAGCTGCGCAGACAGCGGTGCGGCGACTTGTAATGTCATGCTTGTTTGCTCGTTTCTTTTGGGGAGTTCTTTCTACTTGTTCAACTTTTGATAGCAAAGTGTGCCAGAATAGGGGTTTGTTTTGGGATGCTTGCCTTTCTGGGTGCCTGACCCGGTCAATGGCAGACATAGAATGCTTCCAACCACACGCAGGGTTTCTATAGTCCATTGCTTCCCTTGGCTCTCTAGAGGGGGCCAGGTTCTGGCTCATGGTCCTCGGTAGGCCCACAGAACTCCATACACATGACTGATGCCAAAGTCTGACATTAGCATATCAGCCTCGGGGAGCCTTAGGGTCTCGTCCAGAAAATGGCGTTTCATTACATTCAACGCTGGTTTTTTTAACATTCTCACTTATGTTAGCTTACTTCTCTTTTAGGATAAAATGCTTACCCCCTCTACACCCTTAATTAATTTTATCTGAATTATTCTCAAGTTTTACCCGAAACGCTTTGCGTAATAGAGGCTTTATGATTATGTGTAACTCCTGTCTTTTCAATTGTCCCTTCCTCTTTTGTTCATTGTATACACATTCTTTTGAATAGAATTATTTGTATTATTAAAAGTGTTTTCTATTATGCCTCTTAGTACAGCCTACTGTATATCATTCATGCAGTAGTTGTATGAAATATTCAATAACTCGTTTATGAATTACAGGTAGTACCAGGAAAAGGACTATCAAAATTGTTGATGCTGCTCCAGATAAAGATGTTAAAACTGAAGATGAACCGGTTGCAAAAAGGGGAAGAGGTCGGCCTAAAATGAAAGAGCCAGTGGTTCAAGAGGATGAGCCAAATGTGAAGAGACGAGGAAGGTCAAAAAAAGTCGACACTGATATGACTGTAAAGACTGAACTAGATATTGACCATTCCCAAAATAACACACAGATTAAAACCACTGGAAAGAGAGGGAGGAAAAAGGAAGCTCAAATAAAGGAAGAAATTGTGGAGGATGATGATCAGGAGCCATCTACTTCAAATGGTAATGTTGCCAAAAAGGCAGAGAAAAAGAGCAAGGTGTCCCAGAAGAAAGTTAAAGAGGAGAGTGAAGAGAAGACAGCACCTGCAAAAGCTCCAGGTGGGAAGAAAAATAAATCTAATGCAAGCAAAGGGAAAAATAATTCACGCATGTCCAGTGAAGGAAAAGAGAACATCGATTCCAGTAATATTCCTGGCAAATCTGGCATCAAGTCAGGTTGAGTACCCATTTAAAGTTTTTGTAGACAAAATTGGATTAATTTTAAAAGTTAGTGTTAAAAGATCTAACTGATTGCTGTCAAATTATGACTTAACATTTACCTAGTTTATTATGGGATCCACATTGATATCTTTTCCTTTTGGGGGTTTGTTTCTGTACTGTAGTGTTTACCTGCCTTTGAAGATGCATAGCACAATATTAGTCACATTTTGTAGAATTCTTTTTGTAATTTCTCATTATTAAATTCTTGAGCATGTTTCACTGTATACTGTAATGCATGCAGCATGGTATATTTTTCCTTTTCACCTGCATCACTGTTATAGTGTATAGGATACTTTTTCTTTCTTTTATCCTTTCCTTTGATGTGAACTTGTTGGCAATTGTTGCAATGGTTAATTGTATATAGTGATGCTTGTAATCAAATGTGTGGACTTGAGAACAGTCTTAACATTATATATATAATATGAAGGTTTACATCAGTCCCAGTCTCCAAAATTAATGGCATTTTTTAAACCGAGTTAACATAAATTATTTTTGGCAAGGGGTGTGTGAATGTATAAAACTTTGGAATTTGATCAGGAAGGCTCCTAAGCCCCAAAATCCATGTGTAATGTTAAAAATGTAGCAAATATGATACATACTGGGAATCATATCTAGAAGTGTTAGCAGTAAGGCATCTAATAATACTCCTCGACTTTATCTTGGCCATATTAGGCCCCATTGAGAGTATTGAGTTTAGTTTTGGTCACATAGAATCGACTTAAATTCAGAGTGGATAGAGATGGATGATAAATTTAATATCTTGAATTAGAAATCGACCTTAGAAAAAAATTAAGGAAGCATAATTAAAATTTTCCCAAAATGGTATAACAAAGTATATTATTAATAATCTTCAAATATATATCAACACAAAATAAAACATGGAATGATGGATTCAAACTGAATAAGTTTTGATTTAAATAAATGGTTTGGAAATGGGGTTGATTAGAGACCAAAGTACAGGGTAATATAATACATATGGTATACCTGTACTGTTCCAAGCCTAGGTTAGACATGCACTGTATTTGAATATGTTTAGCTGGATATAAATAGGAGCTCCCTCTCAAGGACCAATAGGCCTTCTGCAGTTTACTTTATTCTTATATTCTTGTAGTGTGTATTGTTACTACCTACAGTCACTGTCTTTGCTTTAGGTAGACACAAACAAATTTTGGAAAATACTTTGTATTTTGTATCTGTATAAATTCTTTAGTTTAATTTGATTTATTAATTTTTGCCAAATCAAACTTGTCTTCATGTAACAATTATGGACAATCATTAATGTAACAATCATTGCTTAAGAGGCCTATTTATTTCTTGTGTATTTTCCCATCATTTTTGACTACTTGAGCCATTTGGATTCTGGTATTTTGTATGCAAACACTCAGATTTGTTAGAAGATGAATATTTTAAATGTTGGAATTCATCAATTCTGTGTAATTGTATTGTGTGTTATTTGTGAGAATTTAGTTTCTTAGAAAATGTCTTCAAGTATTCATCATACCAATAGATGAATTTTCATAACAGCATTGGTTTTAGGGATGCATATTGTTTTATGCATAAGTTTTACATGTTTGAATAAACAACACATGTTTGTTTTCTTCATTAGTGCATATTAGATTTTAAAATTTGTATAGTAATGAAATTGTCTTAATGTTTTACTTATATTAAAAGTTTATTATTGTCTGTTGCGTAATGATGAAATACTTTTACTACTACTGTAACGTCGTTTATTGAATATAGTAAATGTATAGAAATGTTTTAATTATAAACAGGTGTTGATAGGACAGTTGTGGTGAAAGGTCGAGCAGCTGTAGATGCCCTTTGCCCAATAGCAAAGCAGTCACATGTGTTTGAAGAGGATGATGATATATGGGACTGCATGCTCAACCAGGTAACTCACTTTTTCTTCTCTTTAAGGATCAATGGAAATTTTTAATATCTGTTCTTTTGTGTGTTTTGACATTCACTTGCTGTTTCTTTCCTTGTGTTATACAAATATATTCAGGTATGGCGAATACAAAAAAGTATTGTGCAAATTCCTTGCTTACGTAGTTTGAATGTCAACTTTACATGTAAAATTAATAAATTAGCCCTTGATGACTGCTTAAAAAATGTTTATTATTATTCCTTGCTATCTAAAAGAAGCATACTATGAAAAATTAAGGCAAAATATGTAAAAACATGTTTGCATACTTAGTGGGTAGATTTTTGTTTATGTATGTGGGTAGAGAAAAATACTCAAACAAAAATGGTTTCTATTTGCTTGCCATGTGTTACTAAAGCAGACACCGGGCAGGGCCTCATGATGCAGCATGTATTATGCCCACTCTGCCACCTACATGTACTGATAAACACTGTTTTATTCTAATAATGTTTACATATACAGAGGAGCCGCAATTAACAAATTTAATCTGTTCTGACACCGAGCTTGTCATGTGAAACGCTCGTCTTGCGAAGCGAATTTCCCCATTTAAAATAATGGAAATAAAATTAATCTGTTCCACCCCCGAAAAACATCAATACAAAATTTTATAATGTAATTATAATACATGTAATTTTTTGTTTTGCTGTTTTCAATTATACTTTACCTTATGAAGAGTCGTTGCTGGCTTGAGGGAGACGATGGAGAGGAGGAGGAGAAGGGTTACGGTGTGGAAGGAGAATCCCCCTCCAAGTCAGGCAATTTCCTTCTTCAAATCTACAGTAATTGTCTTTCTTCCTCTTCCTACAACACTATCTTTAGCAGCAGCTTTAGTGATGTCGTGGGTTACAAATTGTAGTCTCAAAACTACAAAAAAAAATAAAGAAAAGCACAAATAAGTGCAGAGGAATGTTTGTTCTGCGCAATAAAACAACAATGTCGTCCAAGGTGTCCGAGAATTTGCGGGAACACTAGGAAGCCCCATGTAGTTTTCTCGTTAACTGAGCGGAAGCTCGTCAATCGAGGCAAATTTTCTGCAAGTGGCGCGCTCGTTACCTGCAATGCTTGTAAATAGGGCTGCCTGTCACATGAGGTTCCTCTACAGTATACGTCATTTCTAGGGTGGCCCCCTCCCCCTCCAATGACTTTCCAGGGCTTATGCACTGGTATCTCGGGATAAAATCCAACTTGCCAAGCATCTGTGACCATCTCGCCACCTACTTGCAAGTAGCAGGATCTCTGAGGTAGTCGATACCCCTCACATTGATGGAACCCTTGCCAAAATGGCTGAAAAAGGGTCACAAAACTCCAAGATATGCTTAGAGATGTGTTCGGTACTAACGAAAACCTAACAAAAACAAAACTACTGTATATGAAACACTTTTCCTAAATACTTTCTCTTAGGTAAATAATTTACTGTAAATTTTTGTAAAGTATCCCAACCATACATATTCAAAAACAAACATTTATGAATAAAGTATTTCAATTTCTGTTTTGAAATATCAACTTAACACTTCTCTCTCCCTCGCCACCTGATGGCTGCACAGTGGTGCGATGCCACCTGCTAACACAGAGCGTGTCTAAAGCAAGTTTATTTTGTAAAACTAAGTGGCTGGCTTTTCTGTGTCTGTGACTCGAGCTTCTTGTGAGGCAGTTTTGTCTTTTCACCCTAGTTCCCTTCTTCCTTGCTTCTCTTCTTTATTTTTGCGTGTGTAATGTTTGCACTGCATTTCTTGTGGTCTACCTCTTTCTTTTCAACTTCTTGACCTCCATGCTAGTAGTATTTGAACCCCATGGTTACTGGCTCTATTAGTGCACCAGTGGTTGGGTACCTTCCTGCTGTAATGAATCCTCTACACTGCCTTGGGGCTTTAGGAGTGGGTAATGCTAGTCTGGCTAGTCTGACATCCTGGCTATCAAAATTTACTGATAAGCTCCCTTTTGTTCTTTTAATTATATATTTACCTTCCAATTTTCCCCTGCTTACCAATGAGTTCTGGAAAGTTAGTTCAAGTTTGAGTAATTACCTAAATGTAAATTTTAGAGAACTATGATCATGGTATAGTTCCAATCTATACTCGGAAAATATTAGAGGGGCTGGTCCCAAACCTGCACACAGAAATAACATCACATGAGACAAGAGGCATGGCAGGATGTGCAGAATACCCCCGTTGAAAAGCAGAGGTGCAACAGGTACTCTGAGAGAGAGAACTCTATCAACATCAGAGGCCCGAGACTGTTCAACACACTTCACTTCACATAAGGGGCATAACTGGCCGACCCCCTCAGTGTTCGAGAGAACTGAATAAGCAAAGCCCCTCCAAAGGATACCTGATCAACCAGGCTGTGATTCGTACGTCAGGCTGAGAGCAGCTGCGTCCAGCAGCCTGGTTGACCAGTCCAGCAACCAGGAGGCCTGGTCGACGACCGGGCTGCGGGGACACTAAGCTCCGGAAGCACCTCAAGGCAACCTCAAGGTATGGTGTCCCATCATCCGAGCACTCTTTGTATATACTGTACAGTATAACGCTTTGAAACCGCTGGCTTATCCGTATAGTGTTTTTTTTTTTTGGGGGGGGGGATTTTTTTTTCTTGACTATTTTGACACATATTGACCTACAACTTTTACATATTTGAGTACGAATGCCAAACAATGTTTATTAAAACATACAATTAACTTAACAATTAGAACTACAGTACCTCTATTCACTGTCGAGAACTTCAACTATCTCTGAAACTAGAGTTTCAGAGATTCTTTAATCTTCAGAGATTTGCCGATGTTATTCTTTTGATGTGGGCTTCAGGAGACAGGTTTGGTGTGATATCAACTTCTAGATATTTCTCTGTCCGTTTCGTGAAGGACTTTATCTCCCATTCTGTATCCAGTGTCTGGCCTCATATTTCCTTTGCCTAGTTTCTTTACCTTACATATACTTCGATTGAACTTTAGTAGCCATTTGTTGGACCATTCCTTCAGTTTGTTTAGGTCATCTTGTAGCCTCGTACCATCTTCCTCCGTCTTAATCCTTCTCATAATTTTTGCATCAGCAGCAAACATTGAGAGGAACGAGTCTATGTGTGCGTGTATAGTATATAAAAATCAAAGAGTCAAATTAATTTAAGGAACTCAAATTAAAAAGGGGTCGTTAAAAGACACTGAACATTAACCAGAAAAAAAAACAAATAATGTAGAGGGATGATAGTACAGTACATCTATTAATTATTTTAAAGTTTTCACGATTTACATCTTCTATACTGTGTATCTTTTTCAGTTAAACATTTATTCAAGACCGTTTGTTTTGATTAGTTTGCTTGATTATTATAATTATTTGAGGCACTTTTGATGAACTCTAGAAAGTAATCTTGTACCTTAATATAATATAGTTCTGTATGTTACTACTTGATAGGAAATTAAAGACAACAGTAAATATTACAATAGTATAAATGTAGGTAATTGCATCCAGATACAGTACACAATTTAGATAGCTGAAATCAGATAAGTGTTATCTATACTTTATTAAGAAAAGCCCCGTTTAACATTTCTTGTGCCTAACAATCAAAATGTCTTGCAGACCAACATTCAGTTCAACAACAACAAGTATTACCTGATTCAACTGTTGAAGGACGACACTCAGGACTCGTACTCAGTGTGGATGCGTTGGGGTCGTGTTGGTGCCAATGGCCAGAATTCTCTTGTTCCTTGTGGAAAGAATGTTGAAAAGGCTAAAGACTTATTTATGAAAAAGTAAGTGCTGTATATACAAGGTATTTGTTTGTATAGTACATTATTAATTGTGCGTACATTCATGTACTGTACATGTATATATATATATATATATATAGTGTACATTACAATCATTACTGCAATGTTTAATTTGATTACATTTTAATATTGGTAATGTCACAGCTACAGTACTTATGCTGGGTAAATAAAAAATTTGCTGAAAGCATCTTTGCAAAAATGTTGCATCATTTCAGTGCAATGCAAGCCCGATTACGGGACTAGTAAAAAAAGCATAAGTATTACAATCATTTTTTTTTTTTTTTTTTTTAAATTTGATTGAAAGCAGACACACATTAAGATCCACATGTTCACATTTCTTCAGTGTAACCTAAAAAGAAAGAACCTTTGTGTATTTTACTACACAAACGGCAACATTTTGACAATTTCAGAACTTATAAATATTGATTAATTTTAAGTACTGTATTGTATCTGACAACTATCATAATAGCCTAAATGTGATATTGTATTGATTGGAATTTCTGAAGTATGCCAAGTTGATGTAAACAATAAACTTTTCATATTATGCCACCATTGTGCACTAAATCAGTTCATTTGAAACGCTGTAATTTTAAAGTTTATGCATTAATCAAAAATCTATTGTCAGAAGTTTGTATATATAGTACATAATATGTAGAATTTGAAAGAATTGCACTGAAATTGCACTGTGGCAGCATCATTAAAATAGATATCTTAAAAAAAAGGTTCTATCATTATTAACTGTTTCTATATTACATAAACAGGAAGTGTAAAGGTTCTCATAATTTTTAGGTTCAGCGATAAAACAAAGAATGAATGGTACATGCGTATGGCTTTTGAAAAAGTGCCCGGGAAATATGATTTGTTGGCAATGGATTACTCTGTGGGACAAGACACTCCTGATTCAGGTGCAGCACTTGAGAAGGCAAAGGAAGCTCGAAAGAAGGTAAGCCTTTTAATAAATTGTAAGTGTAATAGATTGGGGTTGCAAACTGTTTTTAAGATTTTTCATATGTGGCACATTTTAGTGTAGTACTGTATTTTATTTTGAAAAAGTTCTGTTATTTTTGTGTGTTCCTGTAGACTAATAAAAGAAAATGCCCTAATTTTAATATGTAATGGCCAATCTTTCTGGGAAGGTCCCCTCATTAGCACTTCATCGTGCCTTGTTTCAGGTTCTACTCAAGAATTGTGACTGGATTCACTCGAGTTTTTAATTGCACTTGTCAGCAACAGCTAGTTTATCATACTCCCCATCCTCATCATGAGGGCATTGGTAATCCTGGCTTACAGGGGGGCACTAGTGGTCTTCTTGAGTCTACCTTTTGTAGCTTCCAGGGATCAACTTCCCTGCAGTACATACACAAGGTAGACACAAGGTATTTAGACTCAAAAAGACCACAGGTGCCCCCTGTAAGTCTCTTGAGTGTTGTTTAGCTTTGTACTTTTCACTCAATATCTTCATGCATGTTGCTGTTTTTGTTGAATTTTGGTTTCCATACAAATATACCATCTTTGTTATTGGGTTCCATACATATCTGGGGAATTTCTCTTGTGTTTTTTGCTGGAGTCATATTTTCTATTCCAGTTCTGGCCTTGTGTTTGCTGGTTGCAGTTTCATTGGTTTCCATGGAAACTTTCCCTTCGATGGATTTTTGTGGGATTCAGTCACCACAAATGAACTCTTTAAGGTACTCTTTGCTCATTTGTTGGAATGTGAAAATTTTCCCTGTGGACTTCCAGTTCTGCTAGGGGTAGTTTCCGTGAGTGTTGGGGAAGGAAGGAGGGATGGTTTTTGCTGGTTTTGGCCTGCCTGTTCTCCCCCGTGATTGGGTAGTTGATGGCAGATAACTTTTCTTGGTTTTCTTTCTGGCCAGCTCTTTGGGGATATTCTCTGCCTGTTCAGTTTGATTGAACTTGTTGTTCCCTGTTCTGATTGCTTGTTCTACCCTTTCCCCCTCCTTTCCTTAAAAATGTATGCAAGGCATCAATTAATCATTCAATGCTGCTGCCCATGCAGACTGCAGGTATGCCTCCTGTGCTTGCATCTTTTGCCTTTGGCTTCTATTTTCCTTGAAGCTCTACCTGCATGGCTTTGAGAACACACATTCCCAGTTTTAAGCATTATGTAGTTGTCTTCAGATGGTGTTTGTTGGGACATCATTTGATAGTCTTAACCTGAGGCTGTGGCCTCTGAGCTCCTGATGTACTCACCTAGTTGTGCTTGCGGAGGTTGAGCTTTGGCTGATTGGTCCCCCCTCTCAGCAGTGCCTGCTTGTACCATTTGCACCGTGTTCCTGAATTGTGTGACATAGAATGGAATGTTTGCCCAGCTGCTTTGCTTCTTTCCTGGGGGCCTGGCTTGTTTTCCATGGTGCTATGCTAATTGCCTTGGGCCAAGCTTGTAATAAAAACATAATATTAAAAGTAAATATAAAAGGCCAATTGGCCCATACAAGGCAGCTCCTATTTATATCTACCCAAGTTCATTCATGGATGGTCTAACCTACGCTTGAAATGATCCACAATCTTACATGTATTATATTTCCCAGTAATTTGTTCCATGATTCAACAACCTTGTTTCCATACCAGTATTTATCCAAGTCTTTCCTGAATCTAATATTTTCCTATTTATACCCATTGCTTCAATATCTTACGATTTGCCATACTTACAATCTTACTCATATTCCCCTATGTTACACCCTTTCATCCATTTGTATACTTGAGTCATGTCACCCCTTACTCTTCATCTTTTTAGAGAATGTATATTTAGCTTTTATAGCCATGTCATATGAGAGATTTCTAATTTCTGGGATTAGTTTTGTCATCCTTCATTTTACTAGTTCATGTAGATTTATGCCCATTCTATAGTAGAGACAAAACTGAACTGCATAATCCAAATGGGGGCTGTAACAAGGGCAAGATAAAGTTGAATAATATCAGAGGTCTTGTTGCTAACATTCCAAGAAATATAACTCTATATTATTTGCCTTATTCCATACATTTATGCATTAATTTTTTGGCTTTAGATCACTACTAATCATGACTCCTAGATCTTGCATTCAGACTTCACAATTTCAACATTGTTCAGATGATATGTGGGAAGTATTATTATTATTATTACCTAAGCTCAGAATCCGTACATTTCTGTGGGGAGCCCCTATGGCTCCCTGGAGCTTATCGGGCTAATGTATGTTATATTAGAACATACTAATGTATGTTATATTATATTAGTATAACATACATACTAATGTATGTTATCCTGATCCCGGTCGATGGCAGATAAGGAAACCCCCAACCACAAGGGGGTGTTCCAGGGTCATTGCTCCATGAAACCTCTTTGAAGGGGGCAGGTTCTGGTGCTGGTCCTTGGTAGGTCTGAACTCCTTAGCTAATGTCCCGGTCTAATATGACATACATTAGCCCGATAAGCTCCAGGCAGCCGTAGGGGCTCGCCCAGAAAATGGCGTTTCATTACATTCGACGCTGGTTTTTTCAGCCGACTCATTTGGGTGCTCTTGAATCATTTTTTATTGCCCCTCTTTTCCTGTGTCAGGAGACCTTGGTGTGAGCAAAGTGCTTCTAGCTGGTGGTTGGCGTAGGTCGCCAGTGAAACCATCTTGTAATTTGTTTACAACTCTTGGCAGTGGTCACTTGTAATGCCAAGGAAAGGTTAAAAATGAATCATATTTTTATGAATTGACACGTTGGTCATTCTGGGTTGAATTGCTTGTTCTCAAGTGATTCTGGATACTGTACCTGTAATGACCTTACATGGACAATTTTAAGTTGTGCTTATGCCAGTATGATGTCTTTCTCAACTGTAGTATGATCATATCCAAAGACTGGCATTTTATCTTAGGAAGTAGTCAAAAATTATTCCTTCTTAGAAAGGCACTTTTCATTCTTAAAACTTTAATATTTGTGAATAAGCTTCATTAAACTAATTTAATTAAATATGACAGTTGAAGTGCAAACTAGAAGCACGAGTAAGGGCGTTGATTGAGCTAATTTGTGATGTACGAACAATGGAAGAAACTGTGATTGAGATGAAGTATGATGCTAAGAAGGCTCCTCTTGGGAAACTTACTACTGATCAGATCAAAGCTGGCTACCTTGCACTCAAACGTATCGATGATCTAACTCGAAGTGATAAGTGCAGTCAAAAGGATTTGGTGCAAGCATGCAATGACTTCTATACCAGGTGAGACATTGTTTTATGTTTATATGTACAGTATATGTTTCAGCTGCTTTGGCAGGTAAATATGCACAAAGTCATGTTGTAAAGTATATGTATTATACATATAAAAAGAATTTAATCATATACAGGAAATATATTTAGACTTTTTTAGCCAGTATCATCTCAAAGAACCCTTCAAGATTTCAAAAGGCTTTTAAACTATGGCAAAATTTTTGTACTTGGATGAATCAGGTATGTACATCTTAGGATATAGTTGGCGCTTTCATTATATATAAGAAAGCTGAATCACTGCTAATATCGTGATGAGGGTAATGAATGTTGTTGTAAGGTGTCATGTACAGTAAATCCTCCTAAATTTGGACCGCTCTATAGCAGATCCCTCTAAACAATGGAGGAAAAAAATCCTGATTCTAGAAGGAGATTGTAAGATCCTGGGGCCAGATTCACGAAGCAATTACGCAGGTACTTGACGGCTTTGGTTACATTTGTTAAACAATTTACACGTATGAAAACTTCCCAAACATTTGTAGTTGTTATAAACAGCCTCCTGGTGCTTCAGAGTTCATTAACCGTTTAATAATTGTAAACAAAGCCGCCAAAGATTGAAAAAAAGATTCACAGGTTCTTAACACTTTCCTGGATTTTCGACTTGGACTTACGGGCAGTTTCCCTAACCGCTTGTCGGATCACGACGTAAATTTATGGACAGTGTTATATTGGGTATTTACTACTCGATCGACTTGGGGTTTGTATGAATATGTTTGCCATTAAATTTTTGTTTTCTCTAATAGGCACTGTGCCTGTTTGAGAAAACGGCAATGTATTGTAACTTAGAGGAGAGACTATTGAATTGGTGTCACAAGAGGTAATCGCTCACTCCACACACTCTTGTGTTGGCCGCGATCATGATTCTACATTTATATGCATATGTCTGTGTACAGAATTTTATTCCGAACACTATACAAACAAAAAAAACGGAGTGAATCGAGTATAAACTTGATAAAACATGAGCAAAGTAAAAACTTTTTACGCTCACGGGTAAAAACGCGCGTAAGATTCGGGTAAGATTTTATTCGCCGCAAATTTATTTGACGCTCCGTTGGCCAATTCTACCCATGTTCTTATAGAACTTTCTATTGCGAACACAATGCTATAAAAATGAAATACAGTACGTAGCTCGAGAAATAATGTCATGACAGTGAAATAAGTATAAACTTTCAAAGCGCTGCATCACAACAGTGTCGTCGCTGCTGAAATCACGGCTAACGCTTCGCCCAGTTCCCACACTCGTACGGAACAAAATTAGACATTGATAGGCATATGTCTGGGTGGGGAATTTTATTGCGAGTTCAGTGATATCAAAATAAGCGCTGTAGGATGACTGTGAGGCTGGCAACAAACGAAAGAGTATGAACATTTACTTCCTGTTTGGGTGTCACGGCGAGTCATCTTCGTGTTTATTTACTTCGTGGTGGGATACCAAATGTTTGGGTGACATTTTATGCATATGATCTTGTAGAGAATTTTATTGCCAACGCATTGATACCAAAATGAAAAACGTAGCTCGAGAATTAATGTTAGGAGCGTGAAAAGATTATAAACTTTTTTGTGTTTACGCTTGAGCGCCCAGAACGCCGCGCGCACAACCCGCTTTTTTTTCCAGCTAGTGCCGCGCGCACTAAAGTGTTAAGTGCTTGCGTAACTGCTTCATGAATCTTGACCCTGGTCATTGGTTTATCGCAAGTCATTGGGTCTGAGGACATTTGATGCAGTTTGATGACTTGTCTCGGAGGGTGAGGGCTGTAACGTTCGAGCTAGATGGTTTGCCATGTCACATGAATTTTCACAGCGTGCAAATACCTAAGTAAAGTTACAGGATGAGAGCTACTCTCGTGGTGTCCCGTATTTGCAGCACTGTGTCATATAACACTTTGAAACTATTGATGGTTTTCAGTAGAAAATTTTGATGTGAAGAACTGTTTATGTTCACACAACTGAGAAAAAGCTGTCTTAAGGCTGCAAATGTAATATGTACACCCCATATTTCCTAATAAATCTATTTGTGGCACAGCTCAAGAGAAGTGTCTTGCTGCTATTCTGTCAGGGTACATTTGCCCTAAATTTGGGAAATCAAAAATGTTAATAAGCGCTACTTAGTATTACGAATGACTGATTTTTCAGTAGGCCCAGGTCGCTCGTAGGCCCTACCAGGACACTCCTGAATACGCACATTAAGGCAAGTGGAAGAAACTTGCAGCAGAGGTGATTCCAAGAAGAAACTTAGAGCTATCTTAAATAATATATTTAATACCGTAGTATTATCATTTGGTGTAGATATTTCTAGAAATTTCATAATTTAAATACTGTATTTTAAATGGTATATTATTTTATTTTCAGGGTACCACATTATTTTGGGATGAAAGTTCCCCCACTGATTCGCACAAGAGACGAAATTCGAGAAAAGATGGCACTGTTAGAAGCACTTGGAGATATTCAAGCGGCTTTGAATGTATTAGATCAACCAATTGACATTAATCTTCATCCTGCTGATCAGCATTATAATGGACTCCAGTGTAATATGACTCCGCTAGAGAGAGACAGTAGTGATTTTAAGGTAAAAACAATGGTTGGCTGGACATACATTTAGGGCTTGCCTAAGATGTTTTAATAGTGGCTTGTAGCTTTTTGAAGTTTCATTTTTAGGTTATTCCTCTTGTAGTAAGTGATTCTGGGGCGAGCTCCTTCAGCTTCCCAGAGCTATCCAGGCCGATATGTATATCCTTAGACTTTGGCATCTGTCATGTGAATGGCCTATTGGGGACCACGAGCCAGAACATGACCTACCCCCTCAGAGAGGCACGAGGAGCAATGGCCTATAGAAATTCACATGTGATTTGGAGCATTCTATATCTGTCATCGACTGGGACAGGCACCCAGAAAGGTAAGCGCCTCAAAACAAACCCCCTATTCTGGTTAAAACGACAAAAATAGACGAACGAGTGGACAGAACTCCCCAAATAATAACGAACAACCAAGCATGACGTCACACGAGCCAAGCCGTCTGTCTGCACAGCTCCCCCCTCCTCGGGAGAGGGTAGGGGGAGCTTCAGACCCATCATGCCGGCAATCCGCCCTGCAGTTCTTTGACTGATGTGATTGTGGCTCGGTCATGTGGCTCCAGCTCCAGATTATCTCTTGTTTTGCTGTGCCTTGTGTCCAGTACTGTTCTTATGGTGGCATGCGAGCTGGTAGTAATATTCACAGGTACTTGGGCTGCATGTGCTTATGGTTCCCTTCCCCGAGTGCCCTGTAAGTACCGCCCTTGGGGCTTGGGGTTATCTTCCACAAGTCACCTTGGGTCTACCTCTGTTAGTCTTTTGCTGCTCGGTGATTGACTGCCTCGAGTGTGTTGGGGGGGGTTTCTTTCCTTGTTTACCTACAGGTAAGGAGTAGTTTTTGCACTGGTAAGGGCGCGGGGTGCTGCGCTGCTAGTTTTCACCTATAACGGCAGCCGGCTTCCTGTGTAAATTGTCCTCCTGCGGGATTTTTCTTCATTTTGTTTTCTGCTTGGTGGGGGGGGGTCTGCCTTTGTGTCCCTTACCCCTGTTATATTAGGGTTTGATCTTCTGTTTTCGGTGGTGCCTCCCTGCATGGTCCCCATGAGTGGACACGTCCTGGGGGTTCAGCCTTGGCAGCTTGGGTACCGGTTAGCAGTACCCTACCTGGGCTTACCCTTAGCGATACCAGTCTAAGGGCACTGGGAAACCCCGTGGGGGTGCAAGGGGCCGATGGGTGCAACCCCTGGGTCCCCTCTATTCTTGTGTGAGTTTGAGGGTTGCTCTGTCCACTTGTCTCAGGGTGACATTTACTGTTTTTGCCTCAGTAGTGCTGGTTGATACCTGGTTGATAGGGTTCTGGGAGTTCTTCTACTCCCCCAAGCCCGGCCTGAAGCCAGGCTTGACTTGTGAGAGTTTGGTCCACTAGGCTGTTGCTTGGAGCGTCCCGCAGGCCCACATACCCACCACAGCCCGGTTGGTCCAGCACTCCTTGGAGGAATAAATCTAGTTTCCTCTTGAAGATGTCCACGGTTGTTCCGGCAATATTTCTTATGCTTGCTGGGAGGACGTTGAACAACCGCGGACCTCTGTTGTTTATAGAGTGTTCTCTGATTGTGCCTATGGCACCTCTGCTCTTCACTGGTTCTATTCTGCATTTTCTTCCATATCGTTCACTCCAGTACGTTGTTATTTTACTGTGTAGATTTGGTACTTGGCCCTCCAGTATCTTCCAGGTGTATTTTATTTGGTATCTCTCTCGTCTTCTTTCTAGTGAGTACATTTGGAGGGCTTTGAGGCGATCCCAATAATTTAGGTGCTTTATTGCGTCTATGCGTGCTGTGTACGTTCTCTGTTGCCTGTTGGGTCGGTGACACCTTTGACCCTGAGTCCTGTGAGCATTGTTTCTTGTTTGTGACTCAATTCACCCAATCTACTGATGGCATTCTTTCGGGTGCAGGCGGCTCGGGCGTTGCATGTTAATTATAGGTCGGATGCCGGATACCCCAAGGCTGCCCCGCTTTGTTTATAGGGACCGGGACTTGGGGTGTTGGGCACTTCAGCCTTGGTTCAGTCCACACCTCGTTCTTTCCCTGATGTGGTTCATTCTGTATCCCCTGCTTCCGGCTCCTAAGCGTCTGAGGGCTTTGGGGTCGGGTAGGGTTTAGAGGTTTCCGGACTGGCAGTTTCGGGGGTTATCCCTTCTGGGATGATGACGGAGGCATTCGAGTCCATTCCTCCTGCCGTAGTACAGGGTCTGACCAGTGGGTCCCTTCTCTTACTGCTTTTCCAGCTGCCCCGGCATTTTCTTGTGAGGCCGGGGCTTTGAAGGATGACTTGGCCCCGGGGTTTGAGGCGGAGATTCCCGGGGTTGGGGAGGAGTGGACTTGGGGGCCTTGGGCCCCGTTGGACCTTGCCTGGGTTTCCCAACCCTCTGAGCGGGGCTTTTGGTTACAAGGAGTGTTTATTTTCTTTTCCCCCCGCCTTCTGCGTACGAGTTAGTTTGGGCATCGGCCCATTCTCTGGTTCGGTTCCGTGTCCCTCCGGGTGCATCGGTTCCGTACTTCCTGTGGGATATTTTAACCACTTTCTTGCCCTTCTTATCTAGGACATGTATTTTACATCATGTTCCAATCGTATCGGATCCTGCATGGCCTTGGTCACGGATACCACTGGTCCCATATGAGCCTCCGTGATTTTGTGCTTGCTTCTCAAGGATCTCGAAGGTTCAAGAAGATCTTCAATACTTCCAATATTATTGGAACTTATGTCGACTTCCAGTGAGGCTTATTTCTAGTTCTTTATAGGATACGTTGGTCCTCTTCCGTACTACTACTCGTTTTTCGATATTATTTCTAATTATTTTATAATTACATCTTCTCTCCGTACTCTGTCTTGACATTACTAATAATCGTTAAATACACCTTGTAGGCACCCTCCCCGAAAGACGGGGTAATGCAGCTCGGACCTTATGCGTCCTGCGCATGGGCCGTGGATGATCGTTTTGTTTATGGACGGTGTAAACATGTGTTAGTGTTCTGCATCCTTTATCATGGGTAATTCGCCCCTCTCGCTCATCCTCTCTCTCCAGTCATAGCCCCTCTAGATACTGGGTGGTTTTCTGGATTTTATATATGGGGAAGACACCTAGTTCGTTTCCCTGCATACGGATGTGGGGTGGCTCAGAGTGGCGCCGCCTCCACCTCTACACTACACCTAATCATCTCCTTCATACGCAATGCTGGACTGCATCTCCTCCTGGAATGCATCTCCTCCTTCATACGCAATGCTCCACTAGCGATGCTCCTGGAATATTACACGGCTCAACTATGTCGTGACATGATAGTGCCTACGCTCCACAGGTGAGATTATGCAGTCTGGCAACAGTCAGCCAGGCGCTGGTCCTCGGTTTTTAGATGAATGTTGGGTATTGTTTGTAGTGTGTTGATTGGTCAATTTGCGTGCATCTTAACGTGACCTTACTGTGTCCGTATGTATTGCTATTCGTTACATGGTGGGGCACAGCCCCGTATGTCAATAACTTTTGTTTAGTCTTTCAGTGCCTGGATATTTTCTTGCCTTGGGGCGCTCCTTCATTGACTTCTTCAATGCTACCTGGACACTCATTCATTGACCATCGTGCAGTGCCTGGCTGCACCCTTATATATACAGTACATTAAAGTGTCTCTGTATATATATATAGTTGATCGTGTACGCTAAGTTACCGATTGCTGCCTAGGTCATATTAGTTCCTCATATTGATTATACTCTTTTTATCCCTAGCTGCCGGTGCTTGGACTATATTTTTTAGTCCAAGAAAAGACTTTTTAAGTATTTTCCTTACATATTTAAGTATTTCCTATTTCTATACTACACATTGTTGTGTATCTTAGTATGTGTATACTATATTGGCTATACTAATGTTCATGCTAGCTTGGACTATGTACATGTTCAGTTCCCTGATTTTGAACAGCCCCAGAGTTCAGTTATAGTACCGAGTTCTTCATCTTCTCTTTGTATGTCACTACCAGCTTCTGGGTTGCGATGACTGCAGGTGGATGTGTATTTCCAATCCCGGACGGGGCGTGTCTGCTCGCCCGGGTTGGTACTTTCCCGGCTCGCCGGGTTTGGGTTCCTGGTTCACCCGGTGGACGTTCCTTCTGGTTCCTTGACAGCCTTAGTTTCAGGCGCTGCTTGCTCGGTGTCCGCACCCAGGAGTTTTCCCACGGCTCCGCCTCTACAAATGATCAGCCCGGTCCATGACTAGGCTGGTTCGGTCTTCTCCTTGAGTCTTCAAGTCTGGTAATTTTGACTTTGTCTTTCACCATCTGTTTGGTGATCAGGTGGCTTCGTTGCTGGTGTCCCACCTCTGTGCTTCGTCTTGGCGGCGGTATAGGTTTTTTTGGTAGTCCTTCCTTTTCTTTTTGTTCTTTTGTTCTTCCTTTTCTTTTCTTCGTAGGTATACTGCTCTTTTTATTGACGTGGTCTCGTCCTTCTCTCGTAGAGGTTCCGAACCGTCTCCTTGCCACATACTTGTCTGCTTGCCTTGTCTTGTGTGGTGCTGGCGGAGCCGCTATGGCTTGCTTTCGGTTTTGAGATTCCTTCTGTACGGTTTTGCGAGCTGTCTCGAGCATTGTTCTCCTCCAGCCTGCTCATGTGCCACCTGAGTTGTCCTGGTCTTGGACTTTTTTCTCTCTTCCCCTCGGTTTGTTGTGGCCCCTTCAATTCAGGTTTGTTTATCGACAGTTTCTGCTGCTTTGGGTTCTGGTGGTCAGTTTATTCATTTGTGGTAGTCTCGTCTTTTCTGGCAAGGTTGGGACGGCCATTTTCTGGGGGGGGTGGATCCCTAGGGGTTATTGATGCTTGGTTGGTTGGCCAGGGGTGCATCTTCTTGTGTTTGGTTGTGGCTCTTAGCTGTTGCCTGCTTGCTGCGGCCTCTGTGGCCCTGAACGAGCTTTGGGTTGACCCATCTCGTCATCTCTGTTCCAGGGTTTGGGTCTCCTGGGTCATCTGCGGGGTCATATGGTGTTGCCAGTTATTTTGCTTTCGAGTTCGGGCGCTTGGTTTCCGCTTCCTGGGATTGTCCCTCTTTGGTACTTGGCTTTGGGTAGTTAGCTCCGGCCCCCAGAAAACCAGTGTTGAATGTAATGAAACTCCATTTTCTGGGTGAGTCCTGGAGGCTTCCCCGCAACCCTCCCTCCCTCTGGTCGGTGGTTTTTCACGTGTTTTTTTATATCCAGCCTCAAAACTGCGGAGCGGATTGTTGGCTCAAGGGTCTGGGGCTCCTCGTCCCCTTCCTGGGGAGGGGGGGAGCTGCCCAGACCTGTGGCGTGGCTCGTGTGATATCATGCTCAGTTGCTCGTTTTCATTTGGGGAGTTTTGTCCACTCGTTTGTTTATTTCTGTCATTTTAACCAGAATAGGGAAGTGTTTTTGGGCACTTACCTTTCTGGGTGCCTGTCCCGGTTGATGGCAGATATAGAATGCTCCAAATCACATGTGCATTTCTATAGGCCATTGCGCCTCGTGCCTCTCTGAGGGGAAAGGGTGGGGGCCAGGTTCTGGCTCGTTGTCTAGAACTCCATTCACACTGATGCCAAAGTCTAAGGATATACATATCAGCCTGGATAGCTCCAGGGAGCCTCCGGGACTCACACTGAAAATGGCGTTTCATTACACTCAACGCTGGTTTTTTGCAAATGGAAAAATAAATGCTCTTCCCCTTGTTTATTTTATTTTGTGAGCAGAAGGTGGCACTTGCCTCGGCACAGTAAAGAAAGCTGTTAAATGGCTACGGTGATTGTTTTCATAATGTGGATGATATGAGAATTAATAGACAAATTTATTTTCTTGTGTACAAAATAACCATTCATGAAATGCACAGTACAAGCCATGTTGACAATTATTATTTAGTTCAAAGTATGTATGTCACCTTCAGCAATAATGTACTGTACAGTTCTTTAAATTCAATACTTTGGTAGTACTAGTAAGCCTTATTTCTTCGATGAAAGTTTCACAAAATATAAAATTTTGAAGGCTTTTATAATTATTAAAGATGTAAAATATCTTAATCTTTGTTTTAGGTAATACAAAAGTACCTTGAATCTACACATGGAAAAACTCACACCAATTATCACCTGGAGCTGTTGGAGGCATTTGCCTGTAATAAAGAATCTGAACAAAAGAGATTCAAAAATGTGGGTAACTGCATGTTGTTATGGCATGGATCTCGTCTGTCAAACTGGGCTGGCATCCTTAGTCAAGGCTTGAGAATTGCTCCTCCAGAAGCCCCATCAACGGGCTATATGGTAAGTCATTTGAAACCTGTTATCTGTTATTTCATTCAATTTGAGTGAATTGGCAGTTTGTTAGGTTTTATTAGACAGGGTGGGTATTATTACCAGTTCCTATTTTGTAAATGTATTAATATTTTTGCAGAAAAATTCATATATTGTACAGTGGTACCTCAGTTTTCGTATTTAAGCCATTCTTAGAGACAGTACAAAAATCGAAACAAATTTTCCCATAAGAAGTAATCTAAATTAATCAGTTCCACAACCCCAAAAATATTAACTAAAAAATAAATTTTATACAGAAAACTACTCATTACCTTACCTTTATGGAGGACTCTTATTGGTGTACGGAAGACAGTGAGGGGGAGGGGAGGGGAAGAAAGGTGTTAGTGTTTGGAAGGGGAGTCCCCTTCCATTATAACAGCAGTGATGACATTTCTGGGGTACTCTCTCTCTCACACATTTTGCAGGCATACCACTAGGACCTGGTTGTGGCTCACTGCTTGTTTGTCTTACTAAGAATATGTCTATTGACACATGTTTTCCCTACATTTTAACACTTGTCTGTAGTGAGACATCACATTGTCACACAATGAATGATGTCTTGTTTTTCCTCTATCGTCATCCTCACAACTATTTTTTTAGGTTGAACTTTACCACTGACATTATTGGAACCCAAGCATACAAAAACTGAGGTTCCGCTGTATAACTTTTTTCAATGTACTGTATTTCATTTTAGTAGTAGATTTTGGCTTTACTGTATTTACTGTACAGAGCCACTAAGCTTTTAGCTATTAATTTATGACATCTCTCACAATTATCCTTTTAGTGTTTATATGTGCCTTTCTTTGTTCTCTGTTTTCTTGACTGAGTAATGTGGACATCTTTCTAGGGGTTAATTTTTATTTTTACACTTACAGTTTGGTAAGGGCATCTACTTTGCTGATATGGTGAGTAAGAGTGCTAATTACTGCTGGGCTACTCAGCGCTCCAGTGTAGGTCTGCTTTTGCTCTCTGAAGTGGCATTAGGCAAGACTAATAACCTCAACAATGCTGATTATAATGCCAATAAACTTCCCAAAGGATGCAACTCGGTCAAAGGATGTGGAAGAATTGCTCCAGATCCGAAGAATTTTACAACTCTGTAAGTATTCTGTTTTTTGTTTATATGTTTGACACATAAAAAACACTTTGAAGGTGTAGTGTTTGTGGTAAAGTCTGCAGAAAAAACTTAATACATTGTGGTCAAGTGCACAGCAAAGTTGTAATGCATAATGCTGGAGACCTCTGGCACGGTCTCTGCGCCAGAGCCAGGCAAAGAGAAACAAACAAAACAAGGACCCAAAACGTGTATTATAAATGGGGTATCTGTAAACCTGAGATATTGGGAAGAACAAGTGTAATATGTAAATACAATCACCCTAGAAAGTGCAGAAACCACCTTAGTACAGGTAAATGTACCAAAAGCTTTGAAATTTTCCAACCAGATCTTTGCAAGAACTCTTTAACCCTAATGCTGTGCAATACTTATATAGGTGATGAGAGTAGCTGTCACGATGAGCGCACATCATACATAGGCGATTGAGGGTCCCACGAACGATTTAAATGTTTCGCGGCTACACTGTGTTCACATCAGTTTCCTCAAGGCTCTAATAAACAGACACCATTAAAAAAAAAATCTTGGGCAGCATTCCCGGGTGTGAAAGCCTCAGTACTGAGTGAGCCACCAAGGCTGGCGCACGCAGCATGAACAGCACTTCTGTTCAGCTTGTGACCACAGCATTGCCTAAAAATGTCAAAATATATATGTAACTGGTATTATTTAGTAATGAAAGTATTACAAAGACCCCTGACTGATGAAAATTACCAGGATTCTGATAATAGCAGGATTGTGGTGATAATTAGCACTTTGCATAGTATGGCAGGGAGGGAGGGAGGGAGGTATGGTAGTATCTTGGTGAGGGAGGGAGGTAGCGTCATCTGCTGACTGTGTGTGGCAACCTGTTACTGTCTGGACTCACCATACCAGCTTAATGGTTCTCTATGGTGAACATAAATGTAGATACTTATATATAACATGTAATAACATGGAGCCATTTTAGTGAGGTAGGTGGCATCGTATGCATGACTTGTCATGCTGTGTAGGGTTGCCACTATGCTCTTTGGTATGCTCACCATACCAGCTTAGTTGTACAGTTATGGTGAATAAAACATGTAGATACTTATATGTAATGTGTGTATATAGTGTAATAACACCACAAACAGTATGGTTGGAGGAGGAATGTTAGTGTGTCTGGTCTTGAACGAGTGAGGGAGGGAGGAAGCGTCAGCTGGCTCTGTAATTACCTAAGTGTAGTTACAGGATGAGAGCTACGCTCGTGGTGTCCCGTCTTCCCAGCACTCTTTGTCATAACGCTTTGAAACTACTGACGGTCTTGGCCTCCACCACCTTCTCACCTAACTTGTTCCAACCGTCTACTACTCTGTTTGTAAAAGTGTTCTTGAAGTTCTGGGTCTCAGGAAATCATCCCTACCTCATCCATCCACCTTTTCCAGTTTGTTGATGTGCTTCTTAAGATATGGGCACCACACAACCGCTGCATATTCTAGCTTTGGCCTAACAAAAGTCATGAACAATTTCTTTAGTATTTCCCCATCCATGTATTTAAAAGCAAATCTGAAGTTAAAAAGTGCAGCATAGGTTCCTCGCACAACATTCTTATGTGGTCCTCAGGTGATAGTTTTCCATCTAGAACCACCCCTAGATCTGTTTCTTTATCAGAATTCTTTAAAGATTCCTCACATAATTTATAGGTTGTGTGGGGTCTATGTTCTCCTATTCCACATTCCATAACATGGCATTTATTCATTAAATTCCATTTGCCAAGTGGTGCTTCATATACTTTGTCCAGGTCTTCTTGAAGGGCATGACAATCATCTAGGTTTCTTATCCTTCCTATTATCTTAGCAATGTAAATAGGAATACAAAATTAACATATCAGGAACAACTTGCAATAAATCAGAAATATAGTATGTAACAAGGTATATACATCTGGAAAGAAAATAAACACAACTGGACTGTTAGTTTCTGCAGTAGTAACGAGTTACTTAACTCCAACAGAATTGCTGAATTAATCCACAGTTTAAAATTTGACATTACACTCTTCACATGAGAACACCCACAAATCACTGTCAGTTAAACAATATACATTCCTCTTAACACAACCAATCCCAAAGTGCTCACACTAGTGTATCCACACCTGTACACCTTGGATTTGCAACACATTTATCTTTCAAGGGCACTATCTTAGTCTGTCCACCTACATACATGAGATAATTACTTGCTCTCCTATCAACACATTTGCTCATGCTATAATCACCACACTTATCAAGGTTCACATGGGAATTGAGTATAATCAACACACACACAAATGATAGTCTGGACAACAAAGTCTGGTAAAGAAGTTTTCCACTTAGCTGTTTTCACTCTTATACTCGCATTAGTCCAATAACACCAAAGTACTAACGTTATGGAAGGTAAACACTTTGCACTGCACCAGCCCCACAAGATAAAGTACTTACTCAACATCCCACAATGCACTACATGAGATACACAAATAGTACAAATCAAACAAAAGTTGTCATCCTGGAGCACTTTATCAGGTAGACACCATCTACTTGGAATAGGATGTAGTGAACTCTGACACTTGTAGTTCAATTTATGGTCCCATGAACACTTCTGGAATGGCAACATTCTGTTCTGTATGACCTCATAAATTTTCCACTGGTCATTACTCCTTTTTTTCTAGAGTTAACTCACTTAGATGAAGTTGAAGAAATAGGGGTTGGTTGAAGGAATTCTCCTGGTTAATGAGGTTGATCTGGGCAGACACTTTCCAGATCTGGTATAACCCCTTCAGGAAAAGCTGGTCCCCCTCACTCTGGTTCTGTGAAACACAGCCTCGGCCAAATGTCTAAAAGTAGAAGACACAGGGTGAGACCACTCCGACACATCTGAAACTACTTCACTCTTGGAATTACCAACAACACAACAGGACCTAGAAGTAGACCTATTATGCCTGTTGCAATGGACAAGAACAACAAGAAAAAGTGCAAGGAATACCTATCTGAACTGTCTCAGGTGACAACCAGTGTTGGACAAATAATTCAGTCTCTTCACAACTCTGCAAGAACTATCAGTGATAAGACATGAAAACTTACACACAGTCTCAAAATCACAACCACAAGAACAAAACTGACAGCTTCTGACTGTGAACTTTGACAAAACAATCCTTAATAGCCATCTTGGCCTCACATGAAATAACATTAGCTTTTTAAAGTAGCTTTTCTTATATGCTCAAAGCCCTATTTTTTTGTTTTTGTTTTGTTTAAACAAATAATCTAATTGCTTTCTCTCTAGGTCTGATGGAACAGTGGTGCCTATGGGACCAGCTTCAGAATCAGAAGCAAACAATGGCTACTCACTCATATACAATGAATATATTGTTTATGATCCTGCTCAAGTGCGGACCAGGTTTCTTCTCAAGGTCAAATTTAATTTCAAATATTAGTTCATTCCTCACAGCTCAGATTTTAATGGAAGATATTTTTTTATATTTGGCAAATTTTCATTACAGCTAGTATGTGCTACTAAATGAGCTAGCACAAATATGCATGTTTTATTAAAAGCTTCTGAACATTCACAGTTTACTAGTTTCTTTAATGTCCTTTTCATCATTATAATGAATTTTATATCATTATGAAAGTTATATATTAAACTGCCCACAAAGCAAGGTATCATCCCATTGATTAAGCCATCCTCAGGGTCCCAAAGTGTTCCCGAGGCTTATAGTGCCTGTTATATTCAAGGCTGGGACACAACCACGGCACCCCCCCCCCCCTTGTGGTTATTGACTTATTACTGACTGACCCTTGTGGTTCTATTCTGCATTTCCTTCCATGTCTTTCGTTCCAGTATGTGGTTATTCCACTGTGCAATTTTGGGACCTGGCCTTCAAATATCTTCCATGTACATATTTGATACCTCTCATCTCTTTTAAAAAGAGTACATTTTGAGAGCTTTGAGATGGTCCTAATAATTTAGATATTTTATCGTTTTTATGGGTGCCGTATATGTTCTCTGTGTATCCTCTAATTCAGAGATCTTTCCCGCTCTGAAAGGGGGTGTGAGTACCGAACAATACTCAAGACTGGACAGCACAAGTGATTTAAATAGTATTAGCAATGCTGTGGGGTCTTTGGATTTGAACATTCTCATTATCCATCCTATCATTTTCCTGGCCGGCGCTATATTTGCTCGGTTATGTTCACTAAATGTCAGGTTGTCAGACATTATAATTCCCAGATCTTTTACATGTTGCTTTTTTGCTATGATTGTGTCCTATACCCTGTGTTTTGTTAAACTTCTTCATTTCCATTAGGTGTACCTGGAACTTATCACTGTTAAACATCATGTTATTTTCAGCTGCCCAAGCAAAGACCTTATTAAAACTGTGTCTACCTGCAGTTTTTCAGTGTCTTCTACAGAGGAAATTTTCATGCTGATTTTTGTTTCATCTGCAAAGGAAGACACGAATCTGTGACTAGTATTTTTGTCCTGTACCCCAGGACTGTGCCCTGGGGTACAGAGCTTTTCACTGCACTTGGACTTGATCTTATTTGATTGAAAGTGTGTGTATACAACATCTGCATTTTGCTTTTCTTCTAAAGCTTCTGTGATTTTGTCATAGTGGTTGTGTAACTGTGACAGACAGGATCTTTCAGCTCTAAATCCATGTTGTCCTGGGTTGTGTAGCTCATTATTTTCCATGAAACAAGACATCCGATTCTTAATCACTCTCTCAAAAACTTTTATCATGTGTCTTCACAGGCACATGCTTCAAGCAGATCTTGTATGCTTCTGCTGTCAGTTGAGCTATTCCCTGTGTGGGAGTTTTGTCTCTTAAGACTGTCTCCCATCTCAAGGTAACCTCCCATTGAATTTTTGCAAGGTCTATATTTTTCCCAGTTGATCTTATTGTTGAAATTAAATTGATTGAATAACCCTTCGTGCTTGTTGGTTCTCTTGGACCTACTACAGTATCATTATTAACGTTAGTTTGCACTTCAATGAGCGTATGGTCTGAGTATGTAGTATCTGAGATTACAATGTGTGACTAGTTCCTCATTGCTTGTAAATAACAAGTCTAGTGTGTTTTCATTCCTAGTTGGTTGTGTAATCTGTTGATTGAGCGAGAATTTGTCACATAATCTCAAAAGTTCTCAGACCTGTGGTTGATTATTTCCAGGTTGGTTCCCTGCAATGATATTTTTGTTTGCCATTCTCCATCTTAGACTTGGTAGATTGAAGTCTCCAAGGAAGATAATATCTGGAAATGGGTTTGCTAGGTTATCAAGAATGTTCTCTACTTTGTGCATCTGCTTTGTGAATTCAACCGTTGTATCTGGCAGTTTACACAGCCTGCCAACCTGCCTGCTTTCCTGTCTGCCGTCCTGCAACCATAGAGCCTATCATCCTGCAAATTAGCCAACCTGCCTGTCTTCTGGCTTTCCTGTCTTCCAGCCTGCCTGCCATTCTGCTTGCTGTCCTGTCTGTTTGTCCTAGCCTATATCCTTTGCTTCCTGCTTGCACACCTTGCTGTAAGCCTGACTGTTTGCCTATACTGTATTCCTGAAAGCCTGCTTACCTTTCTTTCTGCCTGCCTACTTCCCTTCCTTCCAGCCTGCATTCCTGTTTTCCAGCCAAACTACATTAATTCCAGCCTGACTGATCTGGTGACTGCGAGCACCCGCATTCCTTTCATTCTGCCAGCCCCCCACCCCTCCTCTCTCTCTCTCACCCTCACTCACTCACCCCCTCACTCACTCACCCTCTCTCTCTCACCCACCCTCTCTCTCGCCCTCTCTCTCTAAATAAACATTCATTTATTTATTTATAGCAAATGTACAGCGAATATACCTGTGATATTATAAGTGTCAGTAACAGGATGACGTGGCAACTGGTAACTATCCTGTGGAAATTTAATCGTTGACAATTAACATTAGATGTTAAATAAATAATCAATCAAAATCGCAGGAAATCTTGTACCCGGTACTCAATATAAGAGAATAAGGGCAAGAAAATCCTTCTAAATAAATGAAACTGATAGTTTCAAAAACAAATGAAACTTAATTGTTTCAAAAGTGAAAGGGTAGTCCAAGAATGTAGGGATACCTTGCCGGGTCTCTATAGGACAGAAGCAAGGGGTTTCCTACTTATATGATACAGAATTAGCGTTCTTTGTGCTCTGAAAAAAAGAAAGCTAATACCCTACCTGAGTAAATATCATCATCTCTGACCGACGTGTAGGGGTGCGAGTGTCAACTGGTGGCGAGAACTGCTGTTGAGGTCCCAACTAACAGTGTATAGTCCGTGCTAGAGGAACTATGGCCCTCTGTATCCTCCTTTGGTCGGATTGCAGAAGATAGGGTGCGTGGCCCGAAGACAAACCAAAGTACCAGGGTAACAAAATGATGATCTGTCTGAATTTGAGAAATATTATAGGAACGAGAAAGGTGGAATACACGAGTAATAACACTGAGGGATGGACGACCAATTAAGAGAATGACTGAGGCCTCCAGTCACCACGTAATTGACAGTTATCCAGCACTCGAAATATGTTGCCCTCGGAATGCACAAAATACACAGCACCATATAAATATTAAGTTATGAAAATATTGAAAAGCAACTGTATCAAAGCCAAGTACACTTACCACAAACTGATGTTCTAGTACTAGTACCTAAGTGAGGCTCCTAGGACAGGCCCCTCATTAAATGTGATGGAAAAAAAGAAGTGTAGGTGTTCGGCAGTCCTCTTAATGGCTGGTGTCAATGCCAATCACATTTACAAAAAAAAGGTTGACTGCGTGGCTGTTGCCTCCTGTGGTAAAGTAAGGGAAAACACGCAAAACAAATCGTATGAACAATGAAACTTTAATTAATTTGAAAACAAAGATGAACAAAGACAGTCCCTTGGCTATGTACAGTGCAAACAAACAAGATTATAAAGTCAAAAAATAACATAAAATAAAACAGTGGTTACGTTACTCTACAATGAATAAAGACAAAATGAATTAACAGGTGCTGAGAATATTTGCTGGCTAAACACATCCACTATTACACAGAGCGTATGTTAGATAGGTGTGTCAGCATTGAGAGCACAGAATATTCTAAATCCAATTGCTCGTGCACGCTCAGTCATCGACTTTGTAGATGGCGCTGAAGTGGAGTGTAGATGACGATCCACCAATGGGACGCGTGCTGGCTGAAAGTGGTGGTTTGGTGAATAAATTATAAATTATTATAATATATATTTTTATAAATATAAATAATAAGTTAATGTTAAAACACAGTGCAGACAGTGGACTGCAGGTGGCCCCGAAGACTGCACAGAGTGCAGCGAAGTCCATATCACTATGCAGCGGGTAGATACTATAAGGAACGCCAACCGGCCAAGGTAAGAGGGTGTTAAGTGGCATCGTACTGCGGGACCACTTACGCTCAACAAGATGAATTAGAACTGTAACGAAATTAATATTAAGAATGGAGAGAAAATGCGTTCTTCCCTTCTTCTCTCGTGAAAATCCTCGGCTGGGACACGCCATCTGTAGCTTTGGCAGCTGGACCACTGCAGCTGCGGCATCTTCGGTTGGACACCGCTAGATGTCAATTTCAGCAGCTGGGACATCGTCGGCTGGATACCTCCTTCCGGAGCCTCAGCTGCTGGGTCATCGGCTGGAAACTCTTCAGCCGGGACATCCGGAGCTGGGCTAGGCCCCCCAGGGGCATGCTCATCTGGAACACCACCAGCTGTGCCATCAGCTGCTGGATCATCGGCTGGGCTTGGCCCCCAGGGGGCATGCTCAGCTGGCACACCACCAGCTGGCCCAACAGCTGGGCCTCGCTCAGCGGCCGTAACGCTACCAGCTGGGCCCTCAGCTGCTGGATCATCGGCATGGACTACGCCAGCCGGCACCTCAGCAGCTGGGTCTGGCCCGAGAAACACAAACAATATATAATACATAAATTAGAAAGGATTATAAAGAATGACAAATTGTAAAGAACAGAAATCGTATATAAATAAAGAGGGTGACTGTGCATGCTCGGCTGCAACACCACCAGCTGAGCCTTCGACTGCTCTTATTAGCTACTAATAATTAATTAACAATACTCATAATAATAATGTTTGATTATAAGGGCTAGACCTTCAGCTGCTGGGTCACCGGCAGCATATAAATAATAATTAATCAATTGCAAACAATTAATTAACAATAATCACAATGACTGATTAATTACAAGGGCATGCTCAAAAGACTGAGGAGATTCCAACGATCAACGTGGAGCAGGACCAGGTGAGACTAGTCTGAGAAGAGACCCTCAAGGACTCTAACTCGACCTTGCTCCCAGGACCTGTACGGTTGCTCTCGTATTTTCTATTCTGCTAATTCCGACAGCTTCGTGAAGCGTCTGCCACATGTACATTGGCGACGTACGCATTGGAGTCGTGAAAGCAAAAAAAGAAAACCCCCACAAATATATCTGGCAATACGGTGTTGATGTCAGTGAAAAAGATAAGGAGTGTAAATTATGTAGTATGCCGCACGCCCACACCTTAGAACATTATGTATTAGAGTGTCAACTTATTGATAACTATAGAAATAAGTAGTGTATCACATCAAATTGTTTGGATGTGTGATAATGGTATGATGACAGAATACTTAGGAGCTACAAGAATTTTGCCCCAAGAGTATAACACTTATATGCTGTGCTTACTATATTAAGCTGCAATGTTAAATGGGATTCTTGTACTGTATTGTAATTTGTGTATTTGTACTCACCGAATTTGTGCGCCCCTTGAGGGACTTGACGTAGGGGGGGGGGGGGAAGAAATAGCCTTAAGCTACTCTATTCCTTTGAGATGTATTTTTTCTTGTCTCAATAAACATACTTGAATTTAAACAAGGCACTTTACATCTATGGTGAGTCACACAGTTTCTAGCCTTGTTCGGTGACAAAAGTTTTACAATATTGATAGGCCTACGTAACAAGACAGGTAAAGTGATGCTACTTATTAGATCCAATATGATTATATCAAACCATTACGCACAGAATGCTAGGTATAGTACCTACCACATAAGAGTCTCATATTAATTAAGAAGCTTTAGTTATTGGACATTATGTGTGCATATATGCGTATAAGAGTGGGTGGCGGAGAGGAAGGTTGAGGCGTCAACAATGACGCGGTACTATGGGAGCTGGCTCAGCTGGGCTTGATGGAGCAACATGAGGCTAGGCTGGGAGGTTTTGTGTGTGGCGAGGGAGACAGAGGCGAGGCTGTGAGTCCTGGTGGGCAGTAGTGGGCATGTGCTGGCGAGGGTGGTGGACCAGGGCGCGTACCTTTGCCGCCAACACTGCTCGTTTGGCGCCAAATGCCCAGTGGCGCCAATACCCACCCTCTAGGCGAGTACCTTGAGCTGTTTATTGTTGTTGTAGATTCTTCTGCTGTACTTGACCCATTCTTGCCAAGGATAGTTGGCAGGCTAGTGTCAGGGTAGGTAATCTTCACCCGAACTGCACCTATTGTTAACAAGATCACTTTAAATGGTTCGATTTGAAAAAATTGTTCGTTTGAAAAATTGATTACACTGGGAAACTTGCATATGCTGATTTACTAAGCTATTAAGGAATAATGAGATTGGTTTGAATAATGAACCACTGGAATATAGCTTTGATGGATATAGACATGTAGAGCACCTTTATTTATTTATTTAGTATATATATTTATTTCCATGGGTTTGGGCTGCTGATTTATTTATTGGGATGATTGGTGCTTATTGTCACATATCCCATTACCTACTCATTTCTAACAAGATTAAAACATGAAAAAAAAGGTTCACCAATGGGTTTTCAACTCTCCCTCACCAGTCACTGCATTTAACAGCACCTTAACAAATTCAAATTCAAAATTCAAATGTTTATTCCGGTAAAGTACATACATACAAGGTGTGATACAAACTTTTATGGATTTACAGATAGAGCTAGTACATACAATGCCTAAAGCCACTATTACACAAAACGTTTCAGGCAGGAAAAACACTAAAGACTAAAACTTAATACTAGTTGAGATTAAAGTATAAATTGTGTTAATAAAATATATATATAAAATAACAATCTTAGATACAGGTCACTTCACACCCAAGACAGTTTAACAATGAATTTTAAAGCCTGCTTACCTTATTTAACTATCATAATCAAACCAAACCTAACAATATATACAATTTTAAATCTTAGACAATGAGTTTTGTCAAAACATGTGTACTCCTCTAATCCAACTTAACCTAACTACATTCTAGCTCAGTCGAACTTCATAACTAAACATTGCCTAACTTAATGAATGAACCTCGCAACCAAACCGAACGTCGCGGCCCAACCCAACCCAACCGAACCTTCGCGGCCCAACCCAACCACACTTTGGTAGCACCTGAGAACACTCTTAGAAAGGCACATTTCAAATCTCTAGATGCTTTATTTTTGGGTCAATTTATATATATATATATATATATATATATATATATATATATATATATATATATATATAGTGTATGTATGTATATATATGTATGTATGTATGTGTATATATATATATATATATATATATATATATATATATATATAGTGTATGTATGTATATATATGTATGTATGTGTGTATATATATATATATATATATATATATATATATATATATATATATATATATATATATATATACACACATACATACATACATATATATACATACATACACTATATATATATATATATATATATATATATATATATGTGTGTCGTACCTAATAGCCAGAACGCACTTCTATGCCTACTATGCAAGGCCCGATTTGCCTAATAAGCCAAGTTTTCATGAATTAATTGTTTTTCGACTACCTAACCTAACCTAACCTAACTTTTTCGGCTACCTAACCTAACCTATAAAGATAGGTTAGGTTAGGTTAGGTAGGGTTGGTTAGGTTCGGTCATATATCTACGTTAGTTTTAACTCAAATGAAATTTACTCATATATAATAAAATGGATAGCCTTACCATTTCATAAGAAAAAAAATTGAAAAATATATAAATTCAGGAAAACTTGGCTTATTAGGCAAATCGGTCCTAGCATAGTAGGCCAAGTACTGTATTCTGGCTACTAGGTACATTATATATATATATATATATATATATATATATATATATATATATATATATATATATATATATATATATATATATATATATATATATATATATATATATATATATATATATATATATATATATATATATATATATATATATGTCGTACCTAGTAGCCAGAACTCACTTCTCAGCCTACTATGCAAGGCCCGATTTGCCTAATAAGCCTAGTTTTCATGAATTAATGTTTTTTCGACAACCTAACCTACCTAACCTAACCTAACCTAACGTTTTCGGCTACCTAACCTAACCTAACCTATAAAGATAGGTTAGGTTAGGTTAGGTAGGGTTGGTTAGGTTCGGTCAAATATCTACGTTAATTTTAACTCCAATAAAAAAAAATTGACCTCATACATAATGAAATTGGTAGCTTTATCATTTCATAAGAAAAAAATTAGAGAAAATATATTAATTTAGTAAAACTTGGCTTATTAGGCAAATCGGGCCTCGCATAGTAGGCTGAGAAGTGAGTTCTGGCTACTAGGTACGACATATATATATATATATATATATATATATATATATACTGTATGTCATACCTAGTAGCCAGAACGCACTTCTCAGCCTACTATGCAAGGCCCGATTTGCCTAATAAGCCAAGTTTTCATGAATTATTTGTTTTTCGACTACATAACCTACCTAACCTAACCTAACCTAACTTTTTCGGCCACCTAACCTAACCTAACCTATTAAGATAGGTTAGGTTAGGTAGGGTTGGTTAGGTTTGGTCATATATCTACGTTAATTTTAACTCCAATAAAAAAAAATTGACCTCATACGTAATGAAATGGGTAGTTTTATCATTTCATAAGAAAAAAATTAGAGAAAATATATTAATTCAGGAAAACTTGGCTTATTAGGCAAATCGGGCCTTGCACAGTAGGCTGAGAAGTGCGTTCTGGCTACTAGGTACGACATATATATATATATATATATATATATATATATATATATATATATATATATATATATATATATATATATATATAATATATATATATATATATATATATATATATATATATATATATATATATATATATATATATATATATATATATATATATATATATATATATATATAATGTCGTACCTAGTAGCCAGAACGCACTTCTCAGCCTACTATGCAAGGCCCGATTTGCCTAATAAGCCAAGTTTTCATGAATTAATGTTTTTTCGACAACCTAACCTACCTACCCGGACCTAACCTTACCTTTTGGGCTACCTAACCTAACCTAACCGATAAAGATAGGTTAGGTTAGGTTAGGTAGGGTTGGTTAGGTTCGGTCATATATCTATGTTAATTTTAACTCCAATAAAAAATAACTCACCTCATACATTATGAAATGGGTAGCTTTATCATTTCATAAGAAAAAAATTGGAGAAAATTTATTAATTCAGGAAAACTTGGCTTATTAGGCAAATTGGGCCTTGCATAGTAGGCAGAGAAGTGCATTCTGGCTATTAGGTACGACATATATATATATATATATATATATATATATATATATATATAATGTACCTAGTAGCCAGAATACAGTACTTGGCCTACTATGCTAGGACCGATTTGCCTAATAAGCCAAGTTTTCCTGAATTTATATATTTTTCAATTTTTTTTCTTATGAAATGGTAAGGCTATCCATTTTATTATATATGAGTAAATTTCATTTGAGTTAAAACTAACGTAGATATATGACCGAACCTAACCAACCCTACCTAACCTATCCTATCTTAACCTAACCTAAACAAACATAACTATGTCAATAATTTATGGTCCCAAAATAATGGGCTCCGGAAAGCCCATTGACTTAAAGATTTGGTGGAACCATGGGATGCCATGCCATGGGAGGGTTTGCAATAAATCCCTGTGGTAAAATGGTAAAACACACTTGCTGGCATTTCACGAGCATTTTGACCTGGGTTCATATCCTGGCGGAGAGGGTTTACTGGGCACCAATACTTAACTGTAGCCTCTGTTTAACCAGCAGTGAATGGGTGCCTGGTTGTTAAACGATTTGGCGTATTGTATTTTGGGAAAAGTTGGGATTAAGGACTTGCTCGAAATGCTATGCATGCTAGTGGCTGTACAAGAATGTAAGAAATCTTGTATAAAAAAAATAAAAAAAACAATGGTAATAATTGACCTTGTTGCATGTGTACTTCATGTCGTCGGATATACCCTGGTTTGACTTTATTTTCGTGTCACAATATTTTATTACGGTATACTGTACAGCATTATTTTCATATAATTTGAGGATTTATTTGTATTTTCAGGATGTGTTCCAAAGTTTTGACAGAGTCTCCCGTCAAGCTTATAACACGGGAAGACTCCACAATGGAGTACTTCCGAGGTTCTAACCTTCATGAACCTAGCATGAAAAATATGCTTTCTACTTCTTCTTGCTTGTTACCTGCAAAGAGGAAGGTGGATACTGTTACAACACCAGTACCATCGAAGTCAGGGATGTCACTTCTTCCAGCATCCTTGCTTTTACAAAGAAGTTTTGGCTATATTGCATCCAAGGTTAGTAATCTGGAAATAATTAGAAAGTCTGAAGGCGTAGCATCTATAAACAAATTGTTTTCTTATATATTACTACCTTCAAAGTATGTAAAATATATATTTGCCTTTTGATTTATGGTTTGATATACTAAACCCCAAGTGTTGATAATAACATAGATAAACACCTAAAGAGTAGACTTTTTTTGTAAATGGTTTGATTATTTGGGCTTTATAAAATCTTTTATAAAACCCTTACATTGTCTGCAAATAAATCTACACTTAACCTGGTGTTCATCGCCTGAGTTCCCATTATACCTTTCAGTCGAACACAAAACCAAAGTCACTATATACAGTATTTTTATATCTAAAACGATATTAATTTGAAAAATAATAATAATAATATTTGTTTCACATGTTACATTGCTCTCACTCATGTTAAACAATTTCTAATATTGTTTTGCTACTCTTCATCATGGCCAGAGATTAATAATTGTATAGAATCTTTATGCCTTAATAATGTACCACTGTTTGGCTAGTTCAGCTTTTTTTTTCCTCAAGATGGTTTTATTTTTTATACCTATTTGAAATATTTTATACAAACTGATACACAAAATACTGATTCACATACAAACTGATACACAATGCAGCATACACAATTCAAGCCAATTTAACTTTAGATCTGAGCAGAGTACTAATAATGTCATTATAAGTACTGTATAATGAATCCCCCCCCCAAAAAAAAAAAAAAAAAATTGACTTCATTAACCTTAAAAAAAGTTTTCAATTCCAAAAATCACAATAATCTTCCACTTAAATTTCAGCACTACAGGATTCAAGGCCACTTTATTATTTCTTATTGTGTCTCGACAACAGACAGATATGAAGCACTAAACTTATGCATTAATATGCACTCCATACAACATTCTACGAAAAATTGAACAAGGAAAAGATTGTAGAGCATTTGAAGAGAGGAAGTTTTATAACATGCACAACACAGCTTCAGAGAATGAAAATCATGCTTATCTTGAGTTATCTTGATAAGTTATGTTTGTTATGATAAGTTATGCTTATCAAAGTTGATTGAATTTTATGATGGGGGGTCACCAAAATTAGACTAGAGAAGGAAGGATGGATAGATTGCATCTTGGTAGACTGCCAAAAAGCTTTTGATACAATTCCTCACAAAAGACTAATACACAGAGAGACAAGCAGGGATAACAGGAAAGGCACTGGACTGGGTACGGAAGCACTCGACAGGCAGAAAACAAAGGGTTATCGAAGAGGATATGTCAGGCTGGAGACGAGTAGAATGTGGTGTTCCGAAGGCCTTTGTCTTAGGACCATCGCTGTTTTTAATTAATGTAAATGACCTCACAGAAAGAGCGAGCATGTTTGCATGTTCACTCGCACATCGATGTTTGCAGAGGATGCAAAGTTAGTAAGGAGAGTAAGAACTAAAGAGAACTGTAGGGTGCTGCAAGGACTTTAGGAGTGAGCGAATAAATGGCTGCTGAAACTCGATTCAAATAAGTGCAAAGTAATGAAAATGGGTAAGGGAGCCAGGAGACCTGTATTTATCTATACCATAAGGAGAAGGCAGTTACAAGAAACAGTAAGAGAGGAAAAGACCTGGAAGTAGGCGTAATCCCAACACTAACACCAGAAGCTCATGTGAACATAATATCAGCAGCATATGGGAAGCTAGCAAACATAGAACATCTTTCAGAATTTAAACAAAGAGGTTTTCAAGTCCATACATACTGCATATGTGAGACCATTATTTGATTATGCAGCTTCTGCATGGAACCCACATGTTGTGAAGCAAAAACACAAATGAGAAAGTTCAGAGGGTTGCAACTAGGTAAGTACCATAATTGAGAGGCCTCAGCTATGAGGGCAAGTTGAGAGAACTCACCCTCAGCCTTAGAGGAGAGAAGAAAGAGGTATAATGATTACGGACAAGATGTTGAGAGGACTTGATAAAGGGGATAAAGGATGCATATTTAAATTAAAAAGAGGTAGAACAAAGGGATATTGGTGGAAGCTGTATATGCAATTGGGTTCAAGAGGTGTAAGGAAGTTCACGTTCCCTGTATGGGTGGTAAGGAAGTAGCATCATTGAAGGTATTAGCTGTCGAAGCCAATTCCATCCACAACCTTAAAAAGAAATATGATAAAAACATTAATATTGAGAAGGGAGGGGTAATTAATGCACCAGGTGTGAATGGCTTGGAGGCAGGGCATAAAGAGCGAGATCTCTCCATTGTAATCACTGATGGGTAAGCATTCATAACCATGTAATCATCAATAACATAATATATTCTACTCTTTCATTAACCACTGGAGTACCCCAAAGCAGCACACTAAGACCTCTCCTATATTATATATATATATATATTTCCTTATGTTTCTGATATTATTAAATGTGTACTATTTGTTGATGGCACTAAATTATCTTCTCTCTCAAACACTGTATGCCTTGTTTGATACTTTATGCCTTGTGTGATACTTTATGCCTTGTGTGATACTTTATGCCTTGTGTGATACTTTATGCCTTATGTGAAAATTTTTGCCTTGTGTGATACTTTATGCCTTGTGTGATACAGTAAACAGTGAATAGCAAATAGGTGCACTCATGGATGTTAATAAGCTTAAACACTGAGATAGTCTGAAATATTTTGTTCGGGAACAAATTATCTAAATTGATCTTCAAATGAACAGTACTGTATGAAGATTGAGAATAAAAGTGAAGGACGATCCTTAGGCTAATACATTAGCAAGAGGCTTCAACACTTAATTAATTAATACAGTAATACTATGTGCCCTCTGCTCTTCTAACACTAGTCACTATTAATCGCTAACTTATCTTTTATCTTGTTGGGTCTGTTCGAGAACCTCAAATCGGTCATCGCCCAGCAAAATCGGCTATCAGAACTAACATTCTGTCTTCATACAATATTTTACCCTCCCCTCCCTTTGTTAAGTGCCTAAACATACTGAACATAAACAAACTCCATATATTATATTCTTTCCTGTGCTTCTTACATCTACAAAACTTTATACTTTAATACTGTACAACCTTGATTTCAAGCAATTTCTATATAGATGTGATAGAACCTATGAACATTGCACAAGAAATTGCTATCTCTTTGACATTCCCAGAGTCTGATTGAATCTATGTAAACATGCCATGCAAGGACCTAAAATATGGTACTCCCTTCTTAACCCTTAAGCTACTAAGGAGTCCTGAGGAGATCTACACCCAAGTGCTCAAGAAAGAAAATTCTAAATTTTTTTTTGTCTTCTAAAAATGTTAATTTGTGTTCCCTGATCACGGGAAAAATAAAAAAAAATCGTTGGTGACATTTTGAGCGCAATAGGCCGAGGAAGTCTGGCAAAATGTGGGTGTTGACAGAGCGGTCATCAGAGGCGGTCAGCGTCACCCGAGCTGAAAGGTGGGAGTTGCCACAAAGATATTATTTCCTAATTATTTCAATGTCTGATTTTTTTCTTAGTTTTTGCAGTAATATTATTCAATAGTGTGTAGTGTGAGAGATTTATATAATAAAATGTGTAAATCATTGCTATACTCAAAAATATGGTGTTCATATTAGTGGTTCAATTATTACGTTCATAAAACAATACACAAATAGTTTTGCAGTTATTTCACTATATACACACATTATATATAAGTATCTACATGTTTTGTTCACAGCTGTGCAACTAAGCTGATATAGTTAGTTCAGGTACTAAGAGACATCGCTACACTCAGCTGGCAGCTGCCTCTCTCACTCATTCAAGGTCAGGCGCACTAAATTTCTCCCCCAACAATACTGTTCGGGGTGTTATTACACTATGTACACACATTATATAAGTATCTACATGTTGTATGCACCGTAACTGTACACCTAAGCTTGTAGGGTGCCCAAAGAGCATAGTGGCCCCCCCTCTACACAGCTAGACAAGTCATGCAGACGATGCCACCTCCGTCACCCAAATGGCTTTCCAACATAATCCTTTTGCTGTTATTACACTAATACACACATTATATATAAGTATCTACATTTGTGTTCACCATAGAGAACCACTGAGCTGGTATGGTGAATGCAGACAATAACAGGTGGCCACACAGTCAGTAAACGATGCTATCTCCTTCCCTCCCACAGCATTACTACTCCCACAGTGCTAATTATCACAACAATCCTGCTATTATCACAATCCTGGTCATTTTTTTCAGTCAGGAGTCATCTGTAATATTGTCATTGCTAAATAATAGCAGTTATATATTTATTTTGACAATTTTAGGCGATGCTGTGGTCACAAGCTGAACAGCAGTGCTGCGTGTGCCAGCCTTGATTGCTCCAACAGTACTGTGGCTCTCACACCGGAGAATATTGCCCACCATTTTTTTTAAACATGGCGTCTGTTTACAAGAGCCCTGAGGAAGCTGATGTGAACACCGTGTTGCTGCGAGCCATTTGAATTGTGCCTGGCACCCTATGGCGTATATATACGCCATGCACACAGTGGGACATGTTACTCATGGCGTATATATACGCCATGCACAATTTTAGGGTTTATGAAGTAAAGAATTGGTCATTACAAACTATTCACAAGTAAAGCAAAGAAGTACCTAAAATATGTTGCTATTTTATTTATTAAATCTGCATTATTAAACCTGCACTATTAAATCACATCTACCAAATGATCCTTGTGTTACTAATTCACCTAATACTTTACTATTTAAAAATATAGCTCCATAATATGCTCTCATTATTACTACTTTCTCCTACTGTTCCTATCAAATAATTATTACATTATTATTATTACAATTCCGTGTATCATAAGGATCTAATTCTGTAAAATTTCTAAAGTATTTCATTCCTGCTTTAGTTACCAAATGGAGCCTGTGTAATAGCAATGTTTAACTTTAAGCTTGAATTTTACAGTCGCCTGGAACTGCAGTATGTGAAGTCATTCAATGCCTCATATCACTGTTCATTTATTATAAAGTATACCTTAAGTTATTCATAAATTTCTTCATTCCTTCTCTTTTTAATATTTATTCCATTCCACACATGGGCCTGGATAGGTGGGAGGCCTGGAATGGAGGTAAAATTTTCTTTGTTGCAAAGAATTTAGGGAAAGTGATTCCCAGTCCAATTCCCCCCTACTCTCTGTAGGGTAAGGGGAATGTGTGGATGATTACACTACCTAGTGGTGAGCAGTTGGCCTGCAATATACGCTCCTCATTGAAGCTGCAGTTTACCCTGCCTCTGTTCTGAAGTGTCTGGAGATTTTTGTCTTATCTTTACTAGCTACTGTACATACAATTTACTAAAGATTAAATGTTTCACATTTTTCAGGAAGTTTCTGAGAAGAAGGTGCGATCACGTCCTTTCACAGTTTCAATTGAGGGCAATATTGGCAGTGGTAAATCTACCTTTCTAAAGTACTTCTCATCCATGCCTGGAGTGGCTACACATCAAGTAAGTTTAAGGGAAATTTTCTCCAATCATCTTTACCTTTTTTTTGTTTTGAAAGTGCAAATAGTTTTATTTATGAACTATTCAGTTATTCCCCAAGGGCAAAATAATTTTCACGACTTGGAAAAGATCCGCTAGTTAGGGCTTAGGGCAAGGTTACAATTGTATTCGTGCAATTGAAATCTTTATGAACTGTTGCCAGTTCATGCTAGTGCTTGGGAGACAGTGCAGATTACTTAATCCAGCCCAGAATGTTGATATAATGGTGCTTCTTCCATACTCAGGGTGGCAACATAAAGACCACTTAACTTCCACTATGTTGCTACTACTGACTTCCACCAGGTGGCAGCACTGACACCACATTGTCATCCAACCCAACACGATTTGGTTCTCTTGTCTGTTTGCTTGGTGACTGCGTGACTGCTATCACAGAGGCTCTTGTGTTTCTTGTATGCCAACCCTCACACTGTATAAAAAGCACAGACAGTACAGTATAAGTTACTTTATAGCAGACTACCAAGGTACAAAAATTGTTGCACATAAGGTGTAGGAATGTTACCAATGTTCTGTCTTGTGCCAGATAATAATTGTAGTTGTTGGGGACAAGAACCTTGAACTTAAGCTTATTTAGGTCTCCCTATAGGTCAACTACTGACCTCTCCCAGGATGCAATCCATGACAATTGCCTAACTTTTGGGTCCCTATTTTACTGCTAGGTGAACAGAGGTACTTGATGAAAAGACAAGTGCACAAAGTTTCTATTCTGCCTGAAAATTGAACGAAGTTCCCTTGATTGTCAGCTAAGGACATAGACCCGTGTTATGGGACCCATAATAATGTCAATACAAAATTAACTAGTGCACAAGACCAGGTCAAGTTTGTGGTGGTGTTGGATTTATAATGATTAATTTTGTATAAATATGATCTTTGGATATTCATGAGGATATGTTCCAGCTGACAATGTATGCCATCAGTTTGTGATTAACTTTGTTAAAAATTGTAATTACAAAGTATATGAAACATTTAAATATGTATTTTTGTGCCATATTATTATGCAGCAAAACTGCAATTAAATCTTGTTTTGTTAAAAAGAAAAACATTTTCACATATATGTTTGAAAAATAAACAGGACTATTAGTAATGTTTAGTAGTTAAAAATGTTAAACTGATAACTTGTTGGAAATTGTTAATGTTTTGGGTTGTAAATATACAGTTCTATTTCAAAGATGTAGGTAGTTTTAATGAGTAAAAAAAAAAAATTGTTTTAGATAAAGGAAGCTTGAAACTTTCAGCAATTAAACAATTAATTGCTAATGAAATTTGAAAAGCTTCAGCACCCGTGCTCATGGTAAAGTTTAGCATGCAGTCTAAAGCTCATAATAATGCTTGTCTGCAGCACAAGCATGCATTATAACAAGTAATTACCTAAGTGTAGTTACAGGATGAGAGCTACGCTCGTGGTGTCCCGTCTCCCCAGCATTCTTTGTCATAAAATGCTTTGAAATTACTGACGGTTTTGGCCTCCACCACCTTGTCACCTAACTTGTTCCAACCGTCTACCACTCTGTTTACAAAAGTGAATTTTCTTATATTTCTCCAGTAGCTTTGTTTTGTTAGTTTAAATCTTTGACCTCTTGTTCTTGAAGTTCCGGGTTGCAGGAATTCTTCCCTATCAATTTTATCGATTCCTGTTACTATTTTGAACGTAGTGATCATATCGCCTCTTTTTCCTCTATCTTCTAGTTTTTGCATATTTAATGCCTCTAACCTCTCCTTGTAGCTCTTGTCCTTCAGTTCTCGGAGCCACTTAGTGGCATGTCTGTGCACCTTTTCCAGTTTGTTGATGTGCTTCTTAAGATATGGGCACCATACAACCATCGCATATTCCTGCTTTGGTCTTAGAAAAGTCATTAACAATTTCTTTAGTATTTCACCATCCATGTATTTAAAAGCAATTCTAAAGTTAGAAAGTGTAGCATAGGCTCCTCGCACAATGTTCTTAATGTGGTCCTCAGGTGACAGTTTTCTATCTAGAACCACACTTAGATCCTTTTCTTTGTCAGAATTTTTTAACCCTTTAACTGCGCTGCCTATAAATATGACACCCCCCCCCAGTGCGCAGGAAATAAATTCTCTTGAAAAAATTCTTTTGTTTTTGTAAAGTGTCAAAAACCCTTCCCTCAGTATGGGTATGTCAAAAAAAATTTCGAACTTGTTCTTACTTTGGCTGCCATGTGGTCCGTAAGTTGGCGCGTGACGTCATCATTCCCCGTTCGCCTGTGCCATAAGCTCCCGGGGCCGGTGGGGCGCGCGAGTTGCCGCGAATATATTTTTGTTCATTTTTTGCGCACAGTTCCAAATACATTTTATTTGTTTTTACGTGCTAATCCTATGTATAATGAACACGTACACTATATTATGGCAGTAAAACATCCATACTGTCCGAGGACACTGTGTTACGTGCATGACACTTGTGTACACACGTTGCACATATTTACCATGTATCATGCTAATTTATGTATATATACAATCTATTTACAGACTATACACTGTCACACACTATATACATTCACCGTCAACACATTCAGAACACCGCGAGTGTGAGCTGTCACACCCAGCCAGCCTTCCCTCACTCCTCCAACATTGTATTCACCAACATTACTCCTCCAAATCATACAGTTATTCACACTAATGTTTCATGTTCATTTATGTATATTTCCAACATATGTACACACTATATACATTCACCATCAACACATTCAGAACACCGCGAGTGTGAGCAGCCACACTCAGCCAGCCCTCCCTCACTCCTCCAACATTGTATTCACCAACATTGCTCCTCCAAATCATAGTTATTCACACCAATGGTTCATGTTCATATGTGTATATTTACAACATATGTACACACTATACACTGTCACACTATATACATTCACCATTAACACACTAAGAACACCGCGAGTGCGAGCAGCCACACCCAGCCAGTCTCCCTCACTCCAACATCTCGCTCGTCAACATTGCTCCTCCCACCATACTGTTATTGTTTTTATTACCCTATTTACATATGTTATATATACCTATCTACATGTTTTATTTACCAGAACTAGGCAAGTAAGCCAGTATCGTGTCCAAACAGTACAGTGGCCACCATATTCTGCATGACAAATCACACAGCAGACAGCAGACGATGCTACGATTACGACGTCACCTCCCTCACCAATACTGTAAAACTCCTCTCAACATGCTCCTGGTGCTGTTATTACACTATTCACACACACTGTATATACCCATGTACATGTGTGTTCCCCATAGCGAACCACAAAGCTAGTATGGGCATGACAATCGTCTAGGTTTCTTATCTTCCCTATTATCTTAGCATCATCAGCAAACATGTTCATATAATTCTGTATACCAACTGGTAGATCGTTTATGTAGACAATGAACATTACCGGTTCAAGAACTGAACCCTGTGGCACTCCACTTGTGACATTCTTCCAATCTGATACATTGCCTCTGATTACTGCTCTCATTTTTCTATCGTGAAATTTTTCATCCATGTTGGAAGCTTACCTGTCACCCCTCCAATATGTTCCAGTTCCAGAACAATCTCTTATGTGGAACTCTGTTAAAAGCCTTTTCTGGGGGGAGCCCCGTCGGCTCCCCGGAGCTATCCAGGCTGAATGGATATGTATAACTTTCTGGCATCAGTCAAAGTGCTAGGAGTTCTTGCCTACCGGGGACCACGAACCAGAACCTGGCCCCCTCAGAGAGGCACGAGGAGCAATGGCCTATAGAAACTCCTTTGTGATTGGGAGCATTCTATGTTTGCCATCGACCGGGACAGGCACCCAGAAAGGTAGGCGCCCCAAAACAAACCCCTATTCTGGTGAAATTATTGCTACCGAAAGCCGAACGAGTGGACAAAACTCCCCAAACAAAATTATCAAACTAGCATGACGTCATCACGTCGCCGCGCCACCGTCTGCGCAACCACCCCCTCCCCGAGAGGGGGAAGCGGGAGCCCCAGACCCTCCACGCCGCCGATCCAACTGGCAGTTCTTGGCTGATGGCATTACTGGCTGGTCGAGTGCCTCTGACTCCGGTTTTTGTTTCAGTTCTGTGCCTTGTGGTGTGGACTGTCTCTACCGGTGGGGTGTGAGCCAGGAGTAAGATTCCACGATACTCGGGCTGCATGTGCCTAGGGCTATCTTCCCTAGGTGCCCTGTAAATACTGCCCCTGGGGCTTGGGGCCACCTTCCACAAGTCACCGTGGGTTCTGCCTCCGCTGTGTCCTTTACTACTCGGTACTGGGCCGCCCTTGGAGTCGGCTGGGGTTTTGTTCCCCTGGTTTGTCTCTGGGTAGGTGGTAGTTTTCATCACTGGTAGGGGCGCGGGGTACTGCACAGCTAGTTTTCACCATTAACCCTTACACTGCTCAGGGGTCCTGGGGACATTTACACCCCTGTGCGCAAGAAAAAAAAAAATTCAAATTTTTTTTTTCGTCTTCTAAACATGTTAATTTGTGTACTCTGAGCACGAGGAAAAAAAAATCGTAGGTGACATATTTTGGGCGCAATTGACTGAGGAAGTCTGGCAAAAAGTGGGCGTTGACAGAGCGGTCATCAGACCCGGTCAGCGTCACCCGCGCTGACAGATGGGAGTTGCCACAAAGATATTATTACCTAATTGTTTCAATGTCTCCGATTTATTTTTTCTTAGTTTTTTGCAGTAATATTATTCAATAGTGTGTATTGTAATATATTTATATAATAAAAGTGGTGAATAATCGCTATACTCAAAAGTATGATGTGCATATTAGTGATTCAATTATTATGTTTTTAAAACAATAAACATATAGTTTTGCTGCTATTACACTCTATCCACAGGTTATATATAAGTATCTGCATGTTTTGGTCACCATAACGAACCACTAAGTTGGTATTGAGAGTCGAAAAACAACGAAGAGTTACCGCCACACACCAGCCAGCCACTCGCTGCCACTCCCTCAACACACGCACTAAACTTTCTTCCCCAATAATACCATTTGTGGTGTTATTACACTATATACAGACGTTATATATAAGTATATATATATTTTGTTCACCACAACTGTACAGCTAAGCTGATATAGTTAGTTCAGGCACTAAGAGTCGTCGCTATACACAGATGGCGGCTGGCGGCTCCCTCACTCTTTCAAGGTCACACGCACTAAACTTTCTACCCCAACAATACTGATTGCAGTGTTATTACCCTATATATACATATTATATATAAATATCTACTGTACATGTTTTATGCACCGTAACTGTACACCTAAGCTTGTAGTGTACCCAAAGAGCATAGTGGCCAGCCACCCTCTAAACAGCTAGACAAATCGTGCAGACGACGTCACCTCCGTCACCCATATGGCTCCTCCCAGCATAATCCTTTTGCTGTTATTACACTAATACACACATTATATATAAGTATCTACATTTGTGTTCACCATAGAGAACCACTGACCTGGTATGGTGAATGCAAACAATAACAGCTAGCCACACAGTCAGTAAACGATGCTGTCTCCCTCCATCTCTCAGCATCACTCTTCCCACAGCGCTAATTATTACAACAATCCTGCTATTATCACAACCCTGGTTATTTATATCACAGTCATGGGTCATCTGTAATATTGTCATCGCTAAATAATAACAATTATATATTTATTTTGACATTTTTCGGCGATGCTGTGGTCACAAGCTGAACAGCAATGCTGTTCGCTCATGCTGCGTGCGCCAGCCTTGGTTGCTCCAACAGTACTGTGCCTCTCACACCTGAGAATATTGCCCATGATTTAAAAAAAAAATGGTGCCTGTTTACAAGCGCACTGAGGAAGCTACTGTGAACCCTGTGTAGCCGCGGGCCATTTGAATCGGGCCTGGCACCCTATGGCATATATATATACGCCATGCGCACCGTGGGACATGTTACTCAGGGCGTATATATACGCCATGCGCAGTTTAAGGGTTAACAGCGGCCGGCTCTGTTCCGCCTGGGTACGTTGTCCTCTTGCGGGGTTTTTCTTTTGTTTTTGTTTTTGCCTGGTGGGGGTCTGCCTTTACTATGGTCCCCCTTTCCTGTTCTAGGTGATTTTCTTTCAAGTTCTTCTGTTGGCGATACTCCCCGCTTGGCCCCCGTGAGTGGACATGTCCCGAGGGTTCAGCTTTAGCAGTTTGTTGGTAGATTTGGGAGCCGGTTCGCGGTACCCTGCCTGGGCTTCCCTTAGTGTGTACCAAAGGCTAAGGGCCCTGGGAAACCCCACGGGGGCTCCGTGGTCCTCTTGGTGTGTCCCCGGAGTCCCCCTCGCGTCCTGCGAGTTGACAGTTGATCTGTCCCCTTGTCGCAGGGTGACACTCACCGGTTGTGCCTCTGCCATGCTGCCTGTTGGGTCCTTGTTCTTGTGACCCGGAGTCGTCCGATGATTGTTGTCGGTACTCGCTCTCCTTCACCCAGGCCACTGGTCTTGATAATCGGGTGCAGGCGGCTGCGGCGTTGCTTGCTGGGTGTGTGTTGCTGCAACGCTCTTGGTTTGCGGCCCCGGATGCCCCGAGGCTGCCCCGTTTTGGTGGTTGGGGTCTGGACTTGGGGGTGGGGGTTGCTTCGGCTCTGGCTCCTTCCGCTTCTTGTTCCTCCCCTTCTGTTCTACTCACTTCCTCCCTTGCTTCCTGCTCCGAACCATAGGCGGGTGAGTTAGGTGAGTAGGTGGTGGAGGCCAAGACCGTCAGTAGTTTCAAAGCGTTATATGACAAAGAGTGCTGGGAAGACGGGACACCACGAACGTAGCTCTCATCCTGTAACTACACTTAGGTAATTACACTTAGGTAATTACACACACATATACATATGTATACACATGTATACACATGTATACCCCAGAAGTGACTCGAACCCAAGATTACTATCCGAGTGCCGGCGGTGGGGTGGTTCAAATAGCCTCGGCTATCACCTCATTTTGTCCGGTCGTGATGGTCAAGTGGATTAAGGCGTCTTGTACATACCAGTTGCGTTGCTTCTGGGAGTATGGGTTCGAGTCACTTCTGGGGTGTGAGTTTTCAGTTGCATATTGTCCTGGGGACCATTCAGGCTTGTTCGCATATATATTATATATATATATATATTATATATTATATATATAATATATATATATATATATATATATATATATATATATATATATATATATATATATATATATGCATGCATGTGTGCACAAGCATACATAACACATACAACAACATATATAATTAAGCATATCCCAAGTTATCATGCATAATATTTTTAAGTTTCTTGTATAATGCCTAATTCAGATGCATATCGTCGAATATCACACTTAAAACTTTACATTCTATGCTTTAATAAGAATAATATTGCCATTTAACTAAAGTAGTGGCTCTGACTTTATGGTACAGCTTTTTACACAAGTTAACTGCAGTGAGATATTTTACTGACGACTTGCTCAATTTTGTTTTATCGTCACTTTTCTATTGTGTTAAAATGTAGAGTAAGTGAAGTATTTTGAAATGATGCATCACTTCAAAGTTAATAATTTCTTTTGGAAAGAAAAGTAGTGGATACAGTTGAATACCTCCAAGAAGAATAATAATAAATATTTCAGGAACCTATTGATTTATGGACAAACCTTAAAGGCCACAATCTGTTAGGGAAGCTGTATGAGGACCCTCAGCGCTGGAGCTTCCTCTTTCAGTCATATGTTCAGCTGACCCGCCTTAACATTCACCTCCAGGACAGCAACAGTCCTGTCAAATTAATTGAACGATCTCTTCAGAATAATAGGTAATTCCAGATTGTTTTTTTCATTAGTAAAATAAAATGGCCAATTTAATAACTAGCAATAAGTTCATGCAATATGGAAATTAGTAGTGTAATTTTCCCTACCCACTGCTTCTTAATTCAAATTCTACTTCTTTTTTCTTACGGCCAATACATCCACAAGAGCTTCACACACTTTCACCACAATGTAGCTCCACTAACCATGCATCTGCAATACCTCCTCTAGCACTATCCTATTGCTCATGAGATATTCAGCATTTATTGGTATACTACTCAGTTAATCATTACTCTGCCAAATACATTTCCAGTTACAGTACAACCTCGATTCGGAAAACTATATGGGACCAACGGCGCTTCGTTGCAGGTTGAATTTGTTGCAAGAGGTGCCCTTCAGGAGGTGTTTGTGTCAGTGTCTTTCTGTGGGGAGCCCCTACGGCTCCCTGGAGCTTGTCGGGCTAATGTATGTTATATTAGACCGGGACATTAGCTAAGGAGTTCAGACCTACCAGGGACCAGCGCCAGAACCTGGCCCCTTCAGAGAGGTTTCAAGGAGCAATGGCCCTGGAAAACCCCCTAGTGGTTGGGGTTTTCCTTATCTGCCATTGACCGGGGTTAGGCACCCAGAAAGGTAGGCATAACAAAACAAACCCCACATGGTAAAAAACTAAAACAAAAACTGAACAGAGAGGTAGAAACTCCCTACAATCCCAAGGAAACAAGCAAACAAGTAAACATCACCCTTTACTGCCGTGAAAATCGTCCGCCCAGCCCTCCCCGCCCCGAGAGGGGGAGGAGGGAGCCCCGGACCTACTGTGCCGGCTGCCTCGCTTCAGTTCATAAGCTAATGTCATCTTGAGGTTATCTTGAGATGATTTCGGGGCTTATTTTTAGTGTCCCCGCGGCCCGGTCCTTGACCAGGCCTCCACCCCCAAGAAGCAGCCCGTGACAGCTGACTAACACCCAGGTACCTATTTACTGCTAGGTAACAGGGGCATAGGGTGAAAGAAACTATGCCCATTGTTTCTCGCCGGCGCCCAGATCGAACCCGGGACCACAGGATCACAAATCCAGCGTGCTGTCCGCTCGGCCGCCTGGCTCCCTTAATTAAACATTATTGCCAACAGCATTTGGTGTTCCCAGGTGGTCACCCATCCAAGTACTAACCAAACCCAACGTTGCTTAACTTCGCTGATCGGACGAGAAGCGGTGTTCTCAACGTGGTATGGCCGTTGGCCATACTAGGCTAGCTCGAGGCAATGCCGCCGTCTTTGACTGGCTTTGTTGTTCACTAATTTATTACACTAGTTTATTTAATTTGATGACAATCTAGCTCTCTAGACCATCTAGGTTCAAATGATCATATAATCTAGGTTCGAACGACTAAATAATCTAGATTCGAAGGACCATATAATGTGGGAACTGACCTGTGAGATTTATATTTATTTAATTTATATATTTCGATAGCAATTTGTATGATGTTAAGTGGACTGTATTTCTGCAATAATCTCACAAATCGATCCACTACACATCAGGGGGGGTTTATATTGAATTTATATATATGCAGCCAATCAAACTACAGTATTAAACTACATATATTAGTATACATTAAGGAGGTTCCTTATCTTATTATACAGCAGGCTTAGTCCATCAGGTATAACTAGGATGTAGACACCAAATTTCCTCGTTTGAGGCAGCTTCCGTCACCCAGTAACTGATACACAAAGTTTGCTTCCTCTTCTTGACCTGTCAAAGGCACTAGCTGTAAAGCCAGAATCCTAATATATGACAGCTATATCAGAGAAAACACTGTATAATGAATCATAAAGACCAAGGCTTAATTACCTTTTTTTAAGAGGCTGTTTGCATTCTAACCAGTTCGCCCTATCTACTGACATTAATGGCCAAAAATGATTAGATAAACGGGTTTCGGCAGAACACTTTCCTTGATTATGTTGACAGCGTGTTGATGATGGAAGACCTTTGGTTTCCATAACACTTTGTCCAAGAGAAATAATAGGAGCCGAATTTGCTCCCTACGCCTCTGTGGTCTAACAAACAATGGCTGACCACTCCCTCACCACTGACGCTACTGGCCTATATGTCCAGATATCAGTAAGTGATAGAAGGGTCACATTTACTCAATTTTAATATTGATAATTAAGTTAATTTATATGAGATGTTTTTATGATGGTAAAGTCCAAAGACTAATGTATTTAAGAATAATTCCCAGCAGAATAGCTGGTGAATTTATAATAGTATGTGGCAATGATATCCCGTTTTCTATAGACGGAAAATTCCACTACAAGTTACATTTTCTATGGGTAACTTGTGTATACAACGCAGCAATATTATCTGCAATTGCATTGATATTATTAAATGGTGTCGGATTTTCCGACACTGCTGAAGACATTGAAAAAATACAAGCAGATATTTATAAAGTTTTTGACTGGGCAGTGGAAAATAACATGATGTTTAGCTCTCACCAAGTCAAACCTGGCGTCAGGTTTGACGCCAAGTCAAAACTTGGTCTTGTGAGACCAAGTCAAGCTCTCACAAGTCAAACCTGGCATCAGGCCAGGCTTGAGGAGTAGAACAACTCGCAGAACCCTATTAAGCAGGTGGGACTTCTGAATTAAGTCGTCTAGGTGCTCGTCAAATTATCTCCTATATTTACCTGAAGACTGGATATATCCAGAATCGTATATATGTCCTTGTTATTAAAGAATAAGCAAAATAAACCTGCTCACCTATGTGAAAATTAATCCTTTATGCCTGAGTCTATCTACTTTGATGAAGTAACTATTTCCAGGAACAATGTAACCAGATCACTGACACAAGGCTAGTAACACCTGTTGAGTCCTATAATCTACAGTCATGGTGATACTACAGTATAGCTGCTGCTATTAAAGAGTGTTGTGTCAAGACAGAGGATGCCTTGGCCATGTTTTGGTCTGTTGCACTCTCCTTGGATAGACGGCTTGCTCCACACCCTGCTGTGTGCTATCCCTTACTCTTACTGCCACCCTCTACCATAACAATGATTCTGCCTATCATTAACTGTAGTTAAGGTTAAGATGGGCTATGGGAAAAAGATAAATCTAAGCCTGCAAACAAAAGCCAGTAACAGTATGCCTATGTACCCACAAGTACTTATTACAACATTCACGGGACTGTCAACAGCGTCTTTCCTAGGGAAAACAGATAAATTGACTCCAACTGATTTCAGTTTAGATGTAGTGGATATACTGCAAAAGCAAACAAATTGTGTCCTATAAATAGGGTGCTTGCGGTTTCACTTTGATGCAAACAAATTCACCTGAAGAATGAGAAACTTCTCAGATATCCAAAGTATCAATACCCTAGTCCAGCTCCCTCCCTTTCAGATGAAACCATTATAGACTGCATGTGAACACAACACCCCAAAAATGTGAACTACTGTGAGGACTAAAGCCTGAAAAGTCAGCATCTAGCTTAAAAAACAGGAGAGAGGAAGAGAAAGAATCTCCCTCCCCTCCCCCCCACCCCATCACAGTTGGCCTGTGGGCCACTCCAAGCAACAGCCTGGTGGACCAAACTCTCACAAGTCAAGCCTGACCTTGGAGAGTAGAACAACTCCCAGAACCCCATCAATCAGGTATCAACCAGGTATCCCCCCTGCCTTATAAAGCAAAACACCATTGGAGCACTGTCAGTGTGATTGCCATACAGTGACCCTCAGTTGAGAGGTACGTTTGAGCAACATCCAGTTGCCACATCCTGAATGTTGATTTTGAGACTGTAACAATGTCAGAGAAGAGTGCCCTTGACCAATCTGATCAGACTGCTGACAACCCTAACCCACACTGAACACACGTAAAAAGCTTGAGGTAATATTGGAGCCGGCAACGAGATGAGGAATAAAGACACTGGTTCAACCATTTCTGTCAGATGTGGACCAGGGAACCTATATGTAAAATTGTCAACCCAGGAGCCTATAAGAAGTGATTCGGAAGAAGGCCATATCTGGGAGGGAAAGGGAAGCTGCACTTGTATCCCAGAGCAATCTCATCAAGGAGAGGTATTGTGAAAGCAGGAACCAAGACTTTGGCATTGCCGAGAAAGCAAAAGGGGCCCAGCTCTTCCAGATGTGCTACTTTGAACTAGCAGACCATCACAATGATCAGGAGCCCAAATGAGCTAATGTAGAGATAAACCAAGATGTTGATGCCCTAGACATGAAGCCCCTGGAAACTCATCCTGGGGAGTGGTCCTGACTGCTAGATTAAGGTATATTACGGTATAAGTGGGTTGGGGAGGATGGATGAAGGTGGCAGGCATGACCAACTGTACTGAATTCATAATATTGTTTGTACTATAGTGATATATGCCAGACATTGGGACCTGGAGTATTTGGTAAAAAAAAAAAGTGCAGCATTTTGGGAACATTTATACTTTTTGCGTTCTCTTTTCAGGTACTGTACTGCCATATGCAGAGGTTATATTTTAACCCTTGGTTCTATTTCACCAAGGTCATTTGAATTGATAATTAAATTTGTTAAACAGCATGATCTACTACCTTCAATCCCTCTCTACAGTTTTATGATAATTTAGAACCAAATTTGTTATTAATAGCTTAGTGTGTTCAATAATGAAAATATTGCAATTTATTGATATGTAAAATTTTCAGATATTGTTTTGTGGAGAGTGGCCATGACTGTGGTCATCTTAAAGCAGCTGAATACAGTGTCTTGTGTGAATACTATGACCTCTTGGAATCTAAGCTGGATATTGGAATTGATCTTATTGGTAAGTACTGATTAGGAAATTTACAAGGTAGGAATCAATGCTGTCAGAACTGCATGCTTAACCCCTGGGTTGCGTGCTCGAACTTCCACAACAACCCTGCTATGTGCGAGTAAAAAAATTCAGTTATATTTTTTAATATTGTTAAAATGTATTCTCTGATCATGAGAAAAATAATTTACTTTGGCCATGGTAGAGGGAGGAAATTATGAGATAAAATCATGATTTATAAGTATTCCTGGAGCAATCGCCCCATGGAGGTTGCTCGGGGCACGGTTTGAGGCAGGAGTTGTCAGAGAGATAATTTTACATATTTACTTCATTGTCACTGATTTGTTTTTTCACAGTTTTCTGTGGGGAGCCCCTACGGCTCCCTGGAGCTTATCGGGCTAATGTATGTTATATTAGACCGGGACATTAGCTTAGGAGTTCAGACCTACCAGGGACCAGCGCCAGAACCTGGCCCCTTCAGAGAGGTTTCAGGGAGCAATGGCCCTGGAAAACCCCCTTGTGGTTGGGGTTTTCCTTATCTGCCATCGACCGGGGTTAGGCACCCAGAAAGGTAGGCATAACAAAACAACCCCACATGGTAAAAAACTAAAACAAAAAAACGAACAGAGAGGTAGAAACTCCCTACAATCCCAAGGAAACAAGCAAACATCACACTTTACTGCCGCGCCGATCGTCTGCACAGCCCTCCCCGCCCCAAGAGGGGAAGGGGGGAGCCCCGGACCTACCGCGCCGGCTGCCAAGCTTCATTTCGTAAGCTAATGTCAACCGGGATAGACGCTTCTCTGGCCTCAGTTTCCTAGGCGGTGTTTGCCTTGTGTGGCGTTCACTGCCGTGTGTTGTGTTGTGCGGTGGCCAGGAGTACCTCATCAGTGCTGGGGCTGCATGCGCTTAGTGGCTGACTTCCCTAAGCGCCCTGTGAGTAATGACCCTGCGTAACAGGGTTATCTTCCCTGGGGCATTCAGGAACCATTCCCATAGAAGTTCTTGCTGCTCGGCATTTACCTCGCCCTTTGGGCCAGCTGGGGCTTGGGGCCCTTGTTTGGCCCTGGGTAGGGATTGGTATTGTGCTAGGTTAGGTTAGGACACACCCCAGACATGAACCATGAGGTTCATGTCCGGGGTGTGTCCTGCATCCTGGTGGACAGCTGTCTTGGTTCATTCCTCTGTTCGCGGATTGGCCAGTCGTCGCTGACTCGTTTTGTTGGCTCTGTCGGACGTATGGACTCCTGGCCATGGACGTCTTCGAGTCGGCGTGGTCTAGGCGTCGCCCATTTTATATGACACCCTTACCCGCCTGCGAGGCGTTCACGGTGGATGCTTTTCGGCAGGACTGGTCGAGGTGGGGGTACCTGTTCCTCTTCTACCGGTCCAGCTGTTGCTTCGGGTTCTGGCTCGGTTGCAGCCCATTCCCACGAGAGTAGTCCTTATGGTTCCTTGGTGGCCGGCACAACTTTATTTTCAGACGCTGCTTGATAGGTGTCTGAACCCGGGGCGTTTTCCCGCGGCTCCGCCTCTTTTGGCAGGTCGGATCGGTCCTGTACATGACTGGTTCGGCCTTCTCCTCGGCTCTTCGCGTCTGGTATTTTGAGGCGGGTATCACCATCTCTGTGGTGATCAGGTGGCTTTGTTGATGGTGTCCCACCTGCGAGCTTCATCTTGGTGACAGTATGACGTTCCTGGTGTTTCTATGCATTTTTTCTTGCTCTTCGTAAGTTGTCTTCTCTTTCACATCAGGTTGTCTTGTCCTTTCTTGGGTTTTCAGGTCTCCAGTTATTTGATGTTTCTTACTGTCGCCTCATTTTGTGCGGCGCTGGCGGAGCCGTTCCAGCTTGCGTTCGGGGTGGAAGTCACATCTGCCCCGTTTCGTACGCTTTCTCGTGTTTTGTTTCACCTCCGGCCTGCTCATGCGTCGCCTGAGCCGTCCTGGTCCTTGATCAGGGTGCCTTCTTATCTTCTCAGTTTGTGGTAGCCCCTTCGGTTCAGGTTTCTGCTCTTTGGTACTGGTGGTAGGTTTGTACGTTTGCAGCCTTTCTCCGTCCTGGCGACGGTCAAGACGGCTGTTTTCCGGAGGGGTTCTTGGGTTATTGATGCTTAATTGGTTTGGCCGGGGGTGCATCCTGTGTTGTCCGGTTGCGTTTTTTGCCGTTACCTGCGTACCGTGTCTGGGGATGCACTTTGGGTTGATCCGGTTCCCCTTGTTCCCTGTTTCAAGGCTCGGGTCTCCCAGGTCGTCCGCAGAGTTTTTCAGTCTTCCAGCCTGCGGTCTGTCCTTGCGCCCTTGGTGTTCGGACATTTGCAGCTTTTGCTGCTGTGTTGGTGATGTCTAGGGCTTATTTCGGGTGCAGGGATTTGAGGGTCGCACAGGTTCTTGGCTGCCCATTCTTTATGCGCGTCTCCTGTGCGTTCTTGTTGCCTTGGGTCGCAGGTTGCTGCCTGTTGTTTCGGCTTCGTGTTGAGGAATTTGTGGCGGCCGCCTCCCGGGTTAGCCCTTTCTTTTCCTTCTCTTTGGGTATGAAGCTCCAGGGAGCCATAGGGGCTCCCCACAGAAAACCAGGGTTGAATGTAATGAAACGCCATTTTCTGGGTGAGCCCCGGAGGCTCCCTGGCAACCCTCCCTCCCACCGGTCGGCAGTTTTTCGTGTTGGTTGAAGCTTAGCTTCCAAACTGAAGCTAGGCAGCCAATGCGGTAGGTTCGGGGCTCCCCCTCCACCCCCCGGGGCAGGGAGGGCTGCGCGGACGATCGGCACGGCAGTAAAGTGTGATGTTTGCTTGTTTCCTTAGGATTGTAGGGAGTTTCTACCTCTCTGTTCGTTTTTTTGTTTTAGTTTTACCATGTGGGGTTTGTTTTGTTATGCCTACCTTTCTGGGTGCCTAACCCCGGTTGATTGCAGATAAGGAAAACCCCAACCACAAGGGTTTTTTTCCAGGGCCATTACTCCCTGAAACCTCTCTGAAGGGGCCAGGTTCTGGCACTGGTCCCTGGTAGGTCTGAACTCCTTAGCTAATGTCCCGGTCTAATATACATTAGCTCGATAAGCTCCAGGGAGCCTCCGGGGCTCACCCAGAAAATGGCGTTTCATTACATTCAACGCTGGTTTTTTGGATCAGTGTTGGCTGTGCTCGGCAGTGCCTTAGTTCTCTGACACTATGCTATTTCTTTCACAGTTCTCTTGACTTGTTCTCGAGTCATGGGTGATTGTTCTTGGACACAGGGTACTAATACCCAGTGCTTTGTCCTGTATGTGTTGGCTTTGGTTCATTCTTTGTGCCTTGATTCATTGTGTGTACCTACAGGTTGTACCTTTGTGGCTGGGAAAGAATGGTTGTTTCACTTGATTTGCTAACCTTCGTGTTTCTAGAATGACTGGCTTAGGTAATTGTTAGCCCCTTTGCCTGGGTACCTAAGCCTATTTTTAGGCACAATTGATCAGGCTATGAGAACTTTGTTACTAATTTGCCTCCTTTTAAATATGCTATCCTTGTCCACCTTGTCTGCTGGTATTTCTTGAGTTTCTTGTAAATAGTAATCATATCTCTATGCATCTTTTCTCTTCTAAATTTGTGAGGTTGGGTTCCCCTAACTTGTCCTCATTGCTTGAGCCTTCTTTATTCTGTGAGTGTAAATCAAATCTTTGTACTTCCTCAGTTTCATTTTGTGTTTCATAGGAAGTAGTTTCCTTGCCAGTGCTGCATACTTCAGTAATGGTTTCCCCTTGAAAGCCTCTTTGTTTTAACTTATAAATACTGTCCTCTCCTTATGAGAAAATCCGTAGGAGCCGTGATGAGGGTTCGAACCTTTGTGGTGGGTGTTCCCACGCACACACAGTAGGCGACTAGACCACGACATGGTATAATCTCTTACGGATTTTCTCATTGATTCAGTTATGTTAATGTCATTAGTCTCTATGCTGTCCTTATGTTCAACAACTTCCCATATGCCCCTAACATTACCCTTTTCACCTAAATTTATTGTAATAGTATGAGGATTGTATCCAATCCCAGGCATTTCTCTTTTATTGTTTCTTGCATGTCTCTTATCTTCCTTTCCCATCTTCATTACCTTACACTTTCTTTGGATTTAATTCCATCAGCCATTTATCTTCCAATTCCTGAAGTTTGTCATGTCTTTAATATTTTAGTCCTCTTATTTTCTTACTCTGCTCAATAGCTTTGCATCATTCACAAACATTTACATACAGTACCAACTTAACAGGAGAGAGGTTTTTATATCAAATTAGACAGGACATTAATTAGAAATTAACATGAATTAAATAGGACAGAGCCCTAAAAAAAAAACCTTTCCACTCCTCTTCAGCTTGACGTAACTGACTCATTTCCACCCCATCAGGTGCTTCCTTAACCAACTAAATGTTTTTTTTTCATTATTCCTGCTAGTCTCTGCATCTTGTGTATTAACATTTTCTGCCCGAAACACTATGCGTGCTAGTGGCTTTACAAAAATGTAAGATCATTATTGCTATGTACTCTTAACCCTCAGTGTACCTTCTTGTATATACATAAATAAATGAATTAAGTAAATAAAAGGTTTCTGACATTCTAGGAAGATGGTCTACTCATCATTTGTTCTCTTATTTTTTAGTGACCATATTATTGAATTCAATCAAGTTTCAAGTGTGATTTTCCCTCCCAGAATTCCTTAGGGAAAACGGATTATTTTGTATGAAATAAAAAAAACGGTTACGTAGATATAATCTTGATTTGAATGCGACATTATGTGGACATTCTTTAACATTCATTAATCTGTATAAAAGAGTTTGGTCTGTGTCTATAATGCTATGTACAGTTGCCTTGTTTGTCTGTGTCTGGCCGTCCCTGCTGTGTGTGTGTGTGTGTTTATTTCTCTGCTCCGTTTCTTCAGCAGTATCCCTGTCTTCATTTTCCTCACTCTAGGTTTGTTCCTGTGTTTTCTTTCTTATTGCATTTGTTTCTTATTAAACAAATGAAATCATTAGGCATAAATTCCCTTGACATTGACCTTGATATGTACAAGACCACCACTCTTTATGAAGGGTCAGCCCATATTTTATTGGATTAGTTTTTCCAGGTGTATTTAAAGTTAAGCTCTTTGTAATTCATTTTTATGTAGTTATATTTTGTCTCAACAATTTGTTTTTTGCATTTTTCAAATTAGTTCTATGTTATTACAAAAGATGGAAATATGTAAACAATATTTCAGTGTACTTGAGATCTACACCTGAAGTAGTACACGGTAGGATGCTGAAGAGAGGTCGATCTGAGGAGGCTGGTGTCCCCTTGGAATACTTGAAGGTGGTGAGTATCTGTTAACCTTAGTCTGTTTATGTTGTAGATTCTGTACTTTGTATACTTCATTTTCTGAGGGGAGCCCCTAAGGCTCCCTGGAGCTTATCAGGTTAATGTATGTTATATTAGACCGGGACATTAGCTATGCAGTTCAGACCTACCAAGGACCATGAGCCAGAACCTGGCCCCCTTCAGAGAGGTTTCAGGGAGCAATGGCCCTGGAACCCCCTGAAACCTCCGTCCCAACCCGAACAGGGCAGCCCCCGAAGTCACCCGAGTCTCGGCACCAAGTAAACCCTGCCTTGACCCTGAAACCCGCAGACAGTCAAGAACCGGGAACAGGGAGGGGAAAGGGGGCAAACAACCCTAACCAAAACGGGGTGGCCCCGGGGCATCCAGGTGGGAAACCAACCTATCTCGTTGCAGCTCTGCCCATTATTTAACCTAAACCAAGCTTGCAACGCGGATGCCGCTTGTACTCTGAACAGGAAGGACATCAGAAGAGTACTGGAGAACAATCAAAGAACACTTCTCACAAGACTCCGGGTCGAGATGTCAGGGACCCAACAGGCAGCATGACCGAGGCAGAACTGGTGAGTGTCACCCTGAGATAAGGGGACAGAGCAACCTTCAAACTCACACGAAGTGAGATGGGACCCAGGGGATGCATCCATTGGACCACAGTTTTCCAGGGCCCTTAGGCGCTCTGCTAAAGGAAGCCTTTAGCAGAGCGGAGGTAAAAGTGGCGACTGTCACCCTGAGACAAGGGAACAGCAACCAACGAACCCGGAAGACACATCCAATGGGCCCCCATGCCCCGGCAGGGTTTTCCAGGGCTCGTAGGCTGACTGCTACGGGAGGCCCAGGCAAGGTGTTGCTAACCGGTTAGCACCCAAAGCTAACACGGGGTAGATAAGAACACTGAAAACCCCTGCGACATGTACAATCACGGGGTCCTAGCAGAGGGCCACCAAACACTACCAGTGGAACTATAGCCACACTAGGCAGACCCCCACAAGGCAACTGAAAATGACCCCTCAAAAGTACACCGTCCCCAGAGGCAACAGGAACCAGTCGCCGTGTAGGTAGCAGGTCGCGCAACACCTTGGCGCCCTAACCAGCACAATACCAGTCCCTACCCAAGACCAAACAAGGGCCCCAAGCCCCAGCTGGCCTCAAGGACGAAGCAAATGCCAAGCAGCAAGAGCCTCTACAGGAATGGTTCCCGAACGCCCCAGAGAAGGTAACCTTGTCACGCAGGGGCAGTATTCACAGGGCGCTTAGGGAAGGAAGCCCCTAAGCGCATGCAGCCCCGGTACTGATGAGGAACACCTGGCCACCGCACAACACAAAAAACGGCAGTGAGCACCACAAAGGCAAACACCGCCTAGGAAATTGAGGCCAGAGAAGTGTCTGTCCTGGTTGACATTAACTTACGAACTGGAGTGCTATGCAGCCGGCACGTTGAGGTCTGGGCGCCCCTCCCCTTTTCGGGGAGGGGCGGGCTGCGCAGACGAGCGGCGTGGCAATAGTGTGTTAAGTTTGCTTGTTTGCTCGTTAATTTGGGATTGCAGGGAATTCTACCTCTCTGTTCGGTTTTTGTTGTTAGTTTCTTACCATGTGGGGTTTGTTTTGTTATGCCTACCTTTCTGGGTGCCTAACCCCGGTCGATGGTAGATAAGGAAAACCCCAACCAGGGGGGGGGTTCGCATAGTCCGATAAGCTCCAGGAAACCTCCGGGGCTCACCCAAAAAATGGCGTTTCATTACATTCAATGCTGGTTTTTTCCACCAGTTCCACCAAAAGCCTATAATATAGGGATTGTTGCTAGTCTGCATAGGGGGGGATGGAAGACATTGTTTTGTAGGCATTTTCACAAATTGATAATACAGTGATTTTAAGTAAACTAATACTGATTTTTTATTTATTTATATTGTTTTCTGAGAGGGAATCCTCAATAGCTCTCTAAGCTTTGGTCTGGTACCATCAGGCCTAGCACAACATGTTAGGCCTTAGAGACCCATCTGTCACCTGCTGGAAGCAGGACCACAATCTGCCTCATTGTAAGACAAAGGGAGCAGGGGATCAGAGATGAACACAAAGTGGGAATTACCCACCTAAGCATGGGCACAACAAAACAAGTAACTGCTTGAAAGAAATTAGGCATCCTTAGATAAGCACCTCAGCTTAGATAAGATTACCTCAGCTATTAGGTAAATAATCTGACAGTAATGCACCTAATTGCCACCCGATGGCAGCTCAGGTCAGTGAGATGGAGGTAAAAAGTGAATAAGAACTGCTTTTTTAAATTTAGAGAAAACAAAACAGGAGTATATAAGTAGAAACTTTTAATATAAATGAGCTGAAGAAATTAAAACAAACCATTTCTTATAGTAAATACTGTAATACAATACATATATTTGTATATTTAGACTTATTATTCTAGGCAGGGTATGAAAATGTAAACCACACTGTTAGATAAGCATTATTAGTTAAGCATCACCCTCCTCCAGCAGTCATGCTTGTGTTTTAATTTCATTAACATATGATAGACTCTCTGAGATTGATTTTCTGGTATAACTGGGAAAAAGTAAGAAGATACTTATACAGTTTCAATCAACAGTTAACTGCTCATTACAACTGTATAACTCATTAATTAACAATTAACTAACATGACAAATTATCTTGCATTCAATAATGATTTGTGTTTCAGGTTCACACTTATTATGAGAAATGGCTACTGAATAACGAGCCTCGGGCGCCTCCGGCCCCTGTGCTCGTTATCAATGCTGACCAAGAACTTGAGGATGTTAAGAAAGAATATGACTTGAGAAAACCTGTAATCATGGGTGAAAAACCACTGTAGCACATACAGGAAAGTCTTCATTAATTTAAACTCTTCAATATTGTTTGTTTGAAGTTATAATGTTGAGAATGACAATCTTATCTAACTTCCAGATATAGCAATAAATTTTACTGATGTTACTTCATGGGTTATTATTGCATTATTTGAATTAAACTTTATTTAGGAAGCTTTATTGCTTCAAGACAGGTTTTAAAAAGTATTTTATTGATTTCATAACCTACTCATTAGCTAGTTTTATTACTGTTTATTAATTAAGAACTTTAATTTCTCAATACCCAGATACATATCCTCTTGTGACAATGTTTTATATAAATTGATAAGTGTTCTGTATTTGTTTTTTTCCACTTATAAATATGTAACCTTTTCTTTACCATATATTTGGTTATATTTAATCAACTATGAAATGCTTTGTTTACTTGCTAAGAAAAAAAAGATAAACAAAATATTGATCTCTCTAATATATTTACAAATGTATACAGCTATATATTAATTAACAGCAATGTTAAATAGTTTTGTTAATTTTATACTAAAATATTGTTACCTTGTAGTGCCCCCTGTTGGCAAATGCTAGACAGCATTACAAATAAATGTTAGATATATTTTTAGTTTATATTATTTCAATTTAAAAGAACTGAATTGATAAAGGAAAACCTTAGCTATAACCCTGATGCCTTACTCCCATCCTGGGAGGTTGCCATTAGGGGGTGTGCACAGCACAGGTTTCTCCAGTGGACTCTTTATCGCCACAAAAACCACTCCTTAAAGCTCTAACCCTTCCTCCTACACTTTCATATTATTTCAATCATCCAAGATGTTGGTCATCTGCCTCTATCATATAAACACTGTATTTCATCCATTCTTGTAATTACCTGAATAATTACCTAAGTGTATTTACAGGATGAGAGCTACACTCGTGGTGTCCCGTCTTCCCAGCACTATTTGTCATATAATGCTTTGAAATAAACACTTAGGCATTCTACTAACATCTCCCTTACTGGCTAGGTGTATTGTGCTGCTTCACCCTCTCTGCATTTCATTCCCTCAGTCTTTTCACTTATGAGGCCGGATGCACAATTTCTCAACCTTTCTCAAACATGCTCAAACCTTTTGTGCATAATCTACATGATAAATGCTCCAACTTTTCCTAATGGAACAACATCATAACATGAACAGAAAAAAATACAAACTTCACAATTTAAAATTTCTATATTGTCTAAAATTTCACCAATTTTTATTTTGGTCATTATGAGGATCAAAATGGCATATAAAGTTTATTTTCCTTCAAAAAAATAATAATAATTTGAGAGTATAACCCCTCCCTTTCTGGTTCGTTGTCGCCGTGAGGGGCTTGGTGGTCGGCTGCCGGAGTGTGATGCTCCGTGGGACAGTCCTCGGTCCTTTTGTGGCCTTATGCTCCAGCTGCTGTCTTTACCAAATTTGGCCAGAACTCCTTTCCTTTTCCTTGTGTTTTGTTTTTCTCCCCCCCCCCCCTCCTTTCTAATTGTCATTTCCTGCCGACCTTTTGCCTGTTTTAATTATACTCTTGGACTTCTTCTATTTTGACGCCCGGGTATTTGGGGAGGCATACTCTTGCTGCACCCATAGAACTGTAGTACCCGACGTCGAGAGCGAGGGGAACCTTTTATTGTCAATCCTCCTTTTGTCACTGAGCCCGATTTCGACGGACTCACGGTTCTTAAGGTGTCGTTTGTGGGGCGTATACTCACGATGCACCTCTGGGGGGCCCCGGCAAGATTGGCGATAGCTTCTTGTTGGGTGTCCTGCCTCTAATTGTGACTCCATGGTGGGTGTGGGGGCACATTCATGAATGAAAGTTTTTTTCCTCGTTTTCATGGCTGATAATGTTTCCCTTGTTCCTTCTCAGGCTCGTGGGGTGGGCTGGAGGACCAGGCCCTGTAGCCCCCACTGCGTTGGGCCCCAACCCCTTGACTACTCCCCTCAGCTTCCCTCCCTCCTCTGCGGTAGGGTCGAGTTCCCAGGCCCCCAGTGGTGACCACCTCGTCCCCTGGCACGTCTCCGTCTCTCATTGTGACTATTCCGCCTTTTACCCCCTCTCTCTCTGGGGGTTCTTAATGCCGTCCCCGCCACGGCTGCTCTCGCACGATCCCTTCCCGTACTAATACTTACAGCGCCTTGTTTGGTCCCACTACATGGGCCAAATGGTGGAGATACTTTGATCTCCACCATCTGGATTCTACTCCTCCTGACAATTTCTCCCTCCATAAACACCTTGTTGATTCAGTAGATGCCTCTGTTACTTTTAACTCTACTAGTTACAGTACGCGTGTCGTCGCTGCTCCTTCTCAGGATGCAGCTACTAGCTTAGCCACTTTGTCCTGTATTGGAGAGACCCCCTATTCGGGTCTCCAAAAACGCTCGGTTAAATGCCAGTGTTGGCACTGTTCTCCTCCCACACCATGTTGCAACTGGTGTTCGGGACCTCAAACATTGCCATGAAGATATTAAACATATCCTCGAAGCCCAAGGCCATTCTGTCCCCAGGTTATCTTATGATTTTGGGGCTTTTTAGTGTTCCCGCGGCCCGGTCCTCGACCAGGCCTCCACCCCCAAGAAGCAGCCCGTGGCAGCTGACTAACACCCAGGTACCTATTTTACTGCTAGGTAACAGGGGCATAGGGTGAAAGAAACTCTGCCTCTTGCGGTTGTCGCCATCAGCCAATTCGAGTTGTTAAAATCACCTTTGATAGTAGGGCCCTTCCACCCTCTATTATTCTTGCTGGTGCCAGATGCTCCATTCAGGAGTACATTCCCTCTCCTAGACTGCAACATTTTTTTTTTTTTTTTTTTTTGCACCCAAGTGTAGTTGCAGGATGAGAGCTACGCTTGTGGTGTCCCGTCTTCCCAGCACTTTTTGTCATATAACACTTTGAAACTACTGACGGTCTTGGCCTCCACCACCTTCTCACTTAACTTGTTCCAACCGTCTACCACTCTGTTTGTGAAAGTGAATTTTCTTATATTTCTTTGGCCTCTGTGTTTAGCTAGTTTAAATATATGACCTCTTGTTCTTAAAGTTCCAGGTCTCAAGAAATCTTCCTTATCGATTTTATTAATTCCTGTTACTATTTTGTATGTAGTGATCATATCATCTCTTTTTCTTCTGTCTTCTAGTTTTGGCATATTTAATGCCTCTAACCTCTCCTCATAGCTCTTGCCCTTCAGTTCTGGGAGCCACTTAGTAGCATGTCTTTGCACCTTTTCCAGTTTGTTGATGTGCTTCTTGAGATATGGGCACCACACAACCGCTACATATTCTAGCTTTGGCCTAACAAAAATCGTGAACAATTTCTTTAGTATATCACCATCCATGTATTCAAAAGCAATTCTGAAGTTAGAAAGCGTGGCATAGGCTCCTCCCACAATATTCTTTATGTGGTCCTCAGGTGATAGCTTTCTATTTAGAACCACCCCTAGATCTTTCTTTATCAGAATTCTTTAAAGATTTCTCTCATAATATATAGGTTGTGTGGGGTTTATGTTCTCCTATTCCACATTCCATAACATGGCATTTATTAACATTAAATTCCATTTGCCAAGTGGTGCTCCATATACTTATTTTATCCAGGTCATCTTGAAGGGCATGACAATCATCTAAGTTTCTTATCCTTCCTATTATCTTAGCATCAGCAGCAAACATATTCATATAATTCTGTGATCGCTACAGTTTTTGCTATCTTGCACGATCCTTACAACATCCTTACTCTCGCCTCTACTGTGCTTTGACTTTTACCTCTCCTGTAGTTACTGTGCCTCTTCACCACCTCCCTCTTTCTGTCTGTCTGTCTCACTTACAAGATTCTGTTTCGGTTCATATTACCAATGTTTCTCCTCGTATTGTTCCATCCCTGCCCCCGTGGAGGGTCCCCCTTCCCAAATTTTGTACTTCTCTGATCTGCATTACTAAAGCTTTTACCCCTTCTACAGTTCTGAAACGCCTCTTCCTTGAGCACTTTTCTTCTCACTCCCACTCCGTTCCCATCTTCACCGATGGGTCTAAGTCTGCTGACAGTGTGGGCTACTCTGTTGTTTTTCCTGACCACACTTATATGTGTCGCCTTCCTCCGGAGGCTAGCATCTTCACAGCAGAACTTTATGCTATTCTCTATGCTGTTTGTCTCCTGCTTTCCTGATGTCAATCCTCCTTTGTGGTGGTAGTTGACTCGTAGTGCCCTCATGGCTTTAGGGTCCTTTAATCCGGTCCACCCGATGGTCATCGAGATTCAACATTGGCTGTTTCTTATCTCCAGTAAATTTAAGTCGGTTGAGTTTTGCTGGGTTCCTAGCCATGTTGGTGTCTTTAAAGAGCTGTCAGTGTTTGGTCGGTGCAGTGATTGCGCTGAGTGTCAATCAGGCTCTTGTATGGGTCGTCGGCCCTTTCACGGTTCGCCCGATTAATGGGGGCGAACCACGAAAGTAGTTTGCCCCCCAAATGAAACAGCAGTGTAGAAAACAGGGAAGATTTTTAAGAGGTGATCTAAGATAGACTAAGTGGCATTGGGGGTACCATACTCGTCTGATGCTTCATGAGTGTTTTTATCTGGGTTCAAACCCTGTCCCAGGAAAGGCTGACTAGGCACGGATCCTTAACTGTTCACCCAGCAATAATTGGGAACCTGGTTGTAAACTGATTGGCAGGTCATGTTCCAGGGAAAATTAGTAGGGTAATGCTTAACAAAGCTATTGGAAGGGAAAGCTGTAAACCTACTAACAAGTCGAAAATCTTCTACTCCTATGCTCACCTGTGTAAGTACAACGATCATTTCATATTTACAGATTCGCAAAGTGCACTCATGACAATTTATAAATATAATGACATTTAACAAATAGTCTTGAGATACAAGAATTGATATTTAAAATACAAAAATGCAAACTTGACTACTTTCTTTAGAAATGAAGAAGACAGAAGCAATATGCAATTGAAGATGAAATATCCCCTAAATAAAAATCTACCATTATAAAGCTTATTGCCTGAAACAAGTTGCAAGCAAAATAAAACTTTTTTCTTGCTCTTCTCTTGATCATGGAGAAGAAACCTCACGGAAGGTAAGATAAGATTTATGTGGTGACAAGTGTTACTCTAAACACTAGAAAATATATTAACTAAAAAAAATAATAAATTATCATCATTATTTTACATACAAAGTTAGCCTAAGTAGAACCTATAATAATACTGGATAAGCAAGACTAATATACAATATTAAATCCAAAATTGTGTTGTTAAAAAACTGCATTATTTTTTCTAAAATATATTTTGGAAATGCATTACATTATAGTATAATTATTTTTATGAAGAGATTTTTCATTATTGTGTACATACAAAGAAATTGTTTTGCCTGTAATTCAAAAGTACAGCAATGATATCAGACAGATTTAACAAAATACTTTATGCTGTAAGAAATTAGGACCTCAGTGTTGACAATAATAAAATATCATTTGTGTATGGCAGTGCTTACAAATACTGACTTGTGCATTATCACATTTATGGATGGAATAGATTGCACAAAAGTTGTCATGCATTCAAACCAGTTTTAATATGTAATGACTAGATCAAAGAATTTTATTATACCAATTTCTAAATACTAATAAATAAGAGTGTCATCTGCTGAGAGTTAATAGTACTCAACAGCAATACAATAGTATAAACTTTCAACGAATAGCATAAGTCACTCGACATTTTTTAATAATACTTGATTTTTGCATGCCATTATTTTCAAGTTGGGATTTAGGTCATGGGACACTTATTAGAACCAATTCCTTATGAACATTTCCTACCAGTCATTTTATATCTGGGCAAATTGCTGCTGGGTGCATAAGAAACAACAGTACCCAATTGCCTTACCCTGGCTGAGGTTTGGAAGTAGGCTTTGTTGCTTGCAAGGTGAGAGGTCACTACAACACTGTCAGCCATTTTGTCTCATCATGTTCAACAAATAAATTATTGTACATACATACATATATAACACTTGTGAGTGTTTCCAAGTTGTAATGAATTCTATATAGTTAATATATTTTGACGCAATAATAATTAATAGATTATTAAATAAATATGAGCTGTTTGGAACATGTTGTGAAGAAGTGCACAATTTTAAATTTGAGAGTAAAGAAACTCATAAGGCAAATGTGCACTTTTAGCAAACAGCTAAGTGATGGTGAGTTGCATTATTTTACTGTATTATATTTACGGACGAGAAATTATAATTTAATTTTTTGTTTTTGAAATTAAATAAAAAATTTCCATTTACTCAATAATGGCTATACAACAATAAATAATGGTTATACAACAATATTGAATTCAATACACTGTTTTAGGTTCTAAATTAAAACCAAAGCTTAATAAATGTGAGGGTCTGGGACTGTGTGGGAGTAATAATGCTGGTGGGCTCCAGTAGTGCAAGTCTGCACTGTCAAAACAAAAACCTTGACACTCTCCAGTAAGAAACTTCATATTTGTCCACCATGATAAAATTATTCAAATGTTTATACAGTATTATGATGTGCTTCACTAAATGTGTTTGTGCCTGTTGACATCGCTCTCAACGTGCCCATGATTTAAAACTACTTATGCACATGACTGTAACAAAAGGTAAGTAATTATAAGGAGAAAGGGCTAAGGTATTATGACTATAGCACTTGAAGGTCATGTTTGTTTTCATCTATACTAGTAGTAGGCATGTTTATAAACCTTCCAATTTATACTAGTTTTCAATTGATTTATGATATAGAACCATGCAGCCGACAGGGTTGCTCGTGACATTGTGCACTATAGATACAACTTGTATCTGTTTTAAGACTGTGATGTTAAAATAATCAATATATGGTTATTATTTTCCCTCTAAATATGACAATGGCTCATGGGTGTGGGTATAGGCCCGTGGGCCATTGTATCTATAGCTCTTAACCTTGCTGCAGGTGCTATAATAATCAATTTGCAAACTAATCATTAATATTTTTCAGTAAACTTTGAATCAACAAAATATTATTTAATTAATGAGATAAAAGAGGGTTTATACCATCAGGAAAAAGAGCAGTTTTATGTTATTATTTTGAAAGTCAAACCAATAATGTATGCCTTTTATAAATGCAAAAAACTGCAACCAACAATATGATTTTACTTGGCAGCTTGATATAATCTTTACATCATACAAAATGGGAATTTCAAACTAAATGTTGAATTACATGGAAAGAATTGTTTAAATATTGGTCTTGAAATGCTATGCATGTATTAAATTTACTAATATTTACTTTTCTTTCTAAAAGAAATTAAATTTACAATCTGGTATGGCTAGGTCCTATAAACATGATTCACAACTGTTTCTAAATTAATGGATCTTCATCACATTTCCAGAGATTCATGTGTGTAAATTCATACTTATTAATCCTTAGGCTGCTATAAGATATTTCACTTATGGCAGGCTATTCACAATAGCCAACCAATTAATCTTTACAGCTAATGTTAATGACACCGAAATGCCTTTTTGCCTTTTTTTACCTATACAGCCATCCTAAATGACTAGAACAATATATTTAAAATTAAATACAGTACAGTAATATCAATATATAAGCGAGTGTTAATTTTTGTACATAAATGGCAAAAACATGCATATAGTTTCAAAATAAAATTTCACAGGGACTCGAGCAGTCCCTGTGGTGCAGTGGGAAAACTCTCACTCGGCACTTCGCAAGCGCTTTGGCCTGGGTTCATATCCTGGCCGGGGCGGATTTACTTGACGCCCGTCCTTAACAGTAGCCTCTGTTCACCAGCAGTGAATGGGTTTCGATTCGATTACGATTCGGTGGGTTGTAGTCCGGGGAAAATTAGGATTAAGACCTTGCCCGAAATGCTATGCATGCTAGTGGCTGTATAAGAATGTAAGAATTCTTGTATATATAAATAAAGATAAAAACAAATATATCAAAATCCATTAGAATTATAATAATGTATACTAAAACTGTACTGTGATGGAGAATTATTTGACTATTTTTCTGTTTTCATATATTTTGTATAGAAAACATAAAAATGTCCCATAATAATCACTTTGGAAATGATGGATTATATTTTATATAATCCATCATTAATAAACTTTCAAAGAAAATAAATCTACTTTGAGTATGAAAAGTTCCTTTCTGAACAGAAAAATGAATCTTCCTTAGGCAAGATCCTTTCTAATTGCACTAAACAGGATTGTGCGAGTCAAGGAAGGCAACATTCTTTAATGGCTCAAGAAGAAGCTTTTTCAAATGTCCCTTTTACGTCATACTGGTGCTAGGGAGGCACAGAAGAGCTCATCCTGCCCAGAGATCTGTGCTAGCTATAACTGAAATTGCCATTTAGTGATCTCGCTTTACTGCACCAGTGCATGTCGGCACCCTGCCCTAAATGGAATGATATCGTCTAACAAGACCCAGACTGGATAGCACAGAATATATTATATGTATATATATAATCACTTTGGAAATGATGGATAATGTTTTATATAATTCATCATTAATAAACTTTCAAATAAAATAAATCTACTACTACTATATAATATGTATAATATATTTATTTCTGCCACATGCATGGGAAAGTTGCATTTTGGAATTTTGTAGCCTGAGGGTTTACTGTTGGATAGAACAGTAAAGAAAGCCTTTATGATACAATTCCATAACATGACTTTTTTATGTTGAAGTGTGAAAAAGAACAGAAATAGACCATTGCATATTAATTGTTCTAAACTTTCACTAGGTAGAGAATGATGTATCAAAGTGTCATTTTGATACATCATGCCATATCCAAATGAGATTACATTTTAATTTTTTCATTTCTGATCCTACTTATATACGGATGCTGGATCGGGACTTGTCCAAAATATCTTTACGTATTCGTGGATATTCAGGATGCTTGGCAAGGACAACGTGGCACACATCTATTGCATCAACAAAACGTCTTGCTTTCATGTAATTGAAGCCCAATTTGTAACCTGAGAGGATGATATATTTCATAAATTTATTATAATTAGTAATCAATACAACAATGTTTATATCTGTGTAAAAGTAACATAAAGGCACCAAGTAGGGAATACTATGTCAGTGTCAAAATTATATACCATATACAGTATATCAATGCCCAAATTCAGCATAATGTAGTTAAATATTTTGTGATAAGATGATAATTTTCTTACCTATCATAGGGTTTGTGTTCCCACTAAACTTCCAGGCCTGTTCATAATTGTAAGCAGCATCACGATAGCTCTGCTCTTTCTCCATAATGAAGCCCATGTACTCATAGGCTTTCATACATGAACGATTGTGTTGCAGGACACGCTAAGAAACAGATAAAAGAAGTAATATTAGAAATGTCATAATAAGTATCTAACATCAAACTTATTTCTGGTAGTAGTGTGGTGGCTATCCAAATAATAATACAATGATGAGAGCAGTGGATCTGTCTTGCAAATTATACTGATATTATAGTACACTAAAAGGGGTACCCGATGTTGTTCAGGTGATGGATGCCATATTTTCATTACTTACTATCTTCATCACTGTAATACCTATCTTCATTACTGTAACCTCCTCCACACACTATCTTCTACACTGTAACCATCTTTACACACCTTCCCTACCCTACACAAATTTCTCTCACTCTCATTAGGTTGTGAGATTCCCAGTGTGCCCCAAAAGCCAAAATTTGCACCCGACCCCTTAGAGGACAAAATCTAAAACAAATGGACTTACCCAGGGTAAGGACCACCACCACAAGGTAGGCACTAGGGAGCACACAGGGAAGAAAACCCTATGCACATGCAGCTCCAAGCACCCTATACTCCTGGATCATGCAGCATAAAAGTGCATAGGAACAGCCACAAAGGCAAAAAAACACCACTCTGGTGAAGCAGGAAACGGACGTGAGCAACAGAATGGATAGCCAGGGCACTAACTACCATCAGCAAGAACTGAGGGTGGAACAGCCAGCTGACCTGATCTGCCTCTCTCCTAACCACCCCCCTCAACCCCCAAACAAGGAGAGGTAAGGAGAATGAGCTTGCAATAGTTTCATAAATTTTCAATTGTTTGTTTACCTTGTTCAGAAGTTCTTTTGGCAATTTTGAGATCAATATTTACTATAACCAGCAGTAGTCTGTTTTGTTGCATTGACTTTGTGGGGGCTTTCCCAGTGGTGGCAAACATGATAAATATTCACTACTGCTCTCTGCATCTCTGCAGAGGGGACCAGGTTGTGGCTTGTGGTCCCCAGTAGGCCTAAAAGAACTTCACGACTGAAGGCACCTAGTAGTTTGGCACTATTTCAGTAATGTAGCTTCAGGGAGCCACATGGCCTCCTCCCCACAAAACAAAATTACAAAATTCTGGTATTTTTTTTCACAAGTACCAAGGAATTATGTATGATGCATAATATTCCAAAGAAAAACAATCATACCTTTAGGAGTTCAGTTGCCATGTCATATTTTCCTGTCTGAACATATATATCTGCTAGGAGCAACCAGCACCTCTCAAGATATTCAGCATCCTCGAAGTTCCAGACAGCTTTTGCAAGGCGTTTAAGTTGATTTCGAGCACGTGGTGTCTAAAAGAGAACATAATATTGGTACTTATTGGAACAACTAAAACATCACCTGTGTGTTAGTATGAACACTAATACTGCATCTATATCTATATCTATATCTATATATATATATATATATATATTGGTGTATACATACCAATATATATATATATATATATTTTTTTTTTTTTTTTTTTTTTTTTTATTATATACAAGAGTTGTTACATTCTTGTACAGCCACTAGTACGCATAGCATTTTGGGCAGGTCCCTGGAATACGATCCCCGCTGCAAAGAATCGTTGTTACAACCAAGTACACATTTTACTGTTGAGTTAAACAGAGGCTACAGTTAAGGATTTGCGCCTAGTAAATCCTCCCCGGCAAGGATACGAACCCATGACAAAGCGCTCGCGGAATGCCAGGCGAGTGTCTTACCACTATACCACAGAAACTTGGACAGACTAGATACCACGGAGGCATAATACAGTACCTTTATTTTTTATTATCCAGAAGATTATGTCTTGTATGTCATTTTTGTATGTACAGTACTTGCATATATCTCCTGTATTTTTACCCATGAAATTCTTTTGTAAACATATATTATAGATACAACACTCCACACACACACACACACACACAGACTTTAGGATGGAGATATACTAAAGAAATTGTTCACGACTTTTGTTAGGCCAAAGCTAGAATATGCAGCAGTTGTGTGGTGCCCATATCTTAAGAAGCACATCAACAAACTGGAAAAGGTGCAAAGACATGCTACTAAGTGGCCCCCAGAACTGAAGGGCAAGAGCTACGAGTAGAGGTTAGAGGCATTAAATATGCCAAAACTAGAAGACAGAAGAAAAAGAGGTGATATGATCACTACATACAAAATAGTAACAGGAATTGATAAAATCAAAAGGGAAGATTTCCTGAGACCTGGAACTTTAAGAGCAAGAGGTCATCGATTTAAACTAGCTAAACACAGATGCCGAAGAAATATAAGAAAATTCACTTTCGCAAACAGAGTGGTAGACGGTTGGAACAAGTTAGGTGAGAAGGTGTTGGAGGCCAAGACCGTCAGTAGTTTCAAAGTGTTATATGACAAAAAGTGCTGGGAAGACGGGACACAATGAGCGTAGTTCTCATTGTGTAACTACACTTAGGTAATTACACACACACACATTCCTTGTGGGAATCCACAAGGGTCTGAGTGGACAGCGCTCGGGGACCGTAGTCATAAGGACTCGGGTTCGATTCCCGGCTGAGGCAGAAACAAATGAGCCGAGTTTCTTTCACCCTGATGAGTCTGTTCACCTAGCAGTAAAGAGGTACCAGGGAGTTAGACAGCTGTTACGGGCTGCATCCTGGTGATGTGTGTGTTAGAGAGAAATATATATAGTAGACATAATAGAGGAAATAGGAATAGTATTATCGATTTCAAAGAACTAATAGCTCAATTCTGCAGATACAAATAGTAAATGCAACTGTTTGACCTTAAATCGTGGTCAAGACTGCCTGTAGCCTATATGTGTCCGGCGTCAGCAACAAGTAAGTTACACCATTAACATTCTAACATTGAAGAACCAGAGCTCAACCCCCGCAAGCACAACTAGGTGAGTACAGTTTGCCCCCGAAAGGCGAGTTTACAAGGCAGCGTCACTTATCTTCTGAGAACAATCCTTCGTATCCAAGATGTTGACATTAGGAAACCAGTATTAAGAGGCGAAGATAATGATGAATTACTTTGGGGAGTGAGCGTCATCACACTGAAGAGTCACATTGCTGCAGGCTTCAGGATAATTCAAATTATCTAAAGTGTCAGGAGTAGAGTGAGGGTTGCAAGTGGTGTCTCAGAATACATGAAGGTGTAGGGAATTTGAAAATAACATAAGAGATAAGAAATAAGTGTTAGTGAATGAGAAATCTTGGGTAGAAAAGTTGATCTTTCAAAACAGCAGAAGGTAAACAAAAATGGTCGCCACCACAGGGGAGGACAGTACCCCAGCAAAGGGATCTTTTGCAAGTTTCTCACAACAAGATGCAATGAAAGGGGGTTTTCTTGGCAGGTTAGTGATCATTCAGGACTTGCTAAAGAATTATGAAGATAAGGTTATTAAATTGGAACAAGAAAAAGAAGATCTCAAGATTGAGTTTTGTAATTTAAATGGAAGTATTTTCCAGCAAGGTAAGGAGATTACCAGCTTGACTAATAAGGTAAGGATGCAGGAGGAACACATCAAGGAACTAGTAAAGGATAATGAGGCATGGAAAGTGAAGAGTAGGAAATTTGAAGAAATTAACAAGAAAATACTCATATGGTGAACAACTCCAAGGTTATCTTGAGATGATTTCGGGGCTTTTAGTGTCCCCGAGGCCCGGTCCTCGACCAGGCCTCCACCCCGAGGAAGCAGCCCGTGATAGCTGACTAACACCCAGGTACCTATTTTACTGCTAGGTAACAGGGGCATAGGATGAAAGAAACTCTGCCCTTTGTTTCTCGCGGGCGCCTGGGATCGAACCCAGGACCACAGGATCACAAGTCCAGCGTGCTGTCCGCTCGGCCGACCAGCTCCCTTACCCTGAGGTACCCTGAGGGCTAACATGGAGTTAGGCAAGGAGATGCAACGAGAAACTTCATTGGCAACCCAAATAGAGGAGGCTAATAAAGAACTAGAAAAATATAAAGAAGAAATAAAAGAGACGTATGTCCAAGTTATAAAAGAGAAAGAGGCACTCAAGGAAGTGTGTTCATAAGTCAAAACCAGAAATGGCCAACAAGAAGCGGATCTTGGGCAAGCAATCAGGAAAGAACTGGTAACCAACAGTAAACTAGTACAAAACACTGCAGATAGAATTAAGTCCATAATAATTTTTGGATGTTTAGGGAAGGAAATTTCATCTAGGGCAGACCAAGCAGCAGAAGAGATGAAAATTATAGAGAAAATAGTAGGTTTAGGAGAAGGCTCAAAAGAAAATGTCAGTGATTTTAGAAGAATAGGAAAATATGAGAAAGACAAGAACCGCCCCTTAAGGGTGATGTTTAATGGAGTGAAAAACATGATGGAAGTGCTTAGAAATGCCAGGAAATTGCAGTGATGAGGTTGGCAAACTTTGGTCAATAAGACAAGACCTCTCAAAAGAAGACAAAGAAAAGCTGAAAATAAACCTAATTAAAGCAAATCATCTAAATGGGGATGGAAATGAAGAAGGCAGAAATTCTTTTTTCTACAAAGTGTCAGGGACTGGAAAGCTTGTGAAATGGTACATAAAAACAAAGCAACAAGATCAGTAGTGGAAAGGGGAGTAAAGAGCAAAGGAAAAGGGAACATGTTCCTGAAAATTGTATATACCAACATAGATGGAGTGAAGTCAAAAACTTTGGAGCTGCAAGATATAATTTAGCTTAGGGTCCCAGATATTGTCGCATTATCAGAGACGCAACTTGAAGAAAATATATTAAATGAAGTCATATTCCCAAGGGGCTATTCAGTTTGGAGACATGACAGGAAAACTAGGAAGGGAGGAGGAGTGGCTGTGCTGGTAAAAAAACACCTGAAGGTAAGAGAGTTAATATTTGAAAACCCTCGAGATATTCACATAATGGCATGTGTACACACACAAATGCACGTGAAAAGAAAATTACAAGCCGCCGACCTGTGGGCAGAGAGCACCACGCCGGCCAGGCGAAGAAGGCACAAAACTGCATCAAAAGGCCCACCTCGACAACAAAAGCCTTGATGCCCTAACCAGCACAAAACCAGTCCCTACCCAGGGTCGAACAAGGGCCTCAAGCCCCAGCTGGCCCCAAGGGCGAGGCAAATGCCGAGCAGCAAGAACCTCTATGGGAATGGTTCCCGAACGCCCCAGGGAAGATAACCAGTACTGCCCCTGTCACGCAGGGGCAGTACTCACAGGGCACTTAGGGAAGTATGCCACTAAGCGCATGCAGCCCCGGCAATGATGAGGTACTCCTGGCCACCGCACAACACAACACACGGCAGTGAACGCTACATAAGGCAAACACCACCTAGGAAACTGAGGCCAGAGAAGCGTCTATCCCGGTTGACATTAGCTTACGAACTGATGCTAGGCAGCCGGCGAGGTAGGTCCGAGGCTCCCCCCCTCCCCCTCTCAGGGCGTGGAGAGCTGCGTGGACGATTGGCGTGGCAGTAAAGTGTGATGTTTGCTTGTTTCCTTGTTTCCTTGGGATTGTAGGGAGTTTCTACCTCTCTGTTCGGTTTTTTGTTTTAGTTTTTACCATGTGGGGTTTGTTTTGTTATGCCTACCTTTCTGGGTACAAACCCCGGTCGATGGCAGATAAGGAAAACCCCAACCACAAGGGGGTTTTCCAGGGCCATTGCTCCCTGAAACCTTTCTGAAGGGGCCAGGTTCTGGCGGTGGTCCCCTGGTAGGTCTGAACTCCTTAGCTAATGTCCCGGTCTAATATAACATACATTAGCTCGATAAGCTCCAGGGAGCCATAGGGGCTCCCACAGAAAACCCCGTACTCAAATGTCAACCCAAGACATGTTACCAAAAACAGCAGCAAGTGCAGCAAACTTATAAACGTCATGGGCACGGGGATAGACCACAGGCTGGCTAGACCGAATAACCGTGTGAACGACCTGGGAGACCCGAACCTTGGAACAGGGAAGAAGGGAAACCGGATCAACCCAAACTCATCCCCGGCTACAAACTCATCCGTGGCGCGCAAATAACGGCGGAGAGCCACAACTGGACACAACACATGATGCATCCCCGGCCTAACGAACCAAGCATCAACAACTCCAAGGACCCCTCCGGAAAGCAGCAGTTGCATCCAATGCCAGAAAAGAAGGAGACGAGCAGAAACCTCTGCGCCGGAGGAGAGCATGAAGCTCCCCGACCCAACCCCCAGAGGCCAATGCCAACAAGGAAAGAGCCTTAGTGAAACAATCCAGAACCAAAGGGGCCACTTCAAATCGAGGAGGGGAGAAGAGAGCACCCAATCCAAGGACCAGGACTGCTTAAGCGATGCATGAGCAGGCCGGAGGTGAACCACACCAGAAACAGCTTGCGAATTGGTGCAGATGGAACACCAAAACCGAAAACAACCATAGCGGCTTCACCAGTGCCGCATAAGACAAGGCGACAGTATGTGACAAAATGACGGCCCTGAACATCCACAAGAGAAGGACAAGACCATGCCAACAGTGCAGCAGACCTATGAAGGGACAAAAGGTTAACCTAACTAAACCTGCCAAAAAAACGCATACCGCCGCCGAGACGAAGCACGCAGATGGGACACCATCAACAAAGTCACCTGAATACCAACAGATGGTGAGACTTGAGGCAGAAGAAGAATACTGGAAGACTCGAGGCAAAAGAAGAAGAATACTGGAAGACTCGAGGAGGAACCCAAACCAGCCACCGCCACGGACCGGAACGAGCATGGGAAGAGGCGGAGCCGCAGGAACCCCGGGCTCGAAACCGAGCAAGCAGAGCCGGAAACTCAGGCCGGCAAGGAGCCAGATGGAACGTCTGCCGTACAAAAAACTTCCTAAAGCAAGCGAGCCCGTCAGGTGATTGGAGACGCTGTGGTTCCGATGCGAGACTCATGAGAAGCGTTACCGTGAGATCAAAATTGGGCCAAATGGTGGGTTAAGCCAGGAAACCAGGAACCCAAACCTGACAAGCAGGGAAAGAACCAACCTGGGCGAGCAGACACGCTCCATCCGGGAGGAACCCCCCCCCCTGAGACCCCTGAAGGACTAACAAGTCCAACAACGGATGACAACAAGCCGCTAGTAGAAAAACACGGAACCGCAAATGCCGCAAACAGCAAGGAGAGTTAACCAAAACGTGAACAGCACGAAAACAATGTACTGTCTGAAGGGAACACAAAGAAAATGCCCAGGGCCAGAAATGAAGCACCTCCCGGCCAACCGAAAAGAAACCTCAGGGGCATGAGAGGAGGAACGGAAGCCACCACCACCTGCATACAAATGCAAAGTCAAATTATAATAAAGTATTCAAATGTATAGATAGAGCTAGTACACACAATACCTAAAGCCACCAATAAGCATAGCATGTCAGGCAAAAGACAGGGCAACCCAGAAGCTGGGAGCGACACACAAAGAGCAGAGGAAAGAACTCAGGACCATAACTGAACACGGGCTGAGCAAAAGCAGGAAACGAAACATGGACAAAGTTCAACCTAGCGTGAAAAGTAGTATAGCCAATACGCACATACGAACACATAACAATGTGTAGGAGAGGGGAAAAATGGAAACAACGCAAGGAAAAGACCGAAAGACAGTCCAAGCACCAGCAACCAGGGACAAGAGAGTAGAAGCACAATGAGGAACGAAGAAGACTGCGGCAGCAAATGGGAACATAATGGACATGATCTACTACACACAGAGAGAGAGCCTAATGGATATGTAAGGGCTCAGCCAGGCACTGCACGACAGTCAAGGAATAAGTGTCCAGAGGCAAGAAAAGAACTAGATGCTGAAAGACTGAAGAAAGATCTCAAAGTTCTGGGTGGTGCCAAACCGTGTAACTAAGAACAGTACCAACGGACCGAGGAAGGCCACTGGAAGAAGCACACAACGGGCCAACGCCACAAACAAACTCCAACACACACATCCAAAAACTGCAAACCAGTGCCTGGCCGAAGTGTCGCCAGATCATACAAGCTCACCTGAAGAGCGTAGGCATTATCGTGTCACAACACATCGTAGCCATGTAAAATTCCGGGAGCAACACCAGTGGAATATGGCCAGAGCCATATGTGCAGGAAAAGAGGTGCAGTGGAGAGGCGCATGCAGTGCCATGTACCTAACACTAAGGAAGGGAGCCCACTGGTCAGACCCACACGCCACGGCTGGAAGAACAGGCTCTAATGCGTCCGTCGCCACCCCGTAAGTGGCAATCCCCGAGACCATTGAAAACCCCGCCCCGACCCCGAAACACACAGATGGGTCAGAGTCCGATGCAGGGAGGGAGGAAGGGGGGACCAGACTGAACCACAAAAGGGGAAAAGACAAAGGGGTGCCGACGGAAATAAAACCGAAGCGAGCCCGGGTCCCAACAACACACAAAATTGCGCCAAAGTGGACTCAAACACCTAGTCTCCAAAAGTAAGCATGACACAGAGCACCGCCCTGGTGGCCAGGCACACAAGCAGGATAGCAAAATGACCACCATCATAAACAATGCAACCACAGACCAGAAAGTGACTGAAAATGTATAACACGGCGGCAAAAAGGGCAAAATTTAGGCCGAATGGAAGAAGGGAACGAAAACCCCCTCCCCTGCAGCAAAACCCCTGCTCAGAAGCACAAAGGCCCAAACAGGAGCAAAGTGGAGCCCAAGCATACCAAGCAGGCTTTCCCCCAAACCCCGAGACCTCTTGAGAGAGGCTTCGGGGCAGAACCCACATCAACGCCCAGCACCCTTTAAGAAAAGGCGGAATCCAGGGGAAAATGCCTCAAAGAAGGGTACTAAAGGAATACAGTATAGCTGGGAGGCCCCAAAAGCCTCGGCGGGACAATCAAGTTCAACAGCCTTCGTCCCCACATCAAATGGGGCAGCCCCCGGGGCCACCAGAGTCTCATTCCTAATTAAACCCTGCCCTGACTCCGATACCCTCAGACGTTTGGGGGCGTATCAGCAGGGGGGTGGGGGTGGAAGGAGGAGGGCAAACCATGCCAACGAGGGAAGTACTCAACGGCGCGGACTGAACCAAGGCCAAAGCAAACTAATGCCCCCAAGTTCAAGTCCTAACTAAAACGGGGCAGCCCCGAGGCATTCAAGTAGGAAATCAATCTAGCACAGTGCAATATCCTAAACCTATCAAGCAAGGTGACAGTCGCTTGACCCCTAAGATCTTCCGAAGAAGAAAGGGTAAACTGGAGAACGAGCAAGGAACAAGACCCGCACGATTCAGGGTCAAAGATGTCAGCGACCCAACAAGCAGCATGACGGGAGGCAAAACCAGTGATCAGCACCCTGAGATAAGGGCAACAAACAATCTTCAAACTCACGCAAGGTGAGATGGAACTCTGAAGACATAGTGAGGGTCACCTGAGCCCCGACGGGGGTTTCCAGGGCCCACAGGGGAATGTGTCCCTATGGGAAGCCCAGGCATTGGTGCTGCCTAAGCCGGTTGAACCCCGTTTATTTACAGGACAAACTGGTCCCTGTGAAGTGAGCAACTTCGGGGGCCGAGTGGAGGACCACCCGACGTTACTGAAGTGTATCTAATGGGAAGCCAAGCAGCCCTCCACCTAGCAGGAAATAAACTAAAAAGTATGAAAATGAACCTTGAAGGAGCTCCACAACCACAGGAGGCCAGAGAGGGGCATGGCTGCTGCTATTATGCAAGCTGTGCAGCCCAGTGCACCCTAACCAGCAACATACACTCCCTACCCAGGGCCAAACAAAAGCACCAAGACCTAAGCTGACCCCAAGGGCGAGGCAGAAGCCAAGCGACTGCTACCACTACGGGAGAGGGAACCCGAAAGTCCCAGGAAAGGTAACCCTGAGACCCAAGGGATGTACTTACAGGGCACTTAGGGCAGAAAACCCTAAGCACATGCAGGCCTGGGTACTGGAACTCCTGGTCACTGCACCAACACACAGTATGAACCACTGCACGGATGAAAATTCTGTCAGGCAATCGAGACCAGAATAGACATTAGCCCCAGCCGGCTTCAGGTGACGAACTGGTGGTCTGGTGGTGCAAACAAGTGGCGCGCGGTGTGATGACGTTTTACTTGTTATCTTGGTTTCCTTGGGAGGATTCCTAGGCTCTGTTCGGTCTCGGGTTGCAATTTTTCTGCCAGTTGGGGGTCTGTTTTGGGTGCCTTTCTATCTTTCTATCTTTGGGCACCTTTTGGTGCCTTTCTATCTATCTATCTTTCTATCTTTAGGCACCCAGAAAGGGTGTCTACCTTTCTGGGTGCCCAACCCCATTCGATGGCAGACATGAAAATACTCTCAAAGAGTGGAGTTTTCAGAGGCCATTGCTCCCTTCGCCTCGCTGAGGGAACCAGGTTCTGGCTCGTGGTTCCCGGCACGGATATGGACTCCATATGACTGAAGCCCCAGACTAGTGTAGCTAATATCAGTCCGATAGCTCCAGGGAACCGATGGGGCTCCCCACAGAAAATATGATACAATCTCCCATTTAAGAGTCTTACCACACACTTTGCACTCATAAGCTGTAACTTTCTCACCTCTCTTGCATTCATATTCCCAAGCATCCCTTTCATTCAAATACCTACTGTATAGCTTCCAATGTGGTCATAACATTTAATACCTAACTAAATTATACATTTATTATTTGTATTTCTTACTCACACTGACCCTAGTAATGTTTTAACTCAATAAGTACATGTTCCACTAACCTGCTTAAGTATCATGTATGCTGTAGCCATCCCAAGTATTGCTCCAATATGGTCCTTGTAACTCTCTTGACTTGCAATATCCATAAATTCCTGCAGTGCTCTTTCAGCATTGGCTTTTTGCTTGGTAGCCAGCAAGAGGTAGTTGCTGAGGATTTGGAGGCTTACTTGTTGGTCCCCGGGCTTTGGGTGCAGTTCCTGTTATAAATGTTAAAATGTAACAGTAATCATAAAAAAAATCAAAGAATTAATAATAATGATAATAATTTCCACTTGCACACTTGGAATGTAACACTTGCATAAATAATTAAATGTGTATGCATTCTTCTCTAGTAAAATTGACTTAAAATGGTAAACTGGTGGTAACAAGTAGGTAAACATAAAAAACTTTTACAATTTATGGTAAAAGTGAATACAGGCATACCTCAGTTTAAGAGTTTAATTGGTTCCTGGAGACGCCTCGTATTCCGAAAACTCGCATTCCGAAGCTAATTTCCCCATAAGAAATAAAGGGAAATGAATTAATCCGTTCTTGACTACCCCAAAAACCCCACATCAAACTAAATTTTTATACCTAATTCATCTAAATAAACCTACAAAACTATGTTCAAGTTATTACTTACCTTGCTGTTGAATGCTGTAGGCGTATGGAAGATGGTGAGGAGGTGGGAGGAGGAGAGGAGTTACTGTTTGGAAGAGGAGTCCCCTTCCATTATCACATCAGGCAGTGAGGACTTCACTGGTATGCACACTCTGGCACATTTTGCCTGCATACCACTAGGACTTGCTTGTTTTACTAAGAATTTATCTAATGACACTTGTTTTTCCCTACATTTTAACACTTGTCTGTAGTAAGACATCACATTATCATTTAAAATGTCAATGCAACGGCCTGCTACAGCTTTATCTGGGTGAGTTTTTTCAACAAAACTTTGCAGTTCTTCCCATACTTCACACATTTTCTTAATCAAGAAGGGACATCCTCTACTGCCTCTACTCACAGCTATTTTCTTAGGTTGAACCTTACCAATGGCTTTCTTGAGACCCATGGCAAGATATATAATGACAACTTTTATGCTCAAATGGCCAAAAAAACGATAAAAAACTGTAAATCCTTGTGAAGAATTCAGGTGGGATAGTCACTGGACACGAGACACTGGTAAACTGAGGCGCAATCGCCATGCCACCACGCGCCAGTCGGCCTGTACACGTATCAACAAACTCGCGTCCCGAGGTAACCCTCGCCTTCCGAGACATATTTTTGGAGTAAATCCTGCTCGTCTTCCGAAAAACTCGCATACAGGGACACTCGCATTCCGAGGTACCACTGTATGTTTATTAAAAATAAGGGATCGAGTGAAGATGAAATGCCTTTTTCTGAGCTGGTCATTTGCTTGCCCATTAAGGCAACATCTAGGTTCCCACTGGGCAGTGTGAGTTCCTCTCTCAACCTGCAGGACTCTCCATTTCCCAGTTCAGCCTAGCCAATGCTGCCACCACCTGTCATCAAGCTGTGGCACTGGAGGTGTAAACTGGATCTGTAAACAGATCAAGTCAGATAATGCATCTCACTACCTCAGTCAACAGGGACTTTCTCTTTCAGAGACAGTTGATTCATCCTGAGGTTGTCTGGCCTCTTGTGTACTAGACCTGTGCTTGAGTGAATGCTTCACATGAGTCCATTTCTCTCAAATTTTCTAATCGACCATGGACAGAGCTATCTTCTATGTAATTACCAAAGAGTAGTTACAGGCAGTTTACATCTATGGTGAGTTAGTTACACAGTTAATAGCTCCACACCTTTACAATCACCTGGCACCTGGCAGCTTTACAGTCATGTGCATGCATTACTTACCATAAGCAAATTTGGGATACTTATCTACGATTTCTAGTTGTATATCATTATGAATGAAGCATATATTTACTCATTTGATGGAGTTATGTTTAAACTCCATCAATGGTGTTCAAGAAATGTGTAAGTACTTAATTCATAATGATGCACTAATAAGTGCAAAATGAATACATTATTTTAGGTAACGTTGAAAAAGTGTCAAAAGATATAATGTACTGTAATGTGTAACAGATGACCCTTAAACACTGCTTTCTGTACTCGGCTGTATCAAGCTAAATTAACAACACACTAGCACCTCTTCATACCTTCAGTAGTTTGTCTGCTGTTCTGATGGCCATATCCAGAGTGTCTCTTGCTCCTGAATGGTTTACTTCACTATCCACTGTCTCAAAAGTCTCCCCACCAATTGTGTCATTGTCAGGGTTGAGACATATTTCTATCATGTTGTAAATTGCTCGTTGACCCCATTCTTGGTCCTTCCGTGCTTTGTTGAAGTATTTAAGTGCTGCATTTGGATTTCCCAAATACCTATGATACAAGACACTGGATGTAAAATCAGTATTATATTTGAAACCCTGTGTTACTCATCTATCTATATTTATCTGTAGTTTTGTTGTTGTTCATTTAAAAGAAAGTACACCTGGTCCAATAAGAATATTGCTGTGCAAATAACATTCTTCCAAAACCATTAACATGCATATAATTTTTGAGACATCTTAAAGTTAACAAAGTAGTTGAGATATCTTGAGAATCTAAATTGATTTCCTACTTATAAGACATACTGTATATTTAAACTTTAATATAGTAGGCTTAGTTAAAAATAGTGATTGAGGTATAAATAGAGAATTTGAAATGATTTGAAAGTAACAATAATAATACAATACATTTTAAATTAATTAAACCTAGTGGACATATTGTAGTTAATAAGGAACAATGACATTGATGGTTATATTTTTAGATGGTACAATACTGGGCAAATTAGTAGCGCAGGATTTGGAAGATTTGATTAAATACTGCAATTTGCATAACAAGGATGGGGCAGGTTTTCTATGATAAAGTAATTAGGCATTTTCTAGGGGGGGGGGGGAGCTCCTTCAGCTCCCCGGAGCTTACTAGGCTGATATACTAATGTCAGACTTTGGCATCAGTCATGTGTATGGAGGTTCTATGGGCCTACCAGGGACCACGAGCCAGAACCTGGCCCCCTCAGAAGAGGCAAGGGGAGCAATGGCCTATAGAAACCCCCGTGTGGTTGGAAGCGTTCTATGTCTGCCATCGACCGGGTCAGTCATCCAGAAAGATAAGCATCCCAAAACAAACCCTTATTCCGGTGAAAATTTTGCTACCAAAAGCCGAACAAGTGGATAGAACTCCCCTAAACGAAACGAGTAAAAACGATTATGACGTCACACGTCATCGTGCCGCTGTCTGTGCAACTCCCCCGTCCCCAGAAGGGAGAAGCGGGAGCCCCAGACCCCACACACCGGCTATCCACCCTTTAGTTCTTAGGCTGATGCTAGAGGCTCCGGTCGAGTGCTGCTCTGGCTCCAGACATAGTTTCAGCACTGTGTTTTGAGTGTGGTGGCTGTCTCCTAGGGGTGTGAGAGCCAGGAGTTATTCTCCAGTACTCGGGTTGCATGCACCTGGGGTTCCCTTTCCCTAGGTGCCCTGTAAGTACTGCCCTTGGGGCTTGGAGCCACCTTCCACAAGTTGCTTGGGTCCTCGAGGCGTGGGGTGCTGCGTAGCTTGTTTTCACCGATTAGCGGCCGGCTCTGTTCGTTTAGGGTACGCTGTCCTCTTGCGGGGTTTTCTTTTTCTTTTTCATTTTGCCTTGTGGAGGGATCTGCCCTGCTTTTTGGCCACTTTTGCTTGACCTATTACGGTTCTTCTCTCGTGGTGCCCCCTGCTAGGTCCCCGCGAGTGTACACATTCCTGGGGTGCAACTTTGGTGAGTTTACTTGGTAGTTTTGGGTGCCGGTTAGCAGTACCCAGCCTGGGGTTACCTAGGCGTGAGTCTCGTTAAGCGCTCAGGGCCCTGGGAAACCCCTGGGGGGGGGGGGGGGGATTCCGATGGATGTGACCCCGGGGTGCCCCATCACTTCATGCAAGTTTGAGGGTTGTTCGGTCCCCTTGTTTCAGGGTGACCCTCACTGTCTTTGCCTCCATCATGCTGCCTGTTGGGTTGGTGACATTTTCGACCCTGAGTCCTGTGAGTTCTGCTGCTTACTAGTGACTCAATTTACCCAGTCTAGTGATGATCTTATGAGGATACAGGCGGCGCAGGCATTGCATGTGCGTTTTAGGTTGTTGCAACGTACTCGGTTGGTTGCTCACCCGGATGCCCCGCGGCTGCCCCGTTTTGCTTATAGGGACCCGGACTTGGGGGTGGGGGTCGCTTCGACCTTGATTCAGTCCGCCCCCCCCCCCCTCCTCGTCTTTCCCCTCCTGTGGTTCGTTCTGGTCCCTTCCCCCTGCTTCCAGCCCCGAAGCATCTGAGGGTTTTGGAGCCGGAGCAGGGTTTAGATGGTCTTGAGGCTCGGGCAGTCTCAGGGAATGCCAATTCCGGTGTGGCAACGGAGGCATTTGAATCTAGTCTCCCTGCCGAAGCTACCGGGTCTAATCAGTGGGCCTCCTTCCGTTCAGCTTACGCAGATACGCCGACCTTGTCTCTCGAGGCCTGTGCTTTGGGAGATGACTCAGCCCTGGGCTCTGCGGGGGAGGATCCTGGGGCGGGGGAGGGGCTGACTTGGGGGGCCTTGGGCCCCGCTGGACCCCGCCTGGGTTTTTCTACCCTCTGAGCGGGGCTTGTTGTTACAAGGAGTTGGGTTCTCTTTTTTCCCCCCCTCTGCATACGAATTGGATTTGGTGTCTGCCCCTCCCAGGGTTTGGTTCCGTGTCCCCCCGGGTGTGTCGGTTCCGTCCTTCCGGAGGTTTTTGGCTTCTCGCATCCAACCTTCTGCTGTGCGGGCAGCCCTTGCGGCTTACCTCCTGCATGACCCAGATTATGCCTCGGTGATGGATACGTCTTCATTCAGATTTGGGACTTCGTTCCCTTTATGGGTCCGTTACGAGGTTCCGGAGTCGTTCTGGCTGGCGGACTGTCCTGTCTTTGCATTGGAGGCTTGGCCTTCATTCTGCCATACCCGCACGCTTGAGTGGCGCAAGGCTGCGACAGTGGTTCAGGTTTTCCTGGGGGGTGACCTGGAGCACTTCAATGAGTGCTTGTTTGCCCCGGGATGTGGGCGTGGTGCAGCTCCATGTGCAGGTTTCCTCCCTCTCGACTGCGTAGGTTGCTGAGGACATGCGCGCCCGTGGCCTTTTGGCCGCCTCCCGGGTAAGTCCCCTTTTTTCCTTCTCTTTGGGTATGTAGCTCCAGGGAGCCGTAGGGGCTCCCCACAGAAAACCAGCGTTGAATGTAATGAAACGCCATTTTCTGGGTGAGCCCCGGAGGCTCCCTGGATACCCTCCCTCCCATCCGGTCGGCGGGATTTTTCGCGTTGGTTGAAGCCTAGTTTCCGAACTGACGGCAGCCGGCATGGTGAGGTCCGGGGCCCCCCCTCCCCCTCCCGGGGAGGGGAGGGCTGCGCGGACAACCGGCGCGGCAGTAAATTGATTGTTTGATTGTTTTCCTTGGGATTGTAGGGAGTTTTCTACCTCTCTGTTCGGTTTTTGTTGTAGTTTTTTACCATGTGGGGTTTGTTTTGTTACGCCTACCTTTCTGGGTGCCTAACCCCGGTCGATGGCAGATAAGGAAAACCCCCAACCATATGGGGTTTTCCAGGGCCATTGCTCCCTGAAACCTCTCTGAAGGGGCCAGGTTCTGGCGCTGGTCCCTGGTAGGTCTGAACTCCATAGCTAATGTCCCGGTCTAACATAACATACATTAGCCCGATAAGCTCCAGGGAGCCGTAGTGGCTCCCCACAGAAATGAATGAAGTATGGTCACTTACCAATCATATAGCCCCTTGCAAAAGTTAATGCCTGGATCTGTGCTGGGTCTAAGGATGGCTTGCTCTGCTCGATCCAAGTAGGGCCCAGCTTCATCAAGAGTTCCAGTTCTTCTCATAACCTCCACAAGACGTGCTAAAGCTGGGAAGTAAGCAGGACGACGATCTGTAAAAATAGGAAAAACAGTGTTGAATGTAATGAAACACCATTTTTTGGGCGAGATCCGGAGGCTCCCCGGAGTTATCCAGGCTGATATATAGATCATTAGACTTTGATACTAATCAGTGTGTATGGAATTCTAGGCCTACCAGGAACCACGAGCCAGAACCTGGCCTCCTCAGAGAGGCACGAGGAGCAATAGTCTACACATGGGATTTGGAGCATTCTGTCTGCCATCGACCGAGCCAGGCACCCAGAAAGGTAAGCGCCTCAAAACAAACCCCTATTCTGGTTAACACTATCGCACTCAGTTACCTCCGTCCGTTATCACTCATTTTTCTTGTGAGTCGTCTCGGGTGATGAGGTCCATAGTCACTCATTAAAATATCTGTTGAAAATTTAAATTTTATCCGATTAATCTGGGAGTGGTTTCAAAATGAGCGCCTTTAGATTGCGCACAATTTGATACCAAAATGAATGACCTAACATGAAAATTGATGTCAGAACACAGGAAAGATATAAATAATTTGTGGTGATGAGCATCAAAAAGGGTCCAATTTTTAGAATATTTGCTAAAATTCCATTTATTGTTCTATTGTTATGGGACTAGTTTTAAAATATGCACCTTTATATTGCGAACAATTTGATACCAAAATGAAAAACGTAACATGAAAATTTGTGTCAGAACACTGGAAATATATAAATAATTTTGTGGTAATGAGCATCAAAAAGTTAAGATATTTGTTAAAATTCTATTTATTGTTCTATTATTATGGGACTAGTTTAAAATACGCGACTTTATTTTGTAAACAATTTGATACCAAAATGAAACACGTAGCACGAAAATTTATGTTATCAAACTGAACAAGTATATACAGTACATTAGTCTGCAGGTGTGCCAATTGGTGCTCATTCACAGGTAACTTGGCCGACTTTAGGCTTTGCTGTGAGAAGTCACGCCGGGCTTTTAGACCTTATATGCACATACCCCTGTAGAGAATTCTATTGCGAACACAATTATACCAAAACAAACGACGTAGCATGAGAAATAGGGTAACAAAACTGAAACGAGCATACACATTTTACTGATTTTGCGCGCTCACGGGTAACTTTGCCGATTTTAGGTTTTGCTGTGGGAGTCATGACGGGCTTTTGGACCTTATATGCATATACCCCTGTAGGGAATTCTATTGCAAACACAATGATACCAAAACGAACAACGTAGTCTCCTTAGCAGTCTCCGTGGTGTAGTGGTAAGAAACTCGCCTGGCGTTCCGCGAGCGCTATGTCATGGGTTCGTATCCTGGCCGGGGAGGATTTACTGGGCGCAATTCCTTAACTGTAGCCTCTGTTTAATGCAACAGTAAAATGTGTACTTGGATGAAAAAACGATTTTTCGCGGCAGGGGATCGTATTCCAGGGACCATAGGATTAAGGACTTGCCCGAAACGCTACGCGTACTAGTGGCTGTACAAGAATGTAACAACTCTTGTATATATCTCAAAAAAAAAAAATAGTACAAGAATTAAGGTGAGAAAACTGAAACGAGTAAACACATTTTGGTGTCGCCGCGCACTCGGCTGAAACGTCAGGAGCACGACGTCACAGTCTGCGGAGCACCTGCACGGAGTGCGATAGTGTTAAAACGACTAAAATAAACAAATGAATGGACAGAACTCCCCAAATAAAAATGAGCAAACAAGCATAACGCCACATGAGCCACGCCGCATGTCTGTGCAGCTTTGGGGAAGCCACAGATCCACCCTCCAGTTCGAGGCTGGATGTCAAAACAAGAGAAAAAAAAAACGCCGATCGGGAGAAGTGGGGGTTGGCGGGGATCCTCTGGGGCTCACCCAGAAAATGGCGTTTCATTACATTCAATGCTGGTTTTCTGGGGGGATGGGGGAGCCCCTTCAGCTCCTTAGGGAGCTGAAGCAATAATTTTCTAAAATTATTCAGAAAATTATTATTTTCTGAAATTATTATGAAATTATTTTATATTGATTGACTTACCAAGAAGCTGCTGGAAGTGAAACATAGCAGTGTCATATTCGTTTCTCCTATAGGATAAGTCTGCCATCATCACTGTAGCACTGTCATTCTCCTTGTCTGTCCTCAACAGTGTCATGCACGTATACTGACACTGGTCCAAGTCATTTATCTGTCCAATAAAAGTAAACACTGTGAGTACAAGCGCTAGAGGCACTTGTCTACTTTAGGGTACTGGGCAATGTATATGGCAGAATAGTAATTGGTAGAGCACCTTTAGACAACTGTACTAACCATTGTCAGTACTCCTGGAATACCATTAAATTCTATTATGCTAGCTATGTCAATCAACTGTGCCTATTCCCCCCTTTAAAATTCAAATCACCTATTACAATTATTTTAAAACTAGTAATCGAACCTCATTCCCTAAAGCTATTAAAAAATCATTCTCACTTACGTAATCATATGTTGAATATGTTAAAACAATCACCACCTTTATTCTTTCAAACTTTAATTTCATATATGACCACCTTTAACTGAAACAAGAGAAGTTAGAAAATCCCCCATACCACTTTTTAATTACCAGTAGACTTACTCCTACCTTATTTTTCCATTTTATTTTATTCCTACTCTAATAACATTTACAATTTCCAGTATGCATTATAATATCCTTATATCTTTATCTTCCATAAACCTACTAGAGTATCAAACTTTCATTCTTTAACCTTTGTAATGTGGCCCGTTTATTGTGACATTCTGGTTGTGTGCCAAAAATCAAGTGTTTGCAAAAAATCAGCGTTGAATGTAATGAAATGCCATTTTTCTGGGTGAGACCAGGAGGCTCTACGGAGCTAAACCGGGCTGATGTGCATATATTAGACTGTGGCAACAGTCAATCAGTGGAGTTCTAGGTCTACCGGGGACTAGAGCCAGAACCTGGCCCCCCCCCCAAGAAGAGGCACGAGGAGCAATGGCCTAAAGACAACCCCCCCCCTGTCGATTAAGGCAGCGTCTGGGATGCTCTCAGACGTAGGTTCGAATCCTCGTCACGGCCCTTGTGGATTTGTTCACCCCCGTGTAATTGGAAGCAGTCTTTGTCTGCCATCTACCAGGTCAGGCACCCAGAAAGGAAAGAATTCCAAAACAAACTACTGCTGGTCAAAAATTGCAAACCAAAAGCAGAACTAGCAAACAGAACTCCCCAATCAAAAACAAGGAAACAAACATGATGACACCACTACCGCCGCGTATCAGTCTGCGCAAGCCCTCCCCTTCCCCAGGAGGGAAACGGGGGGGGGGGGGGGGGGGGGGTCCCAGACCTCCACGCCGGCTATTCTCCTCAGTTCAGAGACTTAATTTTATAAACGTTAAAAAAACACCGACCGAAGTGTGGGAGGGATGCTGGGGAGCCTCCGGGTCTCACTCAGAAAATGACGTTTCATTACATTCAATGCTGGTTTTTGTGGAGAGCCCCTTCAGCTCACCAGAGCTACCTAACCAAAGATAAAGAAGAAGAGGGACTTATCCGGGAGGCGGCCGTCACTCTCTCTTCAACTCGAAGTCGAGACAACTGGCTGCAACCTGCGACCCAAGGCTACACACATCCAAGAAAGCCCAGGAAAATTAATGAGGTACTGTGCGACCAGAACCCTATTCAACCTCCAAAAGCCCCCTGCCAGAATGTCAGCCCAAGACATATTACCAAAAACAGCAGCCAAAGCCGCAAACTTACGAACATCCTGGGCACAGGGATAGACAGCAAGCTGGCTGGCGTCCTGCGAGTTTGACAGTTGATCTGTCCCCTTGTATCAGGGTGACACTCACCGGTTATGCCTCCGCCATACTGCCTGTTGGGTCCCTATTTTTCAGTCTACCAGGCTGCGGTCTGTCCTTGCGCCCGTGCTGTTCGGACGTTTGCAGCTTTTGCTGCTGTGTTGGTGACATCTAGGGCTCATTTCGGGCGCAGGGATTTGAGGGTTGCACAGGTTCTTGGTTGCCCATTCTTTATGCATATCTGCTCCTGTGCGTTCTTGTTGCCTTGGGTTGCAGGTTGCAAACTGTTGTCTCGACTTCGTGTTGCGGAGTTTGTGGTGGCCGCCTCCCGAGTTAGCCCTTCTTTTCCTTCTCTTTGGGTATGAAGCTCCAGGGAGCCATAGGGGCTTCCCACAGAAAACCAGCTTTGAATGTAATGAAACGCCATTTTCTGGGTGAGCCCCGGAGGCTCCCTGGCAACTCTTCCTCCCACCGGTTGGTGGTTTTTTCGCGTTGGTTGACGCTTAGCTTCCGAACTGAAGCTAGGCAGCCAGTGCAGTATGTCCGGGGCTCCCCCCTCCCCCTCTCGGGGCAGGGAGGGTTGCGCGGACGATTGGCGTGGCAGTAAAGTGTGATGTTTGCTTGTTTGCCTGTTTCCTTGGGATTGTAGGGAGTTTCTCTCTGTTCGGTTTTTGTTTTAGTTTTTACCATGTGGGGTTTGTTCTGTTATGCCTACCTTTCTGGGTGCCTGACCCCAGTCGATGGCAGATAAGGAAAACCCCAACCACAAGGGGGTTTTCCAGGGCCATTGATCCCTGAAACCTCTCTGAAGGGGCCAGGTTCTGGCGCTGGTCCCTGGTAGGTCTGAACTCCTTAGCTAATGTCCCGGTCTAATGTAACATACATTAACCCGATAAGCTCCTGGGAGCCTCCGGGGCTCAACCAGAAAATGGCATTTCATTACATTCAACGCTGGTTTTTTGTCCGTTGCCGTTTGCAGAATCTGCGGTGGTGCATTTTCTGAAAACGGCTTCGTCTAGTTGTCGGCCTATGTCGTAATGGCTGGTTTTCCGGGGGGGGGGGGGGGAGGTCATGATTGTCCTTACCAGAAGGGTCGTGCCAAGTCTCGGGGTTCCTTTGGTTCTCGTAAGCCAGTAGTGCCAAATTTGAGACCACCACCTCCTGCGGAGCCGTCGGCGTCTGGACGGCACAGTGATCTCTGAGCGTTGGTTGGGCTCTTGTAGGGGTCGTTAGCCCTTTTGCAGGTTGCCCCGTTGACGAGGTGATAAGAGTAAGGCTCATGCTGTTTGCTCTCAGCTGGACCCACGATTTCGCTTTGATGTCCATAGGGAATGGAAAGGATGGGGGAGGTAGAGGGATGGGGAGATGAAATTCAGGAAGAGGGTGCGGGTGTAGAGAGAGAGGAGGTTTGAAAGTTCGGTGGCCTGTCCACCATGGGTTGACATTTTAGTATGTGTTGTTTGTTTGCGTATGTGTTATGTTGGGTTGTCAGTACATTGGCTGGGGGGGAGCAAAAGCTGCAAACGTCCGAACAGCACGGGCGCAAGGACAGACCGCAGCCTGGTAGACTGAAAAATAGGGAACCAACAGGCAGCATGGCGGAGGCACAACCGGTGAGTGTCACCCTGATACAAGGGGACAGATCAACCGTCAACTCGCAGGACGCGAGGGGAACTCCGGGGACACACCAAGAGGACCACAGAGCCTCGTGGGATTTCCCAGGGCTCTTAGCCTTTGGTACACGCTAAGGAAAGCCCAGGCAGGGTACCGCGAACCTGCGCCCAAATTTACCAACAAACTGCTAAAGCTGAACCCCCGGGACGTGTCCACTCACGGGGGCCAAGCGGGGAGTATCGCCAACAGAAGAATTCGAAAGAAAATCACCTAGAACAGGAAAGGGGGACCATAGTAAAGGCAGACCCCCACCAGGCAAAAACAAAAACAAAAGAAAACCCCGCAAGAGGACAACGTACCCAGGCGGAACAGAGCCAGCCGCTGTTAATGGTGAAAGCTAGCTGTGCAGTACCCCATGCCCCTACTAGTGACGAAAACTACCACTTACCCAGAGACAAACCAAGGCAACAAAACCCCAGCCGACTCCAAGGGCGGCCCAGTACCGAGCAGTAAAGGACACAGCGGAGGTAGAACCCAAGGCGACTTGTGGAAGGTGGCCCCAAGGGCAGTACTTACAGGGCACCTAGGGAAGATAGCCCTAGGCACATGCAGCCCGAGTATCGTGGAATCTTACTCCTGGCTCACACCCCACCGGTAGAGACAGTCCACACCACAAGGCACAGAACTGAAACAAAAACCGGAGCCAGAGGCACTCGACCAGCCAGTAATACCATCAGCCAAGAACTGCCAGTTGGATCGCCGGCGTGGAGGGTCTGGGGCTCCCCATTCCCCCTCTCGGGGAGAGGGGGTTGCGCAGACTGTGGCGCGGCGACGTGATGACGTCATGCTAGTTTGATAATTTTGTTTGGGGAGTTCTGTCCACTCGTTCGGCTTTCGGTAGCAATAATTTCACCAGAATAGGGGTTTGGTTTGGGGCGCCTACCTTTCTGGGTGCCTGTCTCGGTCGATGGCAGACATAGAATGCTCCCAATCACAAGGGGGTTTCTATTGGCCATTGCTCCTCGTGCCTCTCTGAGGGGGCCAGGTTCTGGTTCGTGGTCCCCGGTAGGCAAGAACTCCTAGCACTTTGACTGATGCCAGAAAGTTATACATATCCATTCAGCCTGGATAGCTCCGGGGAGCCGACAGGGCTCCCCCCAGAAAAACAGCATTGAATGTAATGAAACTCCATTTTCTGGGTAACACCCAGAGACTCCCTGGAGCTATCCAGGCTGATATGTATCTTATTAGACTTTGGCATCAGTGTGAATGGAGTTCTAGGTCTACCGAGGACCACGAGCCAGAGCCTGGCCCCCTCAGAGAGGCACGAGGAGCAATGGCCTATAGAAATGCATATGTGTAATTACCTAAGTGTAGTTACAGGATGAAAGCTACGCTCGTCTATGTGTGTGGAGCATTCTATTTCTGCCATCGACAGGGCCAGGCCACCAGAAAGGTAGGCGCCCCAAAACAAACCCCTAATCTGGTTAAAACTACTACAGAAAGCTAACAAGTAAACAGAACTCCCCAATTGAAAAACGAACAAATGAGCATGAAGTCACACTTGCCGTGCTGCTTGTCAGCGCAGCATCCCCCTCCTATGGAGAGGGAAGTTATCTTGAGATGGTTATCTTGAGATAATTTCGGGGCTTTAGTGTCCTCGCGGCCCGGTCCTCGACCAGGCCTCCACCCCCAGGCAGGAAGCAGCCCGTGACAGCTGTCTAACACCCAGGGAAGGGGAAGCCCCAGACCCATCGTGCCAGCTATCAACCTGTCAGTTCGAGGCTGGATGTCAAAACATGCGAAAAACCCTACTGATTGGGGGGAGGGAGGGTTGCTGGTGAGCCTCCGGGTCTCACCCTGAAAATGGTGTTTCATTATATTCAATGCTGGTTTTCTGGGGGGAGCCCCTTCGGCTCCCCTGAGCTACCTACCCAAGGCCAAGGACAAAAGAGGGACAAACCTGGGAGGTGGAAACCCCGCACCTAAAACCCAAAAGCAAGGCAACAGACAACACCGAAAGGACACCATGGATGCAGATCCAAACCCCAGAACAGGGATGAAGGGAACCCCGGGCAACTCAAAGTGCATCCAGGGCCACAGAGGCCACAGCACGCAGTCAGTGGCTGAGAGCCACAACCGGACGTAAGAAGATGCACCCCGGCCAAAATCAACCAAACAACAACCCCAAGGATCCCTACGGAAAATCAGCCAACCCAACTTCGCCAGGAAAAAGAAGAAGAACGGCCGCAACAAACAAACCTAACACCAGAACCCAAAAGAGCAGAAACCTCTGAGAAACTATCCAGGACCGAAGTGGCCACAACCACCCGAGGGGAAGAGATAAGAGCATCGTGTCCAAAGACCAGGACGCCTCAGGCGGCACATGATTTTCAATGCTTTATAATTAGTTTTTTGTATCGTATATGATGCACATTTATGTCCTTTACAATATGTATACAGTAGAATATTCATAATGTTCCACAGAACTGTGATACATGTGTCAGTAATGTGTCCACAACAAATGTTCATTTGCGTAAAATTACCTATTCGCTATTCAATATACTGTACTTAAAATATGTACACTTTCATGCACTGTATTATACACTCAGTTCTTCAGAAGTTACTGATAATCAAAGATCAGTTCATGGTTCACAGCATGACTTCGCTCTCGATGCACCGGGTACAAACAGATTTTCGCTTCCTGTTTTTTCGTTCTGTGTGCTAGCAAATAACGCACTCACGCACACCCTATTCTTTAATACCTGTAGGTGGTATGTAGCCAAGCTTGTGAAGTGTAAGGTAGTCTTGAAAAGATTATAGGAAAAGATCAATTTGTAAGGTAGTCTTGAAAAGATCACTTTGTAAGGTAGGATTGAGAAAATCTTAGGTATTCTTGGAAAGATCTAGAAAAAGCTCAATGACAAATTTCTGTCCTGGTATCACTCATATCGTTATCTGTTTATGGGAAAGTGAGTGCAACACCAGCATCAGAATCATCAAATTATGGTTTGTGTGTTACAAAATTATCACAGTCCTCCCTCGTAAATTCATCTGTGCTCCTTGTATTGCCACCACCACCACTGGCAATAAACACAAAGCCGCTAATACTCCGTACATCTATGCTACTTGTATCAGACGCATCATCACTGAACTCAGAAAATGATTCATCTATAGTATCATCAATAAAAATTGGAGATGACACAGGTGGTCATGGGTGGTGCTCAGCGACTACTGGATATGCACGCTGTATCGTCCTCATTGGTGCTGTATCACTTGAATCCAACACTTGTGCTAGGTCCTTATTGTGCCTATATATGTCATCAATATCATGGCCCCTATGTTCTCCAAACAATAAAGTCTGAATTTCACCAACAGAAAGCAATCTTCCAACACTGGGTCCAACAGGGGATTGGGAGCCAGAAGCACGTGCGCACCCATAGTTGCTCATTCAGAACTGATCCAGCCAGCAGCCCTAGGGAGATTTGGGAATTTTTTTCAAGATGGCTGCCTCTCATTGGAGGTCCCAGGAGTCCATTCGTACCCAACCTACCGTGTGCTTGTTTTGAATGGGTGCAAAATCTTAAATTGGTGTTTTCTTGGCCTGCACAATTTTTTCAAAACGAGTTTTCTAAGCCAGCACAATTCATTGGTTAAAGACTTACAATTTCACATTTCATCTGTTCCTGTTTAATTCGCTCACATCCCACAGAAATAGAAACCTATTTTAGCTTTCCTGAGTCTGGGTAGGTGCAGCAGGTAGTAGAGCCCACCTCACATCCTCCCCGTCCCTCCTTCCCCTTAAAATGAAGGGAATGCAAGACTGATTGTACCCTACACTAGTGGGTACTGGGGTTGCCACATACCTCCCAATGATTCTGCAAATCTGCCTGAGCACTTTCTACCCACCAACCACATGGATACTTTCTACTTTTATTTATCTAATTGGCAGCAACCTTCTTGGATTTTTTTTTGTTATTCTTGGTTGGGCTCACCAAGGTATTGTACTTATGTTTCTGTTCCTGCTGCATGGTCTTCTTACTGCTACATCAATCATTTACCCAAAGGAATGATGTCTACCAATTAAGTTTAAGATCTTGATTTTTGATCTGACTTCTCCTTGTTTGTAAGTACTGTACTAGCATTCATCTTTTGCTATGTATACGAAAAACAACCTTACTATAAGATCCAAATGTATACAAATAAAATATTGTTGAATAACTTCAATATAGAAAACCTACTTGCATGTATAACTTGGCTAATGCCATGAGGGTGGGAGCATGTTCTGGATCATACTGAAGAGCTTCCTTGTAAAGTTTGATAGCTTGTTCATAGTCCCGCTGGTTTGCTGCATGCTCTGCCATCCTCCCACACATGCTACACCATATACACACAATTTTAGCAGTCTTCCACACACACTTTTTAATGTAAATTTAAACTTATCTTTTATATTATCCACAAACCTATTTTTTACAAGTTAAGAAACTGCACTTAATTTTCAAACCATAAGAATTGTTGGAAAACTGTTTTTGTACTGTCCATACTTTTTTTACACAGTAATAAAGTGAATGTAGTCCAACCTGCCAGCCAACTGTCTTTGTTCAGGAACTGTATCTGGCAGCTCCACCTGTGCCCTCTTCATCACCTTAACCTGCACGTCTTTACCCTTACTCAGAGTGGAGAGAGCTTGCTCATAATTCTCAGCTCGTTCATGTACCTTGGCAAGTAAATTTAATGTAAATACAGTACTGTAAATAGTGCAAATATTTTATTCTCATTACATCAAGAATTTATGTTTATTTGTACAGTATTAATATCATATGGTCATATGCAAAATTCCTGTTCCTGATGGTTTAGAATGTCAAGATAATTTATAAATTGATGACTAATTATTAAGGCATTAACTATTACACAACTCCAACTTTTTAATTTGATTTGTTAGCTATTTTCACATGCACACATTGATGTACTGTAGTAATTTTTAAATGGCTGCACTAATTAGGCATTAAGTATAACATCCGGAGTTGAATGTAATGAAACTCCCTTTTCTGGTGGGCCTCCAGAAGCTCCCTAAGCTAGGCACTGGTTCAGTCATGCCTCAGGAAGATGCACCAGGCCTGAGACCCATACTAGCCTACTGGCAACTGGGACCACAATTGGGTTCTCTCTCTCTCTGAGATAAGGAGAGCTTAGGATCAGAGATCAACCCAAACCCTAAACTCAGAAAATGGCAGAGTAGATGATAGTTAAAGTGACAAAATGTATGTGAGAGGCTGTGAAGTTAACAATAATAACAGAATGTAAAGTTACCTCAAACTTACTTTAGCCAAAAGATTTAACAGTTTTGCCTGAGATAGCATAGAGTTCAGGTCAACAGAATTATAAGTTTCAACATCCAAGGCTTGTGTAATTGTTTTTTCGGCTTTATCGTACTGCTTCAAACGCATTTGTAGCTCTGCCATATCATACCTGTTAAATGAACATTAATTTATAGAATGTGAATATTGGGTTCAAATCTCAGTTGATGATTTCAAATATGAGGATGAAAGAACACTGGAATGAGTTCCATACCATGAGAAAGCCTTTCATGAAGGAGGCCATTGACTTTACATTTCTACTTCTCATTGTTTAGCTTGTTTGCAAGGTGGAAACTTATGTTCATACTTTTCCAGTTATCCCTTATGCACAAATCTGTTGTGTTTTTATACAATGATCACTGCAATAAACTTAATTCACCCATAAAAAAATTAAATATGTTGATTTGTTTATTCTATAATTATAGTAGAGGGAACTTAGATAAGCTTACTCCATACAACATAAACCCATACCTACATGAATTTTGAAAAATTTGTTTACTGCATAATGATTGAAGGAAGATATGTATGCTGACATGCATTCCAATATTATATAATTTAAATTCAATAAGGCTTACTAACCTTAACTGGTTACTGCTTCCAGTTTTAATGGCTTCCTTATAATAATTAATAGCTTTTCCGTACTGATGGGTCTTCACTAGTGCAATGCCCATACGACATGCAAGAACGGAGTCTCTTGGATTGCGCTTTAATGCTTGTTCATAAACCTGAAATTGCAATTATAAGACTTATCAATGTACATCTACATCATATCTACATCATGACAGTCTCTAATGTAATAATATTTTTAACTCTTTTGTTATATGAAGCTTAAAGTCATTATATATGATGATACCAATTATGTTTAGAGCTAAGCAACAGACTTACAACAGACTTCCTAAATGTTTAAAATTTACCATTATATATGTATACTAAATACTGCACTGTATTTCACAATTAAAACTATTTTGGCAACCGAATCATTTCTTACCTCAATGGCACGGTCAGGCTCTTGTATTGACATATATGCATCCCCCAGCATCAAGAAGCTCTGAGGTGTAGGGTTCTTTTCTACCACTTCTCTGTAGGTAAGTTGTTTATTTACAGGCTAAGAGGAATTATTTCTCAAATGGCTTTCGTTCAAATATATATAATTTACAAATACAGTACAACCTCAATTCAATGTACCCCGATTCAACGAATCTCCGGCTAGGTCGGACACTTTTCAGGCTGGATTTATTCACCCGGTTCGACGAACAATGGTTCGCCGAAGCGGGGGATGTGCGGATTTGCTTATGATGTTGGGACAGAGTTCACAGACTGGTGGAAAACTTTCCCTTTCTATCAGAGGTTACAATTAACAATTCCCTCATATGACAAGTTAGATCACACAAGTGGATCACACAAGTGGACCACACAAGTGGTCCACAAGTGGTCCTCAAGCTTACGACGTTGGGACAGTTCACAGAGTGGTGGAAAATTTCGCATTCTATCACAGGTTACAATTAATAATTCCTTTATATGACAAGTTGGATCACACAAGTGGACCACACAGTAAGTGAACCATATGAACCAAACACCAGCCAGAATGGTCCACACAAGTGAAGCATATTAACCAAACACCAGCCAGAGTGGTCCACACAAGTGAACGACTGTGTTTCCATGATTTTCATTCACCGATTTGTGGCACATGTATCTTTGCAGATTAATTTAAAGGTCGAAGCGTGAATAGCTAGCTAATGTATTGAAATCTTCTTATATACATTTTCTGTGATGAAACAAGATGAGTGAGAGTGGACAGATAAGGGAATACTGTACTGTAAACCTCACTTTACAGTGAGGCTTCACTCACTTTCGTCTGTGTCGTCATAGTTCAGTGACCCATGACTTTGAACGTTTCAGATTAATAAATTATTTCTAAAACCAGTGTTTTAATAGGTCTTTATTCTCCTAATAAAACTAAACTAAATAAAACCAAATATATACTGGTATATGATAGACATCTGCTATTTGATATGTTATTAATGTTATTGGCGCCACAACTCAAGTGCGAGTGGATGGGTCTAATCAATGTGCACACAACACCATGCGTGTTTTGTTCGATTTCGTCGCCACAGTTCAATGACCTACGGGTTCGAAATAATAAAATAAATAAATCAGATCTAAAATAAGTATTTTCTGAGGGTTCCCTTCGGCTCCCCGGAGCGTACTAGGCTGATATGCTAATGTCAGACTTTGGCATCAGTCATGTGTATGGAGTTCTATGGGCCTACCAGGGACCACAAGCCAGAATCTGGCCCCCTCAGAAGAGGCAAGGGGAGCAATAGCCTATAGAAACCCCCGTGTGGTTGGAAGCATTCTATGTCTGCCATCGACCGGGTCAGGCACTCAGAAAGGTAAGCATTCCAAAACAATCCCCTATTCTGGTGAAAATATTGCTATCAGAAGCCGAACAAATGGATAGAACTCCCCCTAAACGAAATGAGCAAACGATCATGACGTCACACATCGCCGTGTCGCTGTCTGCGCAGCTCCCCCCTTCCCGGGAGGGTGAAGGGGGAACCCCAGACTGCACACGCCGGCTATCCAGCCTTTAGTTCTTAGGCTGGATGTCAAAACACGCGAAAAACTGTCGACTGGAGGGAGGGAGGGAGGGAGGAATGCCGGGGAGCCTCTGGGTCTCACCCAGAAAATGGCGTTTCATTACATTTAAAGCTGGTTTTCTGGGGAGAGCCCCTTCGGCTCCCCAGAGCTAACTACCCTGGAAACACAAACTGAAACTGTCTCTATTTTCCGCTTGTTACAACTTGTAATAAAGTTGTTACATCTTGGCTACATCTTACATCTTCCAAGGCCATTGCTTCCTGAAACTTCTCTGAAGAGGCCAGGTTTTGGCGCTGGTCCCTGGTAGGTCTGAACTCCATAGCTAATGTCCCGGTCTAATATAACCTACATAAGCCCGAAAAGCTCCATGGAGCCTCCGAAGCTCACCCAGAAAATGGCGTTTCATTATGTTCAGCGCTGGTTTTTTAGGGGATTTTTTTTCTTCGTTTATTATCTGATTTTGTTGTAACTTCTACAACCGGGAGAATGCATACTTTTCCATACATATGTTAAGAATGAATAAATTAGTCAACAAATAAATCAGTCATAACTGGGGACTGAATTTTTTTTGGCTGATTTTTTAACACATTTCAAACTATTTTTCTTGATTCTTCAGAATGTTTTGATGATTAGAGACCAGATTAGGGCTTTTTGACTTATATAAAGTATACCCTAAATATATCCCCTAAATCATTATAATTTATATAATTATCCCTATATTTTGTTTTTTTTGGGGGGTTATTTTTTCTTGACTTCATTTCAACACACATTGACCTATATCTTTCACATGTTCGAGTACGATTGCCAAACAATGTTCATTAAAACATACAGGTAAGTTAATGAATTAGAACTACTGTACCTTATACATTGTCGACAACTTTAACTTCAATTATCTCTAAAACTAGAGTTTCAACTTTGAGTCAGCTTGAATGACTACCGAAAAAAATGGGGATGATAAAATTGTTAAAAAATGAGTAAGGGGGTGAATTGCAAGGTTAAAATGGAAATTATCATAGATTAACCATTTTGGCTTTGTGATTTATTATGATACTGTAAGTTTTGTTAAAATTATCACTGCAAAATGAATTTTGGTGTTGTTACAGTAAGTGTAACTCTAGGCATCGTGTGGAGAAGTCAGGTGAACTATGTTTATGCTTTATTATGTGCATTAAACAAAGTTTCCAACCAGTACTTTTCAATTAAAAAAGCCCTGCTACTGCCCTGCATGGTACAATCTGTTGATTGTACCATGCAGTAAAACACTACTGACATATGCACTTCACTAAATTAAGTAACCTATGTAATAAATCTCAATTAATAGTAACATACCTGTAACATGAAGCAAACATTCGCTTGTCTTTGAGATGGTTGAGATAAATGGAGGCCATTTTGTCTCGGGCTTGAAGATAATAATGCTGCTCAGGCCCTACTGCACGCAGCATAGATAAAGCATGTTCTACATCCCCACGCATCAAGGCCAAGTCTGCACTTGCAATATTTAATCTTATCTCTTCACCAGTACCCTGTAAAACCAAGCTCAAAGAAATAATCAAAAGCCAAAACATTGCAATATTGCACTGAAATATTTTTTCTATAGACAAATTACTCTGCAAAAGTAGTGTTCTCAACACATGGCCAAGATCCAACTTGAATATAATATCAAGATATTTCAACATTAAAAAAAAATCATGCCTGGAATTCAGTCATAGCTTGTGTCATGATGTTGGCTGCTTCATTGGGTTGATTGTTTAGCCGATAAGCATCACACAGCTCCAAAAATACTGAGACTCTGTCAGGTATCGTCATCTCAGCCTTATTACGGCTACCTTTAGTTGCTGTGAAAAAGTTTTCTTTTAGTAACACATTCCTAATATTTACACAGATTATCTACCAACTGAAGAACTTTATATAATCCAATATTTCCAAATGCTGTCAATATATGCATGCTGGCTGTCATTTCAGGTTAAATTGAGCATTATCCAGTAAATAGTACTTATAGTACCCCTGCAAGGATGACAGAAGGTTCCTTGCTGAGCTGTATGTCAACCTGCCTAACTGTGTAAGTTCCAGTCTAGGAAATCTAGGAAAGGGGGGAGAGGACTTACTTCAAAGAACAACAGATAGATCTGCTCAGATCTATCTGTTGGGGCTTTTTATATATTGTACAAAGCCATAAATTTTCAAATTTATTCATTATCCAAATTGTGGCTTTTCGGGGGGGAGCCCCTTTGGCTCCCTGGAGCTTACTAGGCTGATATGCTAATGTCAGACTTTGGCATCAGTCATGTGTATGGAGTTCTGTGGGCCTACTGGAGACCACGAGACCTCCCTTCCCCCTCCCGTGGAGGGGGGGGGGGAGCTGCGCAGACAGCGGCGAGGCTACGTGTGACATCATACTTGATTGCTCGTTTCTTTTAGGGAAGTTCTATCCACTTGTTCAGCTTTTGGTAGCAAAATTTTCACCAGATTAGGGGTTTGTTTTGGGATGCTTACCTTCCTGGGTGCCTAACCTGGTCGATGACAGACATAGAATGCTTCCAACCACATGGGGGTTTCTATAGGCCATTGCTCCCTATGCCTGTCTGAGGGGGCCAGGTTCTGGCTTGTGGTCCCCGGTAGGCCCAAAGAACTCCATACACATGACTGATGCCAAAGTCTGACATTAGCATATCAGCCAAGTAAGCTCCGGGAAGCCTCCGGGTCACACCCAGAAAATGGCGTTTCATTACATTCAACGCTCGTTTTTTTTTACCACAGGTTTTTGAGGTTTTAACTGAAGATGATACCATTCTACAACAAAAATGTTAAACTGTAAACACTTTATATTTAAGAACTTACTGGTGGGTCGAGTATTGGCAATATTAAGACACGACCTCAGAGTGTTAATTGCTTCAACATACTGCTCTTGTTTCTTTAGTACCCGTGCTCGTACCAGGTGGTAGGTTGGCTGTTCTCGCACCTGTAATGCAATATTTACATGCATCACCACAACTGATCATTAAATAAACTGTATTTAAAGGTAAAGATTTTCCAAAATGTAAAACTCATTTGAAATAAACAAGCACATACTGTAATATGTATGGCTGTACATACCGCGTATACTCAAATAAATCTTAAGAATAAAAGAGACGTAAAAATGTTTCTATTATCTACTAACATTCTCCTAGTAATGTAGGCTGCCAAACACTCCAAAAACTTAACATAAAGCAACTATTCATACAAAGCACAGAGCCATACAATTCATGAAACTAACCACTTGAAAACTGTAAATACTGTACTGTACAGTGGACTCTTGCTCAAATGTAATTTGATCAACTGGAAAGTTGAGTACAACAGAAGGATCCTATTCCAATACTGCAGTAGTTCATTGTGATCAGTTGCAGGTGAACAAATGATGGAGTACTCTGAAGTGAGCCACATGGACTGGAATACTGTACCTTACTACTGTTATTCTCTTACTTTACCTGTGCTAATTACTATATCTACTTTGTGCATTCTATCTTTCATTCCCCCATGGTACAAGACCTAGTCTGAAATTTTCTCTGCCCCAAATCCTTTGATTCAGAGTACATCACTATCAGTGGCTTGGGTGAACGGGAGCACGTACAGACAACACGACTCCGGGTCAAAACAATTATTGACCCAACATGCAGCATGGTGGAGGCTAAACAGGCGAGTGTCACCCTGAGACAAGGGGGACAGAGCAACCTTCAAACTCACAAGACGCGAGGGGGGACTCAGGGGTCACATCCATCGGATCACGTAGCCCCCGTGGGGTTTCCCAGGGCCCTTAGCCATGGTTACACGCTAAGGAAAGCCCAGGCAGGGTACTGCGAACCGGCACCTAAGTTTACCAAACAAACTGCTAATGCTAAAACTGAACCCCCGAGACGTGTCCACTCCAGGCGGGCCAAGCGGGGAGGACCACCAAACACAGAAATATAGATATATAAATATATATACCCCAAAAACAGCGATGGGGAACCACAAAGTCAGACCTCCCCACCAGGCAGAAAACAAAAAAAGGAAAACCCCGCAAGAGGACAACGTGCCCAGGTGGAACAGAGCAGGCCACTGTCATAGGTGAAAACTGGTTGTGCAGAACCCCTGCACCTTTTTTAAAAAGGAACATTCGTAAGCCGAGGTTCCCTGTATTTGTATTTACATAATAAAGAAACGGCTTTATTTAACAACTTGCTATTTATATACTGAACTCTATTTTTGATGAAAGCTGAAAGCATATACAGTGGAACCTCAAGTGACGAGCGGCTCCAGTTACAAGCATTTTGAGTAACGAGCAAGCCACTCGCAGAAAATCTGCCTTGACTGACAAGCTTTTGCTCGATTAACAAGCGTTCCCGCTGATTCTCGGACACCTCCGACGACAGTTTCGTTGTTCTTTCGCAAGACGAGTTTTCCACATGACGAGCTCGGTGCCGGAACGGATTAAATTCGTTAATCGAGGTGCCACTGTAATAAAACAAACACTTTAAAATAAGGACTAACCTCAAAGTTGTAAGAAAGACCAACTTCCAGACTCTGCTGTGCTTGCTTGTAATTTCCTTGATACAACTGGATCTGTGCCATTAGCAAGTGAGCATCTGAGCTGGTTGAATCTGAAAGTGACACAGAATTTATTACTGATATTCTTCCCTCTTCAACTATCTCTTTAAAGCTCAGTTCACACAAATACACACTTTAAATAAGTTATTATATTTACTCTTTCAGGCCCTCAGTTCAGCACTGCATACATTAATAATGTGCTCAAGATATTTATAATTTTGCAAAGCTGCATCTTTCTTGAGTTTTTGTCTTTCATTACAATCTACAAACATAATTTCTAACTAAAAAAACCAGCATTGAATGTAATTAAACGTCATTTGCTGGGTGAGCCCTGGAGGCTCCTTGGAGTTGTCGGGCTAATGTGTCACATATTAGACCGAGGCATTAGCCTAGGGAGTGCAGCCTACCGGGGAACACGAGCCAGAACCTGGCCCCCCCTCAGAGAGGTGCAGGAAGCAAGGCCCTGGAAACCCCCCTGTGGTTGGGGGTTTTCTTTATCTGCTATCAACAGGGGTTAGGTACCCAGAAAAGTAGGCATAACAAAACCCCCACATAGTAAGAAAAATACAATGAAAAACCGAAAAGAGGGGGTAGAAGTCCCTCCAATCCCAAGAAAACAAGCAAACGTCACACTCCACTACCACCCCGCTTCTGTACGCAGCCCTCCCCTCCCCGACAGGGAGAGGGGGGAACCCCAGACCTCTGCATGCCGGCTACCACTTCAGTTCGGAAGCTAAGCATCAAACAATGTGAAAAAATACCGACCGGAGGGAGGGAGGGGAGCCTTCAGGGCTCACCCAGAAAATGGTGTTTCATTACATTCAATGCTGGTTTTCAGTTGGCAGCCCCTACGACTCCCTGGAACTACATAACCAAGGATAAGGAAAAGAGGGACTTACCTGGGAGGCAGCCGCCACACACTCCTCAACATGAAGTTGAGACAACTGGCAACAACCTGCGACCCAAAGCAACACAAGAACACCCAGGAGCAGGAACGTTAACCAAATAACATGCGGCCAGAACCCTGTTCAACCTCCAAAATCCCCGTGCCCGAATATCAGCACAGGACATGTTGCCAAACATGGCAGCCAAAGCAGCAAATTTCCTAATGGAACAGGAAACAAAACCGGATCAACCCGAAGTGCATCCCCAGCCACCGAAGCTGAATCGCGCAGATAACGACGAAAAGCCGCACAACACACGATGCACCCCCAGCCTGACCAACCAAGCATCAATGACCCAAGGACCCCTTCGGAAAGCAGCCATCTCTCTCTTCGGCAGAAGAGAAGGAGAAGGCTACAACCGAAGTAACCGACCACCAGGACCGAAAGAGCAGAAACCCCTGCACTGGAGGACAGCATGAAGCTCACCGACCCAACCCCAAGAAGCCATCGCCAACAGAAACCGAGACTTGGAAAAACAATCTTGAACCGATTGGGGGCCACCACAAACTGATGAGAGGAAAGATAGGAGAGCATCCTGTCTAGAGACCAGGATGGCCCAGGAGGCGCATGAGCAGGCCAGAGGTGAAACAAAGCATGAGAAAGCTTATGGAAAGGGGCAGAAGTAACCTCCCGAACGCAAGCTGGAGTAGCTCCGCCAGCACAGCATGATACGAGGCAACAATATTAGACATCAAATGACGGTCCTGAAAAAGCCAAGACAGAAAGGACAAGACAACCTGATCAGATATAGAAGACAACCTATGAAGAGAGAGAAAATGGCAGAAAGAACGCCAGGAAATTACATACTGTCAACAAGACAAAACTCTCAGGTGGGACACCATCAACGAAGCCACCTGATCACCATACAAATGGTGATAAACGTGCATCAAAATGACCAGACGCAAAGAGCCGAGGAGAAGGCTGAACCAGTCATGTATTGGATAAGTCTGATCTGCCAGAAGAGGCAGAGCTGCGAAAAATGTCCCAGGTTTGCACACCAAGCAAGCAGTGCCTGGAACCAAGGCTAAGCCGGCCACCAAGGGGCCACAAGGACTACTCTTCCCTGGTAGGACTCCAACTGAGCCAGAACCCAAAGCAACAGCTGGACCGGAGGAAGAGGTACATGTAACCCCACCTCGACCAGTCCTGCCAAAAGGCGTCAACCGCGGCAGCTTCGCAGTCAGGGAAGGGCACCACATAGATCTGGAGATGCCGAGATCATGCCGACACGAAGAGGTTCATGTCCGGAAGTCCATACATCCGGCAGAGCCAACAGAAAGAGTCGGCAGTGACCGCCTATTCTGTGGAGAGGGGAATGAACCGAGACAGGCCATTCGCTAGAACATTGGAAAATCCCCAGATATGAACTGCACAAAGAGCCAAACCCCGAGATGCCAGCAGACGAGTCACTCGAAGGAACAGAGCCAAAGAGGCAAGGATCGAAGGGAATCCCCTCGGCTAAGGCAATGAACCTTGGGAGAATGGTCCAAATGGAGCCGAACGGTCGAACCCCAAGCGACTCGAAACCTCCGAAGTGAAAGCCAAACAGCTCCTAACTCCCATACCGTGCTCAGAGCCCAACGGATGGACGGACCCCTTTGCCCCTAGCCAGCTGGGTTAGCACTAGTCACAAAGCCCAAGCCGAGAGACGACGCGTCTGTAAACACATCAAGTGAGGGCTCAGGTAGACACAAAGACACTGTACACTGAAAACCCTGAAGAGGAAGCCGGCGACACAGCAATCGACTCAAGGCCCCCGGAGGACGAACCCAGTGATTACGAGAGAAGCAGAAGGAGTGTCCCCGAAGGAACCAGAACAGACGCCAAAGTCAAACCCGACCAGCACGGGTAGACCAGTAGTGACGAAGTGGGTAAGTGGGTAGACCAGCACAGCGAAGTTCAAACTCCTGCACAACTGCTCAAGCAACCTCTGAGTGACACGGGACCCTCCCAGAAATTGCTGAAGGCGGGACTGCAGCCACCGTAACGCCACCAGAATTAGAGCGATCCTAGAGTACCAAATAAGACCGAGCTAGGTCCGAACTTGGGACAAAACCAGATGGGACTTCCTCCAGTTTACCAGGAACCCGAACCTGGTGAGCTGGGAAGGAACCACACCTCTGGCAAGCAGACAAGTTGACCGACTGGGAGCCCACACCAGCCAGTCGTTAAGGTAGGCCAGGACCCGAACCACTAGCAGACACAGACGGGTCATCACTACCCGGATAAGACTCATGAACACGCGAGGTACCAGATTCAAGCCAAAAGAAAGGAAACGAAAGTAATATGTCTGACACCCCACCACAAAACCTAACCAGTCCCTGAACCCCAGATGCATAGGAACGTGCCAATACATGTCCTTGAGGTCCAGGGACACATCCAGGCACGCGACTCCAAAAGAAGGCAGAGAGACAGAGTGGTCATCCGAAAGGAAGGGTAAGGAATCCAGAGGTTCAGACGGGACAAGTCCAGAATGAACCTCAAATCCGCAGTCCTGTTTCGGCACTGGAAACAGGCGGAAAACCCATCTGAGGGATGAGTGGGTTTCCATTCTCGTTCCACTCAGGAACAAGAAACCCACCTGACTGCATGTCCCACCCACCACACGCACTCCGAGATGACTCGAGGAGGAAAAGGCTGTGCGGACGAGCGGCGCAGCATTAGAGTCTGATGTTTGCTTGTTATTGGAGGGACTTCTGCCTCTCTTTTCGATTTTTTTATGTAATTTTCTTACCATGTTGGGTTTGTTTAGTTATGCCTACCTTTCTGGGTACCTATCCCCAGTCGATGGCAGATAAGGAAAATCCCTAACCACAGGGGTCGGGGGTGTTTCAGGGCTATTGCTCCCTGAAACTTCTCTGAGGGGGCCAGGTTCTGGCTCGTGGTCCCCAGTAGGCTGAACTTCATAGACTAATACCCCAATCTAATATGTCACACATTAGCTCAACAGCTCCAGGGCACTGTAGGGGCTCCCAACAGAAAATATTTCTAAATCACCCGCATTCTGCTGTCTTTCCTCATGTTGAAAGTTTATACATTTTTATTAACACAGTAACATTCCACCTTCTCAACCATGATTGATACCTGCACACAAACACAAATTAGATGTGGATTCAAGTGTCAAAAGATTGCATCATGAATCAGAATATAATTAACAGACGAGCTCCTCCTCAGGCACTCATGATTTGACCCGATAATGACTAAACCAATGTGGTAATGAACTTATTGGGTATTGCTGGGGGACTATTACAATACATTAAAAACTGGGGAAGGAATCTTCCTTCCCAAACGCACCAGGGAAGGGAACTCTAACACGCAAGGGTAGTACTCAAAGGGCGCCTAGGGAAGGATACCCCTAAGCATATGCAGCCCTGGTACTCTCGAGGAAACCTGGCCACCACACACAACAATATTTCTGAAGTCACCCCGAAAGGCAAAACACCGCCTTTGGAAATTGAGGCCAGAGAAGACGTCCACCCCGCGCCCACATTACCGAATGAACTGGAGTTCGCTAATGTCCTGGAGCACTTGTACAATGCTGCCTCCAATGAGAATAACTTCCATCACCTGCCCCTTGACACTGAACTCCAACTACTGACACCATTTGCCCCTTGACACCAACCCTCACCAATGATACCACCTGCCTCCCCTGACACCATTTTATCATCCTTTAACCATTTCTCCCTGGAAACAATGGGTAAGCAAAATAAAACACTGAATAACTTATTATATTTACTAACAATGCTACTAAAGAGACATTTAGTCCCAATGACTCATCACTAGGTTCAAATATTAACCCCTGCAAATTATGTTAACAGTTCTCAATGTATTTACTGCATACATTCAGACAACATTGATAATAACCCCCATACATTCTGGAGTGAATGTTAAAGTTGAGGTGCATGATAATAATTACCCATTACCAGTATTCATCCTTTGAATCGTATTATATGAAAAAACAATGAAATCCTATACGAATGACAGCAAAGTATGATACATATACAGCATGTACAAATATGTAAACATCATGTTATTTGTCATTATTTCAAATCTTCCTTTACCAACAAAACCCTTTTTTAATTTGTATTATTCCTAATTATTTTATAGAAATTGATCATCTACAGTATGTTACATTATATACAATTCCTCAGTAATTTCTGTATTAAGATAATAAATGTAATCCTGTTATGAAAAAACTGACTAAAGGGAAATCACAGTATGGACCAACCTTATTACCAATGAATTACCCTACTAGTGTATAGCACTGTACTTGTGCCTCAGAAAATAGACATGGACTTATGGTGCCTGACTAGATACCTTGATTCAAATGAAGCACTTGATGAGGCCACAGGATTGCAAATTAATGAGTAATAGCTTAGAAGCTGTCACTTGTAATTTTAGCAAAAATACTTCTAGAAGGTTCGTGTTATCCGCAGTAACCTTACATTAAAACATTAAGCACTGAGTAATATAAATTTAAAAGCATGAAGTTTATGCATTTTTCTAAAAGACTGATTCATAGGATGATATTTTAATTTTTTTTTTGTGATCCAACTTTAATTGGCTTGGTGAGTAGCAACATTTGTATATACAGGTATAACAAAAATAGTCTGACCAAAATATTTACATCATCACAAATGTTTAAATTAGTGATATAGACAACACACCTATGTTATCCAGCACATACTGCAAAGATGTCGCAGCTCCCTTCAAATCACCAGTGATGAACTTTAGATTAGCAGACAGTATGAGTGCCGGGAGAAGAGCGGGGCAAGCACGTGTTATGGACTCCAGCACTCCCAGTGCTCTCTTCACAACTTCTGGAATGTTCTCACCTGCTCCTTCTGTTGGGCTTGGCTAGAATGACAAATAAAATAAAAAACCAGCGTTGAATGTAATGAAACATCATTCTGGGTGAACTACGGAGGTTTCCTAGAGCTAAAGGACTGATATTAGCTTTATTATTCATTGCATTCAACGCTGGTTTTCTGTGGGGAGCCACTACGGCTCCCTGGAGCTTATCAGGCTAATGTATGTTATATTAGACCGGGACATTAGCTATGGAGTTCAGACCTACCAGGGACCAGCGCCAGAACCTGGCCCCTTCAGGGAGGTTTCAGGGAGCAATGGCCCTGGAAAACCCCCTTGTGGTTGGGGTTTTCCTTATCTGCCATCGACCGGGGTTAGGCACCCAGATAGGTAGGCATAACAAAACAAACCCATGGTAAAACACTAAAACATAAAAATGAACAGAGAGGTAGAACTCCCTACAATCCCAAGGAAACAAGCAAACATCACACTTTACTGCCGCGCCGATCGTCTGCGCAGCCCTCCCCGCCCCGAGAGGAGGAGGGGGAACCCCGGACCTACCGCGCCAGCTGCCTAGCTTCAATTCGGAAGCTAAGCTTCAACCAACGCGAAAAAAACGCCGACCGGTGGGAGGGAGGGTTGCCAGAGAGCCTCCGGGGCTCACCCAGAAAATGGCGTTTCATTACATTCAACGCTGGTTTTCTATGGGGAGCCCCTACGGCTCCCTGGAGCTTCATACCCAAAGAGAAGGAAAAGAAAGGGCTAACCCGGGAGGCAGCCGCCACAAACTCCGCAACGCAAAGCCGAGACAACAGGCTGCAACCTGCGACCCAAGGCAACAAGAACGCACAGGAGCAGACGCGCATAAAGAAAGGGTGGCCAAGAATCAGTGCGACCCTCAAATCCCTGCACCCGAAATAAGCCCTAGACGTCACCAACACAGCAGCAAAAGCTGCAAACGTCCAAACAGCACGGGCGCAAGGACAGACCGCAGGCTGGAAGACTGAAAAACTCTGCGGACGACCTCTGAAACCCGAGCCCTGAAACAGGGAACGAGGGGAACTGGATCAACCCAAAGTGCATTCCCAGACACAGTACGCAGGTAACGGCAAAACTGCAAACGGACAACACAGGACGCACCCCCGGCCAAACCAATCAAGCATCAATAACCCAAGAACCCCTCTGGAAAGCAGCTATCTCGACTATCGCCAGGACGGTGAAAGGCTGCAAACGTACAAACCTACTACCAGTACCAAAGAGCAGAAATCTGAACCGAAGGGGCTACCACAAACTGAGAAGATACGAAGGCACCCTGATCAAGGACCAGGACGGCTCAGGCGATGCATGAGTAGGCCGGAGGTGAAACAAAACACGGCCCAGGAATGTTTACCATGTAATGTGCAGCCAGGACCCTGTTTGACCTCCAAAAACGCCGCGTCCGAATGTCAGCCAAAGACATATTACCAAAATCAGCAGCAAGAGCAGCAAACTCGCAAACGTCATGGGCACGGGAACAGACTGCAGGCTGGCTAGACCGAATAACCCTGCGGACGACCTGGGAGACCCGAACCCGGGAACAGGGAAAAATGAAGATCGAATCAACCCATAGCGCATCCCCGGCTACAGAGTCTGTGGCGCGCAAATAACAACAAAGAGCAGCAACTGGTCACAACACATGATGCACCCCCACCCTAACAAACCAAGCATCGACAACCCAAGGACCCCCCCTCCGGAAAGTAACAGTCTCATTCTTCGCCAGAAAAGAAGGAGACGGCTGCAAACAAACAAACCTACGACCAAGACCAAACAAGCAGAAACCCCTGCGCCGGGGGAGAGCATGAAGTTCCCCGACCCGACCGCGAGAGGTCAATGCCAACAAGAAAAAAGCTTTAGAGAAACAGTCCAAAACCGAAGGGGCCACTACAAACCAAGGAGAAGAGAGATAAGATAACACCCTGTCCAAAGACCAGGATGCCTCAAGCGACGCATGAGCAGGCCGGAGGGAAAACAACGCGACGTTTCGGTCCGTCCTGGACCATTCTCAAGTCGATTGTGAATGGTCCAGGACGGGTCGAAACGTTGTCGTCCCTTCACCTTCTAGTGTGTGGTCTGGTCAAGAAAGCCTAAGAAAGAAACGGAAGGACCGCCAAGAGACTTCATACTGCCAGCTAAACGAAGCCCACAGGTGGGATACCAACAAAGAAGCCACCTGATCACCACAGAGATGATGATAGACTCGAGTCAAAAATACCATACTCCTAGACTCGAAGAGAAGACTAAACCAGCTATGTGGCTCCGATCTGCTGAAAGAGGCGGAGCCACGGGAAAACCTCCGGGTCCTGACACAGTGCAAGCAGCGCCTGAAACCAAGCTTGGGCCGGCCACCAAGGGGCCAAAAGGACTACTCTTCTCTGGTAAGTCTCCAAGCGAGTCAGGACCTGAAGCAACAGCTGAACTAGGGGAAAGAGGTACAGGAACCCCCACCTAGACCAGTCCTGCCAAAAACCTTGCGGTCAGGTAAGGGTGCTACATATACCAGTAGGCGCCGCAACCATGCCGACACGAAGAGGTCCACCTCCGGGCGCCCAAACGTCCAGCAGAGCCAACTGAATGAGTCGGCGTTGACCGTCCATTCCACGGAAAGGGGAACTAACCGAGACAAGCAGTCCGCCAAGACACTGAACACCCCCCAACGTGAACTGCCAGGAGGGCCAAACCCCGAGAACTCAGCAGACGAGTCACCCGAAGCGACCAGCGTTAAAGAGCCAGGGACCGCATCGAACACCCCCCCCCCCTCCTCCTTGGTTCAGGCAATGAATCACCGGGGAGCAGTTCGAATGGAGCAGGATCGTCGCTCTGAACCCTACGAAATGCGAAGCAAACAGCCGCGAACTCCCGCACCATGCTGTGGGCCCGACGGAAGGACAGAACCCAAGGTCCCTGGACAGCCTGGAGAGCACTGGTCGCAAAGCCTCAGCCAAGAGATGACACATCGGTGAACACATCGAGCGAGCACGAGAGCCCCCAAGAAAACGGCAAAGGTGGGACCGCAGGCGAAGGAGAGACTCCGGAGGGAGACTCAAGGAAGCAGTCCGAGAGTCCCAAACAAGACCCAGCCAAGTCCGAACCTGGGAGGGGACCAGATGGGACTTCCTCCAGTTCACCAAGAACCCGAACCCGGTGAGCTGGGAAAGAACCAAACTCCTGGCTAGCAGACATGTGAACAAGCTAGGAGCCCAGACCAGCCAGTCGTCGAGGTAGGCCAACACCCGAACACCTAAAAGACGCAGGCCGCGTACCATCGCATACCACCGCGACCCGCGTAAGGCATGTGAAAAGACGAGGTACCAGATTCAACTCGAATGGGAGATAACAAAAGCGGTAACACTGACGCCCCACAACAAAACCGAGCCAGTCCCTGAACCTCGGATGAATCGGGACGTGCCAATAAGCGCCCTGGAGGTCCAGGGACATCATTCAAGCGCCCGGCTCCAACAGAAGCCAGACCTGAGACAGCGTAGTCATCCGAAAGGAGGAGCAATAAACCCAGGGGTTCAGACAGGACAAGACATGAATGAACCTCAGGTCCACACAGTCCCATTTTGGGACTGGAAACAGGCAGGAGACCCACCTGAGGAATGTAGTCGTTTTGACCACACCCAAGCGAACCAACTCCAAGATGACCTGACAGAGAGCAGGGAAAGAGGCCTGCCCCGTCACCTCCGAGCCCCCCAGTGCCACCGCAGATCATCGGAGATGACCTGAAAAGCCCACAGATCATGAGACCTGGCATGAGCAAACAGAGCAAGCCTTCTGCCCATTGCCTCATCAATGGGACGAACAGTAAAATGGCAGGCGCCCCTTATGAGAACTCGAGTCCCGCTCAGAGCGAACACCGCGCCAACCAGACGAAGGCGGTTCCAAAGGAGGTGCCGGCCCTGAAACTGGCACCAGTGGCCTACCCCAACTAGTGGAACCCCAAGCCCTGGCACGACCCCTCCAGGAAGGCCCACTCTCCCCGGGGCTCTCGGAGAACCAACAAATCAGACATGGGACAACAACTAGCCAAAGCCGCTTACAGATACTGCGCCACGGCAGAATCCGCAAACAACAGGAGGCAGAAGGGCAAAGACAACCCAAGAGCCAGGGGCCCAGGCAGCTTCCAGGGAGGAAGCTGCCTGGGCCCAACGTAATCACCAGACTGGGTAAAGTGAGTCACCAGCAAGCAACAAAACTCGCAGGACTCTGGGTCGAAGGTGTCACCGACTCAAACAGGCAGCATGACGGAGGCAAAAACAATAAGAGTCACCCTGAAACAAGGGGACAGAGCAACCTTCAAATTCGCATAAAGCGAGGGGGGGACACAGGGGTCACATCCATCAGACTCACGTGCCCCTGTGGGGAATCCCAGGGTCCTGAGACGGAACTCACACTCAGGGTAGCCCAGGCAGGGTACTACTGCTAACCGGCGCCCAAGTCTACCAGTCAAACTTCTAAGTAACTGAACCCTTGGGATGTGTACGCTCACAGGGACCTTGCAGGGAATACCACCAGAACAGAAGAGCATATGCGATAAACACAGGGGCAACAACCAAGGCAGACCACCCCCTCCCCTACCAGGCAGGAAAACAAAAAAAAAAAAAAAGCCCCGCAAGAGGACAGCGTACCCAAGTGGAACAGAGCCGGCCGCTATGAGAGGTGAAAACTAGCTGCGCAGTACCCTGCGCCTCTACCAGTGAAAACTGCCCCTGACCCTAAGGTGAACAAGGATGCCAGAACACCACAGCACACAAAGGGGGCCGAAAGCTGAACAGCAAATGACCAAGCAGAGGCAGAATCGAAGGAACTTGAGGAAAGATGCCCCAAGCCCCAAGGGCAGTACTTACAAGGCACATAGGGAAGGGAACCCTAGGCGCATGCAGCCCGAGTACTGAAGAATTACTCCTGGGTCGCGCACCCCCAAAAAGACAGCCACCACACAACACAGGCACTGAGTTGAGCACCAATGTCAGGAGACAGAGCATACGACTTTCGCCTAGCACATCAGCCTTAGAACTGGAGTCGTGGGTAGCCTGCGGGAGGGGTCTGGGGCTCCCCCTTCCCCCTCCCAGGGAGGTGGGAGCTGCACAGACAGCAGCGCAGTGACATAGTGACGTCATGCTTGTTTGTTCGTTTTTGTTTGGGGAGTTCTGTCCACTAGTTCGGCTCTCAGTTGCAATTTCTTAACCAGAATAGGGAGTTTGTTTTGGGATGCTTACATTTATGGGTGCCTGACCAGGTCAATGGCAGACATAGAATGCTTCCAACCACAGGGGGGGTTTCTATAGGCCATTGCTCCTCGTGCCTCTCTGAGGGGGCCAGGTTCTGGCTCTTGGTCCCCGGTAGGCCTAAGAACACCTTTCACATTGACTGATGCCTAAGTCTAATATTAGCATATCAGCTTGGATAGCTCCAGAGAGCCGACGGAGCTCCCCGCAGAAAATAGAGATTTTATCAACTCTCTTGAGCTTCGTGTACAGAAAGGCCAGATTCATTGTCAAATGTGCCTTCTCAGTCATTGCTGGTGAAGTTTTTTTGTTAAAATCAGTTAAACATACAAGTACTGTACTATAAATACCTGATTAGGTGCATAAAGGAGACATTCATTAACAATAAGGAGCAAGAAGTCAGGATTCAATGCTGCTAGATATGTAGCACCAAATGACATCCCACGATGATTCTTGAAGTGATTGTCAATAGCCTCATGCAACATTCCTGCAAAAAACGAGCGTTGAATGTAATGAAACAGCATTTTCTGGGTGAGGCCCGGAAGCTTCCCGGAGCTTACTAGGCTGATATGCTAATGTCAGAATTTGGCATCAGTCATGTGTATGGAGTTCTGTGGGCCTACCGGGGATCACGAGCCAGAACCTGACCCCCTCAGAGAGGCATAGGGAGCAATGAACTGTAGACACCCTCGTGTGGTTGGAAGCATTCAATGTCTGCCATCGACCGGGTCAGGCTCCCAGAAAGGTAAGCATCCCAAAACAAACCCCTATTCTGGTGAAAATATTGCTCCAAAAGCTGAACAAGTGGATAGAACTCCCCTAAAAGAAACGAGCAAACGAGCATGATGTCACACGTCGCCACGCCACTGTCTGCTCAGCTCCCCCTTCCCCGAGAGGGGGGAAGGGGGAGCCCCAGAACCCCGATACTGGCTATCCACCTGTCAGTTCTGAGGCTGGATGTCAAAACACGCGAAAAACCGCCGACCGGAGGGAGAGAGGGATGCCGGGGTCTCACCCAGATAATGGCATTTCATTACATTTAATGCTGGTTTTCTGGGAGGAGTCCCTTCGGCTCCCTGGAGCTAACTACCCACAGAGGAAAATTGTAATAGAGACTTACCCGGGAGGCGGTCGCTGCTCACTCCTCAACTCGAAGTCGAGACAACTGGCTGCAACCGCCGACCCAAAGCGACACAGGCCCGACTGGGCCTCAGAACATTCACTTCCCCTTTCCCCGTGGTCATGGCACCGCGACCACGCCGACACAAAGAGGTCCACCTCGGGGCGCCCGAACGTCTGGCAAAGCCAACGGAAGGAGTCGGCGTCGACCGTCCATTCCGTGGAAAGGGGAACGAAATGAAATAGGCCATTGGCCAGGACGTTGGACACTCCCCACACATGAACAGCCAGGAGAGCCAAATCCCGAGAACTCAGCAGACGAGTCACCCGAAGCGACCAGCGGCAAAGAGCCAAGGACCGCATTGAACCCCCCCCCCCAGGTTCAGGCAATGAGCCACCGGGGAGCAGTCCGAATTGAGCCGGATCGTCAATCCACGGGCAACCCTGAACCCTCCGCAGTGCAAACCACACCGCCGCAAACTCCCGCACCGTGCTGTGAGCTCGACGGAAAGACAGACCCCACCATCACTGGCTGGCCTGGTGAGCACTGGTCAGAAAGCCCCAGCCGAGAGACAAAGCGTCCGTGAACACATCGAGTGAGGGCTCTGGCAGGTGCCAAGGCACCGAACCCTGAAAAACCTGAAGAGGAAGCCGGAGACGCAGCAGCCGATGCAAGGCCCCCGGGGGCCAAACCCAGCGATCGTGAGAGAGGCGAAAGGGACATCCCCGAAGGAACCAGAACAGCTGACGAAACCAAACCCAACCCGGCGAGTATACCATCATCGCGAAGTTCAGGCTCCCGCACAAACCCTCGAGCAACCACCGGGTGACCCAAGAGCCCCCTAGAAATAGGCGCAAGCGGGACAGCAGCCGTAGAAGAGACTCTGGAGGAAGACAAGGAAATGGTCCGAGAGTCCCACACAACACCCAGCCACTGCCGAACCTGGGAGGAAACAAGATGGGACTTCCTCCAGTTCACCAAGAACCCAAACCCAGCGAGCAGGGAAAGAACCAAATCCTTGGCTAGCAGCCAACAGGACCGCCTGGGAACCCAAACAAGTCAGTCGTCGAGGTAAGCCAACACCTGAAAGCCTAAGAGACACAGACGGGTTACCACAACCTGCATAAGGCGTGTGAACACGCAAGGTGCCAGATTCAACACGAACGGGAGACAATGAAAGCGGTAACCTTGACGTCCCACAACAAAACCAAGCCAGTCCCTGAACCCCCAGGTGAATGGGGACGTGCAAATAAGCATCTCGGAGGTCCAGGAACACCATCCAAGAACCCGCCTCCAATAGGAGCCGGGTTCCCCCTTCCCTCGGCTCCCCCTTCTCCCTCCCGGGGAGGGGGGAGCTGCGCAGACAGTGGCGCGGCGGCGTGTGACGTCACACTAATTTGCTTGTTTTCTGTTGGGGAGTTCTATCCACTAGTTCGGCTTTTAGTAGCAATTTTAACCAGAATATGGGTTTGTTTTGAGGCGCTTACCTTTCTGGGTGCCTGTTCCGGTCGATGGCAGACATAGAATGCTTCCAACCACACGGGGGCTTCTATAGGCCATTGCTCCCCTTGCCTCTCTGAGGGGGCCCGGTTCTGGCCGTGGTCCCCGGTAGGCCTAAGAACTCCATACACATGACTGATGCCAAAGTCTGACATTAGCACATCAGCCTGGGATAGCTCCGGTGAGCCGACGGGGCTCCCCTCAGAAAATATTTTTGGACATTGTTGAAAGTAACTGATAATAACATTGGGCAATGTACTTGTATTTATATGATATATAACAATATTGAGCATAACAACATAATTACTCATTATTATTTGTGTTATTATGTATTACTGACCAATGCTATAAAGGCACCAGCTGTATATCCACTTTGTGGACACTTCTTACTACTATTCTTCTTCTTCTTCTTTGTGCATCAGTCAGGTGCTTGCATCTCTTTATTATTGCATTATCCATCAGTTCCAGTCAATAGGAGCTGTTCTCTTTAACAACAAAATGTTTTTTTCTTTTAAATATTCGTCTAAAATCAATTTCTGAAAATATTTTGATGAAAGTTGCACGAAGCTGAAGCCAATAAGTTGGAGATTTATTTAAGTCATTTTTACATAATTTGAATATTTTTTTAATTATACCCCCTTCAATGTCACACATCATATGATGTTTTGCGCAGTTTAACCCTTTAACTGCGCAACGCGCCTGCAGGCCCACGTCTGGGGTGCACTACTCGCCTCCGGGTATTTGTATTTTTCATGTTCCATTCAAAACTCCCGCGGCTACATGAGGTTCACATCAGCTTCCTCAGGGCTCTTGTAAACAGACGCCATCTTTAAAAAAAATCGTGGTCCACATTCCCGGGTGTGAGAGCCTCAGTAGTGAGTGAGCAACCAAGGCTGGCGCTCGCAGCATGAGCGCACAGCACTGCTGTTCAGCGTGTGACCACAGCATCACCTAATAATGACAAAATATATATATATATAACTTGTATTATTTAGCCATGATAGTATTATAGAAGAGCCTGAGTGTGATAATGACTGTGTACAACGTTCAAATATCAGTGATTCAATGCTGTTCACGATGTTCACAACACAAATTCCACTATACACAATACAATTCAATACTATACACAAAGCTAATTATAACCACAATCCTGCTGTTATCACAATCCTGGTCACTAAATCCTGTAAATGTATAATTGACCACAAGTTTATTTTGTAAAGGAACCTAGGAAGTCGTTTGAAGATTCCTAGATGGACAAAATAATGCTGTGGTGCTGTGGCTAGTGCTGTGAACATTGTGAACAACACTGAATCACTGATATTTGAACACTGTACACAGTCATTATCACACTCAGGTTTTTCTTTAATAATACCATGGCTAGATAATACAAGTTATATATATATTTTGACATTATTAGGCGATGCTGTGGTCACAAGCTGAACGGCAGTGCTGTGAGCTCATGCTGTGTGCGCCAGCCTTGGTTGCTCATTCAGTACTGAGGCTCTCACACCCGGGAATGTGGCCCACAATTTTTTTTAAAGATGGCGTCTGTTTACTAGAGCCCCGAGGAAGCTGATGTGAACCCCATGTAGCCACGGGAGTTTTGAATGGAACGCTAAAAATAAAAATACCCGGAGGCACGTTGCGCACCCCAGACATGGGCCTGCAGGCACGTTGCGCAGTTTAAGGGTTAAGAAAAAACTGAAAAAACTATTTTTAATACACTTAAGTAAATTCAGGAATCAATAAATTCAACAGAAGGAAAGTTTTAAGTCATTTTACAAACAACGATTTCATATGACCAGTTTCAGAGTTTTTACTCTTCTTTTAAATTTATTTGTTATCCTGTTCTATATTTCCTAATCAATTTCTTGTTTCATATACTATACAGCCCATCTTTTATGAGCTAAATAAATCCAGTGGTTAAAATCTACTAATACACTTTGATATTAATATTAAGGGTTGGTACTGAGAAATGTAATGTAAAACATGACACGTTTTGAACTATACTGTACCTAGAATTGTGTCAGATGGTTGATTCTTCATGCGACCAAGAACAGCAGACAGATACAAGATATCTGGTGAAGCTCCAAGACTACGCTGAACCTGATAATTTTGAAGCCTTATCATTATATTAGCTAAGTTTAAAATAAAATAATATAAGACAAAATGAATCACTTACTGTAAAAGTAATTTCTGGCACCTTGCTACTGCACACTTGTGAGGGGAGGGGTGAATTGGCACATTTGGACAGTACAATATACAATTAGCCATATTTAACAAGGTATATACCCTTAATCCCACAACACCTGACATTGTTCCAGATTCTCATATTCCTCAGTCACAAATTACGAACTGAAAATAGTCTGTGACGGACCAAAATATTGATTTCTATTCATTGGTGTGTAGATTTAATATTCATCTGTAATAAGTAGTTTAAAGAACCAGGTACATGAAAATTGGACAGTGAATGTATGTACATACGGAGGGGTAGCAAGGAAAGACATCTCTATATACTGTGTAAATTTTGTATGATAATCACATTAGCAAAAGTATAGCCTTCGTTCTTCATAAACAGCTTTACGAATATGACATGGTAACTCTGCCCATAATTGGCTGACCCAGCAGAACACCAGAATTAGCCGTTCTCAATGTTCGATGTCTCATTCCATGAGAATTATAGTGTGGTAAGATTTGGTATTAATGTTTAAGGCACAAACATTGTAATCATTTGAGCATGTTTGTTAAAGTAATCCTCAAGCTCTTCACAGATTCTATTATTTCAGTGCAGTGATGGTTGTTATGCTCATGTGACAGCAGACTGCCCCATGGAATTTTTTAGCCAATGTTTTGAGCTCTCATAATAATCAGAGAATTTAAATGCTTGGAGAAGATTCTAATTTTTGCTACCCCTCAAGGAAAATTAGACAGTATTCTACTAAATCTTTGCCCTGTTGAAAACGAAAACGATGAAATTTTAACACCCACCTCTTTTAAGAACTCCAATTGTTGTTCTGCAATATCCACTTGACCATCTAAAAGCTGGCATGAAATGATTCCTGTTGGCAAAGTCATCACATTAAAAAAAAGCTCTCATAAAGAATTGGAAAATTAACCTTGCTTATTTTGGAGCATCTTATATTACCCTTTATCTAACAATAGATAAAGATAATGAGGCCTTATTAAATTGTATACTATTGAATGCTCATTTGTGGTTTGATGAAAGAGTACCCTTTAAACAATGTTACTAATTAAGCACTTCTCCAACTAAACAAACCTGTTAATGCTGCAACAGAAGACTCATCTAACTTGGTAGCATTCTTATAGAATTTGGTAGCCTCCTTGTTACGGCCCTGAAGAAGACACTGATATCCTACCTCAGTGAGGTACTCCGCACTTCCTGTGTCCACCTTGGCTGCTTTACTTGCCATCATAAATGTTTCTTCTAACACAAGACGATTTCTTCCACACTGAAACAAATATTCCAAATGACACTGGATGTAAATGTATAAAAGTATTTATAGGTTGAGAAAATTTGGATTTCACACGACCCATTTTGACTCAAATCCAGCATCTTACCAACCAGGTGAAATTCTTAACAAATCATAGGGACTTGTTTACACAACAGGATGGCATAGACCCAGGCAGGAGGGGTTACCTTGAGGTTACCTTGAGGTTACCTTGAGGTGCTTCCGGGGCTTAGCGTCCCCGCGGCCCGGTCGTCAACCAGGCCTCCTGGTTGCTGTACTGATCAACCAGGCTGTTGGACGCGGCTGCTCGCAGCCTGACGTATGAGTCACAGCCTGATTGATCAGGTCTCCTTTGGAGGTGCTTATCCAGTTCTCTCTTGAACACTGTGAGGGGATTGCCAGTTATGCCCCTTATGTGTAGCGGAAGCGTGTTGAACAGTCTTGGGCCTCTGATGTTGATAGAGTTCTCTCTCAGAGTACCTGTTGCACCTCCGCTTTTCAACGGGGATATTCTGCACATCCTGCCATGTCTTCTGGTCTCATGTGGTGTTATTTCTGTGTGCAGGTTTGGGACCAGCCCCTCTAATATTTTCCACGTGTAAATTATTATGTATCTCTCCCGCCTGCGCTCAAGGGAGTACAGATTTAGGCTCTTTAGTCGGTCCCAATAGTTTAGGTGTTTTACTGAGTGGATTCTAGCAGTAAAGGATCACTGCATGCTCTCCAGGTCAGCAATTTCTCCAGCTTTGAAAGGGGCTGTCATTGTGCAGCAGTACTCCACTCTAGAGAGCACAAGCGTTTTGAAAAGTGTCATCATCGGTATAGCATCTCTAGTGTGAAAAGTTCTTGTTATCCAACCTGTCATTTTTCTTGCAGTTGTGACGGATACTTTATTGTGTTCTTTAAAGGTAAGGTCTTCCGACATGAGTACACCCAGATCCTTTACATTGCCTTTACATTCTATGTTATGATTTGCCTGAGTTTTGTACGTGGTTTCCGTTTTTATATTTTCATTTTTTCCATAGCGCATGAGCTGGAACTTATCTTCGTTAAACACCATATTATTTTCTGTAGCCCATAGAAAGACCTGATCTACATCTGACTGAAGGTTTGCCGTGTCCTCTATTCCTGTCCTGCCGTGGGTATTCCAAGCACATTAAAAAAGTCAAAGCAAATGATAATGTTAGAGACCTGTATGATAAACTACACACCAAGATGAGGTTAAAATGATTGGCTCAATAATTGGTTCACTTTAACACAATTTATAGACTAGATTCTGTAAGTAATGATAAGACTGCACTGGAATACATGCACACCACATAAGAATCACATCAAATAGGCTTGATAGAGAGTACTCGTGAGTACAAGCAGAATTTCATCATACCAAATCTTCTGTAGTCTAAGCAACATCTTTGATTTAAAATGCCAAGATTTTGTCACTGTGAGCATATGTTATTAAATTAGTATTTACTTTCTGTGGCACGCACAATATTCAAACAAACTCTAATAACAATGATGATTAAATTGAAAGCATATGAAAAATATCAAGCACAAATTTTTAATACGAAATCAGATACTGTACTGTATTTCATTCCAACGAAATGTTTTAGGAGAGACCAATTAAAATGTATACAGTAATTTTAATCAGCATTAACTTTTAAGGTCACATTGTACAATGCATAGGAACAGGACTGATAAATATAAATAATTTCTACACTATTTGTTTAATATGTCATTTTATATAAATATGAATTGTAAATATCTTACCAGCCTTGAAAATAACTGAGCCATGTGAACAAATAATGATGCATTGTTGGGTTCACTTCTGTCCATCTCACTATACAAGTTGCGTAAACCCTGTGCTGCATCCTCATAGTTGCCCTGACGACACAGAGAGTACAGTGTCTTGTATTTTAACGCTTCTACGTTGTGTGAATCCATACCTAGAACACTGAAATAGGAAAAATTATGGTCATGAGTTAATATATAAAAAACATCTTTTAGATGTTTTGGGAAGGAATAAGCACAAAAGAAGAACCAGGACCAGGAGTCATTAAACACTTACACAACCACTTATGAACCTGTACTGTACATCTTTTCTCAATCTTTGACAGCTTTGTTTACATTTATTGAACAGTTTATGAGCTCCAACGGACTAGCAGGCTGTTTATAACAATAACAACAATTGATTTTGATGTTTGTAAACTGTCTAATAAAAGTAAACAAAGGTGCCAAAGAATGAGAAAATATGTAAAGGTTCATAAGTAGATGCATGAATGCTTGTTGAATCCTGTCCTTGGTCACCAACACCACCAAATCAGGTACAATGTTGTACACGAAATTGCATGATAGAATATACTGTAGACACGCGATTATCCGGAAAACGACCATCCGGAAAACGCCCATATCCGGCTAAAATCGTGGTCAGATAAAGTTATCTCTCTATCCAGTCAAAATGTCTATGGGAGCCGCAAAAGCAGGTGTTTGGCCGGATCAGTGGCCTAACACTCGTTGTACACCACCACACCACTCCCTCCCTTCCCACCAAGAAGGGAGGGAATCATCCCTCACTGCTGTTCACTTTCTCCGTCCCGCCCACATTTACTTTCCCTCACTCCCTCCCTCCCCCAAGAGATCTTTCTGTAGGTGGCAGTAGATTGCCTGCCTGGAGAATTTCCATCTAATACAATAAAGCATTCATGAAACAAGTATTTTTATAACTTTTTATTATCCTAATAATATTGCTAAACAAAATATGTAACCAAAAATATATATGATCATGTACTGTACATCCAGAATTTAAGAAACAAAATTTAAGAAACAATTCTGGCTACCGGTGACGAGTATAGGGTTATCTGAGTGAGCCCGACCCTTTTCCCACCACCGACACAACACCCCCCACATCCCATACACACACTCTCCTTAAAGGTCATAGTTCAACTGTCCATAATTCCCTGCCTAAGGGAAGGAGGGAGGGAGTCGATCAGGAAGGGAAGGGAAGGGAAGGGAAGGAAGGAGGGAGTCGGTCAGGAAGGGAAGGGAAGAAGGGAGGGAGAAGTGTTGAGTGTGAAGGGTAACATATGTGACTCGCTTAAGCCTACCAAGGAAGGTGGTGTTGGAGGTGTTGCAAGAATTATATTGTTTTCTTATTGCTGTGGAGAGCTAATTACAAATATTAAATAACAAATAATACAGTATTTGGTTTGCTATTTATTCATTTAAATATTTACAAGAAAATAAAATGGGATTTAACAGAACTTAAGGCGCATATGTCGACACACGTGGAGGGGGGATGGGAAGGCCAGCGTGACGTGGGGGGGGGGGGGGTGATCAGGCATGACGTGTGATATGTCTCTGTCCCGTCTCGCCCACCCACCTGCCTGCATGCCCACCTGTTAACCCACCTGCCTGCTCGCCTGCCTGCATGCCCACCTGCCAACCCACCTGCCTGATATCCCACCCACCTGCCTGATAGCCCACCTACCCACCTGCCTGCTTGCCCATCCACCCACCTGAATACTCACCTGCAAACCCAGCCACCTTCCAACCCACCCACCTGTTCACCTACCTGCCTGCTCACCCACCTGCCAACCCACCCACCTGTTCACCTACCTGCCTGCTCACCCACCTGTTCACCCACCTGCCTGATAGCCCACCCAGCCACCTGTTCACCCATCTGCCTGCTTGCGCACCCACCCACCTGAATGCTTGCCCACTCACCCCCCTGTTCCTGGTTACCTGGTTGATACCTGGTTGATGGGGTTCTTAGAGTTCTTCTACTCCCCAAGGCCGGCCCGAGGCCAGGCTTGACTTGTGAGAGTTTGGTCCACTAGGCTGTTGCTTGGAGCGGCCCGCAGGCCCACATACCCACCACAGCCCGGTTGGTCCGGCACTCCTTGGAGGAATAAATCTAGTTTCCTCTTGAAGATGTCCATGGTTGTTCCGGCAATATTTCTTATGCTTGCTGGGAGGACGTTGAACAACCGCGGACCTCTGATGTTTATACAGTGTTCTCTGATTGTGCCTATGGCACCAAGTGGGGGTTCACCCACTTCCCTGCCCACCTACCTGTTTACCCACCTGTCTGCATGCCCACTTACCCACCTGCCAATCCACCCACCCACCTGCCTGATAGCCCACCCACCTGCCTGCTCACCCAACCACCCACTTGCCGACTCGAACCTGTTCACCCACCATGCCCATCTGCCTGCCATCCACCCATCCTAAACCCACCTGCGTGAACCCACTTATCCCTGCCTGCCCACCCACCCACTTGCCTGCCCACCCACCAGCTAGGCAGCTAACCACCCACCCAGCCCCCCACACTAATTAGTGTGTGCCAATTCAAATCCTGAGTGAGGTATAAAAAATGTTGGAAATGGTCCCTTTTGGACTCAGAGGTGAAAAAGTACTCTTATCCAGAAAAACGTGACTATCTGGCTAGGGGGTCCTTCCCATATAATCCAGATAATCGAGTGGAGACTGTATTTAAATTTTACAAAAATTTGTGTACATATCATCTTAGACCAGGATTTTTAAGAACTCTGATTGTTAACTGCACAAAATTTGATTTGTTTTAAAAATCAAAATGATTCCGAGCCATTAACAAAAAAATAATCGAGTACCAGCTTCAAATACAGAATTCATAGATATATCTTACCGATTAGCAGATTCCAAGCACTGATCCCAATCCTGTTCCGAGAGATTAACCTTCATTTTCTCCACTAACGGAGCAGTAAATCCAGGATAAGCGACAACGAGGAGGTTTAAAGTTTCAATGGCTTCTTTATGAGAGTTCCGATTTTCAAAGTTCTTTGCTTTGCCAAAGAGAGCATCCATGTGTCGAGGTGAACTAGAAAATTAAATGATGATACATTTAAGTCAATACTGTATTAAATAAGTGGCTTAACAATGTCAAAAATACTTCTGAGCTACTGTATTCCACTCAGATGTTCTATAAGACAAGACAACTGAAGGTTTCACTGGTCATTATCATTATAATCACGGCAAGGCAATGACTCCACACTGGCACGACAGATATTTTTACAGTCCCTGTCAGGTTATGTTGGTGGTGGGAAATGACTTCCACAAGATGGAAGTGCCAAAATTAAATCTCTGGTTCCCTACCACAAACTTTACCACACTCCAGACTCATCCTTGTGATGTTTGCCTTGTGGCAAAGCTCAGCAAGTGGCCCCCTTCTCTTCCATGGGTGAGGATGGGTTTCAGGGCGTCTGTTTGATGCTGCTTGGTCATTGGTTTACAGGCTAGATGATGCACATCACCAAGTTAGGAAGTTGACTTGACTATCTTTCAACTTGGTTTGAGTATGATGCTTCACTGCTTCATCTCAAGTATGATTCATTGTATTACTAGTGACTGATTATGTTCAAGTGCTCCAAAATTTTCTCCCGGTCTCGCTTTCTTGCAGTTCAGGCTCAGTCAGGACCATGTATCTGAACCAAATCCTGCTCTGCTAGAGCTTTATTCATCTTTTGCTGCTTGGCTTTGACACTGGGTTCCCCTGCTCCCTTTTGGCTTGTGGGTACTATAGTTCCTTGTACTGGGTGGGTCATTGACTACTGTTTATTGGGTCAAATGTCCTTGATGACAGGAGGTGGAGAGGGAGGGAATTATCAGGGGAAAAGTGCCAAGCCATTACGACTATATAGCACTTGGAAAGGATAAGGATAAGATTTGGAATGGGACACGGGGAAGGAATGGTGCCAATCACTTGGACGGTCGGAGATTGAATGCCGACCTGCATGAAGCGAGACCATTGCTCTACAGTCAAGCCCAAGTGGTTGAACTAAATGTCTTTGAGAGGAAGGAAACCTCTTACCTCATCCATGTAGTTAGGCAATGACCTTGACTTCCTGAATGAGGTCATCTACGACCCCACCCCTCTCTCTCTCTCTCTCTCACATGAGGTAGCCTACTAGGAATACCACATTCAGATTCCCTTTCCTGCCAGGAACTCTTCCTTCCCCAGCTATTCATCAAGTGGGCTAAGCTGGAGATATTGAGCAAGTTGAATGCATTTTTGTCTGCTGATTTGCTAAAGGTGTTTGCCCCGATCCCTAATGATGCAGCGAGTTTCTATTCTTTACTAAGAATATCACCAACAGACACATCATGCTGAACACAGTGTTTCAGCAGAAATCCAAGATGGGTCCTTCTCATAGGGTGGTGTTGCCTTGTACTGCTGTTGACCCCGCTGTTTCTACTATTGTTAGTAGGCAAGTCCTGCCCATTTCTAGGGGTTCACATCACCCAGTTTGTCAGTCATTACATGGTAAGTCTCGCTAATAGTGGGACCGAGAAAGCCTGCAGTCCTTTCAGCAGCCTTGAGCAGGGCTTCTTAACCCTTGTGAGTTGTGTCTTAAGTCTGGCATGAACTTGGTCTCCAAGTCCCTGTGGGATTCTCCTTGACCAGTGGTAGTTGTCCACCCCCTCCTTTGTGCTCACATTTGTATAAGATGATGGACAAGGTGATGATTAGTGTGGTTTACTCTCCTTGAGCTTAGTCTAGGCTTTTACCAAAGCACAGAAAATTGTGCTTACCTATCAATAATTACAGGGGAGAGATGTAACTCATTATGCCCTGCCTCCTAGCTGTTCATACCTGGTGCACTAATAAATCCTTCTCAATATTAATGCTTTTATCATACTGTATTTCTTGTTAAAGTTGGGGACAGAATTGGCTTCAACAGCCTCTTCCTTCAGTGCATTTGTGTTCCTGCCATCCGTATGGGTAACAAGAACTTCCTTACATCTCTTCAACTCAACTGCTTATCCAGTTTCCATCAATGTACCCTTGTCCTACCCCTTTTTAATTTAAATAGGCTTACTTTATTTACTTTATTTATTCCCCACAAGATCTTGTACATGGTTCACATCCCCCCCATCCTGTTTCTTCTCTCCTCTAAGAATGTGAGGCTGAGGTCTCTTAACCTGTCCTCATAGTTAATGCCACTCAATTCTGGTACTAATCTAGTTGTAAACCTCTGAACTTTCTCAAGTTTCTATTTATGGTTCACAAGGTTCCATGCTAGAGCTTCATACTCAAGTAATGGTCTCCCATAAGCAGTGTGTATGGACTTGAAAGTTCGTTGTTTAGATTCTTAAATGACAGTCTTATGTTTGTTAACTTCTCATATGCTTCTGATGTTATGCTATTAACATGAGCTTCTGGTGTTAGTGTTGAAATTATGTCTACTCCCAAGTCTTTTTTCTCTTATTGTTTCTTGTAATTGCCTTCCTCTTATGGTATAGTTCAATAGAGGTCTCCTGTCTCCTTTACCCATTTTCATTACTTTCCACTTATTTTGATTGAATTCCAGCAACCTTCATTTCCATTCTTACTTCTCATGGTGACTTAGTCAGTGATGTGCAAGGTCCTGTTATCATACTGGTAACAATGAAATACACTACCACTAACAAACTGAGCCTACCTCAAACAGTTCATTTAAGCCAGTATACACTGTTTATATATTTACATAAAAGAAAAACTTTAGTTCATTACAAAAATATAATGGAAGCTAATAATATTTTGGACTGGTGAGAAACTAAGTTTACTTTAAGATGTACAAACTGAACTTTTTATACAATATTTTTGACACATTTTGTGACAAGACTTACCGTTGAAGAACAGTATCAAAGTATTGCATTATGTTTCTATTCTTACTCTCTCGACCGGCAATTAGCTCAATCCAACCCTTCAGCACCAAACCATCTTCTTGTTCTGGACTCAGTTTCAACATGCGATCAATATACTCTCGAGATTTGTCAATTTTTCCAGATAAAAGAAGAAACATTCCTGCATAATATAAAGGCTGAAAAGAAAATAAACAACTGTATATTAAAGAACTTGTAAATTATACAAACCTTTTATTCTTCAGTCTCGTAAACATCTTATATCAGTAGCTAGCTATACAGTACTTTCTCATTATATACTTGCTAAAGTAATACATGTATTTGTATTTTATTTTTACATAATATGTTTATTGTACAGAAATATTTAATCATCACTTCTGGGTGTTAAGTATCCCAGAAAACTACACCATGAGCAAATGCCAACTGAATAGCCGCTGCATCACAGATATCCAGCTACTGTATTACAAAAAGTTTTCAGTGTGATCACACTGCATACTGTCTATGCAGGAGAAAAGAAAAATGTTTTTTTATTTATAAAAAGTTTATATTTTTTGTATAAACAGTACAATCCCATAAAGCAGAAAAAGTATTAGTGATTTCAGGGAGCTATGCATGTGATTTACTTGGCATTTAATTATGTAGTTGATGCGAGTGTAAAAGATAGAGGGTAATGCTAGGGCACGTGTGGTGGACCCAGATGTAATGTCAGCGTGAGCGGTACACTTTGTCAACCATGACCACCTATACACATGCCAGTCTTTTATATCAATATTTGTTATAGTATTTTGTAATGGTTCTTATTGGCTTTTGACAATTCAGTGCATGCAGTACATAATTATAGAAATAGAAATATTATTAAAATTGTATTACTTTTAATAGATTTAGAAAATTACACCAATTTACTTACGACAAATTATTTATGAGAAACCATTCACTGAATGGATAATTAATACTTTTTGGGATTTAAGTAGCCAACATTGCTCTTCATCTAAAATATAAAGAGCAGTGATAATGATACTGAACATGATGAAGTTTTGGCCTGAGACCAACCTGTGACAACTCCTAACAATAGCCTAATGAATCACAAGAAACCTTGATGAAGATCGTAGTGTTAATGATTATATATTGGTTGAATTAAATCCAGAAGCACAAGGAGGAAAATAGTGTTTTGTTACAATGATAATTTGCAACAAAATGTGTGAAGAAAGCTTTCATACCAATCCTAGAAGAGGTTAATCGAAAGCCATCCATTTTTCTGAATATTATGGACCAGTCTGACATTGAGGGAGAATATAATAGGTATTCTACCACCTCCAATGACTACCAAGAGCAAATAGAGAACCTATGTTATATTTTACTGGCAGTTTTGTAGGTACCAAAGGTGACTCATGTCTAGGACTTCGGGCACGGGGCTTTTTGGCGGTCGTACGGGGGCCTAACTGCTAGTTGTCTCGTGTCGTTCCCAGGCTCGTTCGGGCCTGTGTCGCCTTGGGTTGGCGGTTGCAGCCAGTTGTCTCGCTTTCCATTCAGGGGTGTGTGGTGTTCGCCTCCCAGATTCGTCCCTTTGACCTTCCTCTGTGGGTAATTAGCTCCGGGGAGCCAACGGGGCTTCCCGCAGAAAACCAGTGTTGAATGTAATGAAACGCCATTTTCTGGGCGAGACCCGGAGGCTCCAGGCAACCCTCCCACCCTCCAGTCGGTGGTTTTTCGCGTGTTTTGACATCCAGCCTCAGAACTGATGGGTGGATAGCCAGTGTGAGAGGTCTGGAGCTGCACAGACAGCGGCGCTGTGACGTGTGACATCATACTAGTTTGCTTGTTTTCTGTTGGGGAGTTCTATCCACTAGTTCGGCTTTTGGTAGCAATTTTTACCAGAATAGGGGTTTGTTTTGGGATGCTTACCTTTCTGGATGTTTGACCCGGTCGATGGCAGACATAGAATGCTTCCAACCACACAGGGGTTTCTATAGGCCATTGCTCCCCTTGCCTCTCTGAGGGGGTCAGGTTCTGGCCATGGTCCCTGGTAGGTCCTAAGAACTCTATACACATGACTGATGCCAAAGTCTGACATTAGCATATCAGCCTGGGATAGCTCTGGGGAGCTCTTCTGGGCTCCCCCAGAAAAGCGTTGAATGTAATGAAACGCCATTTCATGGGCGAGTCTCGGAGGCTCCCTGGAGTTATCAGGCTAATATGCGGTATATTAGACTAGGGCAATAGTCAATGGAGTTTCAATGGCCCTTGGAAAACCCCCCTTTGGTTGGGGGCTTTCCTAATCTGCCATTGACTGGGGTTAGGCACCCAGAAAGGTAGGCATAACAAAACAAACCTCACATGGTAAGAAAATTACAATAAAAAACTGAACAGAAGCAGAACTCCCCCCCCCTAACCCAACCCAGCGGGTAAACCAGCATGGCAAAGTTCAGACTCCCACACAACTGCTTGTGAAACTGCTGAGTGACCCGGGACCCGTCAGAAACAGCTGAAGGTGGGATGACAGCCACAGCAATGCTTCCGGAGGGAGAGACATGGAAGCGACTTGAGAGTCCCACATAAGACCCAGCCAGGTCCGAACCTGGGACAGAACCAGATGGAGCTTCCTACACTTCACCAGAAATCCGAACCCGGCAAGCTGGGAAAGAACCACATCCCTGGCCTCGTAGGGGCCTCGTAGCCTGATGGATAGCGCGCAGGACTCGTAATTCTGTGGTGCGGGTTCAATTCCCGCACGAGGCAGAAACAAATGGGCAAAGTTTCTTTCACCCTGAATGCCCCTGTTACCTAGCAGTAAATAGGTACCTGGGAGTTAGTCAGCTGTCACGGGCTGCTTCCTGGGGGTGGAGGCCTGGTCGAGGACCGGGCCGCGGGGACACTAAAGCCCCGAAATCATCTCAAGATAACCTCAAGATAACCTGGCGAGCAGACCGGCTGGGAGCCCCACACCAATCAGTCGTCGAGGTAGGCCAGAACCCAAACCCCTAACAGATGCAGATGTGTCACCAAGACCCGGATAAGACACGTGAATACGCGAGGTGCCAGACTCAAGCCAAAAGGTAAGCCTGATGCCCCACCATGAAACCTAATCAGTCCCTGAACCCCGGATAAATGGGAACGTGCCAATACGCGTCCCGGAGATCCAGGGACACCATCTAGGCACCCGGCTCCAACAGAAGCCGGACCTGGGACAGAGTGGTCATCCAAAAGAAGGGGGCAAGGAATCCAGGGGTTCAGACAGGACAAGTCCAGAATGAACCACAGATTCACACAGTCCCATTTTTGGCAGTGGAAACAAGTGGGAAACCCACCTGAGGGACAGGGTTGTGTCGACCACGCCCAAGCACACCCACTCCGAGATGACCTGATGGAGCACAAGGAAGAAACCTGCCTCGCCAGCACCAAATTCCCCAAAGGAGGAGGAGCAGCCCAACGCCACCACAGGTCAGAGGTGATGACCTGAAACACCCACGAATCATGGGACCAGGCATGAGCAAATAGAAAGAGCCTCCCCTCCATCGTCTCGTCAACAGGCCAACCCGAGGAAGGGCCAATGAATCTTACGAGAAACCGCCCGACGAGCAAAGTGATCATTGCACCAACCAGACGACGTCGACTCAGAAACTGCCACCAATGGCCCACCCCAACCGGAGGAACCCCGAACCCTGGCACGACCCTTCTGAGAAGGCCGAGAACGGCCACCCCAAAGAAGGAACAAGTCCGACGTAGGACGACAACTGGACGAAGCTGCCTGCAGAAACTGCGTTACGGCATTCGTGCAGTCTCCTCAAACAGCAATGGATAAAATGGTGAAGAAAACCTAAGAGCCAGGGCCTAAGCAGATTCCAAAGAAAAAGTGAAGACAGCCTGTTGGCACACGAGGCGAGAAGCAAAGAACAGAGACACCGCCTCCTTGAGAATCGGCGCAAACAGCTTCAATAGGATGGCCGACGCCCTAGCACCGCAGAGGCCAGCACACCAGATGAAGGCCCCAGCACTCAACGCCTCAACATTCTCCTCAAACCAGACCGAGGATCGCTCGAAAAGGAAAAAAAGCGCAAGACCTAAGCCAAATGCTCACAGGTGCGCAAATCCTCTGCAACCAAAGACGCCAAAAGGGTAGGAACCTGCACGTGCAGCTGCACAAGGTCAACATCACGAGGAAGCACAGGGGCAAACAAGCACGCATAAAGACATTAAAACTCGTCCCCCCGGTAAACCTACAGAATGGTAGAAGTTTTTCGCCATTCAAGCGTGCGGGTCCGACAGATCCCATGCCACACCCCCAATGAATAGAATGGGCAGTCTGCCAACCAGGAGACTCCAGAACCTCCAAATGAACCCAATATGGGGAAGAACCGAACTCAAATGAGGACATATCCATCCACAGAGGCAGAAATCCAGGTCTCGCAGGAGGTATACAGCAAGCGCCTCCTGAACCTCCTTAGGTGAGATCTGAAAAGCAGAAAACCTCCAGACAGAAGGAGTCGAGGAACCCAAGGGAACCAGGGGAGGAGCCGACCCCAAATCATACTCGTATAGGAAAGAGGTGTAAGAAAACCCCTCCCCATGCAACAACAAGCATCTCTAAGAGGGCACTAACACCCAAGAGGAATCAAAGGAGGCCCAAACCCCCCAGGTCAACTCCTCCCCAGCCCCTGGGGGGGTATTTCACAAGTCGGGACCCAGGGCAGAGCCGTCCTCCATGCCCTCTACCCCTGAAGAAAGGGCAGCATCCAGGGAAAAGGCAGAAAAGAAGGGGGTCTGCTGGTGGGACCCAGAAGCCTCGGCAGGAGGAACTGGCACGAATGCCTCCATCTCCACCTTTACTTGGGCAGCCCCGAAGCTGCCTGAATCTCATTACCATCTAAACCCCGCTCCGACTCCGAAACCCTCAGACGTTTGGGAGTTAGAAGCAGGGAAGGGGAGGGAGGATGACGAACAACAGGGAAAAGGACTAGGGAGTGCGGACTGAATAAAAGTCGAAGCAATTAACACCCCCAAGTCTGGGGTCCCAATAACCAAAACGGGGCAGCCTCGGGGCATCTGGGTGGGCAACTAACCTAGTGTGTTGCAGCAACCTAAACCTAGTATGCAACGTGGATGCCATCTGTACCCGAATATCAATGTCATCAGAATGGGTAAATTGGAGAACAAGCAAGGAGCACATCTCGCAAGACTCCGGGTCAAAGGTGTCGGTGACCCAACAGGCGGCATGACGGAGGCACAAGCGGTGACTGTCACCCTGAGACAAGGGCACACAGCACCCTACAAACTCACACGAGGTGAGCTGGAAAACGGAAGACGCGTCCATAGGTTCACCTAGCCCCGACACGGTTTTCCAGGGCACATAGGCTGACTACTACGGGAAGCCTAGACAAGGTGTTGCTAACTGGTTGAACACTGCAAAACACTGCTTGGAAACCTGGGGTTGGCAAACCAACAAACACGAGTTGAAAAACAAACAAACAAACATGGGTTAGCAAACCAACAAACAGGGGTTAACAAACCAACCAATGGGTGTTGGCAAACCAACAAACAGGGGTTAGCAAACCAACCAACAGGTGTTGGCAAACCAACAAACAGGGGTTAGCAAACCAACCAACAGGTGTAGGTAAACCAACAAACAGGGGTTAGCAAACCAACAAACAGGGGTTAGCAAACCAACAAACAGGGATTGACAAACCTACAAACGGGTTGTTTACATACAGTGTACAAAGAATACACCTTACATACAGTATACAAAGAATTAAAAAACAAAAATGATTTCAAATGCTCTCTGAAAGTTTACCATTTCTGATGCCTTCTTCCTTTCTTCTTTTAGCTTTGAGTCCAATTGTGTGACAGCCTCACGATCCACCACCTGGCAGTGTCGGTGAGCATAAATCAAGGCCAATAATGTGCCGAGCATAATGTCACGATCATTCTGCAAGGCAAAACAAAATCTCAGAAAATAGATGAAAATCTTTATATTAAATGAATTTTCAAATTATTCCTATGATTTGTATCCTTGTAAATAAAGGTATAATAGATGATCATTAACGCATAAAATAGTTAAGAAAATTATTCAAGTATCAATACATTACAACATGCAATCATTACCCAAGTAGCATAGGAACAACAAGTAATCTAAAGCCTTCTTAAAGATCCAACCTGACTCTCTCTTTAACAGCTATAGCTTTTGAAACATGAAATAATGATGACACAAACTTGCTGGTTTAGATTTTAAAACAGTTCAGTCACAGTCTGTAAACAAGGCCGACAATGAGGGATCCTTCTGCAGGCTCTCTTGGGCATCTTCTTAATGTCTTTAGGCAGAGTTGATTGGCCCTCCACCAGTTGTTTTTGCTTGCTGTAGTAATCATTTGGTTATTCCTTCCTTGGCTGCTTCATGTGTCCCTCATGCAGCATAAGTTTGTCTCATTTAGTTCAGCATTATTGGAGCCTCACTAAATCAGCTTTGACATCAGTCTCTCCTATCCTCCCACACCATAAACTCAGACCACAATTATGAAATATTTACCATTCCCATGTAAGAGGAGCCCACCTGTTCATTTATTTTAGTGTTGATTTTCCACTCTTAAGCTGGATTTTGTTTTATTGTGCTTCACAAACTTCCAGATTTTATTCCTTTTGGCTCAGTATATGGGTAACAAAAGGAGGGAGTTGCACTATGTTTGCAATGCTGGACCATGATTTTTTTTTAAAGATGGCGTCTGTTTACAAGAGCCCTGAGGAAGCTGATGTGAACCCCATGTAGCCGCGGGAGTTTTGAATGGGACGTGAAAAATAAAAACCCCCGGAGGCGCGTTGCGCACCCGAAGCCTGGGCCTACAGGCGCATTGCGCAGTTAAAGGGTTAAGTACATCGTAAGCTCAATATATAAAGGAAGAGAGCTCTTTACCATTACATCAGGAGTGAAAATTGTGTCTGAATGTAGTCTAGGTAGTATTGCTTCATATTTCATAATTTACCAGAAATGTGCATTTACCTGTAGAGGCTGAAGTTGTCTTATAGCCTCCTGTGTGCATCCTTGCAGAAGGTGAGATACTGCTGAGTAGAAGCGGTAAACAGGATCATTGCCAAATTTCTTGGATGCTGCAATGCAAGTATCTTGCATTGCCTGATAATACTGCTCTCTTCCATAGTAATGTATCTTTCCCTGTAAACATTATCATATAGTATAAGTGTGTGATGCTATTCCATTTATATTAACACTGTACCAAAATTGTATTTACTAAAAGTTTTCCAAGGAACATTCCCATATTTTATACCTAGGTACTGAATACTATTATTGTAAATTATGTTACTGTAATGAGTTTTTTATTTCTTATACAGTATTATAGTACAGTATTATTATTAATATTACTATTAATATTTTTTTCTTTCACGTCACTTCAGGGGGTGGGATTTCAACAAATATTCAAATTATATGAAAATTACTTGAAAATAATTTGAATATTTGTTGAAATCCCACCCCCTGAAGTGACGTGAAAGAAAAAAATATTAATAGTAATATTAATAATAATACTGTACTATAATACAAAACTTCAATTATTTGCCATAAGCCTCGTCTAAGTTTCATCATATTATGTTAACCTTTAAACTGCGCAACACGTCATATGACGTGTTGAGTAACTTACCCAAATGTGCGCATCACGTCATATGACGTGTTGGAGTCACAAAGGTAGATACTGTACTTATATATAGCGTGTATATACAGTGTAATTACAGCAAAAGGAGTGTTGGGAGAAGTCATTTTGGTGAGGGAGGTGGCGACATCTGCATGACTTGTCATGCTGTGTAAGGGTGGGCACTATGCTCTTTGAACACTATACCGGCTTAGTTGAAAATTTATGGTGAGCAAAATATGTAGATACTTATATATAATGTGTGTATATAGGGTAATAACACCACAAACAGTATACTTTAAGGAGGAATGTTAGTGCATCTGGCCTTGAACCAGTGAGCGAGGGAGGGAGAGAGGGAGCATTACTTGTTTGTGGAAACCTGTTACTATATGCCGTCACCATACAAGATTAGTGGTTCGCTATGAACACAAATATAGATACTTATATATAATGTGTATATATAGTGTAATAACAGCAAAAGGAGTGTTGGGAGAAGCCATTTTGGTGAGGGAGGTAGCATCATCTTCCTGACTTGTCATGCTGTGTAAAGGTGGCCACTATGCTCTTTGTGCACTATACCAGCTTAGATGAACAGAACATGTAGATACTTTTATTTATATATATATATATATATATATATATATATATATATATATATATATATATATATATATATATATATATATATATATATATATATATATAATATATATATATATATATATATATATATATATATATATATATATATATATTAGTATATTTTGGTAGCAGTCTTTCCTGTAGACATATATTATTAAATATGACCAAAAAAGTAAGATTAATAATTCTAACACGAATTTTCTCGATCTTTCTTATGTTTCTTTTCACTGTTGATGGTACAATAATTGAAAAATCAATTCTACAAAATTCATTTTTATTTCTAGTCTGACGCGACACTTGAGCGGGTTTTGTAAAACTTATTACATTTTCAAAAACTTTAGTTTACACACACAACTATAACTGAATAGAGCTTAAACATCTTCGATTTTTTATACCTGCATTTGGGTGAGGTGATATGTTACAACAGTTTTGGATGAGGTGAAAACAAACTTTCAACACAAGACAGAACACGAAACAATGGGTATTGAAGGTAAGAATGGAAGTAATTGCAGAGGGCCTATTGGCCCATATTTCTTGATGCTTCTCTATTGGAGCGGAGTCTTACCCATTGTTTCGTGTTCATATTGACCTACAACTTACACATATTCAAGTACGAATGCCAAGCAATGTTTATTAAAGCATACAACAACATTCATAAGTTAGAACTACCACATTCGTTTTTGATAACTTCAACTTCAATTATCTCTAAAACTGTTATTTCTACTTTGAGATTTGAAGAATCCAGTTTCTGACCCATTTTCACCATTTTTATATATTATGTGCATATTTCTTAGTTTTTCTTAGTTCTAAAGTTTAATCCATGTCATTTATTCATAAACCCATAACCTTGGGAGTTATAAATGTTTTCGCCTAAAAAATGGTGCTGTACATATTTTGACGGCAACAGTGATTATTATTTTACAGTAAACTATAATCTAAAACATTATAATCTAAAACATTATTTTCTCTGAAGGAAAATGAAATTGACATGCCATTCTGGGCCCACAATTAATTAAATAAAAATTGGTGAAATTTTTGATCCATAAAAACAATTTGAATTTTTGCAATTTTCACTTTTTAAAACAATTTTTTTTCCCCTGTTCATTTTTGAGTAATAATCCATTAACAAAAGTTGGAGCAATGACCATGTGGATAAAGCACCGAAAATTTGAGTGTTTGAGGAAGGTGATGACAGGGCCTATCATCTTGGGGGCTTGACAGCTGGGTGGACAGTGCTTCGGATTCGTAGTCCTGAGGTTCCGGGTTCGATTCCCGGTGGAGGAGGAAACAAAAATTGGCAGTTTCTTTCACCCTGATGCCCCTGTTACCTAGCAGTAAATAGATACCTGGGAGTTAGACAGCTGCTACAGGCTGCTTCCTGGGGATGTGTAATACAGTACAAAGGAGGCCTGGTCGATGACCAGGCCACGGGGAAGCTAAGCCCTGAAATCATTTCAAGATAACCTCAAGATAGGAAGGTTGAGAATGTAGAACTGCCCCCCTCAATTGGACAAAGTCATCAGTCTTTGAACACCTAAAGTTATTGACATTTTTAGTGGACTAAAATATAGATATACCGTGAAGTATTAGGATTATTGCAATATTTATGAAACAAATCTCCACAGTCCCCATGGTGTAGTGGTTAAGACACTCGCCTGGCATTTCACGAGCGCTTTGTCCTGGGTTCGTATCCTGGCCAGGGAGGATTTACTGGGCACAAATCCTTAACTGTAGCCTCTGTTTAACTGAACAGTAAAATGGGTACCTGGTTGTTAAACGATTTTTCGCAGGGGTCGTACATAGGATTAAGGACTTGCCTGAAACGCTATGCGTACTAGTGGCTGTAAAAGAATGTAAGAACTCTTGTATATATAAATAAAAAAAATACAAATAAAAAGAGGCATTGTTCTATTAAATAACATTGTAATGAATATTTTCAAATGGATAAATTGTTTAAAATAATTTGGCAAATAACTCTTCTCACAACTGTCATAATAATAAATATTGCCTGTCATACCTTGAATATTGCATCTGCTTCAGACATCTTGACTTTAACTTAGATATTTTTCTTGTTGTCTTTACTAGCCCAGTGGAGTAGATGGCAGAGGTTTCCTTTACTTTCAATTGCAGCAGTATCTGTGATGCATGTAAATGTTATTTAGATTATTCTAATTAACAAGTATTTATATAGGTGCATACTTTCACATATTTATTTTATTTACATGTTGGGGTTAACACCTCTGGAGCAATTGTGTGGATTCATAACCTTGGAAAAGGGAATTGAGAGCATTTACAGAAAATTTGTCTTTTGCCTCCGACTTTGTGAGCATTTGCTTCTCCTGTCCCATTTGGATTAGAACCTGGAATTGCCAATTATGTTGAGAATGAACCCAAATGTACTACCAAGATCCCTGACTAAATGTTATTTCGTAATAGTGATGAGGAATAAATTAGGCAACGAGTCATTTTAGGTTACTTACAGACACACAGTGTTGGGTATAGTAGCTGAAAATCAGTGACCTGAACTTCTACCGGGTCCGAAAATAAAACAATGAATACAGATAGACGTGTGATGGTACCCCATGCCTTACAGAAACTTAAGTCTGAGTATTCCCATTATTTGGTCGAGACCGACAGTAAGAGCGATATGATTATCAAGAGGTGTGGGAATAGCAGAGGCAGGCCAACTTGAGCTATATGGTTGGAGACTACCTGCTCGTCTCTCTTTATGATACCATACATGCAGCTTGTTACAAGTCTCCTCTCCTGATGGCGACGGTAGTCGATGTTGTGCCTAAGGTGTACTTGTGCTGGTGGTATGACCGTCTCAGATAGGTCATACCATACACCCAAACAAGGTACCATTTGACTCTCTATTACTCCCTTATCTATCCATATCTCAACTATGGTATTTGTGCTTGGGGCTCTACTACCCAAAATCACTTACGTCCTCTAATTACTCAACACAAAGCTGCTATTAGGACAATATCCAATTCTGGCCCCAGACATCACTCGGTACCCCTACTCAAATCTCTGAATATGTTAGATATTAAGTCACTGCACATTCTCTCATGTGTATTATACATATATAAAACGCTGAACTATAATGCCAATCCTGATCTCAAAAGCTTCATAGAAGGTTGTAACAGAACCCATGAGCACCACACCAGAAATAAATACCGTTTTGATATTCCTAGAGTACGACTTAATCAAACTCGAAATTCTCTACAAATCAAGGGGCCCAGAATGTGGAATGACCTTCCCAACCATGTTAAAGACTGTACCTCTCTCAACCAGTTTAAGATAAAAGCGAAGCTATACCTAATAAATTCCCTGTAACCTACCTTACCCTTCTATTGTCAACCAATGTCTGTTTTTTTTAAAGAGCGCTGTTTGTCGACATAATTGTATTTGTGCTGCTTTTTCAGCTATGATTTCATTTCTTGTTTTCATTCTACTCTTTATGCTCAATTAGTATTAAGCTTTAGTCATTTAAGTTTTTCATGCCCGAAACGCTTTGCGTAATAGTGGCTTTAGGCATTGTATGTACTAGCTCTACCTATAAGTCAACCAATCTTTGTAAAAATTTCTTGTATGTATGTACCTTACCTAAATAAACATTTATTTATTTATTTATTTGACTTTCCAGTTGAGAAGAGGCGACATTTGTCGTCTGTTTATTTACAAATGGAATTTTAACTGAGTACTGAGTCTGGTTCTTTATTATTAATTCAAGATGAAGAAAAAAAAATATAATTTAATGTAATATACTACTCAGACGAGTAACTAATTACATAATTAATCAACATTTGATAATTAAATGAATATAAATTACACAATAAGGCCATAACCATAAGCAATTATCATGAACCTTAAAAAATAATATTAAATATTTGTAAAATTAATATATTATTTATATTTTGTAAGTAAAATTAAAAATAATTATTCTTTGATCTGTTTTTTATTTATAATAAGATGAAAGTTAAAAATAAATGATATAAGAAATATTTACTCTTTGCTGAGGAAATAAACAAATATCATAAATGTTTCCTTTACGCCAAAAGGAGAAACTGGTACATATGTAATCTATTGTCGGGGACAGGCAGATAGTATATATATATATATATATATATATATATATATATATATATATATATATATATATATATATATATATATATATATATATATATATATATATATATATATATATATATATATATATATATATATATCTTTATACCCCCGTGCTTTCTGCCTTTTGTGTCAGTGGCTGCTCTTCTGTCTTTTCTGTCTTCTTTTGTGTCAATGTGCTGCTATCCTACGCTATATGAAAGATAACAAAGTGTAGATCAATAACTACCTATAACACTACACTACACTACACTTTAACTAGCTATAAGTGCATGGGCCTCAGGGAAGGGGCCCCGCTGACGTCATTACCGTGACGTCACCACCTCCCCCTAGCTCTCAGGAAACAGTTAAGTGTTTAGAGAGAGGCTGGTGGCGGCGTGGACCGTGTTCGGGAGACCTTCACCTCTACCACCACCACACTCCTCCTAACACATAACAAGTGTTCCTTTCTTGCAACACAGTAACGTGTATTATAACGTAACTAGTCACGCTATACCGCCAAGATGACTGTGATGCAACGTGTTGTGTAAGTACTTGCAGGTGTCTGAAGCTAGGCTTACCCAACAGTAATAGTGCCTCGGGGATTACACTGAACCAGGTTGGCTTCCTCACCTTCTGTTGTGTCTCGTGTGGGAGTAGGAGGAAGCCCTCTCGTGTGGGAGTCGGAGGAAGCCCCCTCGGGTGGGAGTCGGAGGAAGCCCCTTCTCGGGTGGGAGTCGGAGGAAGCCCCCCTCGGGTGGGAGTCGGAGGAAGCCCCCCTCGGGTGGGAGTCGGAGGAAGCCCCCCTCGGGTGGGAGTCGGAGGAAGCCCCCCTCGGGTGGGAGTCGGAGGAAGCCCCCCTCGGGTGGGAGTCGGAGGAAGCCCCCCTCGGGTGGGAGTCGGAGGAAGCCCCCCTCGGGTGGGAGTCGGAGGAAGCCCCCCTCGGGTGGGAGTCGGAGGAAGCCCCCTCGGGTGGGAGTCGGAGGAAGCCCCCTCGGGTGGGAGTCGGAGGAAGCCCCCCTCGGGTGGGAGTCGGAGGAAGCCCCCCTCGGGTGGGAGTCGGAGGAAGCCCCCCTCGGGTGGGAGTCGGAGGAAGCCCCCTTGTGTAGGGGAGGGCTGCCAAGATTATGGACATAGCTGCTAACTTTAGCAGCTACCCGGGCACCATTACCAAGAAATGCTACGTGTGTTTTGGTCGATCCATATATTCTTACAACTATATTGTATTTAGATATTTTGATGACCAACACAAGGGGAAGGGAACAGCTAAAGGCATTGGTAGAAATATCTTGTTATTTTAATGGATTCAGAGTTAACATTAATAAAATAGTCTTAGTTGAAAACCTAAGTACAAAATCTTGAACTATAAATTCACTTGAACGTGTCCATCATAGGATGACAAAGTTAACTCCCCAAATTAGTAACCTGTCATATGAAGAGAGATTAACAAAGCCTTTATTGCATTCACTGGAAAGGAGACATGATAGAGGTTTGCAAGTGGATGAATGGCCATAACAAAGGGATATTAATAGGGCATTAAAAGTATCAACACAAGACAGAACACGAAACAATGGGTATAAATTGGATAATTTTAGATATAGAAAAGATTTGGGTAATTTGGTAAGATTTGGTTCGGTAACAGGGTTGTTGATTTGTGGAACCAATTACTGCGTAACGTGGTGGAGGTGAGGTCCCTCGATTGTTTCAAATGTGGGTTGGACAAGTATATGAGTGGGATTGGGTGGTTATAAATAGGAGCTGCCTCATATGGGCCAATAGGCCTTCTGCAGTTACCTTTGTTCTTATGCTCTTATGTTCTAATTCATAATATTACGTGTACTGTGCTGAATTTTGATACTGTTGTGTATGTGGGCATAGGGGAACAGCAGATGCTTTCCTTAATTGGCTACAGTAAAAGATGAAGTTAAAATTATTTTACTTTTCAGGAAGCCCCGCACGCAGAGGGCAAAGCGTGCCTTGGTACGACGGGAATCGAAGATTATTGAAAACACTAAGCAGTGTTTATTTTTTTATGGGCAAAAAACCAGCAATGCCATTCGACAGTGTCTGAAAGATTTTGTAAGTGTTCCTAAGTTAAATTTATATTTTAATATGATATTTATAGTAGCCTATGTATTTGAAAGTGAAATTTTTAAATGCAAGTACATTCAAGGAAAAATATTCCTTTACCCCGCAGTTTCTTGGAAAATGCAAAATAGCAAAGTCGTCTTTGTTGATGTTGTAGAGGGGTTAGCTTATGAATGAATGGGCACTTTGTAATGACGAGTCATTGGTCAAAACACCATACACATCAGTTTATACAATTCACACTGCTATCAAAATAAAAATAATGTAGAACAGTAAATAAAAATTAATATATGTAGACTAGTGAAAAGTCTACTAAAATTAAGGGGGCATAAGTACATTTCTTATAAGTTGTTCCATGTCAACCAATCTTTTTTGACTAGTTGTGTATGAAAAGGGCTGCAATTGTTCCAAGTTTCAGTATTGCAGCCTAAATAGAAGGCTGCAATACTCATTTTCACTAGGCTTTTCACTCGTATGCGCGCTTACTGTTTTGGGCGTTTCACCTCCGGCCTGCTCTTGAGTTTCCAGTGCCGTCCTAGTCGTTGGCCCGGGTGGTCTGTTTTCTTCTTCTCCTAGTTTTGGTCCTTGGGTTGCTGCTTGGTTGGTCAGGCTGGGGGTGCTTTCTTGTTGTTCGGTTGCATTTTTTCGCTGTTCTCTGTGTGTCTTGGCCTCTGAGGGCGTTGGCGCATTTTGGTTGTCCGTGTTCCCATTCTTCCCTCATTTCTGTAATGTGGTTCAGGTCTGCAGGGTCTTTGTTTCGTCTGTGGTCTTGTTTTTTTAGGTTAGGGTACATGGCGTCCGCCTCCCGGAACCTTCCCTATTTTCCTTATCTGTGGTGATGTAACTCCGGAGAGCCGACGGGGCATCCCCCAGAAACCCAGCGTTGAATGTAATGAAACTCCATTTTCTGGGTGAGTCTCGGAGGCTCCTCGGCATCCTTCCCTCCCTTCGGTCGGCTGTGTTTTTCGCGTATTTTGATGTAATGACGATACAGCGAGCGTATCCAGTTGTAGCTCTGAGCGTCACCCTTGCAATCCTATGCTATCTCCAATTTATTTAGATTATACATAAATGAACAGTGTTAGCGGCTTCCATGGTGGTGTTTTCCATAGATATTTTCAAGAATACCTGAATCTCTTCCTAACTGACAAACACTCTTTGAGGCTAGCTGAATCTCTTTCTGACTGATGAACACTCTTTGAGGTAAGCTGAATCTCTTCCTGTGTGGGACCATACAAAGCGATCTTTTCAAGACTACCTTATAAATTGATCTGTTCCTATAATCTTTTTAATACTACCTTATGCTTTACAAGCTTGGCTACATCCCACCTACAAGTACTAAAGCCAAGGGTATACCTGAGTGGTTATTTGCAAGCACACAGAATGAAGAAACGGGAAACAAAAATCAATCTGTACCTGGTGCAACAATAGCGAAGTTGCGCTGTGCACAATGGACTACTTCGTTGATTATTACTCACTTCCGAAGTACTGAGTGTGTAATACAGTGTGTTACTGTACTGTGTAAATAGTGTGTGAAACTGTATATATTGTAATTTTAGTGAATTTTTAACAAGTAATATTGTGACTAAACATTTATTGTGGACACATTACTGACACATGTATCACAGTGCCATGGAACATTATGAACGTTCTACTGTATACATATTGTAAAGGACATAAATATGCATCATATACGATAAAAAAAAAACGCATTGGAAATACATAGAACAAATAATTAAAAATATATATTTGTGGCAACACGCATTGCTTGAATGGCCTGCGAGACAGTGTCTGGGCGTGTCACGCACGGCGATTAGCCCCTGATGACGTCACAGTGCACCTTGTCCACGTCCCCACAGCCAAAGTAAGTGGAATTTGGTATTTATTTTTACATAGACATGTTCAGGGAAGGAAATTTATCATTTTACAAAAAAAAATTGGGGGGGGGGACACTTTATTTCATGCGCACGGGGGAATTTCACAATAAACTCGGTGCAGCACGGTGGTTAAAAAACAAAAGGCTAACTAAATTAAAATAAAACTACTGTATCAGCTCGCTAATCTGGACTATATGGGAAGCTTTGCAGTGTGAACAATTGCAGGAAAAACAAGACACATTAACAATTAAACACTTTGCTTAATAAAAAATGAATACAAATAATAATAAGAATCTGAAAACTTGGCTTAACACTAATGATGACAAAATGACTATAATAATTACATTAAGGGTGACTATACAATATTTACATTGTGCTGTACTTCCTCCGTCAAACGTCGTAGACGAGACCAAATCGAGCGAGGGGAAGGCATATTTACCAAGAACACCAGAAGTTGTCAGAGTGCTGGGTTGCCAGCTGTGGACATCATGCTGGTGTGTAGCAGGAGTTGAAGGGTCAACCGGCAGAGTAAGGGGTCATTTACAGGTGCAGAATGAGTAGCCGGCAAACACTTGGTGGGTGTAGCTCTCAAGGCAGGGTACTGGGGGAAGCAGTGGTACAGTACTCCAGATGTCTGGGCTGGACCTGGGCTTGACAGCTGAGTGGACATTGCTTCAGATTCATAGTCCTGAGGTTCTGGGTTCGATTCCCGGTGGAGGCGAAAGCAAATGGGCAGAGTTACTTTCACCCTGATGCAGCTGTTCACCTAGCAGTAAATAGGTACCTGGGAGTTAGACAGTTGCTACGGGCTGCTTCCTGGGAATGTGTATCAAAAAAGGAGGCCTGGTCGAGGACCGGGCCACGGGGACGCTTAGCCCCTAAATCATCTCAAGATAACCAAGATAACCTGGAGGTTGGAGTGACGTGTTAATAAAAAAAATGTCATGGGTCTAACTCATTTTCTCTTCGTTTGGCTCTTGCATATCACTAACTTTCATAATGCCATGGTGACCTATTTACACTAATATAACAAATATTCGATAAAACACAAAATTTACAGAAAAGTTTAGTGGGTTGTGCACTGAACGACAGCTACTTGAAAACTGACTCATCCAATATGCGTATTTACATTTTAATATCAAGCAAATGATCGATTACCGAGCACGAACACAACGTTCGAATGCCAAATTATTCGAGTTGGGAATGAAGCGAAGTGAACTATCAGAAGAAAGAGCCAAGCCATTACGTCTATATAGCACTTGGAAGAGATCAGGATAAGGATTTGGGATGTGATAAAGGGAATGGTACCCAACCATTTGGACGGTTGGGGGTTGAATGCTGACCTGCACAAAGCGAGACCATCGCTCTACCATCCAGCCCAAGTGACTGGGCTGTCATTTGAGTGCCAAGGTTCCACTGTATTGGAATGTAGTATGTTATTATCAATATTTGTACTGCATTACAGTACTTTAATTTCTACATAATGGTGGGATCAGTATCTCTGGTCATTTATTTAAAAATACCTGAACCAGATTACTTCATTTTATGAATACATTACTGTATACTGTACACCTATTCATATTGCATAAAGTAGTACAGTATGTAATTCCATGTTGTATCAAGAACAATCTTTTATCATAGCAATAGGTGACTATATATTTTCTGTTTTCTGCTAGTACTCCCTCAAGAAACAGGATGCACAACACCTTCAGAAGAAGAATCCCATCTTACCTTTTGAGGATATTCTTCCAGTAGAGAGACTGTCACAGAAGCATGATGCATCGCTCTTTTGTATGGCAACACACTCAAAGAAAAGACCAAACAACTTGATTTTGGGTACGTAAAATTTGGTAGAGTATCAGACAACACAGTAAGCTCATTAGGAAAACTTTGAAAAGGCATTACGCATACTTGTAGCACTTTGTCCAGTTAAATTTTTGTTTATATAACCACCATAGCCCATCACCTATAGACAGATTTTTAACAGAAAGGTGCCACATAGTTATGTGCATACTTGGTTACAAAAAATGTGTGATATTTCATGTTTAATTAGAAAAATAGTGAACACTACATATTAAATATTTCAGCCCAACCATCTATAACTATCTGGTACAAATATGTCACAATGGACCACCAGAAAGTAGACTTTTGTATTACTGAATTTGAACGAACTGGAAAATATTTTATATTTATGTTGCTAATAAGACCTAACCTAACCATCCTAGGCCTAATGTGGTACATACATGTATTATACTAGTCCTAGGAATACTTAAGTTTGCTTTTTAGCTTTATTTTTTTCAAACTATAAAAAATGGTACAAAAATTGGTTTACTGGGGCTCCATTACTACATACAGTATTGGTACATTTGATCACATAGTTACAAAGATTTAACTATATATTAATACTTAGTTAACTAATAACTATGTAGTATCATTTCAGAAGGATGCATTGAAATATTTCAAGATGTAGTTATGCCATTCTATCCTCCCTCCTCCCCATAGAGATGATGATGATGTGCACTTTACATGACAATTCAGATTAAGACCAACACTGGATAGGTGACCATGCAGACAGCTGTGCCATTTGTTAGGGGACCTCAATAAGCATAACAATCATGTCCCTCACAATAGTATATACCATGTTACAACTAATCTCATTTCTCCATGTCTTTAACTATATTTTGCAACTCTTGCATTCACTGCTCCAAGGATCCTTCATTTGTTAAAGTTAGGTTGCAAGTGCATTTTATTATTATTATACATTTTACAGTACAGTATATCTGCATAATTTTTCTGGGGCTCGCCCAGAAATTTGCATTTCATTACATTCAGTGCTTATTTTTTATGCTTGTAATTTGTATTAATTCTCCAGGCCGAATGTTTGACCACCATATTTTGGATATGGTGGAACTTGGATTAGAAAATTACAAAGGCCTTGAAGAATTCAAGAATACAAAAATTTCTGCTGGCACTAAACCCTGCATGGTCTTTTGTGGAACTCAGTTTGAGGATGAGACTGAATTCAAAAGGCTAAAAAATCTGTTGATAGACTTCTTTCGGGGCGTGGAAGCATCGGTGGTACGGTTGCAAGGCTTTGAACATGCACTCCACTTCACAGCCATAGAGGGAAAAATACTCTTTAGAAGCTACAAGTAAGTTCCATTATTTAATTATTTGTACTGTACATTGAAATATTAAATGGTTCATAATTTTACTTACCAAAACCATATACATTAATTATTTTCCTTAAAAAATCAAACTTGCTTTGACTTTCATAGAAGGATTGAGATCACTACCTATACAGCCACTAAACATTTCCATTTTATTAAAGTTCTCTTACTTGTTGGATAGGAAAGTGAAAAATTACATTCTTTTTAAGTACAGTAGCTGTTTCATTGAATCATTAAAAACAAAAATACATTTTATCAAAGGCAGTCTTTGATAAAAATGGTATTGCATGGTATTGGAGAACATGGAATTTGGTGGAATGTGGATAAGCACTTTGTATAAAAAGTTTTGAAGTGTTTACTAAATTGTGATACCATGTACAGATTAGCCATGGTCTCTTATGGGTCTGTACTGTAGTGTAATTACCTAAGTGTAGTCACAGGAAGAGAGCTACGCTCGTGGTGTCCCATCTTCCCAGCACTCTTTGTCATATAACGCTTTGAAACTACTGACGGTCTTGGCCTCCACCACCTTCTCCCCTAACTTGTTCCAACCGTCTACCACTGTTTGCGAAAGTGAATTTTCTTATATTTCTTCGGCATCTGTGTTTAGCTAGTTTAAATCTATGACCTCTTGTTCTTAAAGTTCCAGGTCTCAGGAAATCTTCCCTGTCTATTTTATCAATTCCTGTTACTATTTTGTGTGTAGTGATCATATCACCTCTTTTTCTTGTCTTCTAGTTTTGGCATATTTAATGCCTCTAACCTCTCCTCGTAGCTCTTGCCCTTCAGTTCTGGGAGCCACTTAGTAGCTTAGTAGTAATTACCTAAGTGTAGTCACAGGAAGAGAGCTACGCTCGTGTGTCCTGTCTTCCCAGCACTCTGTCATATAACACTTTGAAACTACTGACGGTCTTGGCCTCCACCACCTTCTCACCTAACTTGTTCCAACTGTCTACCACTCTATTTACAAAAGTGAATTTTCGTTTATTTCTCCGTCAGCTTTGTTTCATTAGTTTAAATCTATGACCTCTTGTTCTTAAAGTTCCGGGTCTCAGGAATTCTTCCCTATCAATTTTATCGATTCCTGTTACTATTTTGAACGTAGTGATCATATCGCCTCTTTTTCCTCTATCTTCTAGTTTTGGCATATTTAATGCTTCTAACCTCTCCTCGTAGCTCTTGTCCTTCAGTTCTGGGAGCAACTTAGTGGCATGTCATTGCACCTTTTCCAGTTTGTTGATGTGCTTCTTAAGATATGGGCACCATACAACCGCTGCATATTCCAGCTTTGGTCTAATAAAAGTCGTGAACAATTTCTTTAGTATTTCTCCATCCATGTATTTAAAAGCAATTCTGAGGTTAGAAAGTGTAGCATAGGCTCCTCGCACAATGTTCTTAATGTGGTCCTCAGGTGACAGTTTTCTATCTAGAACCACCCCTAGATCTCTTTCTTTGTCATTCTTTAAAGATTTCTCACATAATATATAGGTTGTGTGGGGTCTATGTTCTCCAATTCCACATTCCATAACATGGCATTTATTAACATTAAATTCCATTTGCCAAGTGTTACTCCATATACTTATTTTGTCCAGGTCTTCTTGAAGGGCATGACAATAATCTAGGTTTCTTATCTTTCCTATTAGCATCATCAGCAAACATGTTCATATAATTCTGTATACCAACTGGTAGATCATTTATGTAGACAATAAACATCACTGGTGCAAGAACTGAACCCTGTGGTACTCCACTCGTAACATTCCTCCACTCCGATACCTTGCCTCTGATTACGGCAATAAAAATATTCGCTATAAGACTATTACTATTGGATGGCAGGTTGTCTACAGCCGTCCACTTGGACGGTCGGGGATTGAACGCCGACCTGCATGAAGCGAGACCGTCGCTTTACCGCCCAAGTAGTTGGACGTTTTTTAATTTTTTAAAGTACTGTAGTTGTTTTTCATAGTTTTTTTTTTTTTTGTTTTTTTTTAGAAAAATAGTTTTCATAAACTGTATTGTAGTACCCAACATACAGCAGAACTACTTATCAATACAGTGCTATGGCCCTAATACACTACAGTACGTATTTACTGTACAGCATTCACAACTCCACGAGACTTGATGATGGACATAACTCCAACAATAAGGTAAATAACAAATGTAACACAGTATTTTTTAGTAGTAGTTATATATAGGTACATCATATAAAATGATAATGCATTTTTATTGTGTACAAGAAAGAAAAAAAAGACTTGACGCAAACGCCTCCTGAAGGTCACCACTTGGCAACGAACTGGGCTGGTCCCATATAGTGCGTTGAATCGAGGTTGTACTGTATATGTTTAAGCATATTTTAGTGTAATAGAAAAAAACTACAAGTTTCGAAAAGGATTTCTTCTGGACAGTCACCATTTTTTGTCCTATAATGATTACTATTAAAGAAATAAACAAAAATATTGAAGATTTTGTATGATGAGATGCCACTTCTGGTTCCTTCAATGGTACCTAAGGGCCAAAACAATCTCACTAGGCATCAGACTACCAAGAGCAGGAACTAGGGTTCAGCTCTTACAAGAGGTGAAGAAACAGAGGGTTATTTAGTGGTGTGTAATGACATAAAAGATAACTGGCTCTAAACTTCTCTCCTCCAAACATTTCTCCTCCATGCTGTGGTATCACTAGCATTTCTACTAAATATGCAGTACTTTACCCGTGTCCTTTCTGCACTTTTTCTTTTCTTCGTATTGACAAAAAAAAAAATCTTGGCTACTCTTGCTACCAAGTGGGTAATTTTATTCCACAAGTTTATAGCTCTAGATACCTGTTTTGCTGTCTTAGCCACCGTGCTGCACTTAGTTTATTGTGAAATTCCTCCCGGTGCGCATGAAATAAAGTGTTCCCAAAAAATTCTTTTTTTCTTCGTAAAATGTTAAATTCCCTTCCCTGAACATGTCTATGTAAAAATAAATACCAAATTCCACTTACTTTGGCTGTGGGGACGTGGACAAGGTGCGCTGTGACGTCATCAGGGGCCTGGTCGCCCATGCGTGAAGCTCCCAGATTTCAATTATTTGTCTTATGTATTTCCAATGTGGTTTTATTTGTTTGTTTTTTTATCGTATGTGATGTATATTTGTGTCCTTTACAATATGTATACAGTAGAACGTTCATAATGTTCCACGGAACTGTGATACATGTGTCATTAACACTTTCGCTCGGGGATGACGCAGCATTGCGTCATCCGTTTACTGGCGGTAATGCCGGGGATGACGCAGCATTGCGTCATCCACTTTAAAAATTCGCCAAAAATCGGGTTTTTATCCGATTTTTTTGGGACTAATTTTAAAATGCGCGCCGATGTCTTCCCATTTTCTTTGTTGTGCCTAGTGGCCCGCAGGCGGCGCGGCACACGCCGTCGGCCCATTGTTTTTGCTCCACTGTTGTGACCGGTGTTGCCTCCCCTCGCGTCTCAAACGTGTGAACATTTCGGCTATTTTCCGTGGCTATATTTCTTGCTGCGGCTTCAGAAACTATCTACGATTACTCCACGATGGATAGTGATTATGAACAAGGCCCTTCCAGGAAGAAAATTGCGAAAGAAAGGCGTGAAAAGCAGAAGCTGAGTAGTGTACAGGAGAAGTACAAGCATGTGAGACTAACTCCCTCTAAGTTTCAGGCTGTATTTGACGATTTGTCTGGGTCATCTAGTGATGAAACTGATGTTGGTATTGATACTGATGCAAGTAGTGAACATTTAGAAACAGAGACGGCCGATGAGGATTTTGATAGTGATGAAAGTGAGGGCAGTGAGGAGTCTGAGGTCGAGATTGCCACTCGTGCACGGCGTGGTACTGGAGCTCGTGCTAGAGCCAGACGTACCACACGTACCACACGTACCCCAGCACCAACAGATTCTGATGATGGATGGTGTAGTGACAATACTGCACCCTTTGTGGACAATTTTACAGGTACACCAGGCTTGACTGTTCCTGTACCTACCACTGTTCTTGGATTCATTCAACTCTTTCTGACACAAAAATTGCTGAAATATATTGCCTATGAAACAAATTTATATGCTTCCCAAAATAAGGCAGGTACTGGGCAAAGTACAAAGCACAGATGGCAACCAGTGACAGTGAAGGAAATTGCTAGATATATGGGACTGACGATCTTGATGGGTATTTGCCCGTTTCCCGTATTGTACAGGCAATGTTGTTCTTCAATTGGCCCTTATATGCACATATCCATCTGAAGAATTCTATTAGGAACATTTTCATACCTAAATGAGAGCTGTAACATGAAAATTGAGATTACCACCAGGAAATAATACTAAACATATGTGGGCAGGAATTGGGAGTGTAGCGGGAAGGCGTCTGGGCGCTCACTCACGGCTAACGCGTGGCCCGTCTTCAACTCGTCGGCGGTTGGAGCGTGACCAGGTTTTTTATTTTATATGCTAATATTCCTCTAGATAATTCAATTATGAACCCATTGAGACCAAAATGAAAGACCTAGGACGAAAATTGAGGTGACCAGAGTGAAAATAGTGAAAACATTTTATCGCGTTTGCGCGCTCCCGGGTAACTCGTTCGCACTTTCTCTGCTTGCTGCGGGTAATTAGCCGGGCTTTTGGAGTTTATATGCATTTAGTGCTGTAGAGAATTTTATTGCGAACACAATGATACCAAATTTAATCTCGTAGAACGAAAATTGAGGTGACAAAGTTGAAGAGAGTATACACTTTTCGGAATTGACGCGCGCTTCCGTGACACGCTGGGGCCCATATCGCCCTGTCGAGGGGTGGCGCGGGGGGTGCGCGAAAGTGTTAATGTGTCCACAATAAATGTTTATTGTCGCAATATTACTTGTTAAAAATTCACTAAAATTACAATATGTACAGTTTCACACGCTATTTACACAGTAACACACTCTTACACACTCAGTACTTTGGAAGTGAGTAATAATCAACGAAGTAGTCCATGGTACACAGCGCAACTTCGCTCTCAGTGCACCAGGTACAGATAAATTTTTTGTGCTTGCAAATAACGCACTCACATACACCCTTGGCTTTAGTACTTGTAGGTTGTATGTAACCGAGCTTGTAAATCATAAGGTAGTATTGAAAAGATTATAGGAACAGATCAATTTATAAGGTAGTCTTGAAAAGATCGCTTTGTATGGTCCCACACAGGAAGAGATTCAGCTTACCTCAAAGAGTGTCCATCAGTCAGAAAGAGATTCAGCTAGCCTCAAAGAGTGTTTGTCAGTTAGGAAGAGATTCAGGTATTCTTGAAAATATCTATGGAAAGCACCACGATGGAAGCCGCTAACACTGTTCATTTATGTATAATCTAAATAAATTGGAGATAGCATAGGATTGCAAGGGTGACGCTCAGAGCTACAACTGGATACACTCGCTATATCGTCCTCATAGGTGCTGTATCACTTGCATCCGACCTTTTTGTTAGGTCCTTATTATGCGTAGCTTCACCAATATTATGACCCTTATGTTCTTCAAACAATAAGGTTTGAATTTCACTGATAGAGCGTTATCTTTCAATACCGCGTGGTACAGGTGTTTGGGAGCCAGAGGCCCGTGTGCCACCCATGGTTGATCACTCAGAACTAACCCAGCCAGCAGCCCTAGGGCATTCTGGGAATGTTTTCCAAGATGGCTGCCTCTCACTGGAGGTCCTAAGAGTCCATTTCGTACACAACCAACCTCTTGTACACATTTAGAATTGGTACCGAAAAATCAAGTCAAATTTTCTAGGTTGGCGCAGTTTCCCGCCAACCGATAATACTCGGTTGGCGCAGTTAAGTGGTTAACTAGAAAGACAGGAAAAAAAAATTTTTTTGTTGTTGTTGCTCTTGAAAACAGTCAACTTTGTCACTTGCCTGTTGCACCTTTGAGGAGCATATGATCATCCATTTTAGAGAGTTTAATATTACATTCTTTCCTTCCCCAGAATATTACTTAAGAAATCAGGTACAAGAATTCCTCGTGTGGAGCTAGAAGAAATAGGCCCATCATTGACTCTTCATCTTAGACGCAATATATTTGCCTCAGAGGACCTGATGAAGAGAGCCTGTAAACAACCAAAACAACTTAAGGTAAGTTTTGTTTTCTTAAGAGGTTGTTCAGTCGGGTTGTGTATGTTGTAATTATTTCCATTAAAGCAAATACAGCATGCATTCTTTTATTGGGCATCACAAGACCTTCTTCGTAGTACAATAAGTGTTAGTGCCCAATTACTTATGCCTTCAAAGAACAGTGTGTGGGGAATAAATCATTTTCTATACTTCAGAGGCATGTGCAATTAGTAAGTAACACTTGCTATCGAGGCTGAAAAATTTGAGGGTACTGTCGGTCAGATGATGTAGTAACGCATCACCCCATTGTTTGAGTGAAAAAATATATGCTTTAGATATAAATATATATAATATAAAATACAGAATTTTTCTAATACTTGAAAATTAAATTTTTCAGCCTAATAAGGTGAAGAATATAAAGAAGAATGTATTTGGAACAAAATTAGGCCGTGTGCACATGACCAAGCAAGATTTGGGCAAGCTACAAACACGAAAAATGAAAGGTCTCAAGAAAGTATCCAATAAGAAAGTTGATTCTCCAGGCGAAGAAGCATCCACAGCACCATCAATGGACGTTGATCAGTAATGCAAAATGTGTAAAAAGTTGTGCCCTTTTTTTCATACAAATTTAGCATTAATATGGCTAAAGCTACATGTGTTTAGACAACCATTGCATATGAAAATATTATGTTTAAGGGGCCGATAGTTTTTTTGAACTGTTCAATGTCAACCCATATTTTTTGACTAGTTGTATATAAAAAGAGCTGCAATTTTTAAATTATTGCAAGTTTCAGTACTGCAGCCTAAATAGAAAGGGAGATTTTTCATTTTTATTTTTTCAACAAATTTTACACATTTTCAAGTGTGTATTTACAACCACACCTTTCAGATATAATAATTTTGACACTTTTCTGACACATTAGCATATAATAAAGGATCTGTAGAAGGGGATTTTCCAAAACGTCTCTAGTTTTCCTAATACAAATAGTCAAAGTTCCCCCCAAAATTATGCAAATATATCATGTTTATTGCTATTTATAAAATCAATAAATGAACTTAGGAAAAAATGTGAGCGATCTTTAAATGAAACTTACATATAAGGTGCAAGTTGAATAAAAAATTTGAAAGACTTTATTTTTTTACTTGAAAATAAGTAACAAAGGTGTTGCCATCTGTGACTTGAGGTTGACATCAACCAATTTCCTCAAATTGGCACCATCAGAGATACACACCTGACTGCACATAAGCCTAAGTTTCATGCAAATCACCTAGTATGTAAAAAAAAAAAAGGCAATTTATTTTTTAAATTTAAATTTGTTTTTAATGTGATATTGTTAACACTTGAATTGAATAGTCAAAAACCATTATCAAACAAGTTTGATTGAAATTGAACGAGTTTTCATTTATTGCATATTTGGAACTAACGACCCTTAAACATTATTGATGAAGGCAAAATTAGGTAAATAAAGGTAAAGATAAAATTACCATAAAAATTTATTTATAATAAATTATATATTTGAGACTACAGTACAAGCTTTTTTTTTAACCCTGATTAACATGCCAAATGTGTTCTTATAAAACATAGCTTAAGGCATCCTCGGTAAATATCTTCCTGTCCTGTTAAATAACACACAGCATTTTGACAAATCTCAAACAGCCAAAATTATGAGAATCACAATGACAGGCTGTTGCATTCATAAGTCCTCTTATGTTCCGGCAATTCAGTACTGTACTGTACAATTTAGTATTTTTGTGATGTGATGAGTGGAGGGACTGAATATTTATCCACAAAATATCCAAAGCCAATGGGAAATTCAACTTTCAAATTTTACTCTGTTTCCATGGCTTCCAACTGTTGAATGGCATCCTTACTCTGTTCCAATTCTGCTTCCAAATCCAATTTTTTAGTATCGTTCTTAGCACGGATATCCGCTGGTACCTGCAAAAGAGACGCATTTAGCTATGTATTTGAGTTATCACCGATGAAATAATAATAATCAGAATTCTGTTGCACACTTCTCGCTCACAATTAAATGAGTAGTTTGGCCTCTTAAGTAAAAGTAGAGCATTTAAGTTTTTTTACATTTCATTTCATTCCTTTATCTCTTTCATCATACACCATCTTGTATACTCTCATTTTGTCCACACCCACTATTTTGACCACTTTGCCCCTCTCCATATCAAAGTTTTGATATGGAGAGGGGCAAAGGGGATTTTTCTTTTTTTCTTATTATCCTTATTTCATCTACCATACTCTTATTTACAGCACACCTAACACTTGCCCTAAGTACTGAAGTCACTAATTCCTCCGTTTTATCCTACAGTTCAAACACCATTCTCTTGCACATATCAAGATAATTCACACACTTGCAATTTCTCCTTCTCAACAAATAACACCAAATCATCTGCACTGAGACATGTCAATAACAATCTACTTCCATTTCAAGTGTTCCTGACTTACCTTCCTAACTCATGGAAGGTCTCATCTGCTCATTTAACATGCATAACTGTGCTTTATGCCCACACCAACATTAGGAGAGGATTTAAAGTAAACTCCTACTCTCACATGCTCTTTTCATATAAAAGAATTTAACTAATTGATAAAGCTTTATTCCACTACCTATATCTGAGATAATGCGCCTGGCCTTCAACCTTAGACACATGGGGGGTCTTCACCCAACTTTTCCGGACAACATTAATGCTGTCAGAAAGGCCATGTTCTGACCTTTCTAAGATGGATTAGTACTATTAATCCTCTCTGAAAGATTAGTTTGGTTTCTCCAAAATGTTCAGGTATTTGCGCTGTAATTATATACCACATATACAATTTCTTTTATCAATATTACATTGTTGCATCAAAGTAACAATAGTAAAAATTCTGTTGTTTGCTGGAATATCACATGTTCTGAGAGGGAGATTTGGTAATCTACAAAACTTCCCAAAATGCTTCACAATAAATCGTCATTCAATTTTTTATATTTGTTGACTAAATAATCAAGGTAAATTACATTCAGACTAAATGCATTTCAATGGTAATTATTAACCCCTCAACTGCTTGGCTTCCAAATATGACCCCCCCCCAGTGTGCAGGAAATAAATTATTATTTTTTTCTTCCCTTCCCTTCCCTTACCCATACTCAGGGAAACCCTTCCCTGAGTATGGGTATAGTAACAGAAGGTCGAAATCGTACGTACTTTGGCTGCTATGGGGTCAGTAAGTTCGCGCGTGACGTCCTCATTCCCTGGTCGCCTGTGGTGTACGCCCCCGGGGCAGGATGCGCAAGTTGCAGCAAATATATTTTTGTTCATTTTTTTGCACACAGTTCCAAATACATTTTATTGTGCCAATCCTATGTATAATGAACATGTACACTGTATTATGGCAGTAGAACATCCGTACTGTCTGAAGACACTGTGTTATGTGCATGACACTTGTGTACACATATGTTGCACATATTTCCCATGCATCATGCTATATATACAATCTATTTACACACTATATACATTCAACAGTAACACACTCAGAACTCCGCGAGTGTCAGCTGCCACACCCTCACTCCAACATCTTACTCGCCAACATTGCTCCTCCCACCATACTGTTATTGTTTTTATTACACTATTTATACATGGTATGTATACCTATCTACATGTTTTATTCACCAGAACTATGCAAGTAAGCCGGTATTGTGTCCAAACTTTACAGTGGCCACCATACACTGCATGAGAAATCACAAAGCAGCCAGCAGACGACGCTACGATTACATCACCTCCCTCGCCAAAATACCTCCTTCCAACATATTCCTGTTGCTGTTATTACACTATACACACACATTGTATATACCCATGTACAAATGTGTTCACCATAGCGAACCACTAAGCTGGTATGATGAGCAAAATAAGAGTGGCTGCCACACACACAGTGAGGCTACCTCGATTCTCTCCCTCCCTTCCTCACCACAATTCCTCCTTCCACAATACTACGCACAGTGCTTATTATCACCACAATCCTGCTGTTATCACAGTACTGGTCACTAAATCCTGTAAATGAATAATTGACCACAAGTTTATTTTGTAAAGGAACCTAGGAAGTCGTTTGAAGATACCTAGATCGAAATAATGCATGGTGCTGTGGCTAGAATCACCAATATTTAAACATTGTACCCAGTCATTATCACACTCGGACTCTCCTGTAATACTATCATGGCTAAATAATACAAGTTTGTTTATATATATTTATATATATTTATATATATTTATATATATTTATATATATATATATATATATATATATATATATATATTTATATATATTTATATATATTATATATATTTATATATATTTATATATATTTATATATATTTATATATATTTATATATATTTATATATATTTATATATATTTATATATATTTATATATATTTATATATATTTATATATATTTATATATATTTATATATATTTATATATATTTATATATATTTATATATATTTATATATATTTATATATATTTATATATATTATATATATTTATATATATTTATATATATTATATATATTTATATATATTATATATATTTATATATATTTATATATATTTATATATATTTATATATATTTATATATATTTATATATATTATATATATTTATATATATTTATATATATTTATATATATTTATATATATTTATATATATTTATATATATTTATATATATTTATATATATTTATATATATTTATATATATTTATATATATTATATATATTTATATATTTATATATATTTATATATATTTATATATATTTATATATATTTATATATATTTATATATATTTATATATATATTATATATATATTTATATATATATATATATATATTATATATATTTATATATATTTATATATATTTATATATATTTATATATATTATATATATTTATATATATTTATATATTATATATATTTATATATATTTATATATATTTATATATATTTATATATATTTATATATATATATATATATATATATATATATATATATATATATATATATATATATATATATATATATATATATATATATATTGACATTATTAGGCGATGCTGTAGTCACACGCTGAACAGCAGTGCTGTGAGCTCATGCTGTGTGCGTCAGCCTTGGTTGCTCACTCAGTACTGAGACTCTCACACCCGGGAATGTGGACCACGATTATTTTTAAAGATGGCATCTGTTTACAAGAGCCCTGAGGAAGCTGATGTGAACCCCATGTAGCCGCGGGAGTTTTGAATGGAACGTGAAAAATACAAATACCCGGAGGCACTTTGCGCATTCCAGACGAGGGCCTGCAGGTGCGTTGCGCAGTTTAAGGGTTAATTAGTGTGCTAAACAAAATCTATAATTCCTTTACCTTATCATAGTTTGGCTTTGCGATCTCACTCTGAAGAGTTTTCAGCCTATCCTCTGCATCCTCTATCCTCTTCTGGATTTTTTCTTGACAATTACTCAAGTTAACCAGACCCTGGAAACAAGAAACAAATAAAACTGCAAATATTTTGCTTTAAATTCATAATTTACACATTTAATAATTAATCTTGAAATAACTACATATGATCGAAGTTATGAGGCCTTGTCTCACTGCAAACACTAAGGCCAAGTGAACGCCAATTTTAACTAGACAATTTCACGAATGAAACGGTGCAAGTGGTCATCTACACAAGGTGTATAAAAAATAACTTTTTTGCAAAGTATTTTCTGTGCTACTCCAATAAATTATATATTAAAATGTATAAATAACCAAAAATAATAATAGTATACCTTAGTTTGTGTGGCATAACCAAATACCTGTACATGAAAATCTTTAAAACATTTAAATATTATTATTATTAAAGAATTTTTGAGTGGAAGTGTGTTCACATGATTGATTACATTGCTGCTCAAGGAATATAAATATGATGCAAATGCAGTTTCTTTTTATAATTTTAAAATTGACAAATTTATTTGTAAATACGAGTTTTCAAAAGTGTACTCCCATGTTTCCTAGAGATCTTTGTCATACCTACGTATTTATTTTATATGAACTGTATATGAATGGAAATGATTCCTTTTATTTGTATGTGCAGTACATTAAGTGTATTCTGTAACTTCATAAAACTTGCGTTGAATGTAATGAAACGTCATTTTCAGGGTGAGCCCCGGAGGCTCCCTGGAGCTTATCAGGCGAATGTATGTTATATTAGACCGGGACATTAGCTAAGGAGTTCAGACCTACCAGGGACCAGCGCCAGAACCTGACCCCTTCAGAGAGGTTTCAGGGAGCAATGGAACTGGAAAACCCCCTTGTGGTTGGAGGTTTTCCTTATCTGCCATCGACTGGGGTTAGGCACCCAGAAAGGTAGGCATAACAAAACAAACCCCACATGGTAAGAAATTAAAACAAAAAAACGAACAGAGGTAGAAACTATCTACAATCCCAAGGAAACAAGCAAACAAGCAATTATCACAATTTACTGCTGCGCCGGTCGTTCGCGCAGCCCTCCCCTCCTCGAGAGGGATAGGGGGGCTGCCTTCAGTTCGGAAACTAGGCTTCAACCAATGCGAAAAAAAAAATGCCGACCGCATGGGAGGGAGGGGTGGCCAGGGAGCCTCCGGGGCTCTCCCAGAAAATTGCATTTCATTACATTCAACGCTGGTTTTCTGTGAGGAGCCCCTACGGCTCCTTGGAGCAACATACCCAAAGAGAAGGAAAATAAGGGCTTACCCAGGAGGCGGCGGCCACAAACTCCTCATTGCGAAGTCGAGACAACTGACTGCAACCTGCAACCCCAAAGCAACACAAGAACGCCGAGGAGCAGGTACGCTCACCAAATAACGGGCGGCCAGGACCCTGTTCGACTTCCAAAATCCACGTGCCCGAATATGAGCCCAAGACATGATGCCAAACACGGCAGCCAAAGCTGCAAACTTTCGAATGTTATGGGCGCGAGGATAGACCGCAGGCTGGCTAGACTTAATAACCCTGCGGACAACCTGGGAGACCCGAGCCCTGGAATAGGGAATGAGGGAAACCGGATCAACCCTAAGCGCATCCCCAGCCACCTCAGCTGAAGCACGCAGGTAACGGCAAAGAGCCGCAACCGGACACAACACATGATGCACCCCCGGCCGAACCAACCAAGCATCAATGACCCAACGACCCCTCCGGAAAGCAGCCGTCTTGTTCTTCGCCTTAAAAGATGGAGAAGGCTCCAAACGGACAAACCGACCCCCATGACCAAAAGAGTCGAAACCCCTGTGTCGGAGGAGAGAATGAAGCTTCCCTGCCTGGCCCCCAAGAGGCCAAATGCCAACAAAAACAAAGCCTCGGAAAAACAATCTGGAACCGAAGGGGCCACCACAAACCGAGGAGAGGAAAGATAGGAGAGCACCCTGTCCAAGGACCAGGACGGCTCAGGCGGCACATGAGCAGGCCGGAGGTGAAACATAGCACGAGAAAGCTAATCTCGTGCTATGAAAGCTAATTTATAATCTCGAAATCTCTTGTTGAGCTCTTCACACACCTTGTCATTCTCTGTGTATCTGTTCTCCCCTTTTCACAGCTTCATCACTTGTTCCTTCACTGCAGTTTTCCTCCTGATGTGGCTGTGGAGCAACTTTGGTTGGGTCTTGGCTTTACTCGCTATGTCATTTTCAAACTGTCTCTCTGCTTCCCTCCTCACTCTGAAGTACTCATTTCTGGCCCTCTGGTATCTCTCCCTGCTCTCCGGTATTCTGTTATTTCTGGAGTTTCTCCATGTTCTTTTACTCAGTTGCTTCGCTACCTTGCATTCCTGGTTGAACCATGGGGTTTTCTGTTTTTTTCGTTTTTCTCCTTTTGGACGGGGATAAACCTGTCTGCAGCTTCCTGGTACTTCTGGGTGACAAAATCCATCATGTCCTGCACATTCTTGTCTCTAAGTTCTGTTTCCCATGGTATTCCCCTGAGGAAGTTCCTCATCTCGTTATATTTTCCTCTTCGGTAGTTTAGTCTTTTCCCCTCCGATCCCATCTTTGGATAGGTTATCCCTACCTCAACCAAGTACTCAAGAGTCAGTACACTCTGGTCACTCATTCCTACAGGGGCTTCAACTTTGACTTCCCTTATTTCTGACTCATTCAGGGTGAATATCAAGTCGAGTCTAGCTGGTTCATCATTGCCTCTCTCACTTGTGGGTTCCTTGACATGCTGGCTCCCATTCTCCCATTCTATCTTTCCATGGTTGAAATTGCCCATGATTAAGAGTCTTGAGCCATTCCTGCAGGCAACTGAAGCTGCTGCTCTCTATTATATTAATGATTGCCATGTTGTTCCTATTAAACTCCTGTCTAGGTCTTCTGTCATTTAGGGAAGGGTTGTAAATGACTGCCACTATTATCTTAGGTCCACCCATTGTTATAGTTCCTGTTATGTAATCTCTGTTATGTTACCTAGCAGTAAATAGGTACCCGAGAGTTAGACAGCTGTTATGGGCTGCTTCCTGGGGGGGGGAAGGGGGGGGGGGGGAACTAGTGGTTAGTAACAGTTGATTGATTGATAGTTGAGAGGCGGGTCGAAAGAGTAGAACTCGACCCCCGCAAGCACAACTAGGTGAATACAGTGTCATTTTCTACACATGCAGATGTGCACCCCACAACTTACGGGTCAAGTTAAGACTATGCCAAATCAGTATAATTGTGTACATCAGTATATGTTGATATTCACCATGTTTCCTTTCATTCAAATCTTTAGCCTTCCAAATCACCATCTTCATATAGTCTTCTACAAAATATTGAAATAGTAAAAGATCAACCAGCAATGTTGTGTGTATATAAAGAAAATCAATGATGCCTTATATTAAACCATGCCTTACATAAATTCTCACCTGGAGCTTCATCCAAGCCACAGTTTCTGCATTAACAGGAGTAGGAACAGAGCCTTTTGGCTTCTCTGTAGACACTTTGACATTTGATGCAACTGACAAAGTAGCAATATCCTGGACGAGAGATTCCAGTGTCGCTCGGTTCTCAGGACTTTCCGACTGAAGGGTTACTGAAAATTTCAGGGTAAAACTATAAATTGATCTGCATCTAAGGATATTTATCACATTCACAGCTAGATCATTAAAGAGCAAGATATTGAAAATAAGTAATTCTTATGCCAAATTCACAAGACCTTTACCTTTATTTTACTTAAAATGCTTAAGAACATTATTTTTTGTAAGTTTTTACCACTAAACTTTGTTTAATTATTGTACACCTATGAAAATGAACACATTTCCTGCATTTTTCCTTCAAATTTTTACCTTGAAGATTCCAGCCTTTCTGTTTCAATTGGTTTGTTTGAAGTTTTAATTTTAATCAAGTTAGTGCTCAAAGCCTCTAAAGCATAAACATCAAGGAAGGGAATGGCCAAGATTGTATGCAACACCACCACCCTCCATTGAACTCACCTGTCTTTAAAACATTTCACTAATTTTTGGAACATGTTCTTCCTCAACCTGTCCTAAAGAAAGGTGGCTGTTCTAACTCGACTAGCAATCACTGTCACATCCATATAACTCACATATAATCACATCCGAGTTTGAATATCAGTCATGAACTTTTTTCTAACACCCAGATGATGGTAATCTTCTTATGATTATCTAGATTTTAGTGAGGCCTGTTCCACTGCAGATCTTCTATCACACCTCACTCATGTATGGTCTCCCCCTTCACTTTGTGATTACAGTGCAAATTTTGCAATAGTCGCCAAGCTTTCAGACTTTGGCTTGACATGTGTGAACATACTTTCTAGCTTCCACTGCTTCAGTAATGCTATTGCAGGTAGTTCAACTTTTATCCATTTCTGAGTAAACTGTAATGCTTCTCAAGCTTCTGTTGGCACTTGCTCCTTTCTCATTCATAAATAATTTTTTTTAGCATATGCAATGGCATCCATGCTTATGCTGCAATTACTTTTAAGGGGGCGTCAGGTTGTCAGGTCAAAGTTGTTCAATGTCAACCATTATTATTTGACTAGTTGAATATGAAAAGTGCTTTAATTGTCCCAAGTTTCAGTACTGCAGCGTAAATAGAAAGGGAGATTTTTTTTTTTTCAACGTTTTTTACACATTTTCAAGTCTACACTTCAGAACACACGTTTCAGATATAATTATTCTGTGACACTTTTCTGACACATTAGCATATAATAAAGGATCTTGACATATAGAATTTCCAGAACATCTTTAGTTTTCCTAATATAAATGTTCAAAGTTCCCAAATTTTTTTTTCCAAATATGGCATGTTTATTGCTATTATAAAATCAATAAATGAACTTAGAGAAAAATGAAAGCCCCCCCAATGTAGAGACATGCCCTCCACATATACTGTGTAAGTTTCATGTAAATTGAATAAAAAATGAATCAGTTTTGTAAACGTTTGTGTCAATTGAAAAAAAAACAGAAATGAATAAAGTCTAAGGTTCTAAAATCTGTGGCTGAGGTTGACATCAACCAATTTTCTCCAAAATTGGCATCCTTACAGATAGGCTTACGTACAGTCAGGTGTGTAAGTTTGATGCAAATTGCCCGAAAAAAAAAAAAAATTTTTGTTTCTTAAATTTTTTTTTAATTAACCTAATTAAAATATTTGTTTAATATATGCTATTGTGATAGCAAAGGGTCATAGCTATGATTTCAGTTGACACTTTTGATTGATAATTGATTTTGACCATTTTGGCATAATTTTCACAACTACTTCAATATTTTTTTTCTCCCTTCCTATTTATGCTACGATGCTGAAACTTGGACCAGATGAAACACTTTTCATATAGAACTTGTCAAAAAAGTTTGATTGAAATCGAACGAGTTTTCATTTGTTGCATTTTTATGGCAAATTGGAACCTAAGGCCCCCCTTAAGTCATTTTCCCAGTTTTTGCCAATTATTGTACAGCATTTTTGTTCTACCAAAAACAATACAAGTATTTCTTTGTATTTTAGGGTGCCATAATGCAAGATATGTCTGGTTGTTCAATGTCAACCAAACGTTTTTGACTAGTTGTATATGACAAGGGCTGCAGCTGTTCCATATTTCAGTATCGCAGCCTAAATAAAAAAGGAGGAAAACTATTTGTCAACGAATTTTCAACTTTTCAAAAATTCATTACAACCACAAGTTTCAAATTAAATCATTTCTATGACACTCATCTACCACATTAGCATGTAATAAAGTATTTTATCAACGGATTATCCAAAATATGTTAAGTTTTACTAATACAAACAGTCAAAGTTGCCCCCAAGATTTATGCTAATATATCATGTTTATAAATATTTATAAAATCCATAAATGAGCATAGGAATAAAGTGTCTTAGATCACTTGTAGAGACAAACTTTACATATAAAGTGTAAGTTTCATGTAAATTGAATAGAAAATGAAAGAATAATCACTTTTATGTTGCTTGAAAAAAATGAAAAAGATTCTGCCATCTGTGGCTGAGGTTGACATCAACCAATATCCTCCAAAATTGGCACCCTTACAGATAGGCCTACGTGCAGTAAGGTGTACAAGTTTCATGCAAATTGCCCAATAAAAAATAAACAAATTAGAGAAAAAAAATTTAATTTCTTTTTTATAAAACTAATTATTAAATTAAAATACTGTACTTTATTATATGCTATTGCGATAGCTTAGAGACGTAGACACGATTTCAGTCGACACGTGTTTGATGTTAACTTTTAAACGTTTTGGAAAATTTTAAACACTTAATTAAATATTTTTTCTCCTTTCCTATTTATGCTACGATGATGAGACTTGGACCAGTTGAAGCCCTTTTCATATACAACAAGTAAAAAAAAAATTTGACTGAAATATAACCAGTTTTCATTTATTGCATATTTTGGCACTATGGCCCCTTCACACAAATGACATCAAGAAAATGGTTCAGTATAAATGAAATTGTAAACAGTAAACTATTTACAAAATTATCCCTCTATGTAACCCTCTAGCCATATCTTAATTACACTCTTCCTAACCAGGACATTCATTACAACAGCCATATTTCTTATCTCAATCAACTTAGATTACAACACAAATTTTATACTTCATTATATCTCTGGTACATAAACTGATCGACCACTGATAGGATTTGTTCACTCACTATTACTCCATGTGAAGGGTTTACTTCGCTTCACCACCAATACTATGCTTTAGTCATCCAATTTCATATACATACTCCATTTCATCCCATCATACACTAATATTCTTTCTCTAGAATAATTTAGCTTTACTTCCCTCAAGAACTCCCAACCACATATATACTTAATAACTATGAGAACCTCACACAAGCCTAGCACTTGCTGGTGAAACAAGTCCCATGCTCTATTTCCTGTATAAACGCTCTTAATAGCATTTAAAAACATTCCAACATTATATTTCTTCATTGCTTCCCAGAGATCTTTATCTGTTTCTTTATCATTTGTTATAATCCTATTCTTAATAATTTCATAAAAAAACCAGCGATGAATGTAATGAAACGCCATTTTCTGGGCAAGACCCGGAGGCTCCCTGGAGCTGTTGGACTAATATGCGATACATTAGACCAGGGCAATAATCAATGGAGTTCAGCCTACTGGGGACCATGAGCCAGAACCTGGCCTCCTCAGAGACGGGAAGCAATGGCCCCTGGAAAACACCCCAGTGGTGGGGGTCTTACCTTATCCGCCATCGACCGGGGTTAGGTACGCAGAAAGGTAAGCATAACAGACCCCACATGGTAAGAAAATTGCAAAGAAAAAAGCTGACACAAAGGAGCCAAAATCACGCCAGCAAATGGGGAAAACAAAGCAGACCGGAAGAGGGACAAAAAAAAAAAAAAAAAAAAAAAAAAAAAAAAAAACACCCCACCCAGAAGGTACAAAGCCCAAGCAGGGACAAAGCACCCCAGAACCAGAAGTGGGCTCCCTCCACAGCCCCAGGGCAGAGTCCAGGGGAACAGCAGCTAAGCATGGGGTTTGCTTGCAGAACCCAGAAGCCTCAGCAGGAGGAGCAGACTCGAATGCCTCCGTTCCCAACCCGGATGGGGCAGCCCTCAAAGCAGCCCGAGTCTCATTACCAACTAAACCTTGCTGAGACTCTGAAACCCTCAGATGTTTGGGAGCCGGGAGCATGGGGAACGGGGTGGTGAGCAGAACAAACAACAGGTTAAGGACATGGGAGCACGGACGGAACCAAAGTCAAAGCGACTAAACCCCCCCCCCCCTCCCCAAAGTCTGGGTCCTTATAACTAAAACGAGACAGCCTCGGGGCATCCGGGTGGGCAACCAACCCAGCATGTTGCAGCAACCTAAACATTGCATGCGACGCGGATGCTGCCTGTACCCGAATATCAGTGTTATCAGAATGGGTGATGAGAACAAGCAGAGAACACGACTCGCCAGACTCCGGGTCAAAGGTGTCGTTGACCCAACAGGCATCATGATGGAGGCTAAAGCAGTGGCTGTCACCCTGAGACAAGGAAACACAGCAACCTTAAAACTCGCATGGCGAGCTGGAACTCTGAAGACGATGCGTCTTCTGAATTCCAGCTCCACCAAGCCCCAACAGGGTTTTCCAGGGCCTGTAGGCTGACCACTACAGAAATCCCAGGCAAGGTGTTGCTAACTGGTTAAACCCAAAGCTAACAAGGAGTAGAAAACACTGAAAAAAAGGCAAAACACTGAAACCCCTGTGATGTGAACAATCACTGGGGCCTAGCAGAGGGCCACCGAAATATTAGAAGTGGTTCTACAGACAAGGCAGACCCCCCACCAGGCAAACAAAACAAAATGTAAAAAGAAAACCCCGCAAAAGTACAACGTTTCCAGAGGAAACAGGAACCAGCCGCTGTGTAGATAAGCTGGCTGCAAAACGCCTTGATGCCCCAACCAGCAACAATACCACTCCCTACCCAAGGCAAACAAGGAGCCACGAAACCCCAGCTGACCCCAAGGGTGGGGTAAATGCCGAGCAGCAAAAAACTCTATGGAAATAATGTCACAAAGGCACCAGAGAAGATAACCCTAACACCCAAAGGTAGTACTCACAGGGAACTTAGGGAAGGTTGCCCTAAGTCATACAGTACACTTAAGTACACCTGGCCACCACACTATGAACAGCAGAGGACACCACTAAGGCAAAACACTGCCAGGAAACCGAGGCCAGTAATGACAACTGCCCCAGATTGCATTAGCTAAGGAACTAGAGTTGCTGGGCAGCTAGTGTGGGGTGTCTGGAGCTCACCCTCACCCTCCAGGGAAAGGGAGGGGAGCGTGGTGGTGATGTGTGATGTTTGCTTGTTTCCTTGAAATTTGAGGGAGTTCTGCCTCTCAGTTTAGTTTTTGGTTACAATTTTCTTACCATGTGGGGACTGTATGTTATGCCTAACTTTCTGGGTGCCTAACCCCGGCCGATGGCAGATAAGGAAAACCCCCAACCGAAGGGGAATTTTCCAGGGCCATTACTCCCTGTACCTCTCTGAGGGGACCAGGTTCTGGCTCATGGTCCTCAGTAGGCACAACTCCATTGACTAATGCCCTGGTCTAATGTACCATACATTAGCCCAATAGCTCCAGGGAGCTGAAGGGGCTCCCCACAAACAGAAAAAAAAAAATCAAACTTACATTCAATTTTCATTTTGTGAGGTATATCATATTTTGCTTTGGCTGACCTCACCTCACTGATGACTTTCTGTCCAAATCTAAACTTGTCATCAACTTCTTCATCAAGGAAGATATTATACTGAAAAATAAATAAATCTTATCTTGTAATTTCTGTTAAATATGGGTTGATGCATTTATGTCCTTGAAATTAAGACTGTCAATTTAACCAATCAACCACTGTACCTGTATCATATTACCAGCTATTATATCTTATACATTTCACCTGTAAATTTGCAAACTATATTAACCATTACTATGTGTAATTCATTTCCAATAAAGTACCAGTAATAAAAACTATGAAATGGAAGCCCACCTCCTCAGGTTCCGGGTATGGTGTGACACATATTGATGGCTGTTGATTGGTTGTGCGTGGTGGGAGTCGTTGGAACAGCTCCTCAGATAGGTAAGGCATGAATGGAGAAATAAGTGTCAAACCCACATGCAATGCTGTATATAGAACATTGCGACTCAACTCCTTTGCTTCTTCATTATCTGAATACATAACTGGTTTTATGCATTCCTGAAATACAAAAAGAAAAAAAATATATATACTGTATATATTATTGTAAATTATTGCATATTTCAAATCACAACATACATATAAAAAATATATCTATTTTATAATTGCCAAGCCCTTAAAGCTGTATCAATCTGTAATACATGCATCAATCCAATGCCACTATGCTAGAACCAAGCGGTTAGCGGGGACACTAAAGCCCCGAAATCATCTCAAGATAACCTCAAGACAGATTCACTACAAATGACAAAGTGTGCGAAGAACTCAATAGGAAATTCCAGGAAGTTTCACATTGGAGCAAGGAGAAGTTCCAGAGATAAGAGAAGGAATAGTTAACCAAGCACCACTAGAGGAATTTGAGATTACCAGTGGGGATGTAAAGAAGCTTTTGCTAGATTTGGATGTGACAAAGGCTATACGCCCGGATGGAATATCACCATGGATACTAAAGGAAGGAGCAGAAGCACTGTGCCTGCCACTCTCTCATGGTGTATAACAAATCACTGGTAACAGGTGAATTGCCAAAAATTTGGAAGACGGCAAACGTAGTCCCGATATACAAGAAGAGGGAATAGACAGGAGGCACTGAACTACAGGCCAGTGTCCCTAACTTGCATACCATGCAAGTTATTGGAGAAAATTGTGCAAGAAAAGCTAGAGGAACATCTGGAGCAAAGGAACTTTATGACACAACACTAACATGGTTTCAGGGATCTTCTTGAGGTTATCTTGAGATGATTTCAGGGCTTAGTGTCCCCGCGGCCTGGTTCTCAACCAGGCCTCCACCCCCAGGAAGCAGCCCGTGACAGCTGACTAACACCCAGGTACCTATTTTACTGCTAGGTAACAGGGGCATAGGGTGAAAGAAACTCTGCCCATTGTTTCTCGCCGGCGCCTGGGATCGAACCCGGGACCACAGGATCACGCGTACAGTGTTCTGTCCGCTCAGCCACCGGCTCCATCAAGGATGTCAAGTCATGCCTCACAGGATTAACTGAATTCTATGATCAGGCAACAAGCATCAGACAAGAAAGAGAGGGGTGGGCAGACTGCATATTTTTGGATTGCCAGAAAGCCTTTGACACAGTTCCACACCAGAGACTAGTGCAAAAGCTGGAGATGCAGGCAGGAGTGAAAGGGAAGGTATTCCACTGGATAAGGGAGTACTTAAGCAACAGGAGACAACGAACAAGACTGATAAAATCAGTGTACTCCTACTGGGGATACTTAAAATTAAACTGACATTAAAAATTATGTCCATTCAAGCACATTAGTTGACTTATAGAGGCGAGTACACCTTTCCTAACATGGTTACTTGCCCCCCCACTTCCAAACTCTCTATAAGAACCATCTATGCAAACCATGTCAATCAGTCTCATGACCTTTAACCCATGATGAAAACACATTCATACACAGATGGCATGGATGACATTACCCCTTGACTAAAATTGTCCAGGGTGGGGAAAAAATATACTTTTATAATTCTAATACTAATATAAAATACTTATAAGTTGCTTACCAGGTATACATCACATATCTGATACCACCAAAGATTGTACAGAGCTGTAGTGGCTCTTGGGAAGTTGAATTCTTCAAAGGCTGTGTTGCACTCTTTCACAGCATATGCCAGCTGACTTAACATCCATCTGTCCACTATACTCAGACTTGCTCTCTGTTACAAATATAATATCATAATTAAATTACCCGTACTTTTTAAATTCTACAATTACATTTATTTAATCCATACAAACCTAGTTTGTATGCTTGTATTACAGTAATGGGTAATTATAACCAATTTTGAATTTAACAATTAAATGTATAACAAAATACTGTATTTTTAATCATTAGTAGCATAGTATATATATATATATAATCTGCACTGTAAGAATATTACAACTAACAAATTGGTAACTATACCGCTAATACACACAGAAATCACAATAACGTGATATTTAAAATGAACAAATCTACAAGGGCCTTGAGGGTTCGAACCTATGCGCTGGATGTTCCCAGACTCTCTCTAGTCAACTGTACCACAACATGGTAAAAGAATTGCAACCTAGAGTGCTGCTGCCCCCACAAGTATCCCGAGGCTTCCACTGAAGCCTAACTGGGGTTTCACACACTTACCCCCATGCACTCGGGCTCTGTCAGACAAATAGTTCCACCTCTGACATCTAACAATTCACAACTAACAAACTTGTAACTATATCGCTAATACACACAGAAATCACAATAACGTGATATATCAAATGAACAAATCCACAAGGGCCTTGAGGGTTCGAACCTATGCATGGGGGAAGTGTGTGAAACCCCAGTTAGGCTTCAGTGGAAGCCTCTGGATCCTCCTGGGGGCAGCAGCACTCCAGGTTGCAATTCTTTTACCACGTCGTGGTACAGTTGACTGGAGCGGGTCTGGGCGCAGTCAGCGCATAGGTTCAAACCCTCATCAAGGCTCTTGTGAATTTGTATATATCACTAATATCACAGGTGAAAGCATACAACAGAACTGTAAAAGCATTACGGGAACTGACAGGTTGGGAGGTTGAGGGACATAGAATTCAGAATTCAGTACATGCATAGATGAAGTTATCCGTTGTGATAACTGAAAAAAATATATAAAGAAAATCGATAAACATTCAAATATTGGAGCGTCATAAAGTTTATGATCAGGTGAATTCAGATTATTAAGGTAAGATCTAATACAACTACAAAGCAAATGGAAAGTTGAAAATGAAAGTGAAGCATGTACAGTACTGCAAGTGACCAGACTCTGAAGTGTCAAGCTTTTACAGTCAGGTTCCTCCAGCTAGGAACAGAGTCAATCAAGAACACTGATCCGTTGCTGGTTACTTTTTAGGATGTCACACCCTTCTTGCTTCTGGATGACTTTGGGTGATGGGAGAACTAGGCAGGAACACTTGCATAGCATCCGCTAAAGGTAATGTCAGAGAATGCAGAGGACATGGTCTCTGTTATTGAGTGTGCACATGCTTCTATACAGCTGTCTAATTTGCTTTTTTGCCTTCTATATTTGCCAAATTTTGAACAGGGGCATACATTAAAATAATAATCTTCTGCCACCTTTACTATTATCCGGTCTCTGTAGGCATCATCTTGGTATATCTGGAGCATACCTGGAGCTTGACTTGAGACAACTTGGCCCAACAGGCTGTTGCTTGGAGTGGCCCCTTGACCCACATATCCACTACTACCTGGTTGGAGGAATTCCTCCTCCGTTCTTGCAAGGGAGGAGGAATTCATTTGAATTTATATAAATGGATTTTATATGAATTTATAAAACATTCCAGTTTGGCAGCAAGATGCTGCTTCTGGAAACTTTCCTTAAGACTACAGTACTCATAGCCCAGTTGATAGAGCTTCAGCCTCACATGAGTGGGGTCCACAGTTCAAGACGCCTACAGCCCAGGTGAATGGTACGTTTTTATTTATCCCAGATTCAGTGACTGGCTAGAGTTTTAGGATGGTCACATCATTTACCACTTCTGTGGGTGGTGTGTATATTGGGGAACAATTTGGCTTCTCAAATCTTTACCAAGTATGTAACAGTTGCCCTTTCAGAGAGAGCACTCTTGTGTATCCACTTTCTGGTTAACTTTGAGGCAGAGTTTTACTCCCTTCTGGAGGCAACCTACCATCTTAAATTTGACATTGGATTCCTGAGTATCTTCTGAGCCATCTGAACTTTACCAATGTCATCTGTCCCATGGAGTCACATGTGTCTGAAGGTGTTGTGTTGTTCCTTGGTGGATAGCTTGCTGCCAGCTTTGGGGATAAGATGGTGTGCACCAGTGAACATAGAGAATTTCTTGCATTCCAAGTTTCCTCTTCTACCTTTATGGTGTATAAATTACATTTGTCCTGTTCGAAGTTAATCCCTAGACTGCGCCAACCGAGAAAACTCTCTTTTTGACCCATTTAAAATGTGTGCGCAGTTGGTTGTGTACGAAATGGACTCTTAGGATCTTCAGTGAGAGGCAGCCATCTTGGAAAAAATTCCCAGAATACCCTAGGACTGCTGGCTGGGTTAGTACTGAGTGAGCAACCAAGGGTGGCGCACGCACCTCTGGCTCCCAAACACCTGTCCGACGCAGTGTTGAAAGATCGCGCGCTGTCGGTGAAATTCAAACCTTATTGTTTGAAGAACTTAGGGGTCGTGATATTGGTGAAGCTAGGCACAATAAGGACCTAACAATGGTCAGATGCAAGCGATACAGCACCTATGAGGAGGATACAGCGAGCGTATCTAGTTGTAGCTCTGAGTGCCACCCTTGCCATCTCCAATTTATATAGATGATACATAGATGAATCCTTTTCTGCATTCAGTAATGATGCATCTGTTACAAGTAGCATAGATGAACAGTGTTAGTAGCTTCCATGGTGGTGTTTTCCATAGATATTTTCAAGAATAGCTGAATCTCTTCCAGATTGACGGACACTCTTCGAGGGTGGCTGAATCACTTCCTGTGTGGCACCTTACAAAGCGATCTTTTCAAAACTACCTTACAAATTGATCTTTTCCTATAATCTTATCAATATTACCTTATGCTTTACAAGCTTGGCTACATCCCACCTACAAGTACTAAAGCCAAGGGTGTACGTGAGTGCGTTATTTTCAAGCACACAGAACGAAGAAACAGGAAGCGTAAATCAATCTGTACCTGGTGCAACGAGAGCGAAGTTGCGCTGTGCACCATGGACTACTTCATTGATTATTACTCACTTCCAAAGTACTGAGTGTGTAATACAGTGTGTTACTGTGTAAATAGTGTGTGAAACTGTACATATTGTAAGTTTAGTGAATTTTTAACAAGTAACATTGTGACTAAACATTTATTGTGGACACATTACTGACATGTATCACAGTGCCATGGAACATTATGAATGTTCTACTGTATACATATTGTAAAGGACACAAATATGCATCATATAAGATAAAAAAAAAATAAAACCACATTGGAAATGCATAGAACAAATAATTGAAAATATAATTGTGGCAACAAGCGGTGCTTGAATGGCCCGCGCAACTGTGTCTGGGAGCTTCACTCACGGGCGACCAGCCCCTGATGACGTCACAGCCCACCTTGTCCACGTTCTCATGGCCAAAGTAAGTGGAATGTGACATTTATTTTTACATAGACATGTTCAGGGAAGGGAATTCATCATTTTAATAAGAATTTTTTTTTTTTGGATTTGCTTGATTTCATGCGCACAGGGGGAACTTCACAATAAACTTGGCACATCACAGTGGTTAAAGAGCTTTGCTAGGGTGCATGATTGACATAAGATGAATCTGTGCAGTCGTAGTCAAGAGTAGGGCAAGTCAGGGATGAGAAGTTGATGGTGCAATGAAAGCCTGTGCTAGAAAAACAAAGATGAAGCCATAGGGTGGCATGAATGAATTATAGTAACTACTCTCATGTACAGTTGCAAAAGAATGGTGTATTACAAATGTGAAAATTACAACAGCAATAGAAATGGATAATCTGAAAAGTGCAGTACAAGGAAAATATATCCAAAGGTAAATGAAAAGGTACTAAGATGGTTAAGAATATTAATCAAATGGATGATGGCATATTGGCAAAGAGCATGCATTCAAGCAAATTAAAATGTACAAGGAGAAACACATATGATTAGCTTGAGAGAGAGTTGAAAGTGTGAACAGTGCACGAGATATGGTACAGGGCATGTGCGAGTGGAAGCAGTCTGGAAGGAGTGAACGCATTTTAGTTGCATATAAAAATTAACGAGTAGCAATGTAAACCACATTTAATGAAATGATGGTGTGCTGCTGTGGACTGTAATGTGCTTTTTTAACATTTGTGATAATACACAAGTGATAGAATAAATGAACGAGTGAACTTTTCTTTTATATATAACATTCTCCAGGCTGATCACAGAAGAAGGAAATGGGATCCGGTAAAAATAATAATAATAATACTCCATAAAAAATTATTTCTTTAAATCTCTCTCAGGCACATACAGCAAAACTTAGCACACATACTAGTACAGTGTTGCCAAAATTAAAGACACATAACCAAGCAGTTAAATGATTGCAGTATATAAATGAATTGTTATGCCTTACCTCCCTATGCCCAGAGGTTGGAGCCAAAGGCCTATTACTGGGCTCGGGAAATGAGTATCTATCTCTCTGGGAGTAGCTGGCCATGTGGCAATACCAGCGCAGGAGGTGGGGATATTGTGAAAGTGACAACCCATCTTCAATTGTTTTAATGATACAAACATCAGCTTGAGTGGGTGTAAAACCTTCTATATAACTGAAGTGTTCTAAGGTTTTGTTTAACTCTGATAAACTGCCAAAATTATATTTATTATTTTTATTGTTATTGGAAGAAGAGGGAGGTGTGTTGCACTGAACCTTGCTCGTCTGTCTTGAAGTTTTCACCTAGTGAGTAATGCTTTCAGTTATAAAATATCTACAATAAAAACATAAATCATCATGACAATGTTCAGCGATGATATTATAATTAAAGAGATACTTTGATTTGCAAATGGCAAAATATGAATGTCTATGTTAATAACAAATTTTAACTTGCCAAAACTAAACAGTTTTAAGGATATTAATTATAATATAATCATATAATAATGACTCTGGTAATATATTTCCTAGTCAGCTTTTCAATACAAACAGCTACTGTGTCTGAGCCAGAGTCAGAAAGAATCAAATTGTATTAGACAAATAATTGGGATCAAGTGACAAGAAATGCTCCTTCCTGAGTGAGTCCGTTGGTTGCTCTCTTGAGCCAGTGGTCTATAAGGGTCTAAAGATTCCACCAACCAGGCTCTAATAACATTTGCCCACCATAACCAATAACATTATTAATGGTCTTGTCACATAGCTAGAAGAGGGAGAGTGATGAGTAACTTGAGCCACAACCAAAAAACAAACTATCAGCATTAACAAATTTAGACTATAAACCCCTAGTGACAACTGATTTATTGTTCTACTTCTGGTAGAGGAATCGCTCATTAACTTGACTGCCACCAAAATAGGCTCAGAGGAGCCAGAACCCTCACTTGTTTCTCAGGCTGCCCAAGCATGGGTAGCCTGAGCCATTTCCCTGCCCCGGGAACCTCCATGGCAGGACCCAAAGCCCCTGCCTCACAAGAAAAGCCGGGGCAGCTAACAATTTCTTAGCCAGAATAGGTGTTTGTTTTGGGATGCTATCCTTTCTGGGTGCCTGACCCAGTCAATGGCAGACATAAAATGCTTCCAATCACACGGGGGTTTCTATAGGCCATTGCTCCTCATGCCAACTGAGGGGCCCAGGTTCTGGCTCGTGGTCCCCGGTAGGCCTAAAGAACTCCATATACATGACTGATGCCAAAGTCTGACATTAGCTATATCAGTCTGGATAGCTCCGGGGAGCCAACAGGGCTCCCCCCCAGAAAAAAAAAAATATAATAATTTATCTAAGACTTAAAATGTGTTCCCTGATCACAGGAAAAATAATAATAAATCGATACTGTAGTGACATATTTTGGCTGCAATAGGACGAGTTAGTCTGGCAAGATTCAGGCACTAAGAAAGTACGCGCCCGAGGCCGGTCTCTCGGGGCAACTCTTGGGTGTCAGGCCGGACCCTAGGAGTCTGAGATATTACCTAATTATCTCAATGTCTGATTTTTTTTTCAGTTTTTTTGCAGTAATATTATTCAACAGTGTGTAGTGTGATATACTGTATTTATATAATTAAATGCTATATTCAAAAGTACGGTGTGCATATTAGTGATTCAATTATTATGTTCATAAAATATAATATTTTTGCTGTTTTACACTATATACACATGTTATATACAAGTGTCTGCATATTTTGTACACCATAAAACTACACTTAGGTAATTACACTTGTAGAAATAAACCACTAAGCTGGTATGGTGCATCGAAATAACGTAGCGGCCACGAACACATCAGCCAGCAGACGACGCTACCTCACCAACGTTCCTCCTCCCACCATACTGTTTTTCCTGTTATTACACTATATACATATGTTATATACATATAAGCATCTACATTTGTGTTCACCCAAAGCGAACCATTAAGCTGGTACAGGGAGTCCAGACAATAATACTGGCTGTCATACACTCGGCCGACTGTGTGGCTGACTGTGCGAGCTCCCCGAGCTCCCTCCCTCCTCCCCTCACCAAGATTCCTCCTCCCATCATAGTACGCACATCACTAATTCTCACAACAATGCTGCTATTATCAGAATCCTGGTCACTAAATCCTGTAAATAAATAATTTTCCACAAGTTTATTTTGTAAAGGAACACGAGAAGTCGTTTCAAGATTCTAAGATAAACCAAACAGTGGCAGTGTGCTGTGGCTAGTGCTGTGAACATCTTAAACAGCATTGTGTTCACTGATATCTAAACATTATACAATCTTTTATCTCAGTCAGGCTCTTCTGTAAAACTATCATCGCTAAATAATAGCAGTTACATATACAGTGTAACTTCTGTTTTCCAATACCCGTTATTAATTCTAAACTCGGTGCTCGAGTTTGTCGCTTTTTTGGTATCTGAACAAAAAAGTTCTTATTATATATCAAATCATGGGTACCAAGAAAGTCAGTGGTAAAGTTCAACCTAAAAAAAAATAGTTGAGAGGATGATGATAGAGGAAAAACAAGAGATCATTCGGAGTAAGACAATGTGATGTCTCACTACAGACGAGTTAAAAACCAGCGTTGAATGTAATGAAACGCCATTTTCTAGGTGAGATCCGGAGGCACCCCAGAGCTATCCAAACTGATATGTATATCATTAGACTTTGGCATCCGTGTGAATGGAGTTCATAGGCTTACTGGGGACCACGAGCCAGAACCTGGCCCCCTCAGAGAGGCACGAGGAGCAATGGCCTATAGAATAGCACATGTGATTTGGAGCATTCTGTGTCTGCCATCAACTGGGTCAGGCACCCAGAAAGGTAAGCATCCCAAAACACACCCCTATTCTGGTTGAAACTACAGTACTACTGAAAGTCAAATGAGCAGACTGACTCCCCAAAGAAAAACAAGCAAACAAGCATGACATTACCAATTGCCGCGCCGCTGTCTGCATAGCTCCCTCCTCCCCGGAAGGGCGAAGGGGAAGCCCCAGACCCCTCGTGCCGACAACCCATATCTTCAGTTCCGAGGCTGGAAGTCAAAACACGCAAAAAACCAGCGTTAAATGTAATGAAACGCCATTTTCTGGGTGAGCCCCGGAGGCTCCCTGGAGCTTATTGGGCTTCTTGAGGTTATCTTGAGATGATTTCGGGGCTTTTTAGTGTCCCCACGGCCCAGTCCTCGACCAGGCCTCCACCCCCAGGAAGCAGCCCGTGACAGCTGACTAACACCCAGGTACCTATTTTACTGCTAGGTAACAGGGGCATAGGGTGAAAGAAACTCTGCCCATTGCTTCTCGCTGGCGCCTGGGATCGAACCCAGGACCACAGAATCACAAGTCCAGCATGCTGTCCGCTCGGCCGACCGGCTCCCTTGGGCTAATGTATGTTATATTAGACCGGGACATTAGCCAAGGAGTTCAGACCTACCAGGGACCAGCGCCAGAACCTGGCCCCTTCAGAGAGGTTTCAGGGAGCAATGGCCCTGGAAAACATCCTTGTGGCTGGGGTTTCCTTATCTGCCATCGACCGGGGTTAGGCACCCAGAAAGGTAGGCATAACAAAACAAACCCCACATGGTAAAAAACTAAAACAAAAAACCGATCAGAGGGGGAGAAACTCCCTACAGTACCAAGGAAGCAAGCAAACATCACACTTTACTGCCACACCGATCATCCGCGCAGCCCTCCCCGCCCCGAGAGTGGGAGGGGGGAGCCCCAGACCTTACCACGCCAGCTGCCTAAAAAAAGGATGTGTAAAGGAAGCAGTGCTTCCTTGTCTCCGTCTTGGCTCCAAGAGAAGACGGTCCTGGGACAGTAGAAATCCTGAACGAGGGGCAAGAAACCCACGGGTTCAGACGGGACAAGTCCAGAATGAACCGGAGGTCCGTGTAGTCCCGTTTCGGGACCGGAAACGAGCGGGAAACCTACCTGAGGGACGCAATGGTTTCAACCACGCCCAAGTGAACCCACTCCGAGATGACCTGACAGAGAGCAGGGGAAGAGGTCTGCCCTGCGAGCCCCGAACCCCCCACCCCCCGAGGGAGTAGGAGCCAAACAATGCCACCACAGGCTGTACGAAACGACCCAAAAAGCCCACGAATCGTGGGACCAGGCGCAAGCAAACCGGGCGAGCCCCAGCCCCCCCTCTCATCACCCCGTCAATGGGACGAACCGCGAAAGGGCCGACGCACCTTGCGAGAACCCAAGCGGCGAACAGGGCGATCTCTACGCCGACCACCAACAGCTGGAACCGGCTGCGCCAGCCCTGAATCTGGCACCAAAGGCATACCCTGACAAAAAGAACCCCAAGCCCTAGCACGACCTTTCCGGGAAATTTGCCCGTAATGAATGGCGCATGACGTCATTTCTGCGGCGTGGACAAACAGCGCGCGATAAGTGTTAAAGGGGTTAAGAACCAATTTAGTGCTCTCAAAGGACCACCCAGGCCTGGAAAGTATTCTGGGCTAAGCTCTAATGCAATCTGAAGTTGGTCTGACCCAAAACTGAAGCAAATCCCTGAAGTCCAGCAGATAACTCAAGACTGGTCTGATACTACTTGGTGAACCACGGACCCGGTGGCCATTTTCAAAAAAGGCCAACAATGGGGAACATTGGAACAAAAAAAATGAAGTCGGAACATGAGAACAAACAGGGGTCATGGATCTCCTCCCCCATCCCATGTCTCACATTCTGTGAATGTGGGTGCAGAGTAGCTAAGTAACAATCGACACAAGAGGAGGCTTTTTTTTTTTTTTTTTTTTATATATGTTGGTTAGCATTGTAAATGTGTGGCCACGTCTGTGGTAGAAAATAATAATAAAAAAAAAGAGGAGGCTGCAGGAAACATAACTGATAAGACACACTCAGCAACAATGTGATAAATTGTCACGTTGCATTGCCAGCTAGAGCTCTCCAAAAGGTTTGCAGATATCCCAAAAAAGGCTGGCACCATAGGCTAATCATGAAAGAACTAACAAAATCCGAATAGTGTCTTGCTGATATCTCCAAAAACAAAGTACAGTATTACCATGTAATTAGTAAATAACGTATTTGGTACCACATACAGGAATTAGCATAGAAACCGAACTCAAAACAAGAAGGATCCAGAAGCAAGCGAGGCCAAACTACAAGAGGAAACCCATACAAGAGCAGTGTTATAACCACAACTTTAAACCCAACAGACAAGCAAGCTCAGCCTGTGGATAATAATAATAATAATAATAATAATGAGTGACCACTAGTTCATAAGCACCACCAAATCAATAGATTAAGGGTTGGGTAAAGAGCTAGATCTCAGTTCACCATGATCATTAATAAAACGGTGCTTTGCTTCAGGAGATGTGTTACCCGAGTATCTTCAATAAAACAGTACTAGGGATGAAATCCTGAAACAAAGGCGCAAGCGAAGATCACTGTACCATAGGATGAAAACAAGCTGTCACACAAAGTGAACACCAAAGCCTGGGGAAGCCCTACACAGTCTAAAGAAATAGCATAATTAAAACTTACAATATTAGCTAATGCAATCAAACCAGAAAATGGGGACCACCAAACAATAAGTCTACTGGCATCCTTTTTGGAGCGCTGCTGCCACTTCATAAGTCAGGAAAATGACTAATGCTCTGTTGATACAATAGCAATAATTGATGATGATGAATTTAAATTATACTCTGGAGTGAGTTTATTGAGTGAAGTTCATTCTTTCATGTTATACCAGATTATCTCTTGGTTGTAGCCCAAGTTGGACTCATCACTGTCTCCCTTTACTGCGAGACTACCCTATCTGAATTATTACTGCTCCTGCTGGGTAAACAAATCATTAGAGTTCAACAGGCAGAATATGTCTCTGTAAACCTAAATTGGCCACTGGTTCAAGAAAGCAACTCAGCCCCTTTAGCTCAGAAAATATAGTTGAACTACAAGAACACTAACCATTTCCTGCAGCTCTTTCAGTGATTCATACGGCTTGAAATTTTTGCCAATATTCATCATGGCAAATTTTGTTGCATTCCAGAGTTTGTTGCAAAAGTTTCTGTATCCATTCACACGAAGAACATCAAGGTTAATATCACGTCCTGAAAAATAACATTTTAAGCTATATATTTATTGGTGGGATAACACTTGTGTCTTTATTTACAAATGTTTTCAACCAGCAATTTTAGAGCTAGTACAAAACATAATCTTCTAGTACAAAACAACAGAATGTTCTTTTATTTCTACTAGTGACACGTATGGCCTTGTGCTTCTCAATGGTGAAGTTGTATGTGGGGAAAATATGAAAATAAAATAATACAGTACAGAAGAATTTGTTGAAATTTGGCCAATACCACTGATACGCCTCAATGATCACGGTGTTTGGGCTATGGTGTTGAGACCAGGTGAAGATGGATAACAAGAGCAGTGCAGAAAATATAAAAATGTGAATATAAAGGAAGGAGGAAAGGCATAGAAGATCAAGCTGAATGAGAATACATGAACAGTACACTAACAAGGAATGAATAGAACCAGCAGCAACACCTTGTCAACAAGGTATGGATAGTAGCAGCAACACCTTGTCAACAAGGTATGGATAGTAGCAGCAACACCTTGTCAACAAGGTATGGATAGTAGCAGTAACACCTTGTCAACAAGGTATGGATAGTAGCAGCAACACCTTGTCAACAAGGTATGGATAGTAGCAGCAACACCTTGTCAACAAGGTATGGATAGTAGCAGCAACACCTTGTCAACAAGGTATGGATAGTAGCAGTAACACCTTGTCAACAAGGTATGGATAGTAGCAGCAACACCTTGTCAACAAGGTATGGATAGTAGCAGCAACACCTTGTCAACAAGGTATGGATAGTAGCAGCAACACCTTGTCAACAAGGTATGGATAGTAGCAGCATCAACTTGTCAACAAGGTATGGATAGTAGCAGCATCAACTTGTCAACAAGGTATGGATAGTAGCACACAGGATATATTTGGCAAGAGATAAATGGCAATTTGTTTTTAAAGACAACTCCTATACAAAAGTTTTACCAACATTATAGAAAAAAACCCAGTGTTGAATGTAATGAAATGCCATTTTCTGGGTTGAGCCAGAACTGTACTAAAAAATCGGGCCTCCTGGGCAGGGCCTCTTCCCTCTCCCTCTCCCCCTCCAGGGGGGAGAGGGGATGATAATGAGCAGGCTTGCTGGTTGAGTGGACATTTGCTTGTTTGTTTTCTCGTGGAGGGAGTTCTTAGCCTCCGTTCGATCTTAAGTTGAAATATTTTTATCAGTTGGGGATTTTAATGGTTCACCAACATTTCTGGATGATACCCCAGTCGACGGCAGACATGACTATACTCTCACAAAAGTGCAGTATTCATAAGCCATTCCTCCCTTTGCCTTTCTGAGGGAACCAGGTTCTGGCTCGTGGTTCCCAGTAGGCATAATAAGTCCAGTAACTCGTGCTCTAGACTACTATGGCGGATATCAGTCCGTTAGCTTCAGGGAGCCTCCGTGGCTCAACCCAGAAAATACTGCTATACATGTTTATTAGTATGCTAGTATTTGTTTTCTGTGATATCCTCAAATACAGAAAGTAACCAAAAAACGGCAATAATGATGAATAAATATACCTGAACTCTAAAATAAACAAAACATGAAAGTGGGTATTAATTTAGAAGCATGTCACAACCACCTCCTATGCCCAAGACAAAACTCAAGATATTTACCCTGGGAAGTGTAGGCACACAGTGCAAATCGAAGTGCATCAGTGCCACATTCTGGAATTCCTTGAGGGTAATCACGTTTCTGACCTTCCTTGGCTTTTGATATTTCAAGGGGATCCAAATTACTGTTTTCATCCAGCTGTTTATTAAGCTCCTGAAGAAGGAAGTTCATATGTAAATTTTACAAATACCAATTAATTAAATTAAGCTAAATTGTTTTCACTATTAGCTAAAGTCCCGAGTTGCTAATCCTACGACAGTCCAGATAATTTACAATATTTTGTTCAAATCATAAAAGAACTGAAGTCTCCAATTACAAAGTTATGCATGTCAATAATTTCGAGGACGAACGTTCCCTTGGCCCAGTCTCTGTACACGAGTGCTCAAGTCTTGGGTTATCTTGAGATGATTTCGGGGCTTTATTTCGATGCTGTCCGCTCGGGGGAGCCGGTCGGCCGAGCGGACAGCACGCTGGACTCTTGATCCTGTGGTCCTGGGTTTGATCAAAGGCGCCGGCGAGAAACAATGGGCAGAGTTTCTTTCACCCTATGTCCCTGTTACCTAGCAGTAAAAGAGGTACCTGGGTGTTAGTCAGCTGTCACGGGCTGCTTCCTGGGGGTGGAGGCCTGGTCGAGGACCGGGCCACGGGGACACTAAAAAGCCCCGAAATCATCTCAAGATTACCTCAAGATAACCTCCCCGCGGCCCGGTCCTCGACCAGGCCTCCACCCCCAGGAAGCAGCCAGTGCCAGCTGACTAACACCCAGGTACCTATTTTACTGCTAGGTAACAGGGGCATAGGGTGAAAGAAACTCTGCCCATTGTTTCTCGCCGGCGCCCGGGATCGAACCCGGGACCACAGGGTCACAAGTCCAGCGTGCTGTCCGCTCGGCCGACCTGCTCTCTGGGGGCCTTTGATTTTTTTTTTAAAAGAAAAAAATAATGGCTCCTCTTCAATGGGGCTACTTTGCACATTCTGCCATGCCTTCTCATCTGATGTGGGGTTATTTCTATGTGCAGATTTGGAAACAGTCCTATTATTTTCCAAGTTTAAAGTACTATACATCTCTGCCACTTGCTATCTAGAGAATACACATTAAAAAATTTGAACCGTCCAATTAATTTAAACGTTTTATTGAATAGATTCTAGCAGTAAAGGATCTGCATGCTATCTAGGTCAGTAATTTCTTCAGCTCTCTATGGGACTGTTAGTGTGTAACAATATTCCACCCTATAGAATACTAGTGTCTTAAAAAGTACCAAACCATACCTCCAGGGTAATTCCGTGTATAACATCCATTGGATCGATGACATTGCCAAGGGACTTGCTCATCTTGCGACCATGTGCATCTCGAACCATGGCATGAAGGTATACCTGCCTGTTTACAAAATTTATATTGAGCAACATACAAGCTTATAGATTAAAGTATCAACTTTTATCCAAGATGCAGAAACAATACTGTTAACATTTTTTTTTTATATCATAATTGGTTTAAACACCTTCCAATTAACATTTTTCCTAAAATTTATTAATTTCCTGTATGACATAGTAAGCTTAATTTATTATTAGGGTCATCAGTTATAGTACAGTATTTATATGTAAGTATCTCAATATGTCGACGGCCTTTAGATTCTCAGATATAGGTTACCGAGTGAAAAATATTTCTAAATACCTATGATCTTCCTGTTCCCCCTTTCTTACATGTGCTAACACACAACTATAAACAAATATGCATTTAAATCAGTTGTTTGTTTGTATACATGAGCAGCAGGCATTCCTTTAAGTATATTTGGCTAAATATGACCACACTGCTGGCACTGTTGATCTTAGACCAGTTAAGTACAGTATGTTGTAATAGATATAATACATGTTCAGTAAAATTGTACTTACTTGAAAGGTAATTTACCCAAAAGTTTCTGTCCAAAGAAAACCATTCGAGCAACCCAGAAAAAGAGGATGTCATGACCTGTTTCCAGTAGAGTATTAGGGTAAAACATCTCTAGGTCTTTAGTCTGAAAGAAGGGGAGAAACAGTCAAAGATATAATTAATGTAGTATATTCATTCATTCACTCGAGTCCTCACACAGAGTACTAAAGAGCCACTTTATTTCTCTCTTTTACAGAATTCAACAATGTAAAATTTTCTTTGTCCACATTCAGAAGGGATTATTACATACTTGGTTTGGTACATTTTCTCACCTAATTATCTCTATCCATTTTTTGTCTATATTGCTTTATTTACATTTTTTTCATCCTACTTTTCCAACTTATATCATTATAAAATCTTGCAAGCATTCCTGAAAAATGACTAAACACTTAATAATATTATTAACTACTGTATTAATAATCTACTGGAGACTTAATCATTAATCAAAGACTAGTTTTACGAACTTTTGTATCAATGGTTTTGTAAAGCACGATGATAAAACTAAATGCATTACGTTAAAGATTCTAAAGTAAATCAAATACTGGTACAGTAATATCATAAAATATACACAGTATACTGTATCCTAATTATCTTTATTTAATCTAAATTTTATTTTAGATTAATTTAAATACTGTACTGTAGTTGTTTTCCTTCAATATATTTTTCACAACAAAAATGTTTAGGGACTAACCTGTTTAGGCCATCCCATAACAGAAAATGGGAAAAGTCCAGAACTGAACCAAGTATCCAAAACATCTGGGTCTTGGTTTAACTTTATATTTTCTGGTGAAACATTGAATTTGGCTGCTGCCTTCTGCCGTGCTTCCTCTTCTGTCCGACCGCTCACCCAGTATTCGTCATTCTAGACAGAGAAGTATTCGAAAATTAAATCAATATAAAGCCCTATCTTAATTTAAATATTTTGGTCGATTACGTTCCAAGTCAATATTATACGTCCATAAAAACTAGGTACAATACAGAAAGCATAGGTACATATATGTTTACATGTAAGGGAAAGTGCAACTGTTTACTTTGGTCTTGATAAACATGCAATTTATGTTTTAGCTCATATTTAAAACTAGATACAGTAATTCTGCATTACATTGCTATGAATACCAAAAAACCAGCATCAAATGTAATGAAATACCACTTTCTGGGTGAGACCCAGAGGATCCCCAGAGCTATCCAGGTTCATATTGCTAATATTAGACTTTAGAATCGGTGTGAAAGGAGTTCATAGGCCTACCAGGGGCCACGAGCCAGAACCTAGCCCCCTCAGAGAGGCATGAGGAGCAATGGCCTATAGAAACCCCAATGTGGTTGGAAGCATTCTATGTTTGCCATTGTCCGGGTCAGGCACCCAGAAAGATAAGAATCCCAAAACAAACCCCCTATCCTGGTTAAGAAATTGCTACTAAAAGTCGAACTAGTGGATAGAACTCTCCAAACAAAAACAAGCAAACAAACATGACATCATGCCGCCGCGCCACTGTCTGCGCAGCTTCCCCCTTCCCGAGAGGTGAAGGGGAGAGCCCCAGATCCCTTGCACTGGCTATCCAAAACCTCAGCTCTGAGGCTGGACATAAAAAAAAAAAAAAGGGGGGGGGGAGGAAGGGAGGGTAGCCAGGGAGCCTCCGAGTCTCACCCAGAAAATGGCATTTCATTACATTCAACACTGGTTTTCTGGGGGGAGCCCCACTGGGTCCCCGGAGCTAACTACCAAAGAAAAAAAAAAAAAGAGAAACCTGGGAGGCAGAAACTACATGCCTGAACCTGAAAGCAAGACAACTAGTAACACCAAATGACCCCGCGGATGACCGAGGAGACCCAAACTGTGAAACAGAGACGAAGGGAATCCGGGTTAGTCCAAAGCACATCTCGGGTCACAGAGGCCGTGGCATGTAGGCAAAGATTGAGAGCTACACCCGGACACAAGAAGCACCCCTGTCCAGCCTAACAAGCAGCAACAAACCTCAGGAACCCCTCTGGAAAACAGTCGTCCCAATCTCGCCAGAAAAGAACAGACAGCTGTAACAAACAAACTGGAACCGAAGGGAAGAGAAAGAGAGCACCCTGTCCAAGACCATTACGGCTCAGGCAATTCATAAGCAGACTGGAGGCGAACAAAGCCAGAGACAGCTCGCGAAACAGTGCAGAATGAATACCAAAACCGACAGCACGCTATAGCGGCTCTGACAGTGCCGCATGAGACAAGGCGACAGTATGTGTCAAGATGACGGTCCCAAATCCCCATGAGAGAAGAATAAGACTACGTCATCAAACATCGCAGGATACCAACAAAGAGAAAAAAAAGGAAGGACCGCCAGAAAACCCCATACCACCGCCGAGACGAAGCACGCAGGTGGGACACCATATCTTGAGATGATTTCGGGGATTAGTGTCCCCGCGGGCCGATCCTCGACCAGGCCTCCACCACCAGGAAGCAGCCCATAGCAGCTGTCTAAATCCCAGGTACCTATTTACTGCTAGGTAACAGGGGCATCAGGGTGAGAGAAACATTTTGCCCATTTGTCTCCGCCTCCACCGGGAATCAAACCCGGAACCTCATGACTACGAATCCGAAGCGCTGTCCACCCAGCTGTCAGCCGCCCTTAACGAAACCATCTAATCACCAAACAGATGGTGAGAAACTCAAGTGAAAATTACCAGGCTTGAAGACTCGAGGAGACGACCGAACCAGTCCCGCTTTGAGCTGGACCAATCAGTTGAAAGAGGCGGAGCCATGGGAAAACCCCCTGGGTTCAGACACTGAGCTAGCAGCGCCCAAAACCAAGGCTGGCAAGGAACCAGAAGAAACGTCCGCCAGGAAACTAGGAACCCAAACCCGGGAAAGAACCAACCCAGGCGAGCAGACACACTCCATTCGGGAAGAACCCCCCCCCTGGACCCCCTAAACGACCAACAAGTCTGATAACGTACGACAATGAAGCCGCCGCTTGCCGAGGAGCCGAACCGCAGACTCCGCAAACAGCAAGGACAAAATGGCAACGAAAACCCAAGAGCCAGGGCCCAGGCACAGATCAACAAGGAAGCGAGCACCACGAGCCGACACACGAAGCAAAAAACAACGACACCGCGACACCAGCTCCAAAAGGGCCGAATAAAACACGTGTCGCTGAGTAATAGATGAGAACTACCCAGGACGTGTACTGCACTACATAAAAAAGGCACCGTCCGGAAAGGAACACAAAGAAAAGGTCATAGCTAGGACCATAATCCTAGCTCCCCCAGTCCTAACAAAAAGGAACTGAAGGGGCAGGAATGGGTGATTGGAAAGCTACATCCACCAACAGACAATGCAACACAGAATCTGGACGTGACAGACAAGGAGATGAAAGAACTCAGTAATATAACTGAAGACTGGGGCTGTCCAATCTCAGGGAACTGAACATGCACACAGTTCAGTTCCAATACAATACCTAGCACCAATACAAGCATAACCAACATGTACATACTAAGATACACAACAATGTGTAGTATAGAGGCTGGAAGATCCTGTGTCGAATTTACTCAGTTTCTATGATCGAGCAACAGAGATATTACAGGAAAGAGATGGTTGGGGGGAAGGGGGTTCTATAGGCCATTGCTCTTCGTGCCTCTCTGACGGGGCCAGATTTTGACTTGTGGTCCGCCATAGGCAAGAACTCCATGCACTTTGATGCCAGAAAGCTAAGCGTTACATATCAGCCTGAATAGCTCCAGGGAGCAGACGGGGCTCCCCACTTAAAGAGAGGCGCTGAAAGAGCAAGCGCCGAAGGCGGTCAGCTCCACCCGAGCTGTCAGGCAGTAGTTGCACAAAGATATTATTACCTAGCAGATGAAGAGTCACAATAACGTGGCTGAAAAATGTTGACCAAAACCACATGCAAGAAAATGAAGAGATGACGACGTTTCGGTTCATCCTGGACCATTTTCAAGTCAATTGTCAATAATGGACTTGATAATGGTCCAGGACGTACCGAAACATCGTCATCTCTTCATTTTCTAGTGTGTGGTTTGGTCAACATTTTATTACCTAATTATTTCAATGTCTCTGATTTTTTCAAATTTTTTTGCAGTAATATTATTCAAGTGTGTAGTGTGATATATTTATATATTAAAATGTGTGAATCATCACTATATTCAAAAGTATTGTGATCATATTGGTGATTCAATTATATGATGTTCATAAAACAATAGAAATAGTTTTGCTGTTATTACACTATATACACAGGTTACATTTAAGCTTCTGCATGTTTTGTTCACCACAGCGTACCACTAAGCTGATATGTTGAGTGCAGACATTAACAGGTGGCCACGCAGCCAATTCTCCCTCCCTCTCTCCGTCACTGGTTCAAAGCCAGATGCACGAACATTCCTCCTTCAGGTACACTGTTTGTGCTGTTATTTCACTATATACACACACACATATTATATATAAGTATCTACATGTTTTGTGCACCATAACTGTTCAACTAAGTTGGTATAGTGCCCAAAGAGCATAGTGGCCACCCTTACACAGCATGACAAGTCATGCAGATGATGCCACCGCCCTCACCAAAATGGCTTTTCCCAACACTCCTTTTGCTGTTATTACGCTATATATACACGTTATATATATAAGTATCTACATTTGAGTTCACCATAGCGAACCACTAAGGTGGTATGTTGAGTGCAGGCAATAACAGGTAGCCACACAGATTCGGCACACGATGCTACAGCCCTCCCTCCCTCCCTTAGCATTACTTCTCCCACAATACTACGCACAGCGCAAATTATCACAACAAGCCTGCTATTATCAGAATCCTGGTCATTTGTATCACAGTCAGGGGGTCTTCAGTAATACTATTGTTGCTAAATAATAGCAGTTACATATACTTTTGACATTTTCAGGCGATGCTGTGGTCACAAGCTGAACAGCAGTGCTGTGAGCTCATGCTGCATGTGCCAGTAATGAGTGAGCAACTAAGGCTAAGGCCCTCACACACGAAAATGTTGCCCATGATTTTTTTTTTAAATGGCATCTCTTTATAAGAGCCATGAGGAAGCTGATGTGTACCCTGTGTAGCCGCAGGCCTTTTAAATCTTGCGTGATACTTCCAAACATCATATGAGGTCGTGCGCAATTTGTCGACAGTTACTCAAAGCATCACATGATGCTTTGCACAGTTTAAGGGATAATGAAAAAGACAATAATGAAACTAGAACTTGGAAAACGCTGGAAAATACCTATTACCCAAAAACACATGCTAATGGTACTGATAGAAACCTAGCAGCTCTTATGACCAGTCCTGTAATATTAACTTATTAACATTGTAACTGCAAAAGTTACATTATGCTTTTGAAAAGTAAGATTAAAATTAAAATTAGTCCTATCATTAAAATATACAAAAATTCAACAATTAACCTTTGGGTCACAGGAAACAACAGATCAAGCTGACGAATTTTTTTTAAATTTTGCAAATGCTTACTAGCACACATTCTCACAGCTAGCCAAAAGTAATGGAAATGTTTATTAAACATTAAATACCATTAAATAACAAGTATTTAAAAGTTAAAAGTACAGTATTATAAAAAAAATTACTAACTTGTCCAGGTGGAAGACTCTGATCTTTAATCGTCACAAAATATGCAGGAATTTGGTGACCCCACCAAAGCTGCCGGGAAATGCACCAATCACGCATTTCGTCCATCCAATGATACCATGTTTTTTCATGAATTTTGGGAATTATTTCCAGTTCACCTGATTTGACTGCCTCAACAGCTTTAGCTGCCATATCTGAGCATTTAACGTACCTGTAAAAATCAAAGATCTGTCAGCAACTGAAACATTAAAAATTAAAAAATTCTATTCAACACTTAACCCATTCGTCCTCCGGGGACAGAGTTGACCTCAATAAATAACTCTGCAGATATCTGGCAGGGACGCATGCGGCGTCCCTGTGGACGCATGCGGCGTCCCTGTGGACGCATGCGGCGTCCCTGTGGACGCATGCGGCGTCCCTGTGGACGCATGTGGCGTCAAATTTAAGATATTTGTTAAAATTCCATTTTTTATCTGATCATTATGGGACTAGTTTTAAAACGTGCGCCATTATATGGTGAAAAATTTGATGCCAGAATGAATGACATAGCATGACAACAGAGGTGAGAAATCTTAACAGAGTAAACACATTTTAGTGTTGTGGATGGGTGCTCGCTCACGTGTAAAACTCTGCTGCTTTCGGGTTTGCTGCGGGTGGCACGCCGGGCTTTTTTATGCTATGTGCATATATCCCTTTAGAGAATTCTATTGTGAAACATTTTGATACCAAAATGAATGATGTAATGTAAAAAAAACCAGCGTTGAATGTAATGAAACGCCATTTTCTGGGAAAGACCCGGAGGCTCCCCGGAGCTTACTAGGCTGATATGCTAATGTCAGAATTTGGCATCAGTCACGTGTATGGAGTTCTGTGGGCCTACCGGGGACCATGAGCCAGAACCTGGCCCCCTCAGAGAGGCATGGGAAGCAATGGCCTATAGAAACCACCTTGTGGTTGGAAGCATTCTATGTCTGCCATCGATCGGGTCAGGCACCCAGAAAGGTAAGCGTCCCAAAACAAACCTCCATTCGGTTGAAAATTGCTACAAAAAAGCAGAAAAAGTGGATAGAACTCCCCAAACAGAAACGAGCATGATGTCACACGCCACCACGCCGCTGTATGCGCAACTCCCTCCCTTCCCTGGGTGGGGGAAGGGGTTGCCCCAGACCCCCAACGCCGGCCATCCACACCTCAGTTCGGAGGCTGGACAACAACAACAAAAACGACCGGGGAAAGAAGGGATGCCGGGTAGCCTCCGGGTCAGAAAATGGCATTACATTACATTCAACGCTGGTTTTCTGGGGAGAGCCTCTTCGGCTCCCTGGAGCTACCCACCCACAGAGAAAAACCAAAGGGACTTACCCGGGACGCAGTTGCTGCACACTCCTCAACCCATAGTCGAGACAACAAGCTGCAATTGCCGACCCAAAGCAACACAGGCTCGAATTGGCCCAGGAACGTTCACAAAGTATGGCGCAAAAACATGCGTTTTTGTAAAACAGCACAATCTGTTGCACATAATAGCAACATGCATGCTACACTAAATATGTCACAAATTCCATTTCAATGTTTCCGATTGTATTGATAAATTTTATTTTTATAGATTTCGATTTATTTTATTTTTTATTGAATTATTTTGTGACATTGTGTTGAAATTGAGCTGTGTTGTTTACCATACCGTTCATTTTGTAAGTATAAGGATAGATGCCACACCTGTGACAGGTAAAACTGTTTTTCCTTGAAAAACAGCCCCATCTGTTGCATGTAAGAGCAACACACATGCTATACTAAATATGTTACAATTCCATTTCAATGTTTCTGATTGCATTGATAAATTGAATTTTCATAGACTTTGATTTATTTTCATTTTGATTTAATTATTGTGTTAATTGCGTTGGAATTGAGCTGTGTTGTTTACCATACCGTTCATTTCGGGAGTATAGTTTATTTTTTTTATTTTTTTCACATTTTCATTTCATTTTTTAACTTTTTCTTATATTTCAGTGATGGGAACATCAGATCACTTTATGTTCCCAATTTTCTGATGGGAACATCAGACCATTTGGGAAGGCATCGGACGAGGGAGTGGGGAATTGAGGAGATGATGAGGGGACAGAAGTGAGAGATGGTGGGGAGGACAAGGGGTCAAGGGAGGGGGTAATGGTGGGGAAGGACGAGGGGACGGTGGAGTGGGGAATAATTGGGAGGCCGAGGAGACGGGTGGGGGGGGGGGGGGGGAATGGTGGTTGAGGACTGGGGGACAAGGAAGATTGCTGTGGCTCAGCAATGCACATGCTGAGCGACAGCAACGCGTGGCCGGGTAACTGCTAGTATTAAAATATTTTAGAAGCCCATCTGATTAACTGTTATACCCGAGTGATAATATTTCTTTATTTATATCTAATTTACATTATACCCATGGTTATATGCCTGTGTATTCTTATACCCTGTAAGAATTAGTTAGTTTGAGATGAACTGATGGGACACTGGTTGTACAATAGAGACAGGGATTATTGCCGATTTACCCCTAGACCAGTGCCATTACTTACCCCTGTGGTGCAACAAGCAGTGTTGACGAGCTGTAACAGTCAACAAGCTTACTGCTCGTTTGAGACTGCCAGCTGGCAATTTCTGTCACATGTTTACATTCCTTTTGCACTGTTCCAGCCAAGTATAAAAAAGGATTTGTTTTAATGTTCAAGTCATTATTTGGTATAATAAATATTTGAGTTTTTCCATTCTTTGGATTTTATCCTACAATTTTCACACGATAGAGAGATTTAGAAGCAGAAGCAGTTTTATTTACTTTGCTTTATTTTTTTTTAATTAATGTTATTGGCATTCCACCAGCCAGAATAGCCACTGCTCTATTCATCCACTTTTCCGTAACAGTTACCCACGATTCTTTTTTTTTAAATGGTGTCTGTTTACACGAGTCCTGAGACACAGGATGTGAGCCCCATGTACCTGCAGGAACTTTGAATCACTCCCTATACTGTACCTAAAAAAGCCACATGGTGCTCTGCACACCCTCGATCTAGAGCCACAAGGTGCTCTGCTCAGTGCAGCAGTTAACATCGAGGGTACACCACCTACTCCAATAAATCTTACCATTAATATACTAATTCACGTACTGCAAATATCACGCCTATTGTCATCTGAAGGTCATGAGTTGACTGTGTTGCACCCCTCCTACTTGACCAATTTAAGTTATCTGTTTTCATTCAGACTTGAGAAGTCAACAGCTGGTCTTGCATCAATACTTACAAGTTATAGTTATTGGATGTTGATTTTACAGATAAATAACCAAATTGCATATTTAACTACATACCACTGGCATTTTAAAACAATTCCTGCATTCAGATCAGGTTAGTGGAGTTAACTGAAATATACATAATATAACATGAAAATAAATATAGCACATATTCTAGACTTACCACTGTGGCTTGATCATGGGCTCAATAATGTCTTTTGATCGGGAACAAATTGGGACCACCATAGGGTTGTCTTTTGTTTCTACATACAACCCTTTCTCCTTTAGTGCTTCTAACACGGCCTTCCTTGCCTCAAAGCGTTTCAGTCCCTAAAAGCAGAAATATTTATATTTCAATACAGCCATGATTGCAATAATATAAATCTTCAACACTATGTAGCAGTATTCTTTTATATACCATCATACTTCACAATAAATTTCATGCAGTTAAGACAGATGCACGAGTCAATTTAAATTCTTGTGATGGTCAAGAGATCAGCCTCTAGAAAAAAAAGATCTACCAGACCAGCTCCGGCCGACTTACTGTAAACTGTCCATATCCTTCTACGATGTAGCCATCATCCGTAAAT